CCGACTTCGACTGGCATCAGGGACAGAAAAGGGGGAGGGGAAGCAGATGAAACAGCCACGGCGACTGACTCTGAGCATCTATTGTTATCGGATACGGGTACGGTTCGGGGTCAGGGACTGACCACAACGAGTACTACAGCAACAACACAAACGTTTTCCTTGAATTTTGCCAATTATTATTATGATCGATGAACTTGATCCATGACTCTGCAAAACTCAATGCCTATCTCCGAGAATATCACCCCTCATCCCTACCTATACAAGTAATCATATCCTGGTGAACCCTGAAATACCCAACCATGGATAGATACAGTCAGTGCCTAGGAAAAAAGTCTGTCCCAAAACGCGCTGGTGGGCCCGCGTCCTATATACAGGTTTTGGATGATTTTTTTGCCTGAGATTCGCGATCAGATTAAAGAAAAGAAATTTATCTTTATGCAAGATAACACTGCTATCCATACAGCCTATAAAATGACTATATAATTCAAAGATTAAGCCCTAGAGTTGAATGTTGATAAAATAATCTCTATACTTCACTTTATTGAGCATATATAATTCCTATTAAAAAAGAAGATTAATAAGATTAATCTCTTGCCTAAAAGCATGTGTAGTAATAATATTACAAAGAAGAACTTCCTCTGGAAGACTTTGTATATAACTTGGAAGCAGATTTATATAGATATTTAAGAATCTTTATTAGCCAGTATATCAAGGAGAATAAAGAACCTGAGTAGGCCCGGCAACGGGATCGGACAGACTTTTCTCTAAGAACTATACTGTGAGTGAGGTGAGATGGTATACGCACTGTACTAGGTAAGGACGGTTGAATCCCGCTGACTCACCTCATCTTAATGTGTCTCTCCCATGTCTTTGGATAATTTAGATCATTTGGATAATAATATTCCCCTCTAACTATTATAAAATAACAGTGCACAACCACCTAAGTCTGGACATAAATAATAACTACCTAGATACCTGTGTGCTCCGTATGTATCTATCTAGTCACGGACCGTTTTCCCAAGGATAACCAAAACCAAAACCAAAACCAAAATCAGACCAGACCCAGCCCAACCCAACCCAAACCCACGCATCTCATCCACCGCTCGGCGCTCGCATCGCGATCTTCAGGGTCCGAAAAGAAAGTTCGGGACCAGTAGTCCGCTCGAAAATCAAAAACAAACAAGCCAGGGGGGGAAAAAAATCCCTCCCAAAAAAAGAAAAAGAAAAAAAAAAGTCAAACCACGGTCGCTCTCGGGGCTAAGCTTCCTACGGTAGTTGATATCCGAGACGGGATACGGGCTACATACCTACCTGTTGTACCGTCTTACTATCTTACCTACTACTGAAGTACCACCAAGTGTGTGACTGTGTGTAAGTAAGTAATGTAATAATTTAATATGAACATACATAGATGGATAAAGGTTAATAATAGGCAGCTGCCGCTGAGGGTTGATGATGGCTTGCAGTAGTTAATGGCTGGGAGGAGGGACTGCGACTGCGACTGCGACTGGGAGGGACTAGACTATCTAGTAGTAAGATTACATCCAGACAAACGCATATACTTTTTTCCATCAGGCCATGGCCATGCTGAAATGATTGCTGTTGTGCTGTGGACACAGGATTCAGATTGTGGATTGTGGTTGTGGGTGTGGGGCGCACTAGAGGCGCCTTAGCTACGCGCTAGTACGGATGGTTTGGTTATCGTGCAGAATTGGGTCGAGGTTGTCGAGATTATATTTTATTTTATTTATTATTTATCATTTATCATAGTTGTCGTTGTGCAATGCTGTCTTTGACTAAGATGGGGGAGTTATGGTTATAGAGATCGGTATATAGATGAAGCTTTAAGTAATAGTAGAGTGTATACTATCTATGTCCAGTTTGACAGCAGTTTGTTATTTGAATGAACACAAACAATAATACCGTGTAAATCCATATCAAGACACCCCCCACCACGCTAACTCTCCCACCATCGGCCACCATCTGCGCCATCTGCGCCAGCTGCGTAAGCAGAGACGTCACTCAGTGGGGTCCGAGATTTGACATGCCGCGCGTAGAATTAGATTAGTCCCGAGATACGCATGGGTTTAGCCGGAGACTAATCCCTTTGCAGCCTAACGCGCTGGCCCTCGACTGCCTCTGTTCTAGACGGGCTTGCTTGGTGGCACCGTGGCGGCAGTAAACAACTTTTCAAGGGCTCGCGGGCTGAGGGTCAACACGAAGTAACTGCTTCGTACCTGGCCTAAACATACGTAAGCGGTAAGCCACACGCACAAACTACGGGGTAGGGGAGGTAGATAGTCATCGCGTGTGCGATAGATCCGTTGGCGAATTAGCCTCGTCCGAGCACACCATCGCTGCCCGCCTCCCTGCTTTCCACAATCCCCGAGGGAGGGACCGCGCGGGATCGCCTCAGGCAGGGAAATTCGGATGCCTGTCAGTTCGGTCGGTCATGATCGTCTCCCCATATTTCATGTCCGAGGCTGTATCTCGCCTACTCCGTACTTACGTACACAGTACACTGCGTACTCAGTACTCCGTAGAGGCATACGAATGCTCCGTTCTTCCCCCCCAGTGGGGCCGGTTAGGGCTCGCGGATATAAAGAACAGGGGTGTTAGCGGCGCTGCGATTGGGGCCGACTTCATTTAAGGGTTCCCTTCGTTGCGTTTTCTCGTCATCGCCTCCTCACCGAGGCATCGAATTTTTCTGCCTGCTCGCGCTGATTAGGCTCGGCGTTAACAGACCCCCAGTCTGTTGCTCTGATGACCAGACCAGACCGAAGAGGTCTACGTAGCATGTTCTCATTGATGAGGGCATTCTGACAAAGACGGGCGGACGTTTCGGACGCCCGAGGCCTCCTGAGTACGTAGCTCGACTCCATACCCGCCATCATCAGATAACTTGGACGGGGGCGGTGCGTACGACGGCATGTCCATAGATTGACAGTCCGTAGCCGGGTTGATTGATGGAATGATCGCTGGAAACGTCCGACGAGTGTGGAGGTCTCGTGCACAGCATGTACCGAGCGCAGCATGGAGAATTACTTCTCCAATCTCAGCAACGCAGCCTGCAGGGAAGATCATTCCTTCTCCGGAGTAGCGGACGAGTCTCGCCCTCGGGGACAGGATCAGACTACCATCTAGCAAAGTATATTGGGCCCCGTGAGTCTTGGTGGTAGGCTAGTCAGCAGCCACCGGAAGACCCTGGATTGGGGTGCCTTGGGCGGTCCAGGGCTGATCACGTATGTCCAAATGAAGGCGTTATTTACCCGTGCTGGGTGGTCTACCTTGTCAGCATGATACGTCCCCGGGGGGGATGGGACGATTGCATTTGTACAGACATAGACAGGGTCTGAGGTCTGCTCTGCTGCGTGCGTCAGCTGGCTTGGACCCTTGGGGTGGCTTTGGACAGACGCCTGCTATTGGGTTTACTTGCTTGATTCTGCTGCTTGCTGGGGTACATCAACATCAGACAAAGCAATCCATATACCGTGCAAAGGTATACTTACGCGTCTGATCCAGATGGGCAGGGGGCAGGTTGGCCAATGAATGCGCTATAGTATGCGCTCAGCCTGCTGGGCCGGCTGATATTGCGTTGCCTGCGACTTTGAATTTATCGCCATCTGCACCTAATTTCATGGCTGAAGGCTGACGTTGGTCCCTCGGTAACCAGGGACAGTGAAACCTCGGAGATGAAATTCCTGGAAACGATAGGACAATAGAATACCGATCGATCGTACTTCGAGCACATCCTGAACTCTCATGTCATAGTCAGAATCCTCATTACCTCATCTCCGTTCGTCCGCAATATTAGACAGCCGCCCCTCGATCCTACAAATCGCTGGTACCAATTGCAGTCAGATATGCATGGTTGGTTTGAGCGGTCCACATGGTCAGCATCCTGATGCTCGTGAGGATTCTGCGGATACATGGATAGGGCGTGACGTGACCCAAGCTTATGTGACGCTATAGCTTTAGCACGAAGCGGGGATAGTGCTGCTGGGCCCTCAGCATAGAGAATGCAAAAACAGTGAAGTGCTGGCCCAGACCTTTGCTCGAATAATGGAAGAGGCTGGATATGGACCAAGTATACAAGATATTGGCTAGACCCATACCGGTATGCCGAGATCAGGTAGAGACTCGCTCGGGCAAGCCCCTTGCAGTGATGCGCAGAGTGACAGATGTCGAATCGCGACGTCTTGGGCTGTGATGTGAGTATCGAGCTTTCTCTTTGCCATATTGGTTGATAGGTGCGACGCGTGCCTGTCGCCGTCGCTAGGCAGGGACATCCACTGACATCTCCTCATCAACAGATCAATCTCTACCTTACCCCTGTACATTGGTCGACGAGACCTGGAATGCATTCCAACTGGTGTATGATCTCATTCCCCGGGAGACATCTCATAACGAAGTGCGGCGGGTATGCTCTGTCAGATATTAGCCTTTAGTTGGAATGCGCGAGCCGTTGGAATGTCAGATGGCTGCCCCTTCCATTCGAGGTCCTTGTTTCACGCTTCTCAAACCCGGATGACTCGATGAAACAAGGGCATTTGGACTCTTTGAAATGGGCGTGACGCGAGAAAGACCTCTGTCCTCTTTAAAGATGGTCCCGTCTGGTGGTGGTGTCAACTTCAACGAAGCTTCTTCCGTATTGATGAGAATCTTCATCTGGAAGGCTCCGGGCAACCACGAATACCATAAGGAAGCCACACAGTGGCCAGATCTCGCCGGGAGGCGTTCTGAAAGGCTTCTGGGGGGCGGGCTGCAAAACGCGAGGGATCTCCCCCGCGACGCTCTCCAGCCCTCTCCATTCCAGGCGGCGGCAGAGTTCTCGCACAGGAGTCCAGGGCAACCACGAGCAGTATATCTAGCCCTGCTGTCTCCCCAAACTCTGATGATCCAGACATCCACTCAAGCTTATCTTCTCAAGCAATCATCTCACTAGCCCCGCTTCAAACGCTGATCTTCATCTCATCGTCCCATCACTCCATATCTTCAAGATGCCTTGCTTCAAAGCTTCCATGGCCTCCTTCCTGCTGGCTTGCATGGCCTTCTCATCAATCACCCAAGCCTATCCGGTCCCCGCGTCCCAGAAGGCGAGTGCATTGACTCCGCGCTCACCGGTATGCCCCATCACCCGCTCAACGCATGACACAGCTAGCTAACATTCAACAGAGAGAGATGCCCAACAGCAATAGCAACGATCTCGTCTCCAGTCTCTTCAACACCGTCGGACTGAGCGACCTGAACAAGCTCAACCACTGGAAAGAAGACAACGAGTCCGACGACCAGTCCAGCAACCAGCCCGACGTGATCGACGACAGCAAAAGCGCTACACCAACCCAGACGGAACAGAACAACACCGATGACAAAGCAGGCGATGTGCAGACAACTGCTGGCGACAAAGAGGAGAAGAGAAAGCCCACCCCGAGCCATGTCAGCCATGCCAGCGCGACTCCTTCGGCCACCCCAGGCACTGCGAGCCCCAAGACCAACAAGAACAACAAGGGTGAGAAGGATGACGAGAACAGGTTCCCGAATCCCGCCCAGAACCCGGCCGGGTTCGTGTCTGCCCTGATGCGGCAACTCCAGCACACCATCGATGAGGCGTTGGACAGCAAGGACGAGCACACCCTCAACTAAGCAGTTTCATGAAAAGTTGGGTGATGTTCATGGGGGGTCTGGGTTTTTCTTTTTGTCTCTTGCTCTGGGTTCGAAAGGAATTGTTTGTTTATGTGAAAAGCATCTCAGCGGCGCGTCACGATTGATGAAGACCAATGGTTTGGAAGGAAACTGTTATGATTAGGTACTCGCAATATAGTTAGCAATTAGTCATTAGAAATTAGAAATCAAGACTTGAATAGTGATCTTATCTTGCTGTCCCTCAAGGACGATCCCGGCTTCTGTGACATTCGCGATGGTTCCGTCCCGCCACAGATGACCGAAGTCTTAAGCCCGGGGTTAAGTCCGATGCCATCGGTCTCCGGGGCTTGTCAGCTTTAACACCGTGCAGAATTGACGATTGACTCGAGATAGTCTTCCACATGATCCACGATATTGATGTTTTGGTGCAGGTGCCACCGGGAGTCGGACGGAGGGAGAGGTGGAGGGTAGGAGGGTAGGAGGGTAGGAGGGTAGGACAGAAAGCTGGAGGAGGGACGGCGGGCGATATAAAGCCCTCTCTTTGCCCCTCTCTGTCGGCCCCTCCACTCCAGCTTTCCACGCACCCTTCCCTCACTCGCAACACTGCAGAATCACCAGTATTCGCACATCACAGCAAAAATGCCTTCATTAAACGGACAAGAGGTCGGTGCTACCGGCTACGGTCTCATGAGTATGGTTCTAGAGAAATTTATGGGACGTTCACAGCTAACCAGCAATCAGGAATGACCTGGGTCCCTGAACCTCCCTCGCAAGAGCAATGCTTCGACACCCTGAACAAGACCCTCGAGCTGGGCGCCAACTTCTGGAACGCGGGCGAACTCTACGGTACCCCGAGTACCACTCGTGCCACCTCCTCAACCAGTACTTCACCAAACATCCCGAGAACGCCAGCAAAGTCGTCCTGAGCATCAAGGGCGGGGCGAAGAAGGGTGAGCTCAAGCCGGACAGCTCCGAGGCCAACATTCGCCGCAGCGTTGACGAGTGCCTGCGCGTCCTGGACGGGAAGAAGGCCATCGACATCTTCGAATGCGCCAGGCAGGATCCCAATGTCCCCGTGGAGCAACAGGTGACGGTGCTGGCACAACTGGTCAAGGAGGGTAAAATCGGAGGCATTGGGCTGAGTGAGGTCGATGCGGAGACCATCCGCAGAGCGTATGTTTCCTTCCCTACGCGCTGTTACAATAAATGGGGGATCGCACAGAGCCGTGGCTGACCCGACGCAGGCACAAAGTCCACCCCATTGCGGCCGTGGAGGTGGAGATGTCCCTGTGGGACACCACTATCCTCCACAACGACGTGGCCAAGGTCTGCGCGGAGCTCGACATCCCCGTGGTGGCCTACTCCCCGTTGGGCCGGGGCGTGCTGGCGGGAGCCTTCACCAAGCTGGAGGAGATCCCCGAGGGAGATTTCCGGCGGACGTTGCCAAAATACCAAGATGAGGCGATGAAGCAGAACATCAAGCTGGTCCAGGAGGTCAATGCCTTGGCCACACGCAAGAACGTGGCCCCCGTGCAGATCGCGATCGCCTGGGTGCTCGCCCTCAGCGGCAAGCCCGGCCTGCCCACCATTATTCCCATCCCCGGCGGCACGACGGTCGACAAGGTGACCCAGAATCTGCAAGGCGTTCCGGTGTTGAGCGATGCCGAGCTGGACGAGCTCAAGGCCATCCTGGAGGAGAACAAGATTGTTGGCGCTCGGTATTGAATCTACGGAACTCGGGGGAGCAGCATAATACACGTTGAGATTTGACAACTACTGAAACTGGATATAATTGTATTGCTATAGAAGGATAGGACGGGAGGGTTCCTGGATAAGCCATTTGTCAGCGAGGTGTTGGAGCAGAAGCTTCATGCATATTAAGAATCCAATAAAACAGTAATCAGATCAAGTGTAGAAGAATCAACATGCAATCTCACAAAAGAGGAGACTGTCCGAATTGCAGAACTCTTGTTTTATTCATCATAAGAGGTGGGCGGTGGGCCAGAAGAAAATATCGGTCACTTACCCTGCTGGAGCTTCCCGACGCGTCAAATACCCCCAATTGTCTACTGGTTTGGTTAGCAAGACAGAGGAACTGGCCAAGGAACCCCAAGAGCAGTGAGTCCAATGGACGTAGCACAGCGCAAACATGAAGCACACGCGCGACACTGCCGTGGAGGGGGAAGAGAAAGTGCAGAGAAAGAGAAAGAGAAAGAGAGAAGAGAGAAGAGGAAGGCGGCGGCTTTAATAGCCTCATCACGTGACATTGCCAGTGCGCGCCAGGAGGACTCCGTGCTTTGCTAGTAGCTCGCAATAGTATACGCCGACACGCCGAACTGCGCCAACGCCGCCGTTGCTTGTTGCTTGTTGCTTCCTCAATCCACTCCCTCCTCCCATTAACACTCGACCCCATTCACACATTCACTCACCAACCTACCCACCCATCCACCCATCCACCCATCAACACATTCCCTCACCAGACCCCAAGCGGGTCTGTCCGTCCGTCCTCGATTCCCACCTCCGACCTCCCACCTCCCACCATGACGGAATCTCCGGGCTCTCCCCTCTCCTCCATTGCCTCCGACGACGACATGTCGGATCGCGAAGACCAAGACCAGGACCTGAAGCAAGGCTTCTCCCCCTCCGCCACCAATATGCCACCCTCCAAGCGCCGTCGCACCGGCGTCGATTCCTGGGACCGCAACACCCCCGTCTCGACCTCCTTCCAGGACGACCTCGCGCCCGCCTCACCCTCCACCTCCATCTCGTCCGACACCTCCGGCGACATCCCCAACTCCCCCACCACCCTGGCCCTGATTGGCGGCAGCCAGGATGACGATTATAGCGGCCAGGGCAACGACCAGGTGACCGTGTGTCGCTGGGACGGGTGCGACGCCGGCGACCTCGGCAACATGGACGGGCTGGTCAAACACATCCACGACGAACACGTCGGCAGCCGCCAGAAGAAGTACTCCTGCGAGTGGTCCGACTGCACCCGCAAAGGCCAGACCCATGCCAGTGGCTACGCCCTGCGCGCACACATGCGCAGCCATACGAGAGAAAAGCCTTTCTACTGCGCGCTTCCGGGTTTGTCTTCACCACTTTTTTATACCCAACCACGCCAGTGACTAATACACTCTGCTTTTCCTGTAGAATGCGACCGCAGTTTCACCCGCTCCGACGCCCTCGCCAAGCACATGCGAACCGTCCATGAAACCGAGGCCCTGCGGCCCTCCGACCCCGTCCCTAAACACCATGCCGCCGCCTCCGCCGCCGGTACACCCGCTGGCACCCCCGCCGGCAAGGTGCAGCGGTTGAAGCTGAAGCTGTCGTACCCGCCGAAAGAGGATGCCGGGGAGCACAGCGAAAGCGCGAACGATGAGGCGGTAGGCACGGAGGAGGATCTGCAGCTGCCTCCGGGGGGGCTGGAGAAGGAATTCGACACGTACGAGATGCTGCTGGAGGGGCCGCAGCTGTATCGATTGCTTCTGCGACAGATTCACTGGGCGCAGCAGGAGACGGCGGAGCTTCGGAGCGCGTGGGACAAGATCCACGTGAAGAGAAAGGAGTCGTGGATGGAGAAAGAGGCCATCTTTGATGATCTGGTCGAGGCAGAGCTGCGGTTGTTCAGAGCCATTGTTGGGCCTGATGGCGGGTATGGCGTCCCGAATCCCGCGCCGCCTCCCAATGACTCGCCGGATAAGGTGCAGGAACAGGCGCAGCAACAGGATCCGCAACAGCAGCTTCGTCAGTCCGAGACAACTGAGATGGATGTCGGTCCTGATCCTGAAGAGGGGTCTGTTCCGCCTTAGAGGGTGGGATCGACTACTCGATATCTACGACCCGACTCAGTTGTCTTCTTGGCTGCCAATGGTCCAATCCATGCATGCCCCCATCCTGTATACCATTTTCTCTCATCAAGCTTTGCTGTTTTTATCCATCGGGCTGGTCGTGACATTGGCATTGACATTGACACAAAATCGAGCATCGTCTGATAGAGAGACTGTCAAGCAGACAGACAGACATGCACACAACAGCGGATATTACCACGGCGCTTCTTATCTTCTTCTTCTCCTCCCTTCCTTTCATCTTCCACCTGCTCCGCTTCAATTCCGGCTGCCTCTTTTCTTTTCTTTTCTTTTCTTTTCTACATCCCTCCTGCGAAATATCCTGGACTTTTCCTCCTTTTACCAACGAGAAGTGTTGTTGTATCTGTACTCTATGAAATGGGATTGGCGCGGCGCTCTACTTATTATGTTTTGCCTTTAAAGAACCAATCGATCAATCAATCAAGTGATAATCAAACTCTTTGGTGCTGTCTTGGATAATAGGTAGTTTTGTGTGTGTGTGTGTGTGTGTGTGTGTGTGTGTGTGTGTGTGTTAGTAGTAGTAGTAGTAGTAGTAGTAGTAGTAGTAGTAGTAGTAGTAGTAGTAGTAGTAGTAAATCATCAACCAATACCAATAGATTCAGCAGGTATGTTATAGGTACATAGGTAGATGTAGCTAAATGAGTAGTACGGAGTAGACACACCCCTCTCTTCCCCTCCCAATATACAGGTCACACAGACAATAAATGCGGTACCTAAGTAGATAGATAGCATTAATACCAGCATACATTCCTACCAAAGGTAACTACATCGTAATCGCTCATAATACCCAGTCCAGTCAGATAGATAGGTAGGTAGGCAGATAAATAAATCTAAAGACAGATGGAGAGATAGTACTTCCTTCGATAGACAGACAATTCACCCACGCTCTAACCCATCTGCTCAGCCACTCACTCACTCACTCACTCACTCACTCACTCACTCACTCACTCACTCACTCACTCACTCACTCACTCACTCACTCACTCACTCACTCACTCACTCAACCAACCCTCCTCAGCAGATCAGACCAAATACAGGTCAAACTCTGAGTGTAGACCTGAGATCAAGAAAAGAGAAGAAGAGGAAAAAAGAATCTGAAGAAGATACATGGTGAATTGAATTCGGATATAAGTTCAAGTGACCAGGTCAGTCGACCAACCATCGGGCGGGCGGGCCAAGCATACCACACGCGTAAAGTAAAGTAAAGTAAAGTAAAAGGGACCCGGTCCCACGGCTAGAATCAACAGGGAGGACCACAGCAAAAAAAAAAAAAGAAAGAAAGGTCATCATGACTCCAGGTATATGGGAGGCAGCAGTGATGAACCTCGCACAGGAAGAAAGAAGATGAAGAAAAAGAAGAAGAGAGAAAGAGGAGAATGATATATGTGAGTGAACACATTAATCAAAGCCCAAAGGCTCCAAATACGCACAGATGGACAGGACAGATGGAGATGAAACAGGGTCGCAGATAAAGACATAGACATAAGAGCCAAGAAGACTGCCATGCAAGCAAACATCATGAAGTTCCACAACTCGTGGGGTGGTGGGTCAATCAATCAATCAATCAACACAACACTCCCCCCTTTCCTTTCGTAGATCATACCAGACGCCGTCGCCATGCTTTCCCAAATGATGCATATGTATGTACCTGTAACATGAATGATAGAAAAAAAAAGGGAAAAAGAAATCAAAAGGCAAAAGAACTCCACAATAACAAGACCGTCGACAGCTTTTGTTTGTAAATCCAGTGCTTGTCGGACTCGATCACAGTCTACTCCCCGTTGGATGTGACGCGCTTGGTGGCCGCCGCCTCCTTCCGGGCAGCAATCAGTTTATGATACATTTCTTGAAGTTTGGACCCCCCTGCCTCTTTGTTGGGCCAGTAGTTCAACGAGACATATTGCCTGGCGCTAGTTAGCATTGTCCTATTTTGGCTTAACAATGGGCTTGCACATACCATAAACGGGTCTCCAAAGAAGTAACGGAGCCCTCACCCCTTAGGTTCTGGCCGATGAACTCGCCGATCTTGCCCAAGAGACGTCGCAGTTCCGTGGCCCGCTCAGCCTTGTTCGGGAAGTTTTCCTTCGTGACAGCGGATACCTTCTTGAGATTCTCACGGATTGGCTTGAAGAAGAGGCGCGACATGTCCTCCTTGCCCGCGGAGTAGCCGTTCTCGTGGAGCTTCCGGCGTCGGACATCCTCACTGGAAGCGTCTGAGGTCCGATGGCGGCTGCGCTCCCCGTCATGCACGGGTTTGGACCGGGCATCGTGGCTCGGGGTGTGGTGTCTCTCAACACTATCCCGAGCTCCATGGGTATGGGACCGATGCCTGGATCGTTCTGTTTCCCGATGACCCCTACGCGCTGACGGGGCCGGTGACGCCGACACGCTGTTGCTCGCATGCGCACGAGAGCCTTTCCGGTTGTTCCGGTGATGGTTGTCGACGGCTCGCTTCGCGCTGACACTCGAACCGCTTGTGGCTTTGTCTCGGAGGACAGATAGCAGATAGTCCGAACGACGAACCAGATGGACAGCACCTGGAGACTTGGTGGTCTTGTCCTCGGCATTCATGCGCTCGTTTTTCCTTTCCACCCGGTGTTCCTCGAGGAAGAACTTATCGCTTAGACCGAGTTCGGTATCGTCTCGAATCTGAGTCCAAGCGCCATATCCATGACGCGCGATACCCACGCATAGCATACCGTCCTCTCTCGCACCCCACGGGCATGTATAATCCGCGGCCTTTGTGGCTTCCGGCACACGGAAGTTTTTGAAATCGGGTACTGCAGCAGTGGCCTCCTTCAATATACGCATCTCCGCCGGCCGTTCCACAATAGTGTACGCATTCAGACGCTTGACGCCATGAAGATCAAACAAGACTGCCTTCTTTTCTTTTTTCGTCGGCACCTTGCCGGAATGTTCAAGAGCCTCTAATCTTTCAACATCCTCTCGTACAAGAGCGGCTGCCTTGTCAGTGATTTCATTTAAAGCAGCCCTGACCGTCTCCCTGTCCCGATCAAGTAAACGCGCCTCGCGGAAAACATCTTCCTCGCGTTCCCCAACATCACCAAAACGGAGATACGATCGCAGGAGGTGGCGGTATTCTTTCTCCGTCAGGGGTCGCATCGGATCCGACTGGCCGGAATCGGAATCATCAGCATTGTCCATGCTCACCTGCGCTCTCGCTTGTCGTTTAGCTTTGCGCTCCTCACGTGTATCCCGTACATCCCCAGGGGCGTTGCGCTTGCGCGGTCGGTTTTGCTCAATGACTTCGGCAAGATACTTTTCGTCTGCTTTTTTCTTCTCCTCTGCTTTGATCTCTTCCAGTTGCTCCCTGGGGATAATATCGTCCCAGCTCAGATCGTCGACCTTGATATCAACATAATCAAAAGCTCTAAGGAATTCTTCGCCACCATCGGCCTGGATTTCCTCGGCTTGTTCCGTCTGGTGCAACTCAGCGTTCGCAAGTACCGAGTCAATGTCCAGCTGCTCCAGCTTCGCCTGGTTACCAGTCTGTTCAAACATCTTCTGACCACGACGTTTGAGAATGCGCGAGATATCGTCCGTCGAGTTCGGCTCGCTGACAGAAATCCCACTCCGAACCATCTTATTTTGGATCTCCGACGCTTCCTTGTCAGTAACGCCCCGTTGGATGGTGATGAACTCGAGCAGAAGCTTGTTTCGCGCTCTTTCTATGACTTCCTCCTCCACCGTATCCTTGGACACTAGACGGTACACACTGACGGGCCTCGTTTGTCCGATACGGTGCGCTCTAGCCATGGCCTGGAGATCGGCCTGAGGATTCCAGTCCGAATCAAATAGGACCACCGTGTCCGCGGTCATTAGGTTGATACCCAGACCACCAGCTCGAGTGGACAAAATGAACGCAAAGTCGCTGCTCCCAGGGGCATTGTAATGTTCAATGGCTAGACGACGAGACGCCGCCGGAATGGTTCCGTCGAGACGCTGATATGTGTACCCACGAAATTCCATGTAGTCGCCCAGGATGTCAAGCATCTTGACCATTTGGCTGAAGATTAACACACGATGGCCGTCTCGTTTCAGCTTGGCCAGCAGCTGATCAAGAAGCATCATTTTACCACTACTCGTGATCATAGCTCTCAATACGTCTTCACGGCGGGCACTGCCATCCAAGATCCTTGCCTCGGCATTTGGAAACATGAATGGGTGGTTGCTCGCTTTCTTGAGTTCCATCATGATGTTCAAAAGTGATTGCTTTTGGCCTCTAGCCCCATCATTGAGTGCAGCATAGTTCTTGGTAAGGATGTTCTTGTAATACTCTAGCTGGATATCGGAAAGTTCGACTCGGATAATTTTCTCGGTCTTGGGCGGGAGATCGGATTCCACCTTGGACTTGGTCCGGCGCAGCATGAAGGGTTGAATGGCTTTCGTTAGCTCTGCAAGCTTCTCGGAGGCCGCGTCAGCGTTGAGGTCCATGTCAACATCAATGTGGACCAGGCCTGGGTTCAAGAAGTCCAAAAGCGCAGAAAGCTCAGCCAAGTTGTTCTGGATAGGAGTACCCGTGATGAGCAGGCGAGCTGGAGACCGGAACTCCAGCAACTTCAGGTACAGCTGGGAGTCACGGTTCTTTAATCGGTGCGCCTCATCAACGGCCATAAACTGCCATTTGAACTGGCTGAGGAAGCCTGAATCTAGCAAGACGTATTCATATGTCGTGAGGAGCACGTTGAACTTGGGTCGGCGGGGATTGCCGTCGACCATGAGCTCGTGATCTCGCAAAACAGTGCGCGCAGCCTCATTGCCATTGTAAACAACATAGTTTAGGTCGGGGGTCCAGTGGTCGAACGTCTCTGCCCAGGAAGGCATTGTCGACAATGGCACAACCACCACGAAGGGACCTTGTTGATTCCGCACATGGCGCAGCCAGTTGATGAAGGAGACCGTCTGCACGGTCTTTCCCAGGCCCATTTCATCTGCAAGCACAACATTGCGATTCTTCACCCAGTTGAAGGCCATGAAGTTGACCCCCTTCACTTGGAACTCCTTCAGCTGGCCGTTCTGCAAAAAGCTCGGTTCACTCTTGATGGTCTCAAATGGCTTTCGCGTGGCGGGATTCGTTTCAGACTTGTCTGACACCGGGGGGCGAGAGGATCGATCTAGGAAGCGGTCTATCTCGCGTTGCGCGATATTACTAACGAGCTCTTCACTCTCCCATGTACAAGAGTCGTAAAACAGGCGTTTCCATTTGACGAGGTACTCGGTGCCTTCGTCGCCCTCACGCATTCCGATGACGCGCTCAACTTGTTTGTAATCTTCAATAGCGTCTACATCCCTCTCCCGGTCGAGGTTCCACTTTTCCCGGTCCTCGGGGGCGACATCCTCGTCGGTCTTCAGGCGGATGTCCTCAGACAGGACTTTGCGAATGTAGTTGTCAAGGCGGCGCGTACTACGACAGTCTGCAAGGCTCTCGACCGTTTCCCACGTAGCATGGTAGTGCGACTTGCCTTGCCATTTGATGTAAAACTCAAAGTCGTGGCGACTGAGGTCGGCGCTACTTGGGTCCACACCCTCCTGGAGACGATGGTTGAGGACAATGTCAACCGCCGGGCGGTTGTCCTCCACGGCAGTGGCCCAGTAGTTATCCATGACCTCGTCTGGTTCATCCTCGAACATCGAGTCATCGTCATCTTCATTGTAATTCGAGACCCTGGAGGCGTTTCGCGTCGAGAAACGCACCTCGGGGTGAGAGGGGGCAGTGTTCAAAGATGTCTGGAGGCGTCGGCGCCTTGCCTTGCTTGTACGAGCGCGACTGCCGCCATACTCGTCACTATCCGAGTCTTCAGAGTACGACGACCGGGTTGCGGACCGCGAGGGGCGTTTCGAGGCCGGCTGTGAGGCCGCGGGGCGTCGACGCTTAGACCGGGCAGCCACGGCATCGGATTCGGACTCGGAGGGGGAATCGACCACTTGACGCGTCGTGCGAGCTCTTCCGCTTCGACGAAGGCCGTATAGGTCGGGGTTTTGTCGGATATAGTCCGATTCATTGACCGACGACGACTTACGCTTCGTTCCTCGCTTGGTCTCTGACGATGAAGAGTTTTCAGAGCCAGACGCACTGCCCTCGTTCCCATCGTTTTCCGTCGCAGAGCCATCCTCATCTACTTCGGCGTCCGGAGAGCCGGCATTGTAGGAATCGTCCGCGGCGTCTTCATCGGGGGAGGAGGATTCGCGGGCGGCATGGTTTGCAGAGGTATCGGACAGGTGGCCTTCGCTCTCGCTGGCTGCGAACTCATCTCGGATGCTGGCAGCATTGGAGGCAGGCGAGACCGAGTACCCATTCATCAAGGCCATTGCGGCCGATGGTTCGGAGGTAGATGGGATCACCATGCTAGTAGCTATTGATGAGGAGAGGAATCAGCATTGACGCTCAGCGCAGGCCCGGGGAGGGATGGAAGGCACGGCATGGTGTTGAGCGGAGATACGCGACCCAGTTTTCATGGGAAACGACCAGGATCGGTAGGTGAACAAGATAGGAGATGGGGTATGATGGCATGGGCATGTTTTTGATGACGGGTTGGATGAAACGCGACAGGAGAGTGTTAGGGAGGAGACGTGGACAGTCAGGGCAAATCCAATGGCAAAATCGGGTACAAGAGGAGAAGACCAGCCAGACCTTGACCTATAGGAACTCTAGAGGCCCTCAGCACTGCAGATGAGGGGATATCTGAAGTTCTTCGGTGGGTCGAGACCGTGGAGAAGTACCCCAGGCCGACAGTGCCAGGACACGTCTGGAAAAGCTAGGAAAGACGAACAAAATACTTACAATCCATAGCTTGGTGACCCCGACTCAGGGGAGAATTAGGGAGTAAATGGTGGAAAAAGTTGAGGGGAAAGGTGGGGGGGGAGGGGGGAGGGGGGAGGATGGAATGGTGGAGGCAGCAGAGGAACGATGGGGAGACCGCTGAGAATATGAGGAGGGAGTAGGAAGAGTGTTGTACGTCGGCTGGAGGTGGACGAGTCGCCGTGAAGGGATTGGCTGGCGGCCTGACGGCTCAGGCTGCCAGCGCCCGCCATGCTCTGTGCGGTTTAGTGCCCCTCAAGCGAGGCTGGAACCGGCCTAGCGCGTGTTACTCATCACGTGCGACGCGGGCCCGGATCAATTTCTCCTCCGGACTCCCTCGACCGCGGCGGGCGGCAGGCCAATCAGGTCGGCAGGAAATAATGCAGGCCGGCGTTGCTGCCTCAGGCTGCGACGGCTGCCCACAACGCCCGGCATAGTTTTCTCTCGAGAGCCCCTCCTCGTCGGGGTTCTCCAGCAACGTTCCTCCTCACCCTCTTCTTGGTACTGCCTGCGCAGATATCTGGCGTGTTCGCGTTCTGCCAGTCCTCCGGTCGCAGTGTGATCCGTCTTTTTCCCCGAGATCACACCACCGTCGACGTTCCTGCGTCTTTGCTGCTACTCTTCTGCCCACTTTATATCTGTTTCGCGCGTTCTACGTGATCTGAACAGGCATCATGTCTGACAAGCTTACCAGGTATGACCCGCCAAATCCACCTCCGTGGACTTTTTTTTTTCTTGAAGACTTCTGAGCTAACGGATCGATGTGTCTAGAGTTGCTATTGTCAACAGTGACAAAGTGAGTTTTTTTTATACCCCGCAGCATACCCTGCCACCACCACACTGGACGCATCAATATTTACTGAGACGTATTGCTTCTTCCGTGATAGTGCAAACCCAAGGTATGAGGATCCTCTGCTATACTTCGCATCGCCCAACCCGATTTTTCTGACCCGTCCCCCGTCATAGAAATGTCGCCAGGAATGTAAGAAGTCTTGCCCCGTCGTCCGTACGGGCAAGCTCTGTATCGAGGTCTCCCCCGAATCCAAGATCGCCTTCATCTCCGAGCGCCTCTGCATTGGTTGTGGTATCTGCCCCAAGAAGTGCCCTTTCGGTGCCATCCACATCATCAACCTGCCCACCAACTTGGAGACTCAGGTCACACACCGTTATTCGGCCAACAGTTTCAAGCTTCACCGTCTGCCCATGCCCCGTCCCGGACAGGTTCTTGGTCTCGTCGGTACCAACGGTATTGGAAAGAGTACGGCGCTGAAGATTCTCAGCGGCAAGCTTAAGCCCAACCTTGGCCGTTTTGACAATCCCCCCGACTGGGAGGAGATCCTCAAGTACTTCCGTGGTTCCGAGCTGCAGAGTATGTATAGTCGGATCGATTCGAAGACACGACCTAACGCGCTACAGACTACTTCACCAAGGTGCTGGAGGATGACCTTAAGGCTGTCGTGAAGCCTCAGTACGTCGACCAGATTCCTAGAGCCGTCAAGGGCCCGGTCCAGAACGTGGGCGCCCTCATCAAGGCCCGTGCTCAGCTGGACAACATGGAACACATCCTGGACACTCTTGGTATGAAGGTCCTACCTTGTGCGGGTTGCTGCCATCATGCTAATCATGCGCAGAATTGAGACAGGTCCAGGACCGTGATATCGGCCACCTTTCCGGAGGAGAGCTTCAGCGTTTTGCCATCGGTCTGGTCTGTGTCCAGAAAGCGGATGTGTAAGATGGCCTAGATCCTGATCTACTCGATTGATACTGACGACAGCTACAGCTACATGTTCGACGAGCCTTCCTCCTACCTCGATGTTAAGCAGCGTCTCGCCGCCGCCCGCTCCATCAGAGAGCTTCTCCGCCCCGACGACTATGTCATCGTTGTTGAGCACGATTTGTCCGTGCTTGACTACCTCTCCGACTTCGTCTGTGTGCTGTACGGAAGACCCGCCCTCTACGGCGTGGTCACTCTACCCGCTTCCGTCCGTGAAGGTATCAACATCTTCCTGGATGGTCACATCCCCACCGAGAACTTGCGATTCCGCGATGAATCCCTCACTTTCCGTCTGGCCGAAACTGGTGACGACTTGATCGTCAACAAGAACCGTGCTTTCCGCTACCCTACCATGGAGAAGACGCTGGGTAACTTCCACCTTAAGGTCGATGCCGGAGACTTCACGGATTCAGAGATTATCGTCATGATGGGAGAGAACGGAACCGGAAAGACCACTTTCTGTAAGATGCTGGCTGGTGCTGAGAAGCCCGACCACGGCGCCAGCGTCCCCCGCCTGAACATCAGCATGAAGCCCCAGAAGATTACCCCCAAGTTCCAGGGAACTGTCCGTCAGCTGTTCTTCAAGCGTATCAAGGCTGCTTTCCTGTCGCCCCAGTTCCAGACCGATGTCTACAAGCCCCTCAAGATCGACGACTTCATTGACCAGGAGGTGCAGAACCTGTCTGGTGGTGAATTGCAGCGTGTCGCCATTGTCCTGGCTCTGGGCATGCCCGCCGATATTTACCTGATTGACGAGCCCAGTGCTTACCTCGACTCCGAACAACGTATCATCGCTTCCCGCGTTATCAAGCGTTTCATCATGCACTCCAAGAAGACCGCTTTCATCGTCGAGCACGATTTCATCATGGCCACGTACCTCGCGGACCGTGTCATTGTGTTCGATGGTAAGCCGTCCATTGATGCCCACGCCAACACCCCCGAGTCTCTGGTCACCGGTTGCAACACCTTCTTGAGGAACCTGGACGTCACCTTCCGTCGTGACCCTAACAGCTACCGTCCTCGTATCAACAAGTACCAGAGTCAGATGGACCAGGAGCAGAAGTTGGCCGGCAACTACGTAAGTGCCGTCTGTACCCTCCAACTCACACAACACATGCTAACCCATCATAGTTCTTCCTGGAGAATGAGAGCTGAAGAGGTTGTTTTTGGCAAACATGACCGCGTGCCTCACAGACGTGATGGCCGCGACTCGAACCAGCGACGAGACCGACGTCGCTGGAGATGGAGGTACCTTCGGGTAGTGGCGTTTTTCGGCGTTACCAAGGCCTCTGCAGCTCCGGGTAGGCGCCGCCGCCATGGCGTGCGCCTTGCTGGTGATGTGGGTGAAGCTTTGGAGGAGGACGACGACGAGGAAGAAGACGACATACTGGGCTAGGGGCAGTGGGGTACCTTACCTTCTCCAGTTAACCCTCCCGGCCCAGATGTCGTCGTCCATCGTCAACTCTTCCAAGCCCATCGACGCCTGCACGTCCGATAATTGTCATCTTCACCTGCTTAAGGGGTGAGGACACGAAAACTCGGCTGTTAGATTCGGTATGTTTAGGGAATGGTTTGGTTGGCGCAGTCATGTGGGAGTTTTCTTTTTTCTTTTCAAGTTTATACTAAGATGTCCCATGGTTCTTCACGACATGAATGGTCCACCGACGACGGGTTCGGTGAAAAATAGCTGGTGTGGTCGAGTTAGGTGACCACTGCTTTTCAAAAGATTCTGAGCACATATGTTGTTTTGTTAGTGCATGTTACCCACCGTATATACTATCCTTCCCTTGTTGCTCTGCCGTGGATACGATGTAGACCGTACGTAGAGAGGTGATGCCGAGGTTATCGTTCACGGAGTTCTTTTTCTCTTAGACTGTGTAAATTAATCAACTGCCGCTCAACCCCACACTGATATCAAGCAAGGCAAAAGTGACATATGACTGACATTGCACAATATGCTTCGTGTAGCCAATTGCAAGACAGGCGGCTGCTGTACAACTCAAATCATACCTACCACAATTTGCACATGGATGGAGTACAGGCATTAAATTCTGGGTATTCCAGATCAGGTCTACTAATCTGTGTATTTAGTTCGCATGTAACCATGGATTCTTGAACAGGAAGTGGACTTTGTGCATATTATGGAGAACGAGTCTCTCCCTCCGCGTCTAATATGGAACAAGTGCTATCATTATCAGATCCTAAATTTTCTGCACCATCATCAGATAAATAATCAGTATGTACAGTCTGATTAGCTCAGTTTCTAAAGTTGTCTATACTGTTGATTGATAGTAACTCTCCATCGCTTATTCCAGAAACTTTTGTTCGCCATCATATGATATATATGTAGACTGTACTGCGTAGTACACCACCCATGAATTCTTTTAATGCATGGCATTATCCACTAAAATAAAATCCCTGATATAAGGCATACCGTGCTGCAGGGTCTGCGCACAATCCAGAATCTAGACTCTTGGGTATGTGCAATCACTGCGAGTACATATTTTGTATCTGCCTAACCTGGTAACTACCCTGCAGGGCGCATGTCCGCTGTACCAGACTGTACTACAGTACGACTGCCACCGCCCGCCAGTAGAAATCGAAACATCCTACTGTGTATACGAAAATACCTTTCCATCAGCCTTGTTATCCCAATCATCAACTTATCATTCACCAATTCCGAAGATAGTGCTTACAGCACACAACACACAGCACAATTGCCAATTTACTTAAGTCAGTCATCTGACAAGCAGAACCTGATCTTGGCGTTCTACCCACCTCACACTCACCTTCACCTCATCTGACTCGCCAACCAAAACAAAAAAAAAAAAGAAAGAGAAAGAAAAGAACACAATTCTGCCAGCCCAGAGCCATGGAGCGGTGTACACTACACTATACCACACCCTACAGCTCGAATCAGGCAACCAACCCGTCCCTGCCGAACCAAACCGAGGATACTCCGTCCGCCCCGGAACGGGAAAACTCGCGCACCGACCGGCCAGTCGTCCCGCTGCGCTGCGCTGCGGAAATCGGAGCTCTAGCCAAACTTTCTCCGTTCTGACACTATACTTCGTACTACTATGCGATTATAGCTTCACCCGGACTGGACTCAGGTCTATTCAGAGAAAAAAACAAATGAAACAAGCTTCATGGCAGGGTCCTAGGGCATCTCAAACGGTTCGATGGGTGGGTGGTTTTATCTAAGGTGCCTAGTATCCGCTGTTACTGTTACACGGTGCCGGCTGGGTGCACAGGCAGGTCTGTGTTTGTGTTTGTTTCTATTATTATGATGATGGTTGTGGTGGTTGTGGTGGTCTGGAGTGCCACGGCCCCTGTGAGGTGGGTTTCGGAGAACCCCGTTAGTACGAGGATGAGGGTTGAAGACTACCACAATATGTAGGTACGGTAGCGTCTGACTCTGATGCTCTCTCTGGGTGGTTATAGAAACTAAATACGAAGCAGTAAGGTAGATACTCCGCAGGACTCCGTGGGATTCCGGACTGGGTATGTAGTTGGACTGGTTAGTAGACTATGATAGAATGTAAGACCCAGCTAGCCAACTCATTATTGTACAAAGTACTATTTACCTACTCGTCTCAGTACAAATTCTATTGCTATTTCTGATTCTCTTTCAATTGTTTGCCCATCCCTCTTCTGTCTGTTGTAGTTAACTACGGCAGGGTCTGCTTTGTAATCGGGGAACAGCCAATCCGACCCCAGGGGACCAGCCAACTGCGGCATTAAAACTTAAAAGGGCAAAACGGCACACAACACCCTGGGCGGAGAATTGCAGGGGACCCTGAAGGGGGCTGAGCCAGTGAGCCGTGCCAAGCGGGTTACGTGATGTCATGTGTTTGGCTGGTGGGCAAGGGCGGCAGCCACTGGGAGGATCGCATTGACTAATGGCAGGGGGACGATGCCCACTCAGGGTCTCCCCTCCCTGATGATCAAATAAAGGATGCCTGTGAGTGGGGACCCGCCGTGGAGAACAGGGTCCGTTAGCGCCGCTTCTTTGTCTCATCAGATTCAATCCCAACAACACCATCACAATACGATGTGGGTGGGTTGCTTCCAGCCATCCTGGCACTCGGGGCTCCCGGATACTCGCATCAGACCAAGCAGGCCTGGCGGTGCTGGTGTTCTATTTTTACGGCGGCAACCCTACACAGGGCGACATGGCAGCTCAGTCCAGTCTGGTCCAGTGACAGTCAGCAACTCAACTCACTCACTCACCCACTCACACCCCGGCATACTTAGTCGCGGGAAGCATGGCCCGGGGGGTTCCGTGGGAAGCGCATATTGGGGAAGCGGGTCCACCGCGACCCTGGGTAAGCAGCATGTACCGGTAGGTACTGTACCTCAAGCAACGGATCATATTAATAGCAAACGAGAACCGAACCCGAACCCGACCCCGAACCCTGGACGAGCAACTGTATCCCACTTGGCGGTGACTTTTCCGGCGAATTCTTCCAGCAGTAGGGACGGACACTCCTTTCTTATACCCTAGGGATGAAGAAAGGATATGACACGTAGCGAGCTTCCCCCGGACAATGGGGAGACGCGAGGAGACTGCTGCCCCTCTGGGCCATGGGGTGTCACCATGTCTCACTTGAATTGGAAGCCGGCAAAGCTTGGTGCATGAGTCGAGCCAATAACACTTGCAACTCCCCCCAGCCCAATTGGTTACGGCGGCGCATGTCAAACCGGGGGTCCGAAGGAGAATCCGCTTTCACCGCGGAGAGGAAGAACTGGAAGGGGAAGGAAGGAAAATTGGATATTGAATAATGCGGTGGGATGATGTACATTGTATTGGATGCACCCCCATCACCCTCACACCTGTCACGCTGGAGCAAGGCGTGGTAATGAACAAAAGGCCTGAAACACTCAATATATCCCTGTGGCTTGGACCTTTAGGCAACTGATCTGCCGGGGTGGGCTGGGCATTATTGGGCCCGCTGCCCTCCCTGAAGCCCCAGTGCGTCTCCTCGATCCCCCATCCCATCCATCCTCGCTCACCCGGGTGGGGAACACAGACGGTTTCCAGGCCGCAGTAACCACACATGAGACACTCTCGACCACTCAGTGCACAGCGCTGTAGCAAAGGGAATTGCCATTTGTAGCTACGGTGCCCTCTGGCCCGCCGACTGTGCAACGAATGAGCTCGCTTAGACTTTACACAGGTCAATTATATAATCGGGGCCCCTGGTGGTACGCGCTCGTAGCAAACGCATGTTGGACAAGAGGCACTCACCTGCTGTCCATCTTCCTCTCTCTCTCTCCCTCCCTCCTCCTCTCTCTCTCTCTCGTCCACCGTCGTCCCATTCCAGTCGTTCCAGCTTCGATTTTATATCGATATTTGCCGTTTCTTTTGGACCCTGATACCCACCAGATCTAGATTGCGTCTGTTTAGCCGCCTTCCCCAGTTAAATCGCATTCCCGGCTCATTCTTTATCCCTCCACAATCGCTGCCGACCAACCCTGCGACAGATCATGAGCAGTCACTCAGCCGGTGTGGGACCTGGCCATTCGTCCGCTGACTATTCTCTGCATGAGGAGGTAACTACTAGATAGACAACATTCGTTGCAGCGTCCCCCGTTCGCGGTGTCCGGAGGTTAACCCGTCTCACCAGCAGGAGTACCACCCGCAGCCACAGCACCACCAACATGGCGTCACCCTTCGAGATCCCGCCGAAGCCCACCTCGCTCGGAGTCGCCCCAGCATCTCCAACTCCTCTCTAACGGAGGAACAAAATATTTACGACCCCTCCCGATCCGCCTCGTCCTACAGTCTCGATGATCTCCTCACCACCCAACCCGCATCCGCCGAGGCCAATCTCGGGCTGTTGTCCCCGTTCGCAACGCCCCCGACCTACCAGGCCAACCCAAACCCAGAGCTGGCAGCTGGCTCGCCGCTTCTGACCACGGGCGCTGATTGGCAGAATGAAGGCTGGCGCAGCAGTCAGGTCTTCAATCCCGGAAAATTGCAACGATCAGGCACGCGAAAGATCAGACTGGTGCGCGGTTCGGTTCTGAGCGTGGATTATCCTGTGCCGAGCGCGATCCAAAATTCAATTCAGCCGATTTACCGAGATGCAGAAGACGCATTTCCCGAGGAGTTCACCCACATGAGATGTGTGTACTACATACCCCGGCAGGGATTCCCGGCCTTTCGCGGTCTGTTCTGCTCGGAGAAATTATTGATTACTGACCATTGGTAACTAGATACGGCCGCGACGTGCGATCCGGACGAGTTCACCTTGCGCAATGGCTACAATCTGCGACCGGCCATGTATAACCGCCATACGGAGCTCCTTATCGCAATCACCTATTACAATGAGGACAAAGTGCTCACGGCCCGAACCTTGCATGGCGTCATGCAGAATGTAAGGGACATTGTCAACATCAAGAAGTCGGAGTTTTGGAATAAGGGAGGCCCGGCCTGGCAGAAGATCGTCGTCTGTCTGGTCTTCGATGGGATTGACCCGTGCGATAAGCCTACCCTCGATGTGCTGGCCACAGTTGGAATCTACCAGGAGAATGTGATGAAGCGCGATGTTGATGGCCGGGAGACCACGGCTCACATCTTCGAGTACACGACCCAGCTGTCCGTCACCCCATCTCAGCAGCTTATCCGCCCGGGCTATAGCGACGACAAGGAATTCCCGCCGGTGCAAATGATCTTTTGCCTCAAACAGAAAAACAGCAAGAAGATCAACTCCCACCGATGGCTGTTCAATGCGTTCAGCCGCATCCTCAACCCGGAGGTCTGCATCCTGATCGACGCGGGAACGAAACCCGGCCCCAAGTCTCTACTCGCCCTATGGGAGGCCTTCTATAACGACAAGAACCTAGGGGGTGCTTGCGGTGAAATCCATGCGATGCTGGGCCCCCGATGGGAGAAGGTGTTGAACCCGATCGTTGCGGCGCAGAACTTCGAATACAAGATCTCTAATATTCTGGACAAACCGCTGGAGAGCTCTTTTGGCTACGTGAGTGTTCTGCCAGGAGCGTTCTCTGCTTATCGCTATCGCGCGATCATGGGTAGACCGCTGGAGCAATATTTCCACGGTGACCATACCCTATCGAAGAAGCTTGGCAAGAAAGGTATTGAAGGGATGAACATCTTCAAGAAAAACATGTTCTTAGCCGAAGACCGCATTCTCTGCTTCGAGCTTGTCGCTAAAGCTGGGTTTAAATGGCACCTTTCTTACGTGAAGGCCTCCAAGGCTGAAACTGATGTCCCCGAACGCGCCCCCGAGTTCATCAGTCAACGACGCCGCTGGCTGAACGGGTCCTTCGCGGCCGGGTTATACGCGATGATGCATTTTGGACGAATTTATAAAAGTAGCCACAGTCTGCCGCGCATGTTTTTCTTGCATATTCAAGCGATCTACACGTTTTGCAATACCGTTATGAGTTGGTTTTCGTTATCTTCCTACTGGCTCACCACCTCGGTCATCATGAACCTGGTGGGGACGCCCAGCGCATCGAACAAAAACAAGGGCTGGCCGTTTGGAAACACGGTGACCCCGAAGCTCAATACCGTCCTTCAGTACGGGTACTTGGGATTTCTTGCGCTTCAGTTCATTCTCGCTCTGGGCAATCGACCCAAAGGGTAAGCCCCCTCCCAGTCTCCCCCCTCACCTAATCCACACATCTAACCACCCCCCTCCAGCGCAAAACTATCCTACACAGCCTCCTTCATCTACTTTGCCATCGTGCAAGTATACGTCCTCGTCCTATCCTTCTACCTCGTCTCTCGCGCGTTCACCGGCGGCAACCTCGACTTCGACCTTGACCACGGCGTTGGGGCCTTCCTTGCCTCCTTCTTCTCCTCCGCCTCGGCCGGAATTGTCCTCGTCGCCCTCGTCTCCACCTATGGCATCTACTGGATCGCTAGTCTCCTCTACATGGACCCCTGGCACATGCTCACCTCTATCTGGGCGTACATGGCGGGCATGACATCATCGATCAACGTGCTGATGGTCTACGCCTTTTGCAACTGGCACGACGTCTCCTGGGGAACTAAGGGGTCCGATAAGTCCGACGCGCTGCCCTCCGCGCAGACCAAGACCCAGGGCAAGGAGCAGGAGCACTACATCGAGGAGGTGGACAAGTCGCAGGCTGATATCGACAGTCAGTTTGAGACGATCGTGAAGCGTGCGCTCGAGCCCTTCGTCGAGGAGGAGGAGGACGAGAGTCGCAGTCTGGATGATTCGTATAAAAGTTTCAGAACGAAGCTGGTCTTGTTGTGGACTTTTTCTAATGCCTTCCTGGCGATTTGTATTACGAGTGAGGGTGTTGATAAAATTGGGTTTACGGTATGTGCTACTTAACACCTCTCCTTCCAAACCCCCTCTCTTCCCTTCCCTCCCTCCTCTTCGATCAACTCAATTTTCCGTCCGAACCCTTGCTAATCATACTCATAGAATACTTCCACCGTCCGAACAAGCAACTACTTCCGCGCCATCCTCTGGGCCACGGCCGGCTTGTCCTTCTTCCGCTTCCTCGGCGCCCTGTATTTCCTCGCCAAGACGGGCGTCTTGTGTTGTATCTCCCGGCGCTAGAGCGACCTACCTACCTCCTTACATACATACATACACTCAATATCTACAGATGTATATCGTCTGCTGCAGATAATGGATGTCACGCCGAACATGAATGCAGCGAAGCGGGCCGGAGCAGAGCAGAACGGGGAGGATAGGATAGGATAGGATAAGTTACTGGATTAGAGACATTTCATTGTAGTATCTTTCTCTTTCTCTTTTTCCTTTTCTCCTTTATTTCTTTGGATGGATATGGATGAGTGGATAATGTTGTACATGATTGAAGTTGAAGCTGAGGTTTGATCTCTTTGAATAAGATGGAAGATGGAACCGGGGGTCTACATACATACATACATACATACTAAGCTTAATATCATAGTATCATAGCATCCTAGAATCACGGGTAAGCCCATCACATTATCCATCCCACAACAACTTCCTCAGAACATCTAGATGTATTTGGTGGTTGTGAGTGTGTATGGATAGTTCCCTCTTGCTGGCAGGAGGGTTACTTATCAATTGTGGTTCGAGCCCAGCGGCAGTAAAAAGGTCTTCTTTTTTGGTTCTTTTTTTTTTTTTTTTTTTTTTTTTTTTTTTTTTTGGACTTGCAGACCCATCTATCTGCAGTTTATCACCATCCCCCGTTTCTCTTGCTTGCTTGCCTGCGGATTTAATTTCAGTACGGGCTCCCGAAAGGGAGATGATAATAGATGATAATAGATGATAAAGAAAGCTAATATACCGAGTACCTACCTACTTCCCATATCCGTGTGGACTGGACGGGCTTTCGCTATTGGGTCTTGGGTCAGGGAGGGGCCTTGTGTATGTATAAGTAGGTAGTAGATCTACATGCTCCAGTCATGCATGCTAGGAGATTGATAAACAAGTGAATCAACCTTCCCTCTACAAGAAAATAATACTTTAGTGAGTGAAATAAGCCGAATCGCTTCATGGGGTGTTTGTTTGCAGTTCGTCAAGCTAAAGTACCAAAGAAGTAGTAAGGTAATAAGTTACTAGAAGATATATCATCCCATACCATCCATCCATCCATCCATACATAGCATAGCGGCCAAGAGCGATAGATAGAGAGATGATCATCTAGGTATGGAAATAAATAACATGCCCAAGACCGATGGACAGATCTGATCTAGTCCTCCTCGATCTCGCCCTCCTCGCTGCCCGAGTGGACAGCCTTCTCCTCCTTGGTGTCCTCGACGGCGGGGGGCGTCCGCTCGCGACGGTCCCTGTCCTTGCGAGCCGCTCGACTGCTCTCTCGCTCCCGACTGTCACGGCGGTGCCGCTTCGCGGACCGGCTGGCCACGCTCTCGGTATCGCTGTCGCGGCGGCGACGACGGTCATTGCTGGTGGTGCTTCGGGTGTCGCCGCCGTAGTCGAGTTCGTCGCGGTTGCCGCGGGGGTCTCCGCGCGTGCGGTAGAGGCGTTCGCGCTCCTCTTCGCGCCCGCGGCGCTCGCGCTCGTAGTGGCTGACGGAGCGGGTGCTGCGTTCTCGGTCCCAGTCCCGATCGCGTTCACGTTCACGTTCGCGTTCGCGGTCCCGATCCCGCTCGCGCTCCCGGTAGCGGTCTGTGTCTCGTTCGCGGACGGGCGACAGGCCGCTGGCTTTGCGGTAGGACCGTTCGCGGTCGGCCATGGCTTTGCGGCGGTCGGCTTCGTAGGCGTCGGGCTCGGGGGTGCGACTCTGGCGGCTGGAGGCGCCGCGCCGCTCGCCGCGGTAGGACGGCCCGCTGCGGTGGTCCCGGTCCCGGTCGTGGTGGCCACGGCGACTGCCGCGGTCTCGGTCGCGGGCGTCGCGGTCTTTCTCCGCATCTTCTTCCTTCTCCTTGAGGCGTCGGATGACCTTGTCGAAGGCTGCCTCCCGCGCCTCGTCGGACTCCAGGGACTTGTACTCGTCAAATCGTTCGATCTTGGGCCGCACCTGTTCCCAGGTGTCGGTGGCGCGGATGGGGGGGTCCAGACGCTTGATGCGGGAGCGTAGGGCATCGATGGCGCGACGCTGATGGCGATCTGCTGCGTACTTTTCTTCCTCGCTCCGTCGGACTGCCTTCTCTTGGACGCGGTGGAAGATCAGCTCCAGGATTTCGGGGTCAATGTTGGCCGTGCGGCGGTCGCCCGACACAACTGCGCTGAACTCCTCCAGGGTGGTCTTGGGTGTAACTTCGAAGCGTTTGTCCTAGGAAGGAATTAGTGGAGATTGAGAGGAAGGATTTGGGTTACTCACATCAAGTACGTCCAAGACATCGTTGCGCGGACCGCGCAATGACCGCTCCTCCTCCTCGACGATGTCCCACAGGAGATCCAGGGGTGATGATCCCGAGTTACCGAGGATCCCAAGATACCGGGGGTCTTCGTTGATCAACGGGTAGATATTCATCCACTTGCTGCCCGCCTTGATCTTGCCCTGAGACCGAAGCTCCTTCAAAAGATCGATGAATTGCTCACGGGCATGGCGCTCCTTCCTTGCCTTGGCGGCCTTCTGCTGCTGGCGCGCATCGTTGAAAGCCCGCTCGAGCGACTTGATGTGATTTTCAAAGGCGGTCAGGATGTCGGACTTGCTCAAGCTTCGGAACTTGTCATCGCTCTGGACCTTGTCATTGGACTGGATGATGGCGTGCGCCTCGGCCCAGCGGGTGTAGGGTTCCAGGTTCAGGGAGTTCAAGATAGTCACCAGCTCATCCATGGCGGCCTTGCGCTTCACCGCTTCTTCTTCGACGTGCCCCTTCTTCAGCTCGATGATGTACTCCTCGAAGAGCTGGCGTCTCTCGCCCTCATCGTCGGTGGACCGGAAGATCGTTTCGCCCTCGATGATCGGCCGGATGGTCCTCCAGCGGCTGTAGTGCTTGATTTCAGGGTGCCGCTTCAGCATGGTGTTGAAATCTGCTCTGAGCTTAGCGAATCTTTCTTTCGCCCGGTCCTTTTCCTGCATGCGAACCTCGACCGCATATTTCTCAAATGCTGCCTTGCGGTCTCTGGGGTCTTTCAGGGCCCGATACTGGGGGTCCTTGATGGTCTCGCGCATGGTCTGCTCCCAGGTCCAGTCGGGCAGCACGTTATGGCGTTTCAGCATCTTCATAAACGCGCCTTCCGCCTCTTCGAGGGAGCCGTACTCGGGTTCCTGTGCGCCTAGCATGGGAGCCGCCATGCCGTTGGAGTCCATCCCGCCATAGCCTCCCCGTCGGTCGTTGTAGCCTCGATCGAAGTCGTCGCGGTCGCGGTCACGGTCGCGGTCACGGTCACGGTCACGGTGCTGGGGGTAAGAGGGAAACGAGCTGACGCCACCGGCAACAAAAGTCGGAGCCCTGGGATATGTTAGCCTAGCTGGCGCGGGAAGCAGGACAGTATGACTTACGGCATAGAAGGGGGTTGAGCCGTTTGAGCCTGTGCCAGAGCATTTTTGTAAACATCTGGCATCTCCCAAGTGCTTTGCTTGGTTTCAGTGTTGTACCAGTATTTCCGACCCCCCTCAGCAGTGTACTCCTTGAATGGCTGGTTTGCCAACGCGCGCTAAAACAAGACATGCTCATCAGTATGTGAGAGCAGACAGCTGAGCCAGCGACCAGCGACCGGCGACCGGCGACCGGCAACTTACCTCGACGGGCGTCATCATCTCGACGGGCTTGGCCCATTGGGTCGCCTTGGTTTGGACATTGTAGTAGTAGACTCGACCCTCGGCGTTGCGGGCCTCCTGCCACAGGGGAGCAGCTACAGGCGGGCCGTTCATGGGATTCATCGTGTCGATGCAGAACTGCCACGGCGAGACAGGCAGCAGTTGGGATGCGATGGAAGAAGGCGGAAAAAGTAGCGTTGGAAGAAGCTCGCCGGCGATGTTCCTGCGCTAGAGCTGTTTGCCGTGTTTGCACCGTCCCTGTAACAATACATACTATACATACAGTTACTTACAAGCAGTGAGGGTGAGACACTCCACCGGCCTCTTAATTAGAATGCGCCGAGGGGTTCGCGTCGCTTCTTCTACTTCCCAGCTTCCTTCTTCTATCCTTGCCCCCCCCCCATCCTACTCCCTCTCCCCCTCCTCATCTCTCCCACTCTTACCACGCTCTCTTTCTCATCCTCACTCCCCGCGGAGCATGCGGCTGTTGCTCTCGCCATGCCGAGTCTCGACATCCCCGGGGAATTCCTCCGGCATGCTGTTCTAGATACCGTGGTCCCGCATGCTTCAGATGTCGACCTCGAAGCCGCGCTGACGTCCGCGCTGGAAGGCGGCGCCGACAACCTCACCGCGGTGCTCTCGCATATTCCGCAGCGCTCGCTACTGTTCTTTGGTACGCCATGACCTGTCAGCTCGCCGAGCTCTTCTCTTACTCATCGACAGCCGCATACAGATGAGTTCTGCGCCGCTCGCATCGTCTTGCGCCTCTCCAATTGCTCGCCCTCGAGCTTGAAACACCACCTCCCTCATCTCGAGATCCGTCTAGACGCCTTCGCCATTGACCCCGCTGAGACTGTCGGCGAGAATCCCACCCCGACGAGAGATCTGGTCTTTTCAGGGGTCATCAGCTCCCAGGAGCCGCTAGTGGTGGTGAACGAGTTCGAAGGGGACGCCGGTGGCGGGAATCATGTATACGTGATCTGGAGCATCGAGGCCTTTCTTAGTACGCTGCCGCCTATGTTCTGCATCCAAATGTGTTAATAAGTCCCAGAGCGCCCCCGCATACGGATCCAACACCCGTCGCTCCTCTTCATCGCCGCCGCTAGCCTCAACCCAGCCAACTCGCGACAGCCAGGGTCGCGTGGCGACGACTACCTCCCGCCTCTAATCCCTGCGTCGACCAACATCCTACAGCCCTTCTCGTCCGACAAATCCCTGAACCAAAAAGATCCCTTCCTCCCTGCGTCCCGCCTGCTGCGCGTGGTCCCCGCGAAACACAGCGAAGACCCCATCTACAATGTCCAGCAGCATTCCGGGCACCCGATCCGCGTGGTTCCTGCCGCCAGTGCTAGGATCCGCTATTCTCGACTGAACGCCTATAGCGGACGGCCTACGACGGTCGCGAGTCTGGATTTTGAGGTGACGCCGTTCCTCAATTGCGATGTCACGTTCGATAAGGCCGAGCTCAGTATGTCGGACGGGACCATCGAAACCCTCTCGGCCGCGACGGGGCTTGTCCCGCCCATCCGATGCCTCCCCCGGGATGATATTACACTCGTCTACAAGCTGACACCGGACTATGGTCCAGGCGCCAATCCCTCCACCACGGTGATGGTTAGTGTGCTAGATATCTCGTTGGAGGCGGTCATCCACCTGGCAGACAATTGCAACCCGCGGATCCTGATGCAGTGGCGGACCAATGTCGACTTTTCGATGGTGCTCAACCCCACCTACGGGGGACCGAGTCAGGCTTTGCAACGAAACAACCGCCCGGCCAGTCTTCCTATGACCCCGAGCCAGAGCAACGTGGCGGGCGGGCTTCCACCAAACCGAAGCTCCCTGCGCGAGAGAGCGTATTCGACCACGGACCTTGGGGTGTCCGTTTCATTCACCGGCCCTCCGCGGGTGGAAGTCGGGAAACCCTTTTCCTGGGGCGTCTTCATCGTGAATCGGTCCTCCGCGTCGCGCAAGTTCTCCATGGTGGCCATCCCTCGTCGGAAGCGGCCGGATCTCCGGGGGCATACCGCCCGACCGTCGTCTTCGTCAATGGCGAGGCGTCGAGAATCCCAGGTGGCCGAAGCGGTGACGGACGATAACATCATTCATGCCCTGCAGAAGAGTGTGGCCGGCCAGGAAGCCGAGCTCGTGTCTTTGAGTACCGATGTCCGGGCTGGGTGAGTGCTGCGCTGTTTCTTTCTTTGTCCTCTTCACTAACCTGTTCAGTCCCCTTTTGCCGGGCACCTGCTTTTCGACTGAGTTGAAGCTGCTTCCGTTGGCGGTTGGGGCGCTCCGGCTGGAAGCGGTGCGTCTGGTGGACGTGAATACGAACGAAACGATTGACATCAAAGATCTCCCGGATATCCATTCCTTCGATCGGAAGGGGACGCCGACAGAGGCATCCGTTTGAGAAGTGAGAAAATAGCTGTTATGATTGATCCAATGCCGCCTACGATACAAATCCATAGATATGGCTGTTTTGATGACTGGGGAGGATTCAGGGTGGACGTATATACGCCGTACGAGACATCAATGCATAAACTCTTAATCTCCACAGTCCAGTCCAGACGCCCGGTGGGTAACCCGCACCCGCGCGGTGGACCGGAGTGTACCGTAGTGTACCGTAGTTGGCCAGGAGTCATTCATCCAATGCAACTGCAACGGCAACTGCAACTGCAAATGCAACGGCAGAGTTTGCAATGATCAATATGCAATAATGCGCCAGTGTCTATCTAGAAGTAATGCAATAAAGCGGCCAGAGGAGGGGCGGCAAACCCTAAGGGCGGCGACAGGCGGAGAAGGCGCATGGTCACGCGAGCGGATTGGCTGGCGGGCGGCCACAGGATGACATGACTGCTGCTCCTGCTGCCTCTTCTTCATCTTCCTCATCTTCACTACCTCAGCCTGCTGCTGCTGCTGCTGCTGCTGAAGGGGCCCTTTGTCGCTGGACGATCCTCTTTCATCCATCCCCGTCATCCCGACCCCGACACATCGCCTTTCAAACCGACCCAACTGTGGTGGGCATCCGCCAGAGCCCCCGACCCGTCGCCTGTGCGCCCTGCCGGCCTGTCCTTTGCGTCATCCAGTCGCCGAAACCGCCAACCGGGCTTTCTTGGCCTCGCCTTCGCCTTCGACGGTCTCCCTCCCTCCCTGCTTGCCTGCCCTCCCATCCTCGTCCCATCACCCCGTTCCGCCCCCCTGGCTTCGCCATGTTCTCTACTGGCCGTCGACGCATTCTAGATGGACTCAATCGGAGGTACATCTACGGCCGTCTGGTATGTGAAACCAAGACTTGATCCTGCCACTCCCCGGCCCTCTCTTATCTGTCCATCCGTCGTCAAAAGTACTTTTCTTTTTTTCTCCCTCATCTCCGGTGTTCCAGACCACCACTGACTTTGACCCTCCCTTCGTGCTTTGCTTTACTTTAGCCATTGCTCCACGCCATCATCTTCCTGATCGAGATGGCGGCTGCAATGCGGCTTGCCGCTAAGTTTAACTCCTACTATGCGGAGAAACCGGGTATGTTGGATCGAATCAACCCCTTTTATTGAGTTACTGGGGGGTAGCTAATGGGATGGGTTCTTCGCCTCTAGTCCTGACTACGATGGTCACCAACGCGGTAAGCGCTGTCTACATTCTTGAGTGATTTGGGGATACCGTCGATTGACTGGACGGCGTGGTAGATTCTCGGTGGCATCGCAGACACGGTGGCACAGTTGATCACGGCCGTCAGGGCGAGTGCCGGACGCAGGCCCCCGGATGGTGGAGACCTCATCTCGATTGAGATTCACGAGCTTGACAAGAAGAAACCGCCTGCTCTGGGTGAGCTGGGCCTTGCGAGACAGCTGGTGTCGCCGTTCGATTTCGAGCGCCTGACTCGCTTCATGTCGTATGGCTTCTTCATGGCGCCGGTTCAGTTCCACTGGTTTGGGTTCCTGTCTCGCACGTTCCCGCTCACTAAGAAGGCCCCGTCCATCCCGGCCCTGAAGAGGGTGGCCGTGGATCAGCTCATGTTCGCTCCGTTCGGTAAGGAGTCATTCGACCGGAATTGGGGGGTGTCGCTAACGGTCTCCAGGCCTGGCTTGCTTCTTCACGTTCATGACGGTGGCCGAGGGTGGTGGCAGGAGAGCGTTGACGCGCAAGTTCCAGGACGTCTACCTCCCCACTCTCAAGGCCAACTTTGTGCTGTGGCCGGCTGTTCAGATCCTGAACTTCCGCGTCGTGCCTATCCAGTTCCAGATTGTAAGTCCCTGGCCGAGAATGAACCCTCTACGCGCAATACATGCTAACATGGCTAGCCGTTCGTGTCGTCTATCGGTATCGCCTGGACCGCGTATCTGTCGCTGACCAATTCGTCGGAGGAGGAGTAAGGGTCACCGGGCCCGTTGGTTCTCAAAAGGTGTTCTGTCATTGCGTCGCTCATTTCTGTACCTGTCGTTCCTTATCTGGCTGCGTTGTGTATGCTTACCGGGCGTTGTACATGTGCTTCTGGGACTTGGTATTCTTCCTCTATGGGTGTCTGGATCATCTTCGCGTGGTTACCGGAGTCATTGCGTTCGTTCCTTATTGATAAACCATGTCGACAGAGAATACACCGTGTTTCGGGTTAGTGACTGAGGGTCTTGACTCCTGATCCTGTGCTAGAGTACTCCGTACGTAGGCGGGGCATCGGTAAGACAGACCGACCCGATGGTCCAGCTGGACGAGAAGACCCGGAAGGTGGGCTGATAGAGATCCGAGGCTATGGGGAGAGCGGGCTGATGTTCACCCCTGAGGCCGGGGGGTTCCGCGGGCAGCGGCCGGCAGAGTGACATCAGTCCCGCAACAGCCCGAGTGTCTCTGGCTGCCAGTCTGGCCGAGTGAGTCTCACCGGCTGCCCCACCAGTCGTGACCAGCCCCAAAACAATCCACCGCCCGCTACCCCGCCGCTGCCCTCACCGTCGTCCTATTAAGTAGGCATTTTTCCAATTGCTTCTCTCTCTCTCATTCTCTCAATCCTCCCCATCACCCTCCCCATCACCCCCTCAATCCCCCATCCACCATGTCTCTCAGCAACAAGCTCCCCATCACCGAGGTCGACCTCAAGGACAAGCGTGTCTTGATCCGGGTATGTCCCCTCTCCGGAGCTTGAATAAACCCCCCCCTCCACCACTCTCCATCCACCAAGCTAACAAACAACACCAGGTCGACTTCAACGTCCCCCTCAACGCCGAGAAGCAGATCACCAACAACCAGCGTATCGTCGGTGCCCTCCCCACCATCAAGTACGCCATCGACAATGGCGCCAAGGCCGTTGTCCTGATGTCCCACCTGGGCCGTCCCGACGGCAAGAAGAACCCCAAGTACAGCCTGAAGCCCGTGGTTGCCGAGCTTGAGAAGCTCCTCGGCCGCAGCGTCATCTTCACCGAGGACTGCGTCGGCCCCGAGGTCGAGGAGACCGTCAACAAGGCCTCCGGTGGCCAGGTCGTTCTGCTGGAGAACCTGCGCTTCCACGCCGAGGAGGAGGGCAGCTCCAAGGATGCCGAGGGCAAGAAGGTCAAGGCCGACAAGGACCAGGTCGCTGAGTTCCGCAAGGGTCTGACTGCCCTTGGTGATGTGTACATCAGTAAGCCCTCTTTTTACCATCAATCATAACTATATACTAACCAACATGCAGACGACGCTTTCGGCACCGCCCACCGCGCCCACTCCTCGATGGTCGGCGTGGACCTCCCCCAGAAGGCCTCCGGCTTCCTGGTGAAGAAGGAGCTCGAATACTTCGCCAAGGCTCTCGAGAGCCCCCAGCGCCCCTTCCTGGCCATCCTCGGTGGCGCCAAGGTGTCCGACAAGATCCAGCTGATCGACAACCTTCTCCCCAAGGTCAACAGCCTGATCATCACCGGAGCCATGGCTTTCACCTTCAAGAAGACGCTCGAGGGCGTGAAGATCGGGAACAGCCTGTTCGACGAGGCCGGCAGCAAGATCGTCGGCGAGGTCGTCGAGAAGGCCAAGAAGCACAACGTCAAGATCGTCCTGCCCGTCGACTACATCACTGCCGACAAGTTTTCCGCCGATGCCACCACCGGCACCGCCACTGACGCCGAGGGCATCCCCGACGGCTACATGGGTCTGGACGTCGGTGAGAAGTCCGTCGAGCTCTACAAGGAGACCATCGCCGAGGCCAAGACCATCCTCTGGAACGGTCCCCCGGGCGTCTTCGAGCTCGAGCCCTTCGCCAACGGCACCAAGAAGACCCTCGATGCTGTCGTCCAGGCTGCCCAGAACGGCACCATCGTCATCATCGGTGGCGGTGACACCGCTACCGTTGCCGCTAAGTACGGCGTCGAGGATAAGCTCAGCCACGTCTCCACTGGTGGCGGTGCCTCCCTCGAGCTCCTCGAGGGTAAGGACCTCCCCGGTGTTTCCGCCCTGTCCAGTAAGTAAATCTGAAAAATATCATCTCCCGTGATTCGGGCGTTTTCCCTCGCGTCCTATATTATACCATATGAAAAGGACTGGCCGCCGTCCCGGGTTAGGATTTGATTTGAACAAGAGGCCTTGTAGATACCGTTCTGCGTCCGTCTGTCCGTCTGTCTGTTAGATAGATAGATAGACGCGTGGGACCTATCTATCTACATATCTCAACGAATGTAATGTACCAGGATGAATGAAATAATAATCAATCAAGATGCGCTTTCCATTTTCCAACTCATGTTTTCTGTTCCTGCTCAATCCTCTGTTCAACTTCCACTTCAATATACACAACGCAAGCCTGGCAGAATACCTCCTGATGTAATCGCGAATTAGGAATAGAGATGGGTCCGAAACTGTGACATGGCTTGGCTTCCTGGCTTGTGTGTGTACCCATCCTACTTAGGCATTGCATTCCACCGTGTACATGTGTTAGATAGGTTGAGTTGGTGGGGTAGTCTGCAGTCTGTAGTGTGGTATGATATATGATATAATAGAATGAGATGAGAATATGGAGTAGATGACACGGATAAATGTTCAGGCTGGAATCCTTCTTGATGACTTTGCTGGTTGATTGGCTGGCCTGTAGATGGGTGGGTGGGTAGGGAGATGAGTAGGTAGGTAGGTAGGTAGGTAGTAGGTAGGTAGGTAGGTGGTGGTGGCGGTAAGAACCCCTTCCGCACGCTTGTATCCATCATCTATCCATCCATTTAGTTATCCATTCGTCGTACAGATCTGTCATCCCGCACATACGCAGACATAGTCCATCCGATAGATAGATAAAAAGACAGACAGACAGACAGACAGACAGACAGATGGCCCCTCTTGTATGTATAGCATAGCATAGCATAGCATAGCATAGCATAGCACACAGCACACCCACTCACACCCCTCAACCACCACCCAGCCATCCACCCAACCCAACAAATCAAATAAACTCTTCTCTCATTTGGCCTGGCCTGGTTTGATCTGACTTGACTGATTGATTGATTGAACTGTTTGTAACTGGATTCATTTCATTTCGACATCTACCCTTGTTTCTTTTCATTCATTCTTCCTTCTTTCTCTTTCTCTTCCTTTCTCTCTGTTCCTTTCTCTTTATTTATCGAGCACCGCCATACCTCATACCCCATACCATATACCACATACACATAATAAAGCCGTAGTGTAAGCGCAATCGTATCCGACACCCCGGGCATTCGTTCGCGCGCGCGTTCATCTCATCCGTTCATCCGCTCATCCGCTCATCCGCATGTAACATTTAACATAAACCGACCCGACCGGACAAAAGCATTAGTTGATTGGTTGGTTGATTGATTGAGGGTGATTAATGGGAAGCTTCGACTTTTTTGAGTTCTTCTCTGTAGATAGATAAATATGTATGTTAGTTTTATGGCATCGCGGGGTTGATGGGGACAGGGTAAAACAGGATAGATGGGTTGGAAGGGAGGGGTGTGTCAGTAGGTAGGTAGGTAGGTGGGTAGGTATTGTTTGAGTGGTGGGCATAGATAGGTAAATGGTTTCATACTCCGATGGCAACACGGGTGAATGGATGGATGGGTGCAGGGGTAGGTAGACGGGTAGATAGACATGTAGATCGAAGGAAAAGATAAGAAGTGGGATATAGCAGAGGCAAAACAGAGACGAAAATAGAGATGGGGGAAACGCACTTCAACTGCTTCGAGAAATCCTCCGCGGCATCATCGTCATCCCAGCTCTCCTCCCACAGGTGGTTGTTGGTGCCGTTGGCAGCGGCAGCGCCCTGCTCGGTTTCTTCTTGCGGCCAGTCTGATGGGGATGTCAGCGCATATTCGTGTCCTCCTCCGTCGGCTTCAGCTTGGCGGGATAGCCATCTATTTGTCTCCCACCACCTGCCTGCCCGACTAGCTAGATAGCTAGATGGGTAGCAGGTAGCAGGTAGCAGGTAGCAGGTAGCTGGCACTGAGTCTAACCTTCAACAGGGAAATCCTCAAACTCGTCGTCCTCCTCCAGAACCGGAGGCTTCTGTGGTTGGGGCTGCTGGGTGGGTTCGGCCTTGTTGTCGGAGGTCTGGGAGGGATTCGACATGGTGGGTGGTTGTTGTGGTGATGGCGGGGAGGGGAGGGAGGAGGGGACAGGTGGCTTGGAGGAGGAGGGCGAGAGAGACGAAAGAGGAGAGGGGGGAGGAGTAGAGGACGCAGGGGGGGAAATTGACAGGTCTGACGATTGCAAGTGGCGGTGGTGAGGAGTGAGGAGATGTGAATGATGAGTGACGGCGGCGGTCGGTCGGTCGGTCAATCGGGCACAGCAGAGGCCGGCCGCAATTAGCTCAGCACCTCCAAAACCAACTACGACATCTCCTCTTTCAGTCCCATCTTCGGACCCCCCCGGATATCGTTGGCCCAGATCTAGATACTCTGCACTACTATAGCTCGCTACCCTAGCTAGTCCGCAGTCCGCAGTCCCAGCCCGCACTAACTCCCTCCCTAAATGGTTCGTGCCCGGGACTGTCTCGTTCGCGACGCTTCTCTTTGAGCCTTGATTGTTGGCTGCTGCTGTTGCTGTTGCTCCGCCTCGCCGCCGCAAGTGGATCGAGCCTGACCGTCTACCGATTATTGTCCTGCTTATAACGGCTGTCATCCGCTGCCTTCCCTTTTCCTTCCTATCGTCTCATTCTCACTCCCTTCCTCTCCCTCCCCCGTCTCTCTAGGGTATGTTCCCGGATCCCCGCCTCGCTCTCGGTGCGTCTCTGATGGGAGATTCGACTGGCCTCCCATTCCGTCTACCACTGCTATCGCTGGAGGGGCTCGTGGGAAATACTCCCTGATTTTGACTCTTTGCTGAAGCTTCAAATTCATCCTCTCTTTTTGTCTTACTGCTTGCTACCGCCAATACTGCGACCATGTTTCGAGTAGGCTCATGGCTCTATGGCAAAAAGCCCGCCTCCACCCAGTCTCTGGACTCTCTGTCCGAGCTGCGGGATCGTGAGTGGCCACCCTCTTCATCCTTCCGAAGCAATCAGGCTGACACATTTTCTCGCACCTCCAGTCGAGGATGCTATGAGGGGTACGTCTAATTCCCCTCCGTGATCGAACCCCCGCTCTTCCGGGGTCAGTGCTGGGCGTATGCTGACCGCACAGCCGCGACTCTGATCCTCAACGATGACGTCGATGGGGCGGAAGATGGCCTGTCCGAGGGGGTCTCCTCGTTCCACAATGTGTGTATTCTCTGTCGCAAGATGTGATGCTGGGTCCATGCTGATTCTCGACGTGGCCGGTGTTAGCTTGGCCGAGGTGTTGTGGCGTTCATCCGGGCCACGCTGGGGTTTGAGCAAGAAATCATGCGTCAGGGTGGGTAGTCTCCGGTTGGACCTCGACTTCGTGCTGATGTATGTCCTGCAGCCTCGGAGCGGCTCAATGCTGCCGAGACCAGCGCCGCCAATGACCAGCATCGCGCGCAGCACAACTCGCACGCTCCCAACTCATACCACTCGCAGATCTATGCCCCTGGCACTGAGTTTGCCCTCTGCCAGGCCATGGCACAGCTCATGAGCGCTGTCGTCGGCGTGCTGAACGAGAGCCTGACTGAGAGTATCAAGGGGTTCTACAAGCTGAGAAAGGCCTATATCACCCTGGACGCCATCCTGAAAATGGAGCAGAAGTTCATCCTGCAGGCCCAGGCCTCGGGGAACAGCACCTCCTCCGAGAGTTTGACCCGGGCGGCAGCACCCCGATCTGTCCCGGCCTCTCCCACCAAAGTCACCGGCAGCCTAGCCAAAGAGCTGTCCGACCTGTCGATTGCCACGGAATCCGAGGCATCCGACATGCTCCGGCACGACCCCGAGTCGGACATCTTCCAGAACCAGATTGACGTGTTCATTCACTCCGGGGCCAATTTCTGCTTCGGGATCCTGCTGCTCCTGATCTCCATGGTGCCGCCAGCCTTCAGCAAGCTGCTGGGCATCATCGGCTTCCACGGGGACAAGGAGCGCGGGCTGCGCATGCTGTGGCAGGCGAGCAAGTTCCACAACCTGATCGGGGCGCTCTCGGCGTTTGCCATTTTGGGGTACTCCAACGGCTTTGTGCGCTACTGCGACATCATGACCGACCCGGTCCCGGGCGACGACGTGCAAGGATACCCGCAAGAACGGCTCGAGGCGCTACTGGCGTTGATGCGGAAGCGTTTCCCCAAGAGCCAGCTGTGGCTGCTGGAGGAGTCGCGGATGAACGGGGCGAACAAGAAACTGGACGTGGCGCTGGAGCTGCTGTGCGGGGAAGACCGCAGTCCGCTCAAGCAGGTTGAGGCCCTGCGCGTGTTCGAGCGGAGCCTGAACGCCATGTACCTGCACAAGTACGAGCTCTGCGCGGAGTCTTTCATCGAGGTAAGCCGAGCTATACCACTTACCAGATAAATGCAAGCTAAACGTCGCAGTGCGTTGACCTGAACTCATGGTCGCGATCCCTCTACTACTACATCGCGGGATCCTCCCATCTCAGCCTGTATCGCAGCGTCGCCAAAACCGACCCCAAGGCGGCGGCAGAACATGCAGAGAAGGCGACGGAATACCTGCGGATGGCGCCGCCGCTGGCCGGGAAGAAAAAGTTCATGGCGCGGCAGCTGCCGTTCGACGTGTTCGTGTCACGCAAGATAGCCAAGTGGGAGGCGCGGGCGAAGGAGTGGAAGGTGCCACTGGTGGAGGCGGTCGGGGTGGACCCGATCGAGGAGATGATCTTCTTCTGGAACGGACACAGCCGGATGACTCAGGCGCAGCTGGAAGAGTCCATGGCCAAGCTGGCGTGGTCGGAGAGTGAGGCCAACACGACGTGGGCGCGGGAAGGGCGCGAGGAGAAGGCGATCCTGCAGATTCTGCGGGCGGCAGTTCTGCGCGCGATGCGGCGGCACGAGGAGGCCAAGGCGATGATCCGCACCAGCATCTTCAGCCAGGACAAGGCGCAATTCACGGGCCACCTCAAGGACGACTGGATCTACCCGGTGGCACACTTCGAGATGGCGGCCAACCTGTGGATGGAGCGGGCGACGTACTGCGCGGTGCACGGGAAGGTGTCCTCATCACCAAGCATTTTCGAGACACCCGACAAAACAGACAAAAACCAGACACCCGAGACGCTGGAACGGCGGCAGGTGCGCGAATGCAAAGAGCACCTGGAGAAGGCGGCCAAGTGGGAGAGCTACGAGCTAGACGCGCGGGTTGGGCTGAAGGTGACGGCCGCGCTGGAGGCTGTGGAGAAGTGGGAAGCGACGCACGCGGACGAGTAAAATGATGGATCATGACGCTGTACAGTTACCGCTGGTTTGCAGATTACGAAGGGATAGAGGAGCAATTGATTTTATGATGTACCTTAACGAATACATAACATGGCCCTGAAGCTTATCCAGTTTCCTGGATCGATGAGTATAGAATTGAATGGACCATATGAATTCCCCATGTCCCTCATACTAATCAACCACTGTAACTCACCTGTGCCAGACTGAATTACAATCCAGGGCACTCGGATACATGCCCTAGCCGCGGTCGGATACTTCCACTTTCACTTCCCAGAAGACCAACAGCAGCCAGCAGCCACAGCCAACAGCGATGTCTACACCGCTGCATAGAACTATAGATAGTGTGGGCTGCAGTAGGGCTGACCAGCAAACCATCTCGCCCTACATACTCACATACATACCTACATACCCACATGGTAGAAGTATCTGTGACTCGGCCGATGCAGATGTAGCGAATCGTCTAGACCGGGCTATCTATCACCTACTTGCTCACCTACTCACTCAGTCACACCGCTTCTATCTGCAGCGCAGGACAGCGCGCAAGCATGAGTGCAAGTGCAACACTGCAGACGCAGCCAGTACCCGGGTACCAACCAGTACTGTATATAGATTTATAGATAGATAGAGCAGAATCGAGTCGACTCGAGTCCAGACTCACCCATCCAACCCAGCCAACCAACCAACCAACCCACTCTTGATATCAAGCCTTGTAAGCAGTGTAGCCAAGCCTTACACTCCACCGGACCGATAACGGCCCAACAGGAATACGGGAAAGGGAACGGTGCTCATTCTGATTGGCGTTGGCGGTGGTTGGCAGTAGCAGGCGAGTGGCGATCGCCCGTCGGATAAATGTCCGGAGTTCGAGGTTGTGTCACCGGCGCATCGGATGCATCCGTACCTGATTTTGTCACACTTCCTTACACTCTCATACTTTACTGTGGATGTGAGATAGATAGACAGACCTGTATATACTACTTACTGTATGTACTGGCTGGCAGTAACGAATTGGATAGAAAAAGAGAGAGAGAGAGGGAGAGAGGGAGCGAAACCGGATATGATCCCTCGCGCAGAAGAACTGCCCTGCCCTGATTAAAATCCCTTGACGTCGATCGTCACTGTCACGATCGGAGGTCCGAACCGATGACGCTGCCCTTCCGCCGGATAAGACGGCTGCCGCTTTGCTTAAAAGATCCTGGCTGCCCATGACTGTCAACTACTACTATTTAGGTCACTGTTATTCTTGCTTCATCCTGTGTGTCGTGTGCTGTATATAGCATTCAGAACTGTCCACATTTATTGTCTGCTGCTTGTTACTTACTTATTGCGCTGTTGCGCTGGCATCTGTCTAATTGCTAACTATCTATCATACTTCCACCCTCGGCACGAGGATCGGAGATAACTGGAGATTTTCTTTTTTCTTTTTTTTTTCTTTCTCTCTTTTTACTACGCATATGCGCCGGAGTCTGCGCAAAGAGCACTTCTATTCTTATAATTAGATCTTGCTCGCTGCTTGAATCTCTGCAATATATATTGGGAATTCCTCAAGAGCACACGCCACATTCCCATTCTCTCCTCCCGGAGCAGAAAAGCGCAGAATGGCCGACACCCACCATCCCTCGCATTCTTCCTCCTCCCTCTCCTCGTCGCTCTCCTCCCACCACCACCATGATACCACCCACACACGCGACCACGCCGACCCCTCCACCCTCGAAAAACAATCCACCGCCGCCTCCGGCCTCTCCACCCTCGAGAACCGCGCCCAGAATGTCCTCTCGCGCATCCGCAGCCGCGAGCCCGGCCAGACCGCCCGCTTCACCCACCCGCTGTCGCATACCAAGACCTCCGAGGAGATGATCGTCGATTTCGATGGGCCCGATGATCCGTATAAGCCTATGAATTGGAGTTTTCGGAAGAAGGCCGTTACCACCGTGCTGTATGGGTTGACTACGATGGGTATGTTTGCCTTCTCTTCTGTTCGGTTCGGTTCTTGAGATGAGAGGTGTAGGTGTCATATGGATATGGATGGTGCTAATGGGTTCGCATAGGTGCTACTTGGGCCAGTTCGATGTATGTTCATTTTTAGATACTCTCTGCCTTTCTCCCTCGGGGAAGTGTTGTGTTAACATGCGCAGTTTCTCTACCGGCACTTCGCAGGTCGATGCCGAATTCCACGTGGGCGAGGAGGTCGGGACGTTAGGCACGGCCCTGCTGCTGTTCGGCTTTGGTATGCCTCTCTCTCTCTCTCTCTCTCACTGTATATCTTTATCTGAATACTAACGAATATAATCAGGCCTCGGCCCCCTGGTCTGGGCCCCCCTCTCCGAAGTCTACGGCCGCAAACCCGCCGTGCTGGCCCCCTACTTCATCGCCGGCATCTTCTCGTTCGGCACGGCCGCCGCCAAAGACCTGCAAACCGTCATGCTGACTCGGTTCTTCTGCGGCTTCTTCGGCTCCGCGCCGGTCACCAACACCGGCGGCGTGCTCAGCGACATCTGGACAGCGGAGCAACGCGGCGCCGCCATCGTGGGGTACGCCATGGCGGTCGTCGGAGGGCCGGTCCTGGGCCCCATCGTCGGCGGCGCCATCTGCCAGAGCTACCTCGGGTGGCGATGGACCGAATACCTCACCGGAATCATGATGATGTTCTTCTTGACCCTGGACGTAATCTTCCTCGACGAGAGCTACCCCGCCGTCCTCCTCGTGCACAAGGCGCAGCGCCTGCGCTTCGAAACCGGCAACTGGGCGCTCCACGCCCGCCACGAGGAATGGGACGTGACCTTCAAAGAGCTCGGCAACAAATACCTGATCCGGCCGTTCGCCCTCCTCTCCACGCCCATCTGCTTCCTCGTCGCGCTGTACGCCTCCTTCGTCTACGGAATCATCTACCTCAGTCTGGCCGCCTTCCCCATCGAATTCCAGCAAAACCGCGGCTGGAACCAGGTCGTCGGCGCGCTGCCCTTCCTCGGCTACCTGGTCGGCATCCTCTTCGGCGCCTGCATCAACCTCCTCAACCAGAAATTCTACATCGCCCGCTTCAAAGCAAACAACAACTTCCCCGTCCCCGAAGCCAGACTGCCCCCCATGATGCTCGGGTCGGTCGTCTTCGCCGCCGGCCTCTTCATCTTCGCTTGGACCAGTCCCCCGGATATTCCCTGGATCGCGCCCGTCATCGGCGCCGTGCTCATCGGGTTCGGCTTCTTCACGATCTTCCAGGCCGCGTTGAATTATCTTATCGATACCTTCCAGAAGGTGTCGGCGAGTGCGGTCGCCGCGAATACCTTCCTGAGGAGTCTGTTCGCAGGCTGTTTTCCGCTGTTCGCCAATATCATGTTCAATAAGCTCGGCGTGGATTGGGCGGCCAGTGTGTTGGGGTTTGTCGCTGTCGCGCTCATTCCTATCCCGTACTTGTTTTATGTCTACGGGAAGAGGATTAGGGCTAAGGGGAAGTGGTCTAGGGGGTCGGTTTATGGGTATTGATGCCTTGACCTCCTGGCTCCGTGACTGGCTGCTTACCGGACTGTGTCTGCCTGGCTGCCTGGATTCCTTCCTGCCTTTCTGCCTTCCTGCCTGCCCGCATACTCACTCACTACCACGCTAATTCAATCCTTTCGATCCTTCCTCTTTCTCTCCCGAAATCAACAGGAGAAATGAGTATGCTATCAGCCCCGCACACTCTTCTATCTCCAATCCCTCCCACCACGACTCAATCCCAGTGATTCAACATATTATACCCAACACCAAAAAGCCCAAACTCCAAACCCAACACCCCTCCCTTCTTCTCCCCTCCCCTCCCCTCCCTAAAGAGCGGACGGTCGGTATATACCCAAAAGCACACTCCATCCCATCCTGTCTTTCACTCTATCTTGTTATTTTGACTGTTATATTTATGTCTGGTTTTCTTGATTTTCTTGGGTTTACTGTTCGAGATACCTCATTCTTGTTTTTTGTGATTATGGAATGACTGATTGATTGATTGATTGATTGATTGATTGATTGATTACTCTCTGTTTTGGGTGCTATTTACTGTTTATTATTTACTTGGCTTGGTTTCTTTCTTGCTTGCTTGCTTACTGTTGTATCTTTTTCTGTTTCTTTGTCTTTTGCCTTTTTTTTTTTGTCTGTGGATTTGGATTGGGATGGGGATTCTTGCATAAGTATATATATACATAATATACATACATACATACGTTACATGTGTACATGCCTTTGTGCTTGTGCACTGCGTATGTATGTATGTATGTATGGACTGAACTGGACAGCATAACGCGGGGGATGACAGACATGATCAACATGATCAACCCAACTTGACATGACGCGACGGACCGAGCTATATGGCATGACAGTGAGCAAGCACATGGTGTATTTATTCCCCCCTATGCTTATGTTTATGTTCATATTGATGTTTATGTTTATGTTTATGTTTACATGATGATAGATAGTTTGATAGAGATAGAGATTATAGAACTAATATTCTTTTTTTTTTTATCAATGAAAATGATAGTCAACTAAACTGGATAAATAATCTTGTTGAGTGGAAGTATCTCCTACATACAACGAAAAGAAGAAATAAATATGAACAGACTGGTATGATTATGAACTTATAAACAGAGTAATTGATATCCACAGAACAAATGAATAATATCCAAGAATGAACAGAAATAATATCTAAAAGACAGGGCAATCTATACCCACACCAAACCAACAAGACCAAAAATGCAAAATGCAAAAAAAAACAATACCCAAACAGCATCAGATATATCCCAAAACAAAGATAATATGAACATCCCAAAACAAAGAAAGTGTCTAACTTCATAAACAAAATAACCATCTCAAAGGAGGGGGGGGGGATTACCCCATATCATCAACAAAAAAAACATTATAGAGGGAGGAGTCAAGGAGAGAAAGAAGATAAGGAAGAAAGATTGATCACTTCCTCCCCGCAACCCCCCACTTTGTGAACTTCTTCGCCAGCGTCATCGCCCGACCCAGCGAGCTCCAACTTCCAGCACCAGTGCCAGTACCAGTACCAGTACCAGTATCAGCACCAGCATCAACGCCAGTCTCCGCCATCTCCGTCAAGACATCAACAGGCCGTTCCTGCTCCGCAACGACTTCCACACCCCCGTCCACTTTCTTCTCCGCTTTCTGACGATACATCGCCATAACAGCCATCTGACCCAGGAAAGTATGATGCTCAAGCAAATCCTCCAAACGAACATGGAAGCCCTCCTCCTGGAGGATCCAGACGATCTGCGCAACGTCCATGACATCGCCGCCGAGATCGAAGAACGACGCATCAAGCTGGTACGGGGACGAGGTCTTGCTGTTCCTCCGCAGGACCTGCTGCCAGGCGCGAGTAAGAATATCAGAGTGGACGACGATCTCGGACATCTTGCGGGAGTTGAGGTTGGAGGAGAGGAAGGGGGCGTCGGAGGGCTTGGGGGGTTCGATGATGGCTTGGCTGGGGAGGGAGCGGATGGTGGACGGGGAAGCGAGGGGGACGCTGGGGTTGGCGATGAGGCTTTGCACGGTCTCGCAGACCATGTTGAGGGCTTTGGCGATGAAGGGGGCCGGGATGGGGCTCTTGAGGGAGTATCCGATTGACACGTCGAGGCGGTCGGTGCCGCTGGACTTGGAGACTAGGGTGAGGTCCATGAAGTTGTCAACGACCCCGGCACCGTCCATTTGGTAGTTGGTACCGTCGAGCTGCATCTGACCCTGGTAGTCGACGTTTTGGTGGAACACGGAGGTTGTGAAGTACGTGGAGTCCGGCCAGTCGGTGCAGTTGCGGATGATCTCGCGGAACCCGAGCGACTCGTAGGGCATGTTGGCGATTTGCTGGTCCTGGAGGTAGCGGAAGAGGTCCAGTCCGGTCCAGTGCTCACGGAAGTTGACCCGGATCGGGAGGATGTTCAGGCAGGGCCCGACGGTGGTCTCGATGCCGGGAACGCTGGCGTTGCGGCCGTTGACCGTGAGTCCGAAGACCACGTCCGACTGGGCTGTCAGCTTCGCGAGGGTCACAGCCCATGCGGACTGCATGACAGTCGCGAGGGTGACGTTGCCGATGGCGGTCGATGGGATCTCGATGGTCCGCTTCTGCTCCGCGAACGCCCCAATGTGCAGATAGGCGTTGGGCTGCCGGCGCCGGATGACTTCGGTCATTTTGGAGCCCTTAAGGATGGTCGTCCAGTGGTGGTAGTGGGCAGGGGTGATGTTTCCGGGCAGCATGCGCATGTAGTTGGAGAACGAGAAGACGGGAGGTAGCGTGCTGCCTTCGTAGCCGAGTTTGATGGCGGTCATGATCTTGGGCAGGCACACGCCGTCAAACTGGGCGTGCGACATCCGGATCAGGATGCGGTGGATGTCGCTGTTCTTCTTCTTCACCACGTAGAACTGCACATACTGTTCACCCTGGCGCGGGTCTTGCTCGCGGTCTCGTTTCTGCAGGCCCTCCGTGTACTCGTTAAGGCTTTGCTCCGTCTCCTCCACGAAAATCTCAGGCCGTATCTTCCTCAGAACCACCTGGAAGAACTGTCCGTTGTGACAGACAAAGACGGTCCGAAGAATATCAAAGGCATCGACCACCCGCAGGAAGCTCTCGCGGAGCCGTCTAATGTCTAGCGGGCCGTTTCCGTCCAGGAAGAAGTAGTTCAGCATCCACCTCGATCCGAAGAGCGTGGCAGCAATCGACATGGACTGGAAGTCCGTGACAGGGAGGACGTCGGCAACTCCTCCCTTAAACACACCGATCTTGGGGCAGATGACGTCCAGCAGAGACATGGCATCGAGCTGCATCGGCCTCAGCACTGAGATGTCCTGGGGCGGGGTGGTGTTCTGAGATGCATCGGACGTCACCTCAATGAGCTTCTCGATGTTGTTCTCGCCCTGCGTCTCGGCATTCGACGTGGTGCTGCTTCTCGGAGTGACGATGACCAGCATATCCTCAAACACCGGGTTATTGAACACACCGGCCACAGTCAGCTGCAGTCCCTCCTCTCGCGCAGCACTGACCATCTTCATCGCCGTGATACTATCACCTCCTAGCTGGAAGAAGCTGCTCCGGTATTGTATGATATCCGAAGAGAGCCCCAATGTCGATTTCCACAGGTCCCAGAGACGCCTATCGTTGTCCGAAGAACTTCTGCCATCGTCGGTCAAAGATGGAATCGAGGCTGAAAGATCTTTTTCGTCATCGGTCTCGACCATCTTGATGCGGGAAGACCCCTTTGAATAACTGGTCTCCCGGCCTTGAGCAAAGGGTAGGGCAAGCTTCCCGTCCTCCAGCATCTGACCAATGATCTCATTGACGCGGTCATCAATAATTCTCTGCAAGGCATAGCTGTCAATCAACTGGTCTGCGATGATCGGCTCCCGGCTGTGCAACCCCCGGTTCTGTGGCAAGTTGCGAAGACCCAAGCCCGAAACAAGCTTCGTTGGCTCATCAACAAAGCACGCAAAAACCTTGGCAATGGCATCGGCTAGATCCTTTGCCTGACTTTCAGTCACCGAGTCAGTCCAGTATCTCAACAAGATACCTTCACGACCCTTAGTGGTCTCCACGTTCACCGTCACGGGGTACTATCACAAGTTAGTCGCGCTTTGCAGATACTCAATGTATCACCACTTACCTCGGTCGGATCATGCGCCTTTCGAGGCTCAAACTCGAGTACTCTCTTCTCCGTGCCCTTGTTAGCAGAGCGGTTCTGTATCGAAAGGGTCGTGTTGAAAAGCGGCTTTCCGTGCCACCCAAGCTCATGCTGAATCTGGGCCAGGGAGCAGTGTTGGTGCGGCACATTCCGGATGAAATCATCCTGCACCTTCTTGGCAATATCGAGAAGCGTCTGTCCAGGCGTAAATTGGACTCTGCAGCAGAGCATGTTGATGAAAATACCAACTGCATCCTGGATTCCGGGGACAGGAGAATCACGCCCAGCAGAGGGATAACCAAAGCAGACGTCATCCGATCCCGTCACACTCTGGAGCACAATAGCCCAGGCACAGAGTGTCAGGTTGGCAAGGGTAACTGAGTTAGCCTCGCAGAACTTCTGTAGCTCAGGGAAGCGCTTGAAATCCATCATGCGCTCACCGAGCTTGCCGTTACCACTCCCGGAAGAGAGCGACAGATTGCAAGGACGAACTCCAGAAAGATACTCGACCCAGTGTCCGACAGCTTTTTGCTGAGCTTGACCCTTGACGTATTTGACGTAATCGCTGAAGAGCGGTCCGGTTCCCACAGGAAGCTGGTCATTGTAGGCAAGTGCGAGATCCCTGAGGAGTATGTCAAGCGATCCACCGTCGATAATGGCGTGGTTCATCTCGATCTTGAACAGTACTCGCCCAGATGATGTATTGCAGAGTGTCACCTGGTGAGCAAGCTTGGTCGTTCTCTCGGCATTGATATCGCAGAGTTTGATTTCTTCCAGCGTTCCCAGGGCATCCGAGTCGTCGCATTCGAACTCAATAACCTCGTCATCAAGCTCCTTTACCACAACCTGGTCAAAGGACCCACCCTTGTAGTTGCTGTCAATGAAAGTGGATCTCAGGATAGGATGTCTGGTGACGATTGTGGTCCACGCCTTTCGGAGCTTCTTCACATCGACCGCGCTGCCTTCGGAATGAAGTACCTCGAAGACGACGTGGAACAGGTAACCCTTGGGGTCCCGGAGCTGGCTGAGAAGGATACCCTCTTGCACAGGCGAGCACGGGTAGACGTCTTCAACTTGATCCCAGCTCTCGATTCCAAACTTGGGGAAGGTACTCTTGACCATACTGTGCAGTCCCTCATAGGTCATTGGCAGCAAGGGATAGTCGTTGAGAGTGGGTTCAGGCGCAAGGCCTCCGAGGCGAAGCATGTCTTCCTCCAGCACTCTTTTACATTCAGATATCCAGCCATGGATCTTTTGCTCATGCTGCATGTGCCGGTTGTAGATGTATGAGACCTGAATCTTGTCCTTGATGATGAGCGCCGAAATCTCAAACAGAGCAAATCGAGGCGTCTCAGATCCCATGTCACCTGCCACCTCGAAGGTCTCGGCGTTGTACGCATCACCATAATGCTGGAAGATGGAGTCGCTGCGTTCCAGCTGCTGAAGCTGGCCAAGGTAGTTGAACAGAATCTCAAGCGGAACTGGGAAGTTGTTCGCTGCTTTGTCTGCCGGATGAAGCAGGCTCTCCGCGAAGTACGGCCGGCTCTTACTGCTGAGTTGGCGCCTTGTGTCCTTGACACGCTTCAAGGTATCCAAGAGATCTAAGAGGGTCAGCAAAATGCTCAATATTTAACCAGAGACACTTACCAGAGCCATCACCGGCATATAGAGGACACATCGTTGTAAACCAACCCACGGTTCTCGAGAGATCAATAGAATCGTCCCAAGTCTCGCGGCCGTGGCCTTCGTTGTAAATAGTCGGAACCTCTCGATCAGTAAAGGTCCGGCGGAATGAATAGATAACAGCCGAAAGAATGACTTCAATAGCCTCGGTGCGGAGGACCTTCTGGCAGGCCTCAAGGATTTGCGTAGTAGCGGCAGCATCTACCGTGAAACTTTCCATCTTGACGTGACCGTAGAGGTTCTGCGATTGGTCCATGCCCCAGTAGCTTAGGTTAGGAGGCTGAATGGAGAAAGGAATCTGGATGCTGCCCTTGGTCTTCTTGCTCTCTTCATGCTGAAGGTTGCACCAGGCCTGGAATGACAGCGGCTTTTCGGTAGAGAGCGATCCACCATCAAGGAGGTCCTGGATATCTTGCAGGACGATGCGCCAGGATACCATGTCAACGCAGATATGGCTGGCCACGAGGAAAAGAATCTGCATGCCAGACACTTCGAAAAGGTCTGCCGCAACGACAAGACCATTTACGACGTCCACAGCACGTTGGCTTTCGGCAATCAAAGGCAGGATTTCGTTTTCCTGACCGACCGTATGATGGCGGAAGCGATAAGACCCATCAACGTCCTGAAAATTGATCAGCTCATGCCTTCGGGAGAAGAGAAGGTATACTAACATCAGTGATCTTCTGCTGCCACTCTCCATTAGACTTGAACAGTCGCGCTCTGAACATGGAATGCTGTTCAACAACGGCCCTAACAGCACGATCCATCTCCTTGGGCTGGATCTTGCGGGTAACGCGAACTGTCATGCTCTGGTTGAAGCGAGACGAATCCCGGAAGCTATCTGCCGACTGGAACAGCAGCCGCTGGATAGGAGCCAAACCGAATTGCTCCCCAGACTTTTCTTCCTTTCGGACCGTTGTGACCTTCATTTCACCGGTGAGAGCAAGCTCCTTGGCGGACTTGCTCTGAAGCACGTTGTGGAGAGTCAGTGTGAGCCCATGCTTTCGCGCGCGCGAAATGACAGCCATTCCAGTAATACTATCACCGCCTGCATACTGTCAGTATTTCCTTTTCATCTGCTCAAGGCATGCTTACCTAGGCTCACGAATGAGCGCTCCGGGTTGATCTTTTGAGGCGGCAGATTGAGAACCTGAGAAAAGATATCCCGAATAAGCTGGACCGAGGCTTCCTGATCCTCTTCTTTCTGCTCCACCTCTTCCTGCTCAATCTCTTCCTCTTCAACTTCTCCCGGCTTGGTGCTGTAGTTAGCTCCCATGATGCGATCGCAGGAGACACTGTCAACCTGTTCCAGCCAAGCGGTGATCCGCTTCCTGTCAAGTTTTCCGGACACCAGCATCGGCAACTGCTTAATGAGAGCCCAGGCCTTCGGGACCATGTAGACCGGCAACTGGGTTTCCAGACTCTTTTGAATATCCACAAGTTCCTGATAAGCAGACTGCATGGATTTGGTCCGAGCAATGAGCTCACACGAATTGTCTGAGATGATGCTCTTTTCAGCAGCCACTGAATTCAGCGACATGACCGTAACTAGGCGCTTCTTCAACGGCCCATTCATTGGCAGGATGACAACAGCGTGGCGGACGCGGGGATCCTCGTAAAGGCGATGTTCGATCTCTCCAAGCTCCATGCGCTGACCGTGAAGTTTCACTTGGTGGTCTTTACGGCCGATATATTCCACAGTACCGTCGGGATTGTACTTGACGAGGTCTCCAGTCTTGTAAATCCTTCTAGGCGAAGGAAGGGAGCTTGGGAAGTTCTTGATCCACGTCGGCTCGTCCACAAAAGCCTCGGCTGTTTTGGTAGGGTTCTTGAGATATTCCCTAGCCAGCGCAGGACCTTCCAGGGCCAGTTCGCCGACAGCACCCAAGGGTGTCAATTTGTTATGATCATCAGGATCAACAACCCAGGTCAGCGTGCAAGGAATTCCGTAGCCAATGCAAGCGGGATCCGGATTGGAAGCAACGTCTGTGTTGATGACCGCAAAAATAGTGGTCTCGGTTGGTCCATATCCGTTCATAAGATTCACTCGGTGCGCCCACTTGGTGATCACCTCGCGTGACATCTTCTCTCCACCGCAGACAAGAGTCTTTAATGATGGCACAGATGATGGTTCGAGGATGCTGGCAATGGAGGGAGTCAAGAACGACCAAGAGACTTCCATTCGCCGAATAGCACCGGCAACATCGTTCAGGCGCTCGTCTTCGCTTGGAATGCACACACAACCTCCATGCATCAGGGTAACGAGGACTTCCATGACAGCCGCATCGAACGTAAGAGAGGCAAATTGGAAGGCCCGAGAATTCTCATCGAGATTCACCATGGGCCCGAATGCCATGCCGCTGCTTGAAAGTGCCCTATGGTTGATGATGATACCCTTGGCACGACCAGTACTTCCAGAGGTAAAGATTGCAAAGGCCATGTTAGAGGGTTCAACACTGTCAGAACCCTTGTCTTTGGTCGTGAGAGCACAGTAAGCCTTAATTGTCTCTTTGCTGACAGGGACGATGGCTTTAACTGCGCCAGTATAGCGATTGTGATACTTGGGAGAGCACAGCACAACACGGGCCTCCACTTCGGCCAGAATCTCCTTGTGTCTTGATGTCGGATGGGCAGGATCCAGGGGAACAAATGCTCCACCAGCAATGAGAACGCCAAGTATAGTGACGACAGCCCACATGGACTTATCCATGCAAATCGGAACCAGCGTCTCTGGCCCAATTCCGCGGGAATTCAGATAGACGGCAAATGAGGAGGCAAGCTGGTAAAGCTCCTGGTATGAGAGCTGGCCATCCCAGGAGCAAATGGCAGGAGCTTGGGGTCGGTTGGATGCCTTCTCTTCGATGATATGATGGACACATCGGTCCACACATGTCAGGCTGTGTGAATTCCAAGAAGAGATTTCCTCCTTATCATGAGGGCTAGAAACCTCCAGTTCCCCAACCTTCCTAGCATCATCGACTGAAACTGCAAACAGTTGCTCTAGCACAAACCCGAATTGGCCAATGAGCATCTCCGCCTGCCAGCTGTCGAAAACGAGCTCATCATGGTGAAGCGTAACAGAAACCCGCGATTCGTCAATCTTGCATTCGACAACAATCGGGTGAGTGAAGAAATCTCCTTCGGTCAGGTTGTGCTTCGGCTCCCAGATGCTGTCGTTGAGTTGACCTTCGTTCGATTGGATGACCAATAGGTTCTGGGACTCACAAGCCAGAGCAGCATCGCTGCTAAGCTTTCGGATTCTTTGAAGTCCCGAGTGCTGGTGCGTTATCATCGATGTAGTCAATTGGCGCACATTCTGCAGGTACTGAATGACCGGGAGCTCATTGTCGACAGCAATTCGGGTCGGGATCGTAGTAAGGACGGGTCCTGCAATCTCCGTGGCCCCAGCCATGTCGATGTTTCTTCCCATGAGCGTTTCGGCGAAGCAGACATCTCCGGATCCAGTATGAACAGAGACGACCATAGCCCACGCAGCTCGGATTATTTCGGGGATTGTCAGATTGGGACTGCTAGATGCACGTGAGACCTCAACAGAGCTGTGATGCCTATTTCCAACGCGGATGGCGTCAGGAGATGGCTTGTTGGGAGGGAAAGGGTAAGCGGACAGGCCCGCAAGATGAGTCTTCCAGAATTCATCCGACAGGGCGTCGTCTTTCGCCATCAGATGATTGATGAACAGCTTATAAGGAAGCGTTGAAGTTGGCTTCGACGACTTCGAGTAAATCTCCTCCACTCTCCTCAAAACTTGCCCCAAGCTCCATCCATCATAGAGAGAGTGATGCACGGTCCAAACAAAATAGCGCGCAGAGGAAACCTCCGACTCGACAATGCCATAACCTGTCATCATACCTCCGTTATTCTTCGCCAAGTCAATAGTCCCACCAGCCAGAGAGTCGAAATCGGTTGCGAAGTCCCAGGAGATCGTGGTCGAAGTAAGCACGGCCTGAACAAAGTTGGCAGACTCCGTGTGTACGATCCGGGTGCGCAGGATGTCCATTTCGTCCACTGTCATTTGCCAAGCAGCCTTGAACTTTTGGAGGTCAGCTCCCTCCGCAAGTTGAAAGACGGGCCGAGCGACATAGGCACCTGATTGCTTGATAGAGAGTGTGAGCAGGCCTTCTTGAACGGGACTGCAAGGGTAGATGTCGGAAATCTGCTGTCTATCCACGCCACATTGACTGACCACTTCCTCCATGATTTCTTCGCGTGACAAGGAAGCAGGTAGGAGGGTGAATGGCTCAACTGTCGGGATATCAGGCTGCGTTTCCAGAGCCCCGCAGTTCTTTGCCATGTCCTTAAACACAGGCGTCTTGTAAATATCAGCCACAGAAAGCGATATTCCCAAGGAGGTCGCTGCTGTTACAAGCTTCATGGCAGAGAACGAATCACCACCCAAGCCGAAGAAATTGTCTTCAGGACTAAGAGACCCTGGAGCAAGGTTGAGAGCTTTCTCCCATAGTCCCTGGAGAGAGCCTTCCGTTCCCTCCATTTCAACTTCAGAAACGCTCTGTGTGCCAACATTGAAGACGACGTAAGGCTTCAAGTCCTCCTTGCTCAGTGTGTCCACCATAGCGCGAAGCTCTTTGCGGTCGACTTTAGCAGTGGTTCCAACCGGCAGGTGACGCATGGGGAAGTAGAGCTTAGGCAACATAGCAGGTGGCAATGACACGCTGATGGAGTTGTGCAGGCTTTTGATGAGGCCAGCCACAGACTCAGTCATTGGCAATATCAGCTCTCCCTTTGCCATATCTGGAATGTCGTGCCCACCAACAGTAAAGAAAACTGCCGGGCATTTTGCCATTGACTCGGCTTCAGGCATGACTATTTCAACGCTTGTCTGAGTGCCTGCAGGAAGGTGTTCAAGGCACTGCAGCTCAATTTCTTCTGCGTAATTGGTCCAGTAGGCCTCATCATGACTGAAGGAGCAGAAGTTTCCATTGTCACTGGACAAGTCCCCAATAGTCTTGCTCATACTAGACTCGGTGTTCAGGAGCCCAATGCAAGCGACAAGCTGGTCCATCAGTTGTTCGGCTTGAGTAGTAAACAGTGTGGTCTCGTCATAACGAGCAACGACTTGCATACTGACGTCATCCAGAATGCAGCAAACAGCCAGAGGATAAGCATCGGCTTCATCTTTGTCTGTCACACTGGCTTCCGACCTCTCAAGCTGCGAGGTTTGTTGCTGACCACGCATGTGGCATATGGACAGCAGGTTCCGAAACTTGCAGGCGCGCGCCGTATCAGCATTAAGACTCTGAATTCGCTGGAGTCCTGTCCACTGGTGAGGCTTGGCTGCAGTCAAATGATCAACTGTTCTGTCCAGTAAGTCGGTGACAGTAAAAGCATTGTCTATCTGGAAGCGTCGGGGTACCACATCCTCCGAATCATCTAGCGATTCTCCAAAGACAACATCATTGGAGCCAGTGTATCCATGAACAGTCAACGCCCAGGCAGAAAGAAGAGCAGACCGGACGCCTAGATGTCTCGACTTGATAGAGTCGCACCAAGATATCTGGACGCTCTTGGTTGCTTCCTTGGAGACAGGTGCACTGCGCGATGCCGCTGACAGAGCTGGGGGTGGCGGAAATTCTGGCGAGGCTGTCGAGTTGGAAAATTCCGCTCTCCAAAAGTCGTTGAAGCCTCTAATATCGTATCTAGACCGAGAGGCTTCAGATGAACGCTCTGCCTCATCTCTCAATGCCTGTCGATTCAGCTTGCCAGATGAATACAACGGCATCTTAATCATCGGGAAATAAAACTTTGGAATCTGGCTCGCAGACAATCCCGACAACTGGACGTGCAGCTTGGTCATTGATTCATGGATCTCAGGCGTCATCTGTCCGAACAACTGTGGTTCCGCAGTCTTTGATTCGACGTTGCCATTGAAGACAAAAACGGCGAAAGATCCTCCAACAGATTTGTCACCTTCTTTGCTAAGTGCCTCGACGACACAGTGGGCACCTGTAGTTGAAGGCGTGGAGATGCGCTTTTCAAGCTGTATAGCAGCTGCCTGTTGCTGCCAGTGCGTTCCACGATCCTTCTTGCCCACATAGACCAACGTGCCATCGCTGTTGTAGCGGGCCAGATCTCCGGTCTTGAAGAGGCGGTATGTCGGCTTTCCAGACCCCTGTTCTTCGTCATCATCGTGAGCTGGCTGGTTGTATTCGCATCTCCATTTGGGGTTCTCGATAAAGCTGCGTCTAGTGAGTTCTTCATTGTCGAAGTAGCCACGAGACAGACCGGGGCCCTCTATCAACAATTCACCGACACATCCAACAGGAACCAGGAGGTCATGGTTGCAAGGATCCACAAGCCATGAAACACATCCAGCACTTGATCCGATGACTGGCAGACCATCCGACAATTGAGCTTTCGAGCTGTGAATGCTAACAGAGGAGCACTCGGGTGCACCATAAAGTGTATGCAATTGGACCTTCTTTGACCAGATGCCAAAAAGGTTATCAGTCAAGCTTTCACCCCACAAAGCGAGTAGCTTCACCCCCGGAACTTCTGCTGGCTGTAGAGCTAAAACTGACGATGGCGGGAGACTGACGCAATTTGCCTGCAAGGTATTGATTGCTCTCGGCAGATGGCTCGAGCCATCGTCAGATGGAATGCAAACACATCCGCCGCTTGCAAACGTGCCGAAGACTTCTTGGAGGAACATATCAGAAGTGTAGAGCGCATGCTGCAGCATCTTGGTTTCATTGTTTAGTCCAAGAGTCGAAGCAAAAGTCTTTGCCCTGGTTGACACCGCACGATGGTCGAGCACGATAGCTTTTGAGTTCTCGGCGCTATAGACAACATAGGCATCGTTCGATGTCTGGGCAGGTGAATTGAACACCCCATGAGTCTCAGGCAAGTACTGGAAGAGAGATCTGCCCACGGGAATAGCGTATGGAACTATGCCTTCGAGTAGCTGTGCTCGGCTTGGAGTTGCAAGGGCAACTTGACAGCCATTGTCGGCGATCCAAGTGTCGAAATCCTGCTGTGAATTCTTCTCGATCGGAACGCATATGCCACCAGCCTTGAAAACAGCAAGAATGGCAACAATCTGCCAAACAGATCTAGTAAAATCGATGGGCACCACATCTCCAGATCCCACGCCGAGCTTTGCTAGGTATGTGGCGAGAAGTGAGGACAATTCATTGACCTTGCCGTAGGTGAGACTGCCGTCCCATATCTTGATAGCCACAGCATCCGGGTTAGACTTCGCATGTTCATCGACCATCTCATGGATGCATTTGTCGACCGCTTCGGGCGTTTTGTTGTTCCATAGCGTAATCTGCTGCTTGTTGGTTTCGCTGAAATTATCGATCTGATGGACCTCATCCCCGAAACGATGCACGATATCCTCAAGCGATTTGAGGAATGTGTTGGCGACGTTCTCTGCTTGTCCTTCGGAAAGAAAGTCCGTCCAATAGTTCAGATCAACACGCGCATCTTCTTCTGTAGCCTCAACGTTGACGAAAATGGGGGCCTCGGCAGGATCGTGAATCGTCCCCACCTCGGAAAGCTGTATCATCTCCCTCGATACAGACCTGGCACTTGGAAGTTTCCGGTATGAAAACGCAGTGTTACTCAATGCACTGGATAGCTTCAGTGCTTGTTGGATTTCGATGAGAGACAATTGCCTGTACGGCAAGTTTTCCATATTATCGTCCTGGACCTTTGAAAGGATGTCCTTCAGGAGAGCACCTTTCGGGAATTTGATTCGGCAGGTCAGTGTATTGATGACGGGTCCAACAACTGAGTCGATGCCCTCTACCGGTACGTCTCGTAGCGATGTGGGATATGTGAAGGAAACGTCGTCGGAGTCGCAGAATGAGCGAACCGTGAGTCCCCATGCAGTATTGAAAGCAGTTGACAAAGTCAGGCTGTTGGCTTCACAGACGGTTTGAAGGTCTTTAAAAGTAGCGATATTCAATCTCATGGTCCGGAGTCTTCTTTCGGAAGCGTTGCCATCGTTCAACATAGGGAAGTGGCAAGGTTTGACGTCCGACAAATATTTGCGCCAATAGCCGATACTGGCCTCCTGTGATGTTTCTTGCAGATAGTGCACGTATTCCTTGAACTGTGGTCTCTGGTCTTCGAGCTTCCCTTGATAGGCCAATTGTAAGTCTCGGACTATGATGGAAATCGACGTGCCATCCATAGCCGCATGGCTCAGTTCCAGTCGACAGAATATCTTTCCCGAAGCTGTCTGACAGACAGTGAACCGATGAGGGGGCTCCTTGTCATTGTAGATGGCTGGTTGCTGCTTGTCGAGAGTTGATAGCACATCCTCATCATTGGCACATTCCACATAACTTGGGCACGAATCAAAGGATTTGAGAACTACCTGGCAGTACAAGTCATGACTGGTCAAGCCCTCCACAAACACGGTCCTTAGCATTGAATGGTGAGCAACAACCTTCTGCCAAGCGAAAGTCAGCCGGTTCACATCAGGCTTGATGCCGGACCCTTTCACTTCGAAGGTATCGTGGACAGCGTAGAGTGAAGTATCCCGAGAACGGCTGAGCAAGATACCCTGCTGCATAGGTGAGCAAGGATAGACATCTTCCACACTGTCAAGGGAATCAATCCCAACACTTGGTAGCTTTTTAGAAACCATTGTATCAAGTTCATCGTATGTCAGCGTTAGCAGTGGGAAGCTACTCAGTGTTGGTCTCGGTGAGAGAGATTGTAACTGTCCACCCAGGGATTGAAGTAAGGTGTGGCAACATTTGACCCATTCGCGAATAGCTGTCTGGTGCTGCATATTTCCGTTGAAAGAAAATATGAAGCGGAGGTTCCCATGCACTACCATTGCAGATATCTCGAAGAGTGCGAATCGAGGGGTGTTCGCTCCAAAATCGGCTGCTCCACCTCCTCGGCCGGTCTCGCCAGCCATCTGGTCCATGAGCTGGAAGAGACCATCGGTTCTTTGCAGATCCCGGTGTTGGCCAACATAGTTGAAAGAAATCTCCATCGGACTATGGTGCATGAAAGTTCCATCTTCACGGGTCGTTAACATGCGGCGCGCGAAGTCCTGTCGGCCATTATCGGAGACACGTCGACGCAGGTCCTTGACGCGAACAACCGTTTCGGTTGCATCCTCTGCCGGGAGTGCTGAAAGAAGAATAGGATATAAGGTAGTAAACCAGCCGACCGTGCGTGAGATGTCTATCGCTGATTCCCAAGCTTCTCTACCATGACCCTCGTTGTATATCACCGGCAAAGATCGGTCCTTGAACGTCTGTCCAAAAGAATGCAACAACGCTGCGAGGAATACATCAATCGGCTCGGTCCCAAGGCCTTGGTGGCATTCCATGAGGATAGAACGGGTAATGTCGCTGTCAAGTTCAAAGGTCTCACAGTCCACATCTCCATAAGTAGTTGAATGGTTCTCCAATCCCCAGTAAGCGAAGTCTGGTGCGGAGACATCAGGCAAGTCCACAATCTTTGCCGCTTCTGGCTGACAATGGTCGGCTTGAATTTGACACCAGTTCTGGAACGGAAGAGAACCACTCTGCGAGGTAGGTTGGTCTGGGTTTGTAATGAGATCCTCCAAATCTTCCAAGATGATCCGCCAAGAAACAATGTCAACTACCAGATGATGTGCGACCAATGATAGCAGGCGGGCATTCCCATTCTCATAAAAGAGGTCGACAGCAAGTACTGGCCCTACAAATGCGTCGATGCAGGCCTGGCTGTTAGCGACAGCTTGATCAACCTCGGTTTGGCTGTTATTATCGTGGGTTTGCCAATGGTATGAGCCTGTTACATCTTCGGTGATGCGTTGTTGTAGTCCAGATCCTGATTCAACCAATCGAGCTCGGAGCATTGAGTGGCGGCTGACAATGGTCTCGATAGCGCGTTTGATGTCGTGTTCATCAATATGTTGGTTTAACCGGATAATGATGCTTTGGTTGAAATGGCCTTGACCTTCACTCCGGACCATAAAGTGAAGCTTCTGTATCGGGGACAGATCAAACGGCTCATCGATCTTTTCCTCATACACAATAGACTGGTCGACCTTCTTCACCCGCGTTGCCAATTCTCTGATCGACTTGCTGTGTAGCACCTCCTGTACTGTCAGACCCATTCCCTGCTTCTTACAATATCCTAGGCAGGTTATCGCGGCAATTGAATCGCCCCCTAGGTTCAAGAAGCCTTTGTCGAGCCCAATCTGGTTGCGAGGGATATTGAGAACGCGACTCCAGATCGAAGCTAATTGACCCTCGGTGGTGTTGACCGGGTACATTGATTCATCTGTAAGGTCCGAGCTGGCCTGCATGTGTTGAAGATCGGGGTCCTCTGCCATGCTGCTAATCCATTTTGCGGTAGCCTTCCTGTCCAGTTTTCCAGACGCGAGCAGTGGCAGGGCCTCCACACATAACCAGACAGAGGGGATCATGTAAGTTGGTAGCAGAGCTGATAATCTCTCGCGGACTTCTGAAACAATAGGGGCCTTCTTAGAAGGTTCAAGAAGTCGCAATGGCGTTGCATCAGGATCTGACTGATTCTCGAAATGAACAGAAAGGGAAATCACAGCCACCAATCTGCCTGTAGAAAATCCGGATTTGGAGAGGAAAGTCAAGCAATGCTTGATAGTTTGGTCTGCAGCCAAGTGGTTCTCAATTTCGCCCAGTTCAAGTCTCTGCCCATGGAACTTGACCTGTGTGTCCTTTCTTCCTATGTACGTTAGTGAGCCAGATTCGGCATTATATCTTACCAGATCACCCGTCTTGTATACTCTCCGGTCCTCTTGTGTGGCACCATCTCTCTTCATCCAGGCCGGATTGTAGATGAAGGCTTCATTTGTCTTTTGAGGGTTGTTGAGGTAGCATCGAGCCAGTGTGGGTCCCTCGAGTATCAATTCACCAGGACAGCCCACGGGGACAAGTTGATCGTGGCTGTCCGGGTCCACCAACCAGCAACGGACCCCCACTGGGAGTCCAATATCTCTGCAGTCCGAGGATGGTGTGACTTTTGAGTTGATAACAGCCGCGACGGAGCTTTCCGTGGGGCCATATGCGTTGATGAGAGTGATTTTGGATGACCAGGTTTCCAACTGACCGGTTGACATTGCCTCACCGGCAAGGACCAGTGTGTTTAGACCCGGAACCTGCGAAGAGTCGACGAACTCGATGAACGAAGGTGTCAGGATGGCATGTGTCACCCTCAGTTCTTTGATCACCTTGACTATATCACTCAATCTTTCCTCCTCACTCGGTATGCAAACGCAACCTCCCTGCAACAGGGTGGTCAAGATCTCAACAAGGCTCGCGTCAAATGTATGCGACGCGAACTGCAAGACACGCGAAGTCGAATACATATTATGGCGTGGGGCATGGGCAATGGCGCCAGAGACGTAGGCTCTGTGTTCCAGCATCGTCCCCTAGAAACTGACTGTTAATGGAAATGTGGAAAAAACGGAGCTGGGGAACCCACCTTAGGTTCTCCGGTCGAGCCGGAAGTGAATATCACGTAGGCGGCATTGCATCCTTGCACCTGTGGCAGTTGCCGTGTTTCTCCGGTGGAAACGGCAAAGTCATCGATGGCGTCCTGATCTAACGGGACTAGGGTCTCCGCAACTGCACTCAAAGCTGCTGCCCGATTTCTGGAGCAGAGCATGACCTTGGCCTTGACGGCGTGCACAAGTGATTGTAAGCGGGGAGTGGGATGTGTGGGGTCAAGAGGGACGAAGGCGCCCCCAGCTTTTAGAACGCCGAGCATTGCCACGACATTCCATTTCTAAATCCAGTCAGCTTTCCGTTATCGTCTCCAAACCAAGTGCGTCTATAACAGCCAACTTACCGATTTATCGAAACAGAGAGCAACGCAGGTTTCGGGCCGGACACCTTGTTCATACAGATGATAAGCGACCTGGGATGAAAGGAGGTCCAGATCTCTGAAAGTCAGGCTTCCATCCCAAGCACAAACGGCCTCATCGTCGGGGCGCAGTAGGACCTGTTCATTAATGACTTCATGTATGCAGCGGTCATGCGCCTCTGGGAGGACGGCGTTGAATTTGCAGACGCGGGACCAGTCCCGGTCTGAGAAATGGTTCAAGTCTTTGGCGGGGGAGTCATCCTCCGAAAGTACTCTTGCCAGTATTTGTTCGAAGTAGTCGGCAATGCTCTTCATGTGTTCCATGGAGGTGTCATGGTTCCAATATTCCAGGAAGATGCCAATGTCCTCTTGCAGGAGCTTGACATGAAGTCTTACCCGACACTATGCGAGGGATCAGTCAGTCTTGCACTGGAAGCACAGGCATGTTGCAGAGTGTAAGAGGGAGGGAAGACCGACCTCTTCTGGAAGCGGGATTGCCAAGGCTGGCTGGACAGGAGGGGCTCTGGCGTCGCTCGAGGGACCGCGGCAATTGCGCAGCATCAGCACGGTGTTAAACAGCGTGTGATTGTGCCGACTCGGGGAAGTCTCGCATTTTTCAGCATTCTTCCCCTCTGCGTTGCGTCGGACAGTATGGATCGAGTCGTCCTCGGCGATGGTAAGATTAAAGATTAGAGGATTATTTTGAATATCTGACAAAGAAGTGGCATCGTGAAAGTCGCCATCAACACCAATTGGTTGGTAACCAAAGCAGATGTCTTCCAGGCCTGTGTAGCGCTGAAGCAGCAAGGCCCATGAGGCCTTGAGTAAAGAATCTAATTGACCTTGGTCCCAGGCGGACAGCAACTGGAGAGTCTGCGATGGACTGGTCTTCGTCCGCAACAGCGCAGGCCGTTTCGGGCCGGCAAAGTTTGTGCCAAACTTAGGCAGGCAGCATGGGATTGGTAGGGCCATGGTTGACGTTGTGAATATCACTCAGGAAATCTGGGATCGTCCACCAAGAGGGGAGTAGATGTGTGTAGTTAGATGGAGAAGAAGGCCGACAGATCTTCGACCTCTCTGTCCACCGTCCTACCCTTTTAAATTGGAGCCAGCTCCATGCTTATGCTTATCGCAGACCCATCATGGGGCCCCGACCCTCTCAGGCCGGAAATAGACCATTGAAACTAGTAGTGAGGTGACCCCGTCGCAGCAATTCCAATTGCTCACAGGCATCAGGATGCGAAAACAACAAACGACCAATGGCCGGGCGCGAACTAGCGGGTTAAGATGGATGCTCTGGACATTGGCCAACACGCTAGCTACTAGTAAGCAGAGTATTCCAGATGCCCTTGCTTGGGGTGAAGCTGAGGACACGGCAGGGAATAGACTCCATGGCTTGCGAACCTCTGCAGGGCGCTTGAACCCAAAAGATTATGGCATGAAACCATCCCAACCAAGTTCGCCCACACTGTGGAGCATGCCCGGAGGGGCGAGGAGCTAAAGATGGAAGGCAACCAGAGGGAGGGATCAGAAAAAATTCCAAAAGAGTTTTCAGCCGGTCGAGATCGAAGTCAGTGCATTTGGCAAATACCAGCTAGACCTGTAACTACTGCAATCGACGCATGACGTTGGTCCACAGGGCCGGGGCAAATAACGGAGGCGAAAGCAAGCCCTACTCGGGTGTGTACTTGGGTAGAAGATGCATTATGTTATGCCGGTTATAATCCCGGGTGTCGAGCTCGGTCTGGAACAGCGCTCAATCGAGATTTCTTTTTTTTTTTTTTTTTTTTACCTGTCAAACAGCCAGAAAGAGGCGCTGCTGCATTAGCATCGAGCTCCACTCCAAGTCGGAAATGAATGCCCGTGAGTGAAGAACCATCTGTATGGCGCATGCTGATCAGTGGGTGATGTAGTAAGTACGGTACAGTAGCGGTAGCGGGAGAAAATTCGGCGACGTGGAAGATATCAGCCAGGATAGCCCGAGGTTAGGACAAGTCACTGGGAAGTAGACCTACCTGGGAAGTAGTACTACGTCAGTGAAGTCAGGGAGGTCTCGGAAGCTGGAACACATGTAGGAGCGAGGATGGGGTAAGCCGCAACCCTACTATTCCGTCGGCGGATGGATGGATACAAAAGTCCTGTGCCGGATGGGGAAGCCACCGGCGGGATTGATTGGGGCTTCCGCCGGGCCTTAGGGGCCCTACCCACCAAGCCCGGATTTAGCATACTCTATACATACCTCGTATACGGTAAAGGGCCTTGCTATGAGGATGGGTCCGCCAACACCTCGACCAGGTTGACCCGCATAGTTCTCCACTCTGCTTCCTCCAAGGCCGGAAAAGGTGGGATCGGGAAATTATAGACGGGCTCTCAGGCGCAAACCGCCTCCAATTCGCGAGTTTTTTCTCACCCCGTGGCGGGCAAGAAGCATGGCATCGAGGCGTCGTTAATCTCATCCTTCGCAGCCCAACTACCCGTGCCCTGATACTATGCGCTTCGCAAATTATCAAGTAATTCAGTAACTCATTCTGGTACATATCCGACCTACTAGAATCTGCCCAAGGAAGCGGTAGCCTTAATACGGATACCATGGCGGGAGTACGGAGTAGTGCTATATTAGAGTTATTAAGGGTGGAGGGTACTCCGTACCTTACTACTACCTTTAGCTATTCCGGGTAACATGGACGGTCAGACCAGACCGTCCAATAAACTGTCCAATAAGCCATCCACCGAACCGACGCGAGATAATAGGATGGCATCGACGATGACATGACGATCATCTATGAGCGCCGGGAGATGAAACTCTAACAACAAATAAGTGCCAGATCTGAAAACTTTCTCCAGGCGGGACAGATGGATCAATCATGGTGAACAATACACAAGGCAAGGGGTCAAACTCAGTGTACTATATCCAGGACTTAATCAAACCGAGTTCTAAGTAAAGGAGCCAGGCTTATGGCTGCTTAACTGCGTGGTCATTCTATCTGTAGTTTGGAGTGGTGTCAGCAATCAATGGCAATGTGTCGGCTCTGCCTACATCTAACACGAGAATTCAGCCTTCACGTTCCTGGGTCATGGCCACGGCTGACGTGTACGTAACTACGATACCTACCTAGTACCTACGCCATAAGTATGGCAGATCATCCATGATGAATCGCATAAATATACCTCGCTTATGCGCGGTGGGGGTTCGCATCAGGAGGGGTCGAGTTTTCATCGATGTGCGTAAGACCGGTAGTGATTGGCCCCGGCACACGCGGCGTTCGTTGGGGGTTTTTCCCCGAGCGGTTTTTAGTATTCATGGTTTTGGCGCTTGGTTATCAAGCGGGAGATCGAAACTCTCCTAAATTAGTTCGACACCACCGGGGCCATCTATGCGAGCTAAAAATCAATAAACCTGCAAGGCCCAGGGGATCTTGCGGGAGATGGATGCATCGAGCGTGTGAGTGGCTATGCCGACCTGCGCCATTGAGTTGACGAGTGCGTCTTGTACTTACGTCCAGAGTTCGCTAGTACTACCCACTTAAATACCAGTTAGCTTATTTAGTTGCATATCACATCGGTTGCTAACTTGAGAGAATCACCTCTCGTAAATTTTCCTTTGCTTTTCTTCTGACGTCCAACGATGCGCGCCCGGGAATCGTAGGGGGGGAAACGTAAAAAAAAACATGGTCAACTGGGTCACGGGTTATGGGTCAGGAGCCGGCAGTCGATCATTGCTCAGTCTGGGGGTATCAATAATCAACCGAACCCTGGACTGCTGACTATCCCGGAGACGAGCCCCATGGGTTCCGGGCAATGAGAACGGGATGTTTCTGTTTCATCCCAACGGCGCGACCGATGGAAGGATTGGAATCTGAAAGAAAAACATTGTTTTTGCCCGATGGCCGCTATAGCCCGCCGTGGAAATCATCATTGGGAACCCTACGAAGGTTTGGATTCGCCCATTGTACCGAGGATGACAAAGCACTGGGCCATTTCCGAGTCGAGAACATGGCCATTCTTATTGTGCTGTGCGTCGCGGTGTCGATGCCTCGGCCTGACAGTTCACTACTGCGGCCTAGAGAAAACAGTAAGCATAAAGATGTTAGCCCTATTTTTCAGGAGTCTAGGCTCCTTGCGGTGGTTAGCATGGAATCGATCTCGGTCAATGACACCTAAGGTCTTCGGGGCATGTTCAGCTGTCTTGCTCTGGATGGATACTGGATAGTCGTCGATGGCGTCCTGAGAGGCTGTGAGTTCGCTGAGTGGTCAGTGGAAGGGCGAAGCGAGGCTAACTGACAACGGACTCGGGGACTACCGCAGTTGAGTCCCATCCTATGATTCTGGTCATCCTGGCTGGTCTTTTCTTCAAGTTCAAGCCACTGATGCCGCAGGCGGTTAGTCATGCGGCATCAAGCGCCCCCGTAGCCCCCAATCTGGAGTATGTGGGTGCGGGCCTCGCGGGCTCGCGGCTGCCGGAAGTCTTCCGTTGACCATGGTTAGTGGCCTGGCCGCCCGGCGCTCCCTTCTCGGCATCTCCACCCCTTCCGCTGCTGAGTTCTAACTTCTGACACTCCTCCTGTGGCAGACTAACAAACACACTGACTGTTCCCAGCTCCCCAAGTCTATCTGTGCCGCGTGTAGCAAGTAAGCAGCTACTAGCAACACGCTTGGTGACTGCAGTGACAATCACCGAATTCTTCGGAAGAAATTTTCCAAGATGCAAGTGATTTCCGGAGAAGGGATAACCGCCCCCGCTAACTCACTTTCATCCTAGTCCTCAACAGCTCCTTCTCAGTTTGGTCCTAGCCCCTGAATACTACTCACTACTACGGTGTACCGGTGGTATCACCATCCACTTACTACTTCGAACCATCGACCACTACAATGCTGTTGACATCCCCACAAGTACATGCCTACTTTGTATATGCACAACGTTACACATCACCCACGTTAGGCTCGAGTGGACATGGCGTCCTTCTCTCTTTGACCGTTGTCGCATGCACAATAAGGCTTGTTTCCACGAGGACACTACATTATAACTAGATATACCGCAGACATCTTACCTAGTCCGCAAAATTCGTATGGGTCTAACTAGCTAGCTAGCTGCTGTCAGGTTGCCACAAGCAGGCATCGGTCCACCAAGATCTGGCCTACAGGATTGAGAATTACATCTATTCGGTGAGCACTGGCCCCAATCTGATGGGGGAGCCCGTCAGAATGGCCATCCAGCAAAAAGGGAATAAAAACCGAGGTGTCAAAGCCAGGTGTCTCTTCACCCCTGCAGCTGGATTTCAAACCACCCTGTGGCGACGACGGCAGTCAAATTCCATGCCGGTATAGTCAGCGGCAAACAATGCACAGTAGAAGGCAAATTTTATCCGGCGTACGGTGTTCTCCGTTGCATGCGGTCAACTATAGTGTGCATGGAACAGTCATGAGGCCTTGTCGGGGATAAACACCCAGTACGTACTTTCGACTTCAGGCGTCTGGTAGTCGTGGGTAGAAGCGGGATTCTGTGACATTCGGGATTTGACGACTTGTACCTCCTCCTTCCCTCCTAGAGCGAGCCGCCGGATCACTCACTAACCCCTCGCCCGGTTCCTCACTGGGCAGGTTTGGGGCGAGTTATGATTTTCAGCCTTTTCATCATCGATCCGGCCCGTTCGTGGCGTTCTGCCCAGCGCTCACATCTTCATACCGTATGGACCCAGGCCTTGGAAGAAAATATCAAGAAAAGACGCCATCCGAGCGAGCTTGGTGTCATGGGACTCCCCCAGTACTCGCGCAGATAAGATGGCAAGCCTTAGAGCGACAGTGGGGGCAAACTAGGTTGGAAGTAGTGCTTAGGTACAGGCCGGCCTCGAATCGTACTTTTTTTACTGGGCAAGTACAAGTCGTAGACTTGGGGGAGGGCAGGCCGTTGGCCCAATGGTTTCGCAGGCTCCGGTCATCCCCTTGTCGAGGTCATCGTTACGTTGAATGCGAGGGTAGGGAGAAGGCATGGCTTTCAACGCTCATCTCGAGTAAAAAAGGATGAAATGGCCAATGGGGAAAAAAGCAAACATACGTCGAGGCAGGACTGTGATGGAACAAGCCGAATCATCGGGCTCGAATTGGGGACGATGCATAACCCACTGTGGATCTTCAGCCGAACCATGGAAATACGCATCCTTGTTGTTGCATCGTAACTAATCGTTGCGTCGAACCAGTTTGAGCTTTGGAAGGAAACCATTAAAATCTTTTTAATTCTGAAATTGGAATTAAAATCCATCCGTTAAAAATAAACATCGGCGGAGAATTTCTAATTTTCTCATGCGAGGTTGATTCTAATAGTGCCCCCCCTGGTGATGATGCAGCGAGGGCTGGGACCAGCCCAGTTGGGTCGGACAATTGTCAGGGACACTAATTCGTGTCCCTGAAGCCCAATGAGTAGGTGGTACAGGCTGAAGCCGCGAAACGAAGAAGGGGGAGGGGTCAAATAGTAAGAGGGAGGAGTTTCCATCCATGTCGACCTCATTCCGACCATGAACATCAAAACTAGCGATCCACAGTGAATTCTAGCCCCTCCAGAAGGCCATTCATCGTTGCATCCCCTCCAGGATATCTAAGTACCTGCCTGCCTCGACGGTTGTAAATGGCATCCGTGGTGTAGTCATGGCAGCCATGTTATCCTGCCAGCGGGCGGACAACTCTCTCAATATCCCTCCGCCCTCATGTCGGAGCGGGTTTGACTTCTCCCTGCTCTTTGAGGAGCTCATTCTGGGCATCCTGCCCTTAGGGATTGTTCTGGCTCTGGTGCCCTTTCAACTGCGACACTTGTTCGGAAGACCGCGCAAGGTGGAAGCGTCTTGGTTGGCCTGGGCAAAGACGGTATGTCCTCAGCGTTTTTTCATGATGGCCTGATGGTTCCCAGCACCTACTGGATTCAGCAGGCGCTCTCCGCACCCCGTGACCTCCTACTCTTCTAAGTTCTACTCTTTTCTGCTCGTGGGCTTTGCTAATTTCCCTCTCCTACTCCCCCGCAGACAGCATGGATTGTACTAGTGATCACTCACTTGGTCTTGACGGTCCTTTGGTCCCTCCCATCCGCATGGCGGACGGAAGCCTCCATCGCTGCGAATGCAGTGATGACCGTGGGGATCTTTCTCCTCTGTCTGTTTTCTTACGCAGAACACCATCTCTCAGTCAGGCCGTCGTTCCTTCTTAACGTTTACCTCGGTACCACGCTGCTCTTTAGTATCGCAAAAGCGAGGACTCTCTGGCTCCGGCATCCAGAGGGAATCAACAGAGACATTGCAATCATCACGTCGCTCAATGTCGGGATCACGCTGCTCCTTCTCATTATGGAGGCAACAGAAAAGCGTCGTTTTCTTCGAAAAGAATATAAGGGATATCCTCCCGAAGCCCTCGCGGGAATTTACAATCGATTGTTCTTCTGCTGGCTGAATCCGTTGTTTTATCTCGGGTTCACTAATCCGCTCTTGGGGGTGGACGATCTATTTACTCTCGACAAGCAGCTGGAGTCGAAGCGACTGCATCGGGTCGTAGAGAACTTATGGAATAAAGGTACCTTTCTCGCGTTGCATGCCGAGGTCGGCCAGAGCTGACAACTACTAGAAGACAGGAAAAGTCCGAACGCATTGCTATCTACATGTTTCAAGGCGTTCAAATGGCAGATTTCAGCCGGTATACCACCACGAGTCATGCTGGCGGCCCTCAATATATGCCAGCCATTACTGCTAGAAAGATCACTCTCTTTCACCGAGTCAGCCGTGAACAAGGACACGGATAACATCGGTTATGGCTTAATTGGGGCTTATATACTTGTTTATATTGGCTTGGCGGTTAGTACAACGGGCTTTATATGGATCTTTCAACATCTGACACGGTGTGGATTTAGGTTACTATGGGCCAGTATCAACACATGACCTATCGCTCTATTACAATGGTCAGGGGAGGCGTTGTATCCATGATCTATGAAAAGGCATGTACTCTGAGTACCAAAGACGCTGATCCCGCTTCCTCTGTCACACTTATGAGCGCCGATGTTGAGCGAATTGTGCAAGGCTGGCAGACCATGCATGATATCTGGGGCAATGCTCTTGAAATCGCTCTGGCCATATACCTCCTTGAAAGACAGTTGGGCGTGTCCTGTGTTGTCCCGGTTGCTGTTGCAATTGGTAAGAGTCGCGATCCGTTTTCCAACACCTAAGCTTATCATTCTCTCCCTTAGTGGCACTTGTTAGCTCCCTTGTAGCGATGACTTTTGTAATGGCTGGGCAAGCCAAGTGGCTTGAGGCTATTGAGAGACGTATCTCGTCCACGTCTTCTATGCTTTCTTCTATGAAAGGGATCAAGATGCTTGGTCTCCAATCAGCACTAATGACATGTGTGCACAATCTGCGTTTGGATGAGCTGAGCATTTCTAGATATTTTCGGAAACTTTTAGTCTGGAACATGGCTCTGGGTAAGTCAAAAAATCTGAACCTAGTCCTTCAAGAATTTGCTCTAACAAACCTTCAGCGTGGATCACTCGCATTTTTGCACCGATCTTTGCGTTTGGCGCTTTTGTCGGCATCTCCCATGATAGGGGAAATGATGCTGCTTTGACTATATCAGTAGCCTACACATCACTATCGCTGTTCTCTCTTCTATCGGACCCTCTTCTGTCTCTTGTCATGGCTCTAATGACGTTTGTTGGATCGGTTGGATCTTTCCAAAGAATACAAGAGTTTCTCGATCAAGAACGTCATATTGATTCCCGAGCTAAGTCTACTGAGCTGCCATACAATATCCCCGAAGAAAAGGGTCAATTGGCTTTGGTTGACGATGCTGAAACCAATACAACCGAGTCGGGTTCCTCGAGCTCATTAAACAAACCCCACTCGCCTTTGTTTCAGGACGCTCTCACAGTTCAAAATGGGGCATTCGGGTGGGATACAACAAAAGAGCCCTTGCTGAAAAACCTGACTATCGCGATTCCTCAAGGGGGCGTCACTATATTGATTGGGCCATCTGGCTGTGGCAAAACCACACTATTGAAGGCTATTCTCGGCGAGGTGCCCTGTTTGAGCGGAAATATTAGACTTTCGTCTGAGAGCATTGCCTATTGTGAGCAGACGCCTTGGCATATGAACGGAACCATCCAAGACTGTATCGTCGCAATGTCTACTTATGACAGCCAGTGGTACAGGTCCGTCATCAATGCATGCGCTTTAGTCGAGGACTTCAAACAGCTCCCTCGTGGGGATCAGACCGTGATTGGGAGTAAAGGTATTGCTCTGAGTGGAGGCCAAAGTCAACGGATTGTAAGTAAATTGCACTCTTTGCATGTTTTTGAACATAGTAGATATTCTAACATCATTAGGCACTTGCGAGAGCAGTCTATGCCCGGAAAGAGGTTATCATTCTGGATGACGTCTTTAGCAGTCTCGACGCGACGACTGAGGACCACATCTTCCATCACCTGATCGGGAGCCATGGCCTCCTGCGCTCATTAGACTCCACGATCATCTTCGCATCTTCTTCTGGTAAGTTATCGCTCCCAGATTCCTCCGCTTTAGATCGCAGCACTAATCGATTAAACAGTAAAACGTGCTCCTTATGCTGATCATATCATCGTCCTTGACAACAAGGGCTACGTCATTGAACAAGGGAGTTTCAAGGCTCTCGATTGCTCCGGAGGTTATGTCTCGAGCTTCTCTCTGGGATTTCCCGAATGGGGCTACAAAGCGGACATGTTCCCTGCTTCAGGTGTTGAGATAAAAACAATCGAAAAGACGGCCGAAACCGATACAGAGAGTGAGACTGCGACTCGTCCAAAAGGCGGAGATGTGTCGATCTATTTGTACTATGTTCAATCCATTGGCTGGTTTCCAACAATAGTCTTCCTCGTGGCAATCGCAAGCTTCGTCTTCTGCATATCTTTTCCAAGTAAGTCCTCACGAATTATCATATAATCTTCAACTAACTCAACGCACAGGTATCTGGGTGCAATGGTGGGCCGATTCAGATCAAGCGGAACCTGGCAAACGAACAGGTTATTACCTTGGAATATATGCAATGCTTGGGGTGCTAGGCATGCTGGGCCTTATGATCGGTACCTGGTACGTGCATGACATGCTGCCCTGGTTGAATCTCAACTCATGTAAATTGTTTAGGGAAATGGTGATCAACATGGTGCCAAAGTCTGGAGAGGTCTTCCATAGAAAGCTTCTGAGAACAGTTCTAAGGTTGGTCTAACCTAGTAACTTTCAAATCATATGCTGACCTCCCTTATAGTGCGCCAATGTTGTTTTTCTCCAAGACAGATAGCGGTGCTATTCTCAACCGGTTCAGTCAAGACCTACAGCTCATAGACATGGAGCTCCCTGTTGCTGCTATCAACACCTTTGCAAGTAAGCTTTTTGATCCTGCTAGTACCTTGCTTCCACGGTTACTTATACGGAATGCCTAGCCTTCGCCCTCTGCATAGCACAGATGCTCTTGATGGCCGTAGCTTCGAGATACGTTGCTATAGCTTTTCCGATTGTCCTTATTATTGTCTACCTTATACAAAAGATGTACCTTCGTACATCCCGACAACTGCGGTACCTCGATCTAGAAGCAAAGGCGCCTCTTTTCTCTCATTTCACGGATTGCCTTAGTGGCCTGGTGACTCTAAGAGCGTTTGGATGGCAACATGCCTTGCAAGAAAAGAACTATCGCTTGCTTGATTACTCTCAGAGACCATTCTATCTCCTCTACGCCATCCAACGCTGGCTTACCCTTAGTTTGGACATGGTAGTTGCGGGTATTGCAGTTTTGTTGATTATACTTGTCGTCATTTTACGAGGATCTATCAGCGCGGGCTGGGTTGGAGTCGCGTTGCTGAATGTCATTCAGTTTAGCCAAAGTATCAAGCTTTTGATAACTTTCTGGACCAACCTCGAAACTCACATCGGCTCAATACAGCGAGTCCGGTCCTTCTCAGAGACTGTGCCGTCGGAAGATCTACCCTCGGAGAACGACGATATGCCACCTGAGTGGCCATCTCAAGGTGATATCGAGTTCAAGTCCGTTTCTGCGGAGTATAGGTAAGGCGTTTACCTAGCCGCAAGTCACCTACGGACTTTCAGCCAGCTAACCCTCTTCGCATAGGGCCTCTGAGCCGGTCCTTAACGGCGTGTCTCTTTCCATCCGAGCCGGTGAAAAGGTGGGAATTTGTGGAAGAACTGGCAGGTATGCTACACACCTACACTCGGGGCTTTTTTCTCAAACAGACACTAACTATATGGACCCAGTGGCAAATCATCACTCATCATGAGCATATTCCGCATGATCGACATAAGCTCTGGTCAAATTGTTATTGACGGACTCGATATCACCAAGCTACCACGTCAGGAGATCCGTTCGCGAATCAACGGGGTCTCCCAAAGCCCTCTCCTGATCAAGGGCAGCGTGAGAACAAACGCCGACCCTATGGGCTCTTCATCCGACGAAGCCATAAATAGCGCTCTCGAAAGCGTCGGCTTATACTCCCAGGTGCAAGAAAAAGGCGGTCTGGCTATTGACATGGACGAGCTCTTCCTATCCCACGGACAGCAGCAGCTCTTCTGTCTCGCACGGGCGATTCTCCGTCCCGGTAACATCCTGGTTCTCGACGAAGCCACAAGCAGGTACGGATCGTATCGCTCAAGCAAAACTGCATATGCTAACGTAATTTACCCACCCAGTGTCGACACCAGAACAGACGAGGTAATGCAGCGGATCATCCGCGAAAAGTTCAGCACCCACACCATCCTGACCGTCGCCCACAAACTCGACACCATCCTTGACTACGATAAAGTCGTCGTCCTCGAAGCAGGTCGTCTAGTGGAGTGTGGAACTCCCCATGACCTTCTCGCCTCGGACAAGTCTTATTTCAGCAAACTGTATGCCAGCCTGACGACAGAGGAACAGGAAGGGGAGACTGAGGTCAGCTCGTCCGAGATCTAGACTAGTCTCCGACATGGCTGAGTGGCGGCCCAGGCAGCCCCAAAAGCAAGGATGGCACAGACAGCCAAGGCAGCCAGCCGCACGTCTTTCATCCTCCCTATCCTCCCATTCTTGCCATCAGATCGATGATTAATTTCCAAGCGACACATAAATAGATCCTAGCTCCTACTTTAATTCCCAATTATGCGAACTGTTAATATAATTGACTTTTACCCAAACTTTCGATCCCTGATCCAAATTAATATAGTATGGTATATTATTAGATTCGATTCACTTTCGATCGCCCATCTGTTTTACTTTTACTATTCTGTCCAAATCCGACCCATCACTCGCCCATAATCTCAAAGTCACCAGTCACTGTTAGCGCTAGTGTTAGTGTTAGTGTCAATTCGCGTCGTCCCGACCAAGTTAGAACCCGTAGTTGCCTAATCCAGCAAAGTAAGTTAGGCTGTTAGCGCCAGCGGGCCGTGCAGTCGCCAGTCGGCCAGTAGATATCTAGTGCTGAGTGCAGGAAAGAAATCAAGGAAAACAAACAACAGCCCCCAACAACACAACTCCACCCCACTCCAACCTACCTACCTACCTAGTATCTACCACCTACCTAGTAGTTACCTACATACGACCCAATCCTAAGCTATCATTCCACTGTACCAGGGGTATATTTTACCCGGCATATCAAGCCCAAAAAAAAAAAAAAAAAAGAAAAAAGCCCCGAATCTCCGAAGTTCCGAAGTTCCGAACTGCATTACATTTGCATTTGCATCTGTGCCTAGGTACTTACTTACTTACTTACTTACTGGTCTTTTGGTTTTCCGTGCATGTGAATGTGAATGTGAATGTGATTGTGATTGTGATCTTGATCTGCAAGCATTTACTTACAAGTACTCCGTACCAGTACTCTGTATGTACTTTGTACATAACTAGATAAGAGGTGCTGACGCGAGAGCTGAAATCAAGGAAAATCCCCGAGCCGAGGGAAAGGGGAAAATGGAGGGGGAGCGGGGAGTGACTGACTGACTGACTGACTGACTGACAGCCAGGGTCGGATCAGGGAAGGAGGAGGATCAGGGAAGGAGGAGGATCAGGGATCTACTCCGTAAGTACGGAGTACGTTATACAAGTCTGTCTCGACTCTCAGCTCTCAACTTTCAACTTTCAGGGGGGGGGGGAGGCAACTGGGAAGAAAGTTGTTTGTCGTCATAGTGCATAACTACAGCGTAGCATATAGTACATAGCACATAATAGGTACTACGGAACTCACTAAGTATTTATGATCTATTACCGAGGTAAGGTAGATAGATAGGTGGTGGTGCTGGGTATGCATTCCGTCTATCTAACTACTCCGTACTTCGTACCAGTGAATAAGGATAGCTAGGTACCTAGCTGGCTGCCTGGCTGGCTGATGATGATGCCTGTATGTAATTATAGTATGTGTGCGGGATGAACGAACGAGATTAGATTCTCGCGACGCCACAAAGTCATTCATGCTGCATGGGCACATTGTACTTTGTATAATTTGGAATTAAATTAGATATGTCTTTTAAAGAAAAGATGAATAAAAAATAAAATTGAAATTGAAATTGAGACACTCCTAAGCCTAGAATAGATGAAATCGAGTTGGGGAAAAGAATTGCAAGCACAAGATGGTTGGTTGGTTGGATGGATGGTTTATGCAAAGCAAAGCAAAGCAAAGCGCGCCTCCCGCCCCTTAAGCTAGCCCGGATTTGCAGAGATCGATCGATCGATCGATCGAATGAAGATTGGCAGTCGCAGTTGGATGGACAGTGCTGTATGTATGGGTGTATGTGGGTAGATGAAGATAAACAGGTTATGCAGGGTAGGAAACCTGTTGTTTGCTTGTTTATTTGTTGGTAGTCGGTGGGGGAGAAGGTGGTGTAGTGGTAGTGGTGGTGGTTGTGTTGTTGCAACTCACTCAGTCTATCTAGGCGAGGAGCATCGTGTCGTCATTATCCGGTTCTCCGGCGGGGTTGTGATCCAGAATCCCGAATTCCCAATCGCCGCGTTCGATCCGGCTGACTCGGTCGAGTTCAGCTTGGAATTCGCGACGCAGGAAGTCCAGGGTGACGATGACTCGGCGTTGGGGGATGTGAGCGGCGGCGATGGAGGATTTGCTGTCGCGACGGCTTGAGGGCCGGATGGCAGTTGGGCTGGCGCTCAGGCGGCGGTGGGAGCCGTAGGGAGTGGGGGAGGCAGGGACTGCGTCGGCGGTGTCTTCCATGAAGACGTTGCCATCGTCGTCGGCAGGTTGCAGACTGCGGCGTCGGTCGGTGGAGGGTTTGTGGCCGTCTTTCTCGACGAGGATGTAGGACTCGCTCCTGTCGACACAGGCGAGCAGGTTGATCAGGGAGAGGAGCTCGTGGCGGATTTCCTTGCTCTCCGGGTCGTCCTCCTCAATGGGATAGTTCTCCTCGGTTTCTCGGGCTTTGGTGAGGACCAGATGGGTCGAATGGTCACGGGCGTGTCGTAGTCGCTGGACATTGCGGTAGGCAACTTCGGCAGCGCCGCGGAAGTCGCCCCGAGCAATGCGATACGCTTGCAGGATTCTTTGGTAGTCGGGGGTTCGGTCTGTCCATTTGTTCTCGGTGTCCAGGTAGGAGCTGAAGGATGTCTGTTTCCGAGCAAGGGACGCCAGGATGTCATCCACGTAAGACGCGATGTTCGGGACGAGCGATGTCGGGAAGTGAAGAATCTTCTGTAGCCCAGCGGTGCCAGGCCCTGATGCGGTCAGGATGCCCGTAATGAGGGAGCTCAGGGCGGACTTCTGCAGCGCGCGGTCCTTGTATCTGGAAAGCGCGGAGTACGCCTGGTCGAACTGGCAGTTTTGCAGCGACGCATAGAATGAACGCGAAAGGAGGTCTGCTCGCAAGCTCGAGTTTTCCGGATCTTGCTCGCCTCCATGCTCACTCGCAAGGGCCTGCAACGCGAGACTGGCAAAGTCGGCGACGTGGGAGAACGAACGCGCTTGTTCGAATATCGTCAGGATGTGTTGGAAGTATTTAGGAAGACCGTTGTGGAAGCAATCCACGGAAACAATGTCGAGTAGCGTAGACGACATCTCATGCAAGTTGCCAAGGGGCTTTCCACAAGCTATTAAGAGTCAGACAATATAACATAGAGGGGCTTGGTAGAATGACTTACAAAGGAGATATGCAGCCTTGCGGAAGTACAAAGCGGCAGTATCGTATTCAGCCATAGCTACGTACAGTCGACCCTTCACGTAGGTCGCCCAGGACGTGCTTGCTTGAAAACGCAAAAAGTCCCACGCAAGGTCGATGTTTTTCTTGGCGATGAGATCGCATTGTATGTAAACCAGAGCATTGGGGTACGCAACTTCGCCCTGACGAGTCACCCAGGAGAGGATATCCCGGATTCCAAGTGATATCGTATAACTTTGGGGCAAGCCGATGGATTGGCGAGGCTTGATATCACTGGCAAACAGGTCCTCAAGAATAGTCGTCATCCGGTCTTGTTTCTTGTTCTCCGATGATTCCTTCAAAGAGAAAGGAGTGGCCGTCGGGTCCTCCGTGGTCTGTGTCGGTCTATCAGAGCACTTGCGAGAATTCGAGCTCAGCCAAGACATCATCTCATACTCCCGCAGCAACGTTACGATCGTGACAAACAGGTCTGCGGCATCGAACGTAGAGTTTTCTTCCTGCTGGACCTCCCCGTCCACGAAAAGGACAAGGTATAGAAGATCGGTCAAGGTTTTGCGCGTAAACGAAATCGTTTCCTGAACACCGTTGACAATGACCTTCACGCCAAAGTGAGTGTGGAAAAGGTCGGAGTCCTTGCCAGGGAATCCAAGTGGGATGGTATCTATGAGAGTGTAGAAGATATCGTTCTGTAAACTAAAGATATTCAACCCCTCATTGAGAGCAGCGACCAGGCCGTCGTACGTCTTGTTAGAGATCTGCTCCCCAAAGTCACACCGATCGCGGAAAATGTCCATCCGATCCTGAACAGACGTGGAGGGCTCGGTGAAGAGCTCTGCTTCAAGCGCGCCTTGACAGGCCACTTCAAGATCGGCGGGGAAGGCCTTCCGGAAACCAGAAGCAACCGTCATCAGGTGAGACGTTTGTTCATACAGGTTACCAATCTCTGCATCTAAGTTCCTGTGCCTCCAGCGATCAACGATCTTGGGTCCTTCCGAACGAAGCACCGGGCCTGAGTTGTGCAGAATTAGCTCTGTGGGACTGCATTCCCGGATTACCGCACAGCTCCCTGAAAGCAGCATCCATGGGGTCTCGTAATAAGCGTCGTACGCCAGAGAAACAGGTTCGAATCTTTTCTTGTTGACATCGTCCGTGATTTGCCAGAATTGACGCCACTTTTGGTCTGTGTCCACGCGATACCGGGAGAAATCCATTTCATCTTCGGCAAACTTGCGGAGAGACACTGTATTCGCAATCGTGGAACAGAGTCTTTCCACAAGAGGGGTGTGCTTCTTTGATGCACCAGTCGAGGACAGCGGGCTAATAGCCTCCTGGTAGATAGAAAGAGCGGTCTCAAGGACATCGGTCGAGTACCTGTTCGGTTGCAAAAGGAATTTGAGCCACTTCTCTGTCGGATCCACCACATCAGACAAGGCCATGGCAGGCGGGGCATCATGTGCGCGAGTGTCCATAACCGTGGACACCCAGTTGGAACCCCAATCCGCCACCAAACTCTCGAAGTTGAAGTGAACGGTGTACAATTGGTACAGACTGCTGTTCCTCCACAAAACCCATAGCTCCATGCGCTTGCCTTCTTCCGCGGGCTTGATCTGGAAATCGGCAATGCTCCAGAACATACTTCCAGTCGAATCCGGGTCCAAGGGCTTTAATGTAGCTCCGGGATACAGATCCTCGATGATCAAAGGCGATGTCAGGCCTCCCTTAACGGCCCAGAACTTGAAAACTCCGTCTTCAAACGGCGAATAAGTGACGACGTAGTAGCGATACCCGCCGTCGAGCGCACGTTCCATATTGAAGACCCGGATGAAAGACGACTCCAACGGGTTCAACGAGTATCCCAAATCCTCCGACTCCGGTATCTCACGGTCCAAGAGGTCCTTCGTAGCAGCCAACTTGTTGGTAGCAAGATTCCATATCTTCAGGGTATGGTTCAAACAGACGGCGAACACGTAGGTCTGGTCGGTCGTTGTGGCGATAGCGTTTGCTGTACTCGGATCGAGATTGCGTCCCTGGAACTTGATCGAAGGCTGTGCGTGCCATTTAACCAACCCGCGGAACGACGAGCCCCAGGTTCTCTCATCGAAGGTGAGGGGGGTCCAATGTGAGCCTACAACACAGCACCACGAATCAGCATCCTCTGTAACGCACTGAGCATGAAGGTGGGGAATTACCATCATCACCAGACTTCCTGGTCAAGCGCAAAAGCGCGCCATTATCAAGGGAGATGAACAGCTCTAGCGGGCTGCTCGCATGTAAACGGTGAGGGTGGGAGAAAGTAAGCGGCGCCGGCAAATAAGACTTGCACCAGTCAGAGATGTTATCATCGATTGCTGCAGTCCTTCGGAAGAATTCAGGGCGCAGTGTCAAGGTATGGAGATGCTTGGATTCCGTGACCACGAAAACGCTCAACGCTTCATGGTCCTCCAGATCCGCGAAGTCGACACCCGAAGGGACAATCGGATCCTCAAACGCCAGGCGCATAGTAACATTGTATTCATGTTGTTCAACGCCGCCCTTGGTTAGGTCCACGCATTGAATCTCCAGAACCTTGTTGTCATTGACCACCCTCCAAAGGAACGTTCGGGGGTAGAGGTTGCGTTTGCGGAAGTAGACCGATCCCTGAGTCGTTAGGAACCGTCTAGAGAAGTCATCTTCGTCCTTGGCGATCGGCTCGTCCTGGGTCGAAGAGGAGGCGATCGAGAATCGGGCGCGGCTTTGCGTGTTCGCTTGTGTTGGGATCTGGATGTTGACGACGGTGTTCGGCGAATACGGCCGGAGGTCGACCCGGGTATCTTTGTAGATTTTCGCCATGTCGGGAATAAGAACAGACCACCTTCCACGATCTTGAAGAAATGGTCAGCTCAAGTCTCCATGGCCGGTTGGTCGGGGCGGATGGAGGGTCGCAACTCGGCGGAGTTGACGGGCAGAAGCTGAAGCTCGTCGGCGCTCCAGAAAAAACAGGTCTTGGCGCGGCCCTCAGCAACGCGCCGCTCCACCGCCTTACGGCATCTCCGCCGTGGGTAACCATATCTACTGGATACTCATTCGCATGAACTACATCAATTATAGGCTTACTTGAAAAGAAAATCGAAAGGAAATTATACTTTGATCGCGTGACTACAGGCATCATTAATGAGGTGGCGCTCCGTATCATACATCATGCCATATGCCTCTATGTACGCAGCCCATCAATGCAAGCAAAACAGATTATAATCGTAAAATCGTGGCCTGAAAAGATATGTGCGCCCTGTTCAATCGTTCTCCAGATCTTTGGGGCTCGGGTCTCCAATTCCATCCTCGTTAATGGCGAAGAGGCAATCGCTTTCGGGGAGGCAAGGACTGTCATAGATCTTGCACACTCTCGTCTCTCCTCTGCCCTTCTTCAAGCTCAATCTCGTCGTACTGGCATGCGCGATGATATTTCCACCAATGGGTTTCTTCGGATCGGGATTAAACATATTCGGTCCACCGTCCACCTGGGCAACAACCTGGTTCGTGATGACAACGGCAATACCAAACTCATCCGCCAGACGCTGCAGGGTACGCATAAACTTCGCCAGGTGGGTTTGTCTCGATGACAGTTCACCACGACCGTTAAAGTCCGTCCGGTACAAAGAGGTCGCAGAGTCGACGACAAGGAGCGAAAAACGAGTCTCGCACATCATCTGAGAGGCCTGATTCAGTAGCTGAAGCTGATGGTCTGAGTTATAAGCGCGGGCATAGGCAACATTGTCCAGAACCTCTTCTCCAACGAGTCCATATCGCTGGGCGACCGCCAACAGGCGGACGGGTCGGAAAGTGCCCTCGGTATCGATGTACAAACACTTCCCCTCGCCTCCACCCATGTCAAAAGGCAGCTGACAAGTGACAGCGAGGGTGTGACATATTTGACTTTTTCCCGTTCTGAACTCTCCAAAAATCTCCGTAATGGAGCCCGTCTCGATGCCACCTCCGAGTAGCGTGTCCAGTTGCTTGGAGCCTGTTGTGATCGATATAAGTTCGCTTCGTCGGGCATGCATTTCGGTTGCGGTGGTAAACCCCATCGGCACAAGCTTCGCAGCTGCACATAATCTCTAGTCAGACAAGTTGTCCCTCGCGCAATAAGAAGCCTCGACACCAATAAACTCACCCTCGACGAGAACTTTTGTGGCCTTTTGCTCCGATATACCCTTAATCTGTTCCAGCAAACGCTTCGGCCTGTATCATACCCGACAAGATGACTGTAAGCTTATCTGTAGTCGTATTTCAAATGGGCAGAAGAATCAAGGACGTACGTATATGCAATCGACTCGACGGTGTGATAGCCGGCATCGACAAACAGCTTTATATCCCTACCTGTCAACCCTGAAATTCCCTATTCCCACATATGTCAGTATATAGTTCCATTGTATGCGGATTCCACATGAAAATCCTGTTTGTTGCTATATAAGTAGGGATCGCTTACCTCCAAAGCTGAGAGTGGCGTGGGAGCTCCGGGACCCGGAAGCCCATCGTCAACCTCGTTCTGAGTCTCCATGTCCATGTCCGCCGTCATCTTCTCTGGAACCTCAGTCTTTGAGGTTCTAGTAGTCAGTTACGCGTAACCTCACTGCTGAGCAATTCCCGGTGGTGTCCGTGGGATCAAATTTGCTAGGCGCGAAAACGCGTCCGTTTGGGTCAGTTGCGGTTTCCTAGTTTATTCCAGATCTCTCACTGGACAAAATCCAAGATTTGGCTCGGTCCAGGTTTCGTGGGCAAGAAGGACCTTAAGTATCCCGGTTTCAGGAGGCTTTGGTATTAGTGTGGCAAAACGCCGTGGTCGCTACAACCAAACAGTCGTGTTGCGATTGCGGACGCGTCCAGGCAGTCGCGACATCACGTGCTCGGCTGCTGCCTTGGAGACCCGATAAGCTCAGCCTGGGGCTATAACTTCAGGACGTCGCATCTACGGGATTACTCCTGTGCCAAATCAAAACCACGCTATTAAATAGCATATAAAAGACATGGCTTGGTCTGTATCACAAAATGAGTACACGCTGTCCGCGCCCCGATGCATCCACACTCCAAATGAGGACTACACACTCTCACCATGGCGGCTTTTGACCCGTTCCTAACTCATATCCAACAAGCGGCAATACCCAGGGTGAACCTTTGCTTCTATTTCCAGACCCAGAAGCTAATTGCCTTGCAATACAGCTAACCTACTCGGTCGTGGTTTGTCGTAAAAGGATGTAAGAAGATCGCATGCTCTCAGGTGGTTTGCAACGGCGTTCTATGACTCCCAACGGCCTCCTGGTTAATCGCATTTAACTGGTATATTTCTGCGGGGTTTGTTCGGATATTCTCGTCAATCAGCTTGCTGATCCTTCTTCTGAAGCTTTCGGATGAAGTCCGACGGTGTCCTGGCCAGTAGTCAGTTTGACTGGGCAAGTTCAAGATACTTTCAGGCGGCTCACCATCAAGTGCCGGCCTCCTCTTATAGCCCTCAAATGGTTTTTTGACCCACGAGCCTCGAGCGCCAAACCAACCTTTGGATCGACGTTTGTCAGGGACAGCCAAGCAATCCAGTTCATTATTTCCCCGGCTATCCAGCTGGAACGATCGGCTTGTTCGCGGGACATATGTATTTTCAGGCCGTCCGTGCTCGATATCTGGGACTTTGGAAGAGCCGTGCGGTTCGAAAATACTAGGTATTGACACCGGTTGATACACTCGCTCGGGTCCCTGGATATTACTGGGCGACAGTGAGGGTACCAAGGCTGGCGCTGAAATGATGCTCGCTGGTTCGCTTCCCGACAGGACGACGGACTGTCTCGCTGAGCGACATTCCGGTGTCCATATACCTTCCACTTGGATCCCCCTCTCCAGGGCTCTGGCACCGAATGGTATCTCGCTCGTTTCGGTCAACATAGGTTGCATTTCAGCCCTTTGGCGTGCTTCGGCTGCGGCATATTTCTTCATCGCCTGTCTGTTGTATGCAAGGACGCCGAAGGAGTACAGCAACACCAATGCCTTTGCATGTTAGCCAGGTCCACGATGCGGTCTTTGGCGCTTACCAAAAGACATGCGAGCACCTAGCAAATGGGTCAGTGACAATTCCCTCCGTGTAAGTTGTGTCGCTAGGCCTTACAAAGCTCAATTTCTGCCACAGTGGCCAGCCAAGCCAAAATTGCATGCTGTGCAGTCGGGCCTCCGTGGTTTGGAAGCTGGGTGGAGGCGAGGACGCTTGCAAAGACAGACTTGCGGGTTGTTGCTAGACTAGTATCCTGGATAGAGCTATAGAGAAAGCGAAACACTCCCTTTGACCGTTTCATGAAAAGAAGTATGCCAAGGCCAAAGCTGTCTAGATCGTATCGTCTGAGAGCGTGTCACAGTAGACCACAACAAAACGGGGATGGTTGGGAAGTGCGACATTGCTTCCGTCTTTCAATATGGTGATCGAGGGAAGGTGTGACCAGGCAGCCGGAAAGAGAAGGTGGCCAAGTGCTGCGACCAGTCGTCGCAGTGTAGAACAGTATCCCGGTCGTATTTATCGATGTTTCGGTCGCAGCAAGAGACTTATTTTGAAGACGGGTTCATCAATGATTTAGTGGCCCTTGTCCTTGTACTAAAAAGGAAATGGTTGTCCCACACCACGACTTCGACATGAAGAGCATGTAGGCACATTTGATGATGATTTAGATAGAATAGACTCCTCGTAGTAGTCGCGCGCAAAATGACACCATCTACTGCATAATATCACAGCAGCCAACTACAAATTCAGGCTGTGAAGCCATAATATAAACAAATGAGGCACGAATCATGCTCGAATAAAAAGGAGAACCGACAGCGTGAAAAGGATTCTACTACGTTGGCTTTCTCCCATCTAGGTGTGTATACAAAAAAAAAGAAAAAATGACTACGGCATCCCGACAAAAAAAAAAAGAAGAGAATAGTAGTTGTCCAACCAAAGTGCCAACTTCCCTGTAACGGGACGGTGTAATCTGGCGACGCCACCCCAGGGTGGAAGTGTCTCTGCAGAATTGCTTCCCTCAAGGGTCACTTCCATTGCTTAGCGCCTCGTAGCATCGTGGATTACTCGCACGAGTACAATGACGACCCCAGGATTCGTACCAGGCACCAGTCCCGCTGGCAATTACCTAAGCAAGGTTATCGACTTAGCGGCTGACCTCCCACTGGACTATCCATGACAGATTAGAGAAAGTATCCACAACAACGGGTAACGTACCTACTGCATACCTGCCAAGAGGCAACCACACCAACGACACCGCAACCTCATGACCACCACCACGCTGTTTATAGAGCTCTGTTCGTGATGTAGTAGCCATCACTCACTGTATGATATTGTGATAACTTGAATCAGCCTTGTTGAGTATTCCGGACAACAAGAGTAGCACGGCTTACATCACTTCTCATCGAACTCCTGTCACCGCATATGGCTCGGCTTACTCTATCCGGATGGAAATACGGAGCAAAAGGTAATAACGCGTAAGAATGACCCCTTGTTTTTTGTCTTTTCTGCTTTATTACAGGCACATAAGCAATGTGAAAAGAGTACAGATAAGACTCGCCCCTTAAAAATGAACAAAACCCCTCAAGAAACCCATCGACCCACCATGGCACTAAGAAAGACGACCCCGTATACCATCATCCACCCACGAACATCAAGCAGAGCACACTCAGGAAAAGTCTCACTCCTCCCTAGCCCGCTGCTTCCTGGCCCGCCTGCACTTCTTCTTTCCGAAGAGACTTCCCCAACGCTTGCATGAGCCCGAGCAGCAGTCGACGTGGAAACCGCATGTACTTCTGTTTGGGGCACATGTGCCGCCACGGCTATCGGTGCATGTTCCGTTAGTGCATGTGTGGAAGCGAGAGCAGTCCACGTTGGCGTTGCAGCCAGCGATACAGCGACCACGATTGCAAATCTGGCCAAAATCGCAATGAAGGTTGTTGTTGCAGAGAGGAGGCGCGGATTGGAGATCCCCGGAGTCTTCGACATCTTCGGCATCTTCGACATCATTGACATTGTCGGTGTCGGTGTAGGTGTGGTCGTCCTCGATGTCACGACGCAGAACGGTGGCCGTCTGGTCGGCATCATTTTCACAGTAGGGAACGGCGATTTCGTATCTCGCCTCGCGGGGAAGGACCCTGGCAGAGGCACCTCCAGCTACTGCGAGGACGGAGAGGCCCGAGACGATCACGGTTGAGAGACGAGGCATGATGATGTTTGATAGTATAGACTGGATAAAGATGAATCAGCTCAAGCCATGACATGCACGATTGCCTACTTGTTTGGCCGTCTTTCGACAGCCAGCAAGATGCATATCGTAGCTGATGGAAGGGAAATTACCTGTAGTTGATCAACTTGTAAGCAGAGGATGGAGTCGATGGATGCTAGGGAATGCTTAAAGATGTGGTAAAGGTATGAAAGAGCTGGGGAAGAAGATGGTACAACTAAGACGATGGGAGCTGAAAGACCGCACTGGGAAGGTGCGCAGACGGCAGGTGCTGGTCTTCCCACCCATCTCGGCAAGAACATGATGATAAGTAGGCACCTTGGACTCTATATGTAGCTTCCTAGATCAGTAGTAATGCATCAAGAAACTCCCAGACATAAAGAAGCGAGGGGATAGCCATGGCGCTTGAAGCGGACAGCAATTTGTAGAATCAGCTTTTCTAAATATAGTATCTTGTCTATTGATCAAGGCCCAATATTTTGTAGGTGAAGTTCAGCAATTAACGTCTGTACCTGGGAAGATTGAAGAGCTAGTAGATACCTGCAGGTCAAATGATGCGTATAACAGGAGTACTACCTTATACAGTAGATAGGTTTGGCTCATATAACAAGGTTTTCTCCGGCGTTCCCTGGGTCCAGCTTTCCAGAGTGAAGGTGCCTAATGAATTAATGCACATTCAAGCTTTGAGCCATCATTTCCACCCAAGCGAGTGCAATGACAAAGATACCGACCAAGACATCATGTATGGCCGACCTGCCATGCGATTTGCTAGCATTGAGAGGTTGTTGGTAACATGACAGACAGATATCTAGTACGGTAGTGGCTGTGATAGATGGCAGGCTAATTGCAGCACTAGCAGTGCACTAACCCCGTCTGTTCATAAGCTCGGAGCCACGCTTAGTCAGGCGGTGTATAAGGGCCCTCATAAGCTACTGGGTAAAACGCCATGACGCTATTTCAGGGACGGTGGAATTCTAATGAAGCGATGATGATATCCCCCAGTCCCACTGCCATGGTTTTGACTTGTGAGAAACAAATGCCAGGGCCGGCCAAAATATGTTTGTTGCACGCACGCCAGTGGCAAATCAGCCACGTCGTGCCCTTTCAAGGGATTCGGAGCGTCCCCGCCCAGTAATTGTGATCACTGATCCCACCCCCCAACCCCAATCCCTCCACCAGGCGAATGAACCACCCTCTCATAAATTGAACCGATGCCCGACGCCGCCGATCATGTGAGGTTCGAGTGTTGTACGCATCCTGGCCAGCGACTCGCCCTGCACTGATCTCGCCATTGTCCCTCCTCCGTCATATTTATTCTCGTCCCGGCGGCTTTTTGTTCCTGACATCTGCGCGACTGGATCTACTCACCTGCTGCCGCCCTCTTCCCCTTCTCCCAACATGGCGCCGTTCCGCAACTTCTTGTCCAGAAAGTCCACAGCCCCCCCCAATGGCGGGGAAGTCACTGCCAGCGACACCAACGCTAGTAGTCATCTCTCGCTCGACAGCCATGCCTCGACTCCCATGAGCATCCGGCAAAGTACTGATAATAATGAGCCCCCCGAATACAAGCTAAGCGGTATGTGCAGTCGGCGAGTCTCAGCGGTACTATCTCAACCCCGCTAACTTCCCCTCTTTCCCGCCAGTCGTCGACGCCAATGGAATCTACCACCCTGTATGTCGCACCTTTACCACAACAATCACATGGCGGCTCATCTTCCTCGCCTGATGGCCAGGTTACTCACATGCGAATAGCCATCCCCACCCGAAAAGGCCAGCATCTGGCGCAAGTACCCGGGATCTCCGAAGTCCTCGCACTCACACCATCGCGATCTTGTCGATGAGAACGAACCTTTCTCGATATCTCGCGAGTCATTCGACTCATACCGGCGGTCATTTGTAGGTGGCCTCCCAGGCGCTCTTTTTCCGCGCGACCCCCAAACCCAACAACTCACACTGCTCCACCAGGATATCTCCGCACGGTCCCCCATATGCTACAGCGACGCGATGCCATCCCGAACGTCGCTTGACTCCCGAGTCTCCCGCATGACATCCCTCTCATCCGCAGGACTCCGCAAACAGCCCGAGACCATGGAAGAAGAACAATTCGAAGAGGTCGGACTAGACGACGAGGAAGTCAAGCCCAAGCGGAAGAGCATCTTCTCTCGATTCGGCGACTTTACTACTACGAGCGACTCCCCAAGCACCAGCAGCACATCCAAGACATCGTCTCTCGGCTTCCACATCCCCGGCCGTAAGAGAGGCCAGAGCAACGTGGGCTCGGAACTAGGCACCTTCCAGGGACCGCCAGAGACCGATGTTCGTGATGCGTGATACAGAAACCAACGGGTGTGTAACTACTATATACTGGGTAATTCGATAATCTGTAGGCGTCTGGGCCGGGGGAAGGGTTGGGGGTTGTCATCCATTGCATTATGGCTTTCTTTTCTTCTTCTTTTTTTTTACTACCACACCCATCCATTCACGCTCGACAGCTGCGCTGTATGGTGTTGTCTGGTGAACGGTTGGTTTTGGCTAACCATGTTGCGCGTGCGCGCGCATGCTCATGCATTGCATTTGCTTTGCTCTGCTTTGCTTTCAGTATTCTTTTATCCAACCGATAGAAAGTCCTGCTTGCCATGCTATTTCATGTCATGCCATGCCTTGCCAGGTTTCTGAGTGTCCACAGTAGACATCAGACAAAATGTTCCTTTGTTCAATTTTCGGATCTCGGATCCAAGCGGTTCCCTTATCCGGCCGGACTGGACTCTCCCTTATCAGAAGTCAGGACCAACAAACCATGCAAACCATGCAAACCGCCTCCCCGACCGCGGCCTGGAAAAAAAAAGTAGAGCCTGTTCCTCGGTTGCAATTGTAAAGAATATGAGCTAACCATGGGTAGAATGCTCTGATTTTTTTTTACTGAGAGTTTTTTAGTCTGGCTTTTCAATGCATTTATGCGCTAGGGGGTGGACTTATGTAGTTGCATAGATATACTCTGACGGATGATTGGACTAAATTGAGAAGGCTTAAAGACTTGCAACTACTTGAAAGTATAGGAAGCTATTCCTATTAGAAAAGGTCTTCTGAGGTGAGATTTCACTTATAAATATGCTAGATGGTAGACTACTTATGATACTGGTTACTCCAGAACAAGCAACATTCTTTAACAAATATCAAGTTCATCACCCTCTTCTTTCCATCCAGCTGTGTATACAGAGTCGAACAAAAATATACAACCAAGCGCCTAGTAGAATCCATATCATTTATTTCTTCATTGCACTGCGTCGCAACAAGAAACTTATACGACATATACGCACATCCAGATAGTGGAGCCATGGTCAACAGCACGATTATTTATAACTATTCAAGACATGCCACTATTGCTATGTTCGACCCCATTAGCCTCAAATTCGTGGCAGGCGAACCCCCCCCCGTCCCACTGCCGAGGGGCCGCCCCCCCTGACTTTCGAGTTGGAGACGCGTTGACAGCAGATCCAGATCCAGATCTAGATGCAAGATTACTCACGTCTCCTATCCTTCAGGACTGTGAAACACAGATCTAATGGATATCTCTGTTATATGCAGAAGAAAAGGTACGAAAGGAAGCAAGCATAGTAAATATGCATTTGCATAGGTAAGTAGGTAGGTATCTAGATAGTATGAACCACGGGGAGGTGTTTCAGGGGCAAATGCCGGGACCTGCGCAAGGACTGAAACTAGCCGCCGGGGCGGGCTGGGGGGATCCATGGGACCCGAGGTGTCGTTTGCCAGTTAGATTGGGAGGGGAGCGATCGTTTAATGACGATCTCCGCCTGCAGGCCTGGGGGCCGGGTGGTTACTTGGTTTCAAGACTTGGTTGTCGGGGTCGTTGGTGGAAGGTCGTTTGAGGATTAATTAGACTTCGGGAACGGGACTGGCTGTGTTGATGATGCTGATGGAGCAGGAATATCATAGTACTACTATGATCAGAATCAGATAGCTTTACTCCATCAACAGTGGGCGGGGAGGAGTAAGGAACACCCATGAACTGGTGCAGCACGATGTGTTACGTTACAGATTTACCGAGTGGTTCCCCTGGACTTGGATCTGGGCCAACCCACATAAATGTTCTCCATCATGATCAATCTAATGGCAGTGCGCGCCAATAATGCGTGAGGCTGAGGATTCTTATCGGCCTCATCATCAACGGTTGCTGATCTCCAATGACGGCACGGATCCCTGCCTGTTTGGGGCTGAAAAAAAAAAAAAAAAAAACAGGCAAAAGGAAAGGAAAAAAGGGACGATGGTCGTGGCAGTGGGCAGTGGCAGTGGCAGTGGCAGTGGCAGCCCAAAGCAGGAACCAAAACCCAAAACCAGAACCAACCCAGAATGGCTTCCCCCCATTCAGCCTGAGCTCAGCAGCGACGTGCGGTTTCCTGACTTTTCTTGTGTTTGCTTTTTGGCTTTCTCTCCTCCCTCAATGCTTTCCCAGCGGCTAGTTAATGCTTAATCTTAATTCCTAATTTCTAATCCCCTGTCGCCGGTGGCACGACCGTCCTTGAACGCCACTTGCCCTTTCAGCAAGCAGGCTGTGCCCTCATTTTGTCTCGGATCGGCTTTGCGACTGCAGCATCACCTGCAGATACTATCATCCCACGGACCTTCATCCCTTCCATCCTGGCCGTACTTGCAGGCCCAGACCTTCATAAGCGAAACCAGCTCGGCATCCCTGGTTGCAGATGGCCTGGGTCTGAGCGGTGGTTTCTGTCGTGTACTGGGCTTCATTCATCACTGACCCCGACCAGCAGGGCGTGAGTATAACCATGCTGGCCACCGCGTCCGCCGCGGACGACGCTGGCCACCATCCTCGTCCCCGTTCTTCTGCGCTCCCTTTGTCGCCGTCACCGACCCTGTCGAATCCCGATATGATCCTGCCGTTCGATCACAACAGTCGCGAGTCCTCGACCCCGTCCCCGCCGTTCAATCTCCCCTCCTTGTCCAACCTCCAGACCTTTTACGAGAAGCACACCGCCCCCGAGGAAGTCGTGGACCACACCCCGGGTGTCGCATCGACGGGCATTGCCCTGTCGTATGGCACTCGACCCCCGAAAAAGGGCTATTCACGTCATACATGGCTGCACGAGGGGGTGGATGCGAGTCGTCGGTTGTCGGATATCGGGGAGGAGGATCTCTCGCCGTCGCCAGCATATTTGGAGAAGGGAAGTTCGGGAAACTTACAGGTCATATCGCCGACGGGTCGGATGGCTGGATCGCCTGTTTCACAACACGAGACGGGTGCGGTGGAGGCTAGGGAAATGGCGGCGTGGAGCAGCTCGTCTAGCTCGACAGTTAGTGGTGCTAGCGACTCGTCGCAGGATGGCACTAAGGGCCGTCAGGAAGCTCGTGGTCTTCTGCAAAATCCTCACCAGCTCACCGACGGTGTGCGCGCGGCGATGGACAGCCTGAATGGAAATAATGGTTCAACCCCGAGTTTGCTGGGGTCGGAGGAAGGCGGTCCCGGGGTGGAGCTGCCGTCCGCCGTGCTGAGCACCGAAGCCGAGAGGATCCTGGAAAACGCGAAGAAGCGCCTGACGGTATGTCGGGAAGAAAACAAATGCGGTTGCCTGTCAATGGGACAATGGACTAACGATTGCCTTTTTTAGCTCATGGAGGGCAACCTCTCTCGGGCTCGCACGTCAATGCGCGCGTCTCCGTCGCTGTCGGCATCACCAACGCCATCCGTGGGTCATCAACAACTGGGACTGGGTCAGCCAGTCGGGGGCCTGTATCAATCCATATCTCGGACCGATCGTCGAGCGTCGACGCATCGTACACGTGCAACGTATGTCTCCTCTCAGGATGCGATAAACAACCGACACTCGCGGGTATACAGCGAAAGCAAGCTGCCATCCACTGCATCGAGTCTTCCTGCCGTTGAAGACCTGTCCCGGTCTGTCAGCGCCTTAGGCTCAGTCACTTCCCCGAACCTTCATCATGATGAGCGAAGCTTCCGCTACGACCCAGCCCGTGCGTATCTCACCCACCGGGCGGCTGTATCAGCGATGCAAAGGACCCAGGCCTGCGCGTCGCCGCCGGAGTCGAACCAGCGAGCCCCGTCTGACTCACCTAAAGGACTAGGCATCTCCACGGAAGAACCCGAAGAACCCGAAGACAAGGTATACGATGTGGAGGGAAGCAGCCGGGCCTATCCCACGTACGATCCTCCTTCCCGATCGCAGTCGCAGCTGCAGGTGCGCGATCTCCAAGATCAAATGAAGGGCCTACACATCAAGATATCCAGTCTCAAGGTCAAAGCGCAGGAAGACAATCTCCGTCGTCGTAGCATGCAAAGCCTGCGGACGCCGAGTCCTCTTACATCAGCGGACCAGTGGAATCACAAGGCCGAACTGAAAGAGCGCCGAAGCAATCCTAACGTGCATGCCGGATATGGGCAGGCTGCTCAAGACAGCCGGTTTACCGGGGACTATGGCAATAGATACGAGACCGAGACTGGCACTGGAAGATATGCAATGCGAGAGCAGGCGAAGCCGTCGAATGGCCATGCGGCACCCCAGGCTTATGAGCCCGAAGACGACGATGACGCACAATCGGTAGCTGGGACCCTCTATGAGGATGCCGAGGAGGGTGATTACGATGTGGATGGCTCCTTTAACTCGGATATTGACCGCGAGACGTTGAATGAAATCTTGCGCGAGCCTCTGGATGATGATTTTGATGGTACGTTGGAGGCCTTTCCTGCGGCCCCGCAGAGCCTTGAAGATACGCCACATGAGGAGCGGGAGGACGCTTTTGACTATGAGCATTTCATCCTGCATAGCGCGCTGGGCAACTATACGCAATCTCGGATGCGACGGGAGAGCAATGTTTCCACCACGTCGGTAGAGACGACGCGACCAATCGATCACCGCCCACGACGCTCCCGGGCCAACAGTACAGCCTCGGTATCCACCGTGGCGACGTTTGAAACGGCGATTGAGGGGGACCGAGATGAGGTTGAAAGTGTTCTCTACTGGGACCGAAAATTCAATGATGGTAAGAATCCAGAAGAACTTCCAAGACAATGGCTAATAGGTTAGTAGAACTGCGCAACAACCATGTACCCGATGAGAACGGGGACGAGTCCAATGGCATGGACCAGGAAGCTGAAGGGACTCCCCGCGCGCTCCGCCGGCAGCCTAGTAGTCAACGGGACCAAGGCAATCACTATTCTGGGGCCGAATTGATGCCGCAGCGATCCGACTCTGCAACCACGGGGTCCACCACCCCCACATCTCTGGTATCCTCGCTCGTATCGACCGTTCGCGCCGCAGCCAGTCCTCACCCGAGCGCAGCGGCTAAAGGAAACATGGGCCTGAACGACGACGACACCCGGCTGTTGGAGCGGTTGTTCCAGAGCCTCGGGGATGTTTGCATGGATTTGCAGAATATCACGACGTCCGCGGACCCGGACCCCAAAGAGGTGCGACTGCTGCGGCGGCGACTGGATGCGGCACGACGGGTGCTGGACGGGGAGCTGGACACCTAGATGTAAATAATTATGGGCCGACGCCTGGAGGCAGGTCGTGCTTTTGGCGTTTGTTGATGAGGCAGCCTGGGCGCAAGCCTTGCTATGATACCCCAACGTTCGATTTAGCCTTGCATGCTTGTATGTATATAGTTATTACCGAACGAACATGACCTAATTTTCAATGGACTGTAAAAATCATGCTGTAAATCAAAGTGATGGAAGTATAGTAGTATGCAGTAGAGCGCAGTGGAGACGGCCCGATAAGACAGACTCGAGCTACCCGATAAGGCAATAAGGCCCCTCCACACCCCCGCGCACGTGTTGCGATGCGACGCGCCGCGCGCGAAGCTGTCGCATCGATGCGCCATATATTCTCCTGCCAGCATACAATCAATTGGTCGCTCGGTTCAGCTGCAGTGCCTGCATTGAATCTCCTGGCCCTAGTTAACCCGGGCTATTGAATTGACCGTGCGCCCCGGTACGCGTAACCCGCATGTCTCCAGTCAAGTCGTACACCCCTGACTTACCCACCGCAGATTAACCCGCCACGGTTACGACCATTACTTACCACTTGGATATTCATTGAATTCGCAGTAACCAGGACCGCCAGCCAGCCAGCCAGCCAGCCAGCCAGCCAGCAGGGGCCTGAAATAGGTAGCAACAACAACAGCAACAACAACCAGCTGCCTACTCCGCAGTCGCCTCTGGCTGCACCCACCAAACCCCGCCCAAGACCGAGCGAGGCTTCTATTTCTATTTCTATTTCTATTATCTCCCAGTCGCAAATCCATATACCTCTCGCGTCGCATCGCATTGCAACCCCCACCACAACCCTCCAAACCAAATATCCAGCCACCTAAAAATGGCCTCAATACACCCGAGTAAAGCGTCCAAGCGCCTCCTCATCTTCCAAGAAACGCGCGACCCCCAAAGCCCCACCCAGAATGTCTATCTCGCCGTCAACAAACTCGGGCTGCCCATCTGCGGCGCGGGGCCCGAGTTGCCGTCCGTTCTGGAACTGCCGTTGAGGATTCTCAGGGCGTTTACGGAGATTTTTAATCAGCCGAAGTATAAGGGGTGGTATGTTCTTTTTTCTTTCTTTCGTTCTTTCGTTCTTTCGTTCTTTCGTTCTTTCGTTCTTTCGTTCTTTCGTTCTTTCGTTCTTTCGTTCTTTCGTTCTTTCGTTCTTTCGTTCTTTCGTTCTTTCGTTCTTTCGTTCTTTCGTTCTTTCGTTCTTTCGTTCTTTCGTTCTTTCGTTCTTTCGTTCTTTTCGTTCTTTCGTTCTTTCGTTCTTTCGTTCTTTCGTTCTTTCGTTCTTTCGTTCTTTCGTTCTTTCGTTCTTTCGTTCTTTATTGGTGGCATCAATTTGGGAATGCGGTTGGAATTGAAGATATATTTGATTGGCGTGTTAGCTAACTAATGCGCCATGATATCGCGCTGTGTAGGGCTATCGTGGGTGCGGGGCCGTATCACGATACCTCGGAGGAAGGGAAGTACTATGCTGTCGTGCTAGAGCAGATCCAGCCAATGGAGTCGGCGGGGGTGATGGTTCAAGGGTAAGCGTGAGTGTTTTGGGGGTTTGGAGTGGGGGGAGGATGGGTAGGTAGGGGATGTGGTTGGGTTCCCCATGTTGTATGATCATGATCGGTTGTGTTAATTTTGTCTTTTCATGTCTATGTTATTTTTCTGACTTATTCTATATCCCTGTTGGATTTGGATGGGTCTGTATTACTGGTTGGTTCTGTGTATATGGACTTGGGGATGTTTTGTTGTTGCGGTTGCGGTTGGATGGGGGTTGGGTGATAAAGTGAAGGGGTGATGGATTAATGAATTATGTCTGATACCCTGGCTTTTCCGTGGGTTTCTTCTTGAAGAGGAATTTGATGGGATGCATTGAATGTGGATGATAGACAATAGCCTGATAAACTAAGCACTGGGTCAGTAGAATGGCTTACAACTGAAGAAGCGACTCTCAAATTTCATCCGCCGTCCCTGATATCTGATCCTCTTTCCTCCATAAACTGACCACCCACCCACACAGCCTCACAACAAGATGGCGCACCCATTCCACATCAAAGTCCCGTCTGCAAGCCCATCACCTCCCTATTAACATCAAGACAACCTCATCCCCACCCCAACCCCCCAACTCCCCAATATGTCCCGAGACACCAACGACCACACAACCCACACCGAGACGCCCCGCCTCCTCTTCATCTACGAGAAGACTTACGCCGGAGAATACCGGCTGTGCAGCGAGACCGGCCTTCCCATCTCTGAATCCTCGCCGCTGGGGAGCCTCAACAACAGGAAGATTGTCGAAGATGAGAATTTGCTTGTTTCTGTGAGCAAGACCATTCCGGATGACTGGTGAGCTGGGCTCTTATATTTAGTATCTGGGGTCTGATGGCAAAGCGAGGACTAATCCATGCCAGTTTCTACATTGCTAGTTACAAAAAGTGGGCAGAAAGTATAACGTCTTGACGGAGACGCGTTGAGGGCGTGCGTGCGGACATCTGGCGGGAGGGGAGGGTTATTCGTCGTCGGGATGGTTGGTTGAGCATGACGCTCCTAAGTCGTGGGCTTGATGGGTTGTTCATCTTCCAACGCCTGTCTCCGCTAGAGGTAGAGAGATATGTCCTTATCTGTATAGTATATCAATGACCCTGGAAGACGATCCAAGTGATGAAAATGCAGGCCAAAGTATGCCTTGGGCTGACGGTAACTATCTCCGACCTGCGAAATATGCAAATTATCATGATATTATACTTGTTGGCCGCAAATAAGAATATATGGATTACACCAAGTCCTCCAGCACGATGAACCACTCTCCGTTGATTTTGTAGCTAGCCACGTAGGCACTACTTTGGATTAGCATCGATATCCTTCATTACCTTACTGGTAGATAATGATGGTGATGGTGATGGTGATGGTGATGGTGATGGTGATGGGGATGGAGGTGGCGGGCTGCTGTATTCAAAGTATTACTTACAAGCGCTCGGAGAGTACTTCCTTCTTATAAGCCATTGCCAGAGAATGCAGCAGATGGGAATCCTGGTCAACATAGTCCTTTTCCTTGGGATTGGCCAGTAGGGAGGACTCGGAGAGGGGGATGCCGTTGAAGTCATCAAACTGCGTGTAATCTTCGTCTTTGTTGAATGGGACGAGTAATTTGTAAGGCTGGGCTTGGTGTCAGTGTCTGAGGGTATTTAGAGGGGAGAGGGGCTGGTGCTGACCATTTTGGAGGATTTAGCTCTTGATTTGGATGTTTGGGGGTAGATGAGATGGTTCGTGATTGGTGGATGAGATGAAGGGAGCTTATAAAGTGAAGAATGGAGATAATGAGGTGAAGGGAGTCAATGAGGTAAAGGGGTTAATAAGGCAAGAGGGAGTTGCAGGTTGAAGGTCGAGGTTAATGGCTTAAAGCGGATTGTTGGAGAGGCTTTGGATAAGGCAAGGATGGCACCGCTACTTTATATGAGCCATGCTCCATAACTACCTCATCAACATTGCCTCAAAGAGAATTGCCCCGGCAAACAGCGAGGTCAGTAGAGTATAAATTCGATCTTCTCTGACTCGAGGCTTATATAGTGATTACCACCGGATTGATATAAGTGGCTCATGTCCTATTTAATCTCCGAGTTTCTACCCTAACCGTGCACCTTTTTGTTTGTAGTTGTGTGGGTCTGTAATAGCCTGCAGTGAATTGCATGTTTCCCAGGTATGATGATAACCTGCTGTTTTCTGTAGAGTCCCGCCCAATTCGTGACTTCTATCTTCCACCTTCAACCTCCTCTTACCTTCTAACCAAACTCTCACCCCCTTTACCCAAACATTTCAAACTCCAAGCCTCTACAATGGTCAGTCTCATCCCAAGACCCTCTTTTCAATGCCGAACAAATAACAAATCCTAACTAAATAACCCAAACTGTAGACTCGCAGATTCCTCATCCGATATGATGAAAACAAAGATCATACTCAGTTCACCCAGCTCTGCGGCCTCCCCGTCTCCGAACTATCCCCGTTGGCAAACCCCTGCGAAAAAGATTTGATCAAGGAGGATGTGAGACTTTTCAAGACTTTGAGCAGGGCTTACCGGGATAGCTTGATTCCAAACCGATAGTGAGTCGCGTTCTACAATACTCGAAGAGTGTTTTTTTATGGGTAACTAAGTTCACATCAGTACCTACATGGCTACTTACAAGATCAATGGAAGTGCCTTTATCCTTTGGGAAGATCACTTGCCGGTGGATCGCTTGGTAGATGACGATGATGAGTGATTACATATCGCCATGGTGGTATCTTCGAGCAATACTTTGAACAGTGATCGATATTTGGGTGTTGGTCTGTGGTTGGAATGGTGGATAATGAGATGAGCGAGGAGTGGCTTTCTTGAACACAGTGATGTGGATCAAATACCTGTACACTTGATTTTGAAATGTAGACAGAATCAATGTGATCTTTGACCATCCTCAGTGGTAGTATCAAGAATAGCAGGATTACAAACAGTCATAACAGACACTTGCAACTACGAAGGGGGTATTTCTTTTTTTAGATAATGATGATACTTCACTACCCACACTTTCTGATTACTAGACTTCTCTTACTCCAAGTCAATCTGCAGTTTCCCAGCCCCCCCCCCCAACCGCTTGACTTCATTCCGCCTTCCAGCTTGAACTCCAACTCCTCTTGCCTCAGCAATCTCCCTCTCCTCGTCGAACTTCCTCACCTTACGCATCATTATTCACCTACAGCTAAATCTACAGCCAAAGATCTGAAGATCCGAACCACCAGAATGGTCAGTCCTAGCTACCTCTCTAGAAGACTCTCAGATCCTAACATCACATACACCACCACAGACCCGGCTCTGCAAATTCCTCATTTCATATGATGAGGATGAGAATTATACCCAGTTCAAAGATCTCGAGAAAAGGAGAATTCCCGTCTCTGACTCTTGCCCACTGGCTACTTTCAAATTGAAAGAATCGACTGTTCTGAACCGCGAGTTGCTTGAAGCTTTGAACCAGGCTTATTACGTTGAATGGCTTCCATGGCGCTAGTAAGCTTTTCTCATAAGGCAGAAGACTATCTGATATAGGAATTGATTACTGGAATAGTCGCTTTGTAGCCAGTTACAAAGTCGGCCGAGAGACCTATATCTTGTTGGAGGACACCAAAGATTACCCATGACCGTGATGGTGATACACTTGGGCCGTTTATTGAAAGATCAATCAATGGTTGCTTTCTTGTGGCCGAGAGTAATGGATGATGCTGCGATGCATGATGCTGCTTTCTTGAATATATGTCGGACTCAATCCTCAGGGGGACAGAAATAATCAGAGTGTCGCGTTCGACTAACACCTCCCTTTCCTCAAGTAAACTAAGTCAGGCATATCATGGTAGACATATTGTAGCCCGCGTGTAGCCTGTCGGTATGTAAGTAACTAGACAACTATTCAACCTGTCTCTCTCTCTCTCTGCACTCTGTATAGAGTCACCTTGCCTGCTATCAATATATATTCTAGCCCTGACACAACGGGGATTGTCTATAGGGGTGTCGGTCAAATGTCAACCTCTTTTATTATTTTTGCTATTTCCTGGTTTCTTCCCCCCCAAGTAAATCTGCTGTAAGCCGTAGTTAATATAATATTATCCGAACATACAATTCACTTCAGCACGATTCCTTCCACAAAACACTTCTATTTTTCAAACCCCCCCCCCAGGCTTCCTACTTGATTCTCCCACCACCAACCCAGTTTTTGTCACATCATCCATGAACCAAACATCTCTTCTATTTACTATTCAAAGACCCCAACCCTCCAAGATGGTCAGTCCCAAGCCCCCCCCCCCCCCCCCCCCAAAAAAACCCCAGAACCTAACACCAAAACCCCCAGGCCCCCAAACTCCTCTACATTTTCCACAAAAGCCCCAACGACGAGGTTAGTAAAAAGAACAAAGGGCTCACGGGCGACTACATCCGCATCTCCGCCTCCTCGCGCTTGGCCGACCTCCAGGCGCACGAGAAAATCGATGATGAGGCTGAGGCCAAGCTACTCATAGCCATGGCTGAGAGTCACTCGGCATCCTTTCAGGACTAGTGAGTTGCGCTGTGTTTTCTTACTCTCCTTTGCGTACCTTTAAGGGACGGGCTAGGGCCTGTCATGATAATGATACGATTATCAGCGCTGATGTTGATGATTTAGTGGCTACGTGGGCAGTTACGTATGGGGTGGAAGATATTGCGTCTTGTTTGAGAAATGCTACTAAGTGTATATAGCAAGCGAGCACTATGGTGATAATGTAAGTACATTGTTGGATCACGTCTCAAATGATTCTGTAGCAAATTGTTTTTTACCTGTGACTCGGATGGTGGATGGTGGATAGTGGATGGTAGAGAGGGGTTTTCTTGAATACATGTCATCGCCGATTCTCCGGAATTAGTTCTCAGGTGTCTAGATGTACATAGTAAATAAAGTCTTTGGATTAAGTATTCAGACTTTTTGCCCGGGAGTAGTAGAGACGGTAGAAGCAGCAGCAACAGCAGCAGCAGCGGCAAAAGTCTCCCATACAGGACAGATCTTAACCTACAGTCATACAAGAAACTTGCACAAATAAACCATCCCCTTTAAAACCACCGTACTTACCCAGGTAGGCATCTTTGTTACAACCTCACCCCCCAAAATACCTATACCTAAGTATTCTTTCTACTCACTACCACGTTTCAGATTACAGACAACCAACCAGGTAAGATACACGAAGTTCCATTTTTCCCCTCCATTGCAACACATTAGCAAGATAATGACTACCTCATTATCCCCATACCCACCGCGAATGGGTAGAAAGAAATTGAATCAAGGAAAATAGTTAACATACATACAGTACATCCCATTTCCGATGCCAGCGAGTTCTGCCAACCTACCACCATCCATCCAGTCGAAGAAAGAAAGAGGGGGGGGGGTGGGGAAGGGGGAAAAAAGAAAAAGAAAGTGAGTATGATTTGACCACATTACTACAGGGTGATTGTAAGATAGAAACGCTGCGTTATTTTCCCATCAATCCGTCCATCCGTCCATCCGTCCATCCATCCGCCGTCCATCCATCCATCCATTCATCCATCCAGTCCCATCATCCACCTCCGAATCTTCAACTTCCACCGAGGTCGCGTAGCAGGCACATCCGATCGATAACAGACACAGACAGCGCAGAGTGCAGAGTGAAACGCCCGCTTAATTCAAGTTTGTTGTTGTCGTCATAATCCATGTCGTGTGCTTTTTGTCAACAAGACAGCAGAAAGCAAGCAACTAACAAGACAGGGAGGGCCATCCTATGAGTAGACGTTGGTAGGGGGGAGGAGCTTGGCTCCGTAGCGGAGGTCGAGGGAGCGGGAGTCGGCGGGGTCGAAGGCTGTGGCTTGGCGTTGTTCGAGGAAGAGGGCTGTCGGGTTAGTGGCTTTCTCTCAGAGGAGTAGGGAGTGAGTGGGTGGGTGGCTTACGAGTGATCTTGATCATGTCGAACCAGCGGGCGGCGTTCTCGTCGCTGCCGTCGACCGCCTTCAAGATGCCGGTGTCGGGCCGTGGGGTGGCCTTGGGTGGCAGGCTGCGCATCTTCAGCAGCATGTGCAGGATGTCGGAGAAGCGGTCGCCCTGGTTAGAGTAGTAAGGAGGACGCTTGTCCAAGGGCCACTGCAGGCGCCAGTCAGTATATCAACAGAGCGATGAGTGCGAATGACTTACACGCTGCGCAAAGTTCTCGTCGTCCCAGGAGAGGAACAGCCAGCACGTTCTCTCCACACAGTTCAACAAAATGAGCGCCACCAAGAAGGTTTCAAACCAGCCGCTCTGCTGGCGCTGGAGCAATCGTCGTTCAAGATCGTTCATCACCGACTTGCTCAGCTGAGACGCGCGCTTCTCCGTAGCCGCCCGCAGCTGGCAGCAGAGCAGTTCATACGACTCGTTGTTAGTGACACCGTCGATCGGCGAGCGTCCATCGTCCGAAGGCTGTGCGAGGGAGTGCAACGAGGTGGGAGGGAGGGTCGGGTTGCAGTAAGTCTTCCACTGCAGTTCCCCATCGACCAGGATATGTGTGGCAATCCACAGCTCCAGCACCCGTTCCAACAAGGCATCCTGATCTGGTCAGCGCTGATTCTGCAATGTCACCAAGACGCGTACCTTTTTCTGCTGGCTCAACTCAGCCGCAAGTGTCAGTGTGGATCTCATAAACTCCGAGGTCTCCCGCTCGTAGAAGAATGGCGCGGTCTTTTTTATGTACATCTCGATCTTTCCAGGCAGATCGTCCGCATCGCTATCGAGCAGATATAGTTCGTGGAGAGGTCCCTGGAACTGCGAATCGTCGCCGAGAGCCTGAAGCTGGGGGTCTAGCGTCGATGCAGACGGCTTGTGGCCCTGCAGCCCACTGAAGGTAACGAAGACTAGGCTCTCCTCGAAGTGGGTAACCTCGATACGTCCAGCATAGTGTTCGAATTTGACTTGGTTGCGGATACTGCTCACGTCGTGGTACGCAAGAGTGGCGTGTAGATCTACAGTGGTTAGTTCAGGTCACAGACAATGAAGACAAACACATACTTGCGCTGTACAGCTCGTACTCCTCTGCAATACGCGTGCGAATGCATGGGTGCTTCCACAGACGGGCACTCTCAACACTAGCACAAGTGGTGCAAGGGCTGTCACCGGAACACTATAGTAAAACGCGTTAGCAGCACATCGATGACCAGGGCATGTCCATCATACAGGCTTCTTAAGCATGCGACAGCGAATGCAGGCGCCCCGCTTCCGGACCTCCTGCACCTCTCTGCGTCTGGCGGCAGAGAATCGACCGCGCACTTTAGGCTTAGTGGGCTTAGTGGAATTACCAAATTCATTCACAAAGCCCTTTGTGGAGTTTGGGTTCATCGCGATCGGACGAGGGAAGGCAGCGGCGCGTTGTGTGGCAGCAGTCAGGGTGGGGTCATGCTCTTGGAGGCTGTCAAAGAGGAGCTGTTCCTGGGTGGACAGCTGCTGGTTCCACGGGGGACTCAGTTTATGAAGGCCGTCACCAAGCCCCGCGCTACCATCATGATCCATCGGGATTCCCTGCGGCACCATCTCATTGGCAGATGCAGCAATCAGGGACAGTTGCGACTGGCGCGCGTTGGAGGTGGGGTCCGGCGTCAACGAAGTTTCCGCCATGTGAGGGGATGCAGCTTGCTGATCAGGTTGTGAGGAACCGGGGAGGGAAGGCAGAGAAGAATCGCTGGACGCCTGGGGAGTGCCTGCGAGGTCATATGTATTAGCGCACCGCAAGCGAGGGAAGGCAAAGTGAATGGCGGGGAAGCGCAGTGAATGAACTCGCGGGTCCTCAGGAAGAAGTAAACAAAAGCAAAGAGGACTTACCAGGAGGTTTCGCCTCTTCCTCCACCGGCTCAGACGGGGTAGGATGACCCTGGAAGCCTTCGGCCTCGAGCGCCGGGTCGACGACCACCGTCTTGCCCCCGACCGTCACGGACTGGGTGTAGGCCGGGCCGCGTTTGGTCTGATCGGACGCACCGACTTGCCTCGACGCCTCGGCCAGCACATTGAGGCCATCGAAATTCTGACGAGTCGCGAACGGCAGATCAACCGACTTTCCCTTGTTCTGCCCCGTGGCGTCCTTCTGGTCGCCGTCGGCCAGATCGGGGAGTTCGTGGAGGCGCAACAAGACGCGTTGCCGATCCCGCAGCGGGATGGCTTGACACTTTTTGACGAGGTGGTTGGTCAGGCTGTCGATGCGACCCTTGGGGAACTTCTCGCCGCACGCCTTGCACGTGTGCTGGTAGCGGTTACTCGCGTCCTCGAGCTTCTGCCCGCGGATGAAGAACTCGAGGATCAGCTGGTTCGGTTTGCGACCCATGGTGAGGACGGGCGCGCGCGTGGGAGGACACGGGAGGGAGGAGGGAGGATGAGAGCACTCGGGACGGTCGGGACTGGGACCCAAGTGGTCAAGGACTCGACAAGCCTTGCGACCTGGTCGAAGAGGTGCGAGGTGGTCCTCGAGCAGTCGACACGACGGACGACCGTGACGCACACAGGGTAGAGACGAGGGGTGAGGGAACGGATGGCAAAATAGCAGCAGGGCCACAACAAGGCCGGCAGAACGCACCACCGGCTCGGGGCCGAGTCAGAGGGGGGCCAAGAGTGACAGAGAAAGCAGACAAGGCGGTCGCAGCACAACTCAGCACGGAGCAGTAACTGGAGGGTGCGATAGCAAACGCAATGAAGCCTTCAGGGCGGGGGGTAGATGGGGGGAACAGGCAAGCCGGAGGGGGAAGAAGGGGAAATCTGGAGCAAGCAGCGGCAAAACACCGACTTTTCTACGGGCGGTCTGCCACTGGCCGCCCTCGCCGTCACGGGTTCACTTGCGATGCGCCTCACCGCATGAAAGGCGGTGATGAGATCGGTGACTGGATCGGTGACTGGCCTGCTTGCCTGCAGGCGGGCTGCATTCACACTTCCCTCACGGCTCTGCAGGAGTCGATTCCAGTCCAGTGTCCAAACAGCCTTGGGGGGAGAACAAGAGAGGAGCGCCTGGCACACTTTGCTGGTCGGGGATGTGAGCACTGAGGACTGAGGAGACTCGCTAACCCACCCTTCTCTCTGTGCTACCCTCACTAAGCAGCCCCCGTAGCCCTTTCACTAAACTAATGCTCTTCGCCTCCTCTAGGTCTCCGAGCCACCACTGTCGCAACCCTGCCCGTGACCGCCTTTTCCTGTCTCCCCCGATAAGCAAGCAGCCCTCCGATCCACCTGAGACCGATTGATACACCTGTAATGCGTGCTACAGCCTACAGCCTACAGCCTACAGCCTGCCTACAGCTACAGTCTACACGACACCGTACTTGCATTCAACCCCCCCGTGGTCAGTCTGACACACCTCGCGCTGCGGGAATTTCGGGCCTCCTCGCGGCTGCCGCCATACATTCAGTGTTACTTGTTACATGGCGATACCTCCGCCTGGCAAGAAGTCGGTCTGGCCCTCAAAAGCAAAAGCAAAGCCACAAAACCCCTCCGGCAATCCGAATATTATCTGTCATCCGTCGCCGCCCGTCTCCCGCCGGCTTGACTCTCCGCGACGTGTCTCGCGACACGAATTCGGGCACATCAGCAGATGCGGTGTTCGGGAGGCCGCCAGGGAACCCCCAGGATCGCGAAGATCCGCCGCTCTTCGCGGCCCTCAACTAGCCGGCCAGCCGTCAGCTTGACCCGTTGTGGTCCGCGTAACACATCGGTATAGAGCCCTCGCTGATTAAGCCGCATGCCCTTCTTGCTCGCCAGGAGCCTCATACTACGGTTGAAGATGTCGTTGCCCGTGAAGTAGATCAACGCCGCCCCGATCTCCGCGTCCGGCACGAACAAGAGATCGATCCGCCGCCAGAGGCGCCCGTCTGGCAGTTTAGACGCCCCGTGCCACTTAGACCCGTCTCGAAGGGACGTGGTGGCCAGACTGGCCTGCAGGAATCCTTGACGAAAGAGGCCCGGGACGACGGTCTCAATCATCAAGGTACGAATTTGCTCGATCGTCGCCTCAGGCTTAGTGATGATCAAGTCGACGTCGCCCGAGTCTAACGTCCCTCTGCGGTACGAGCCCCCGATGATGACCTGCATCTCGGGGTCGGATTTTTGCACCGCCCTCCGGACGATCGCGCCATGTTCCTCAACCTCCCGCCTTGGGATGCGCTGGGAGAAATCGTAGTAGCGCTCCACGCCCACCCGCTGCTGTTGGGACAGCGGCGCTTTAGTCTTCAGGTCCTCCAGCGACCTGTAGCCTTGGGCCAGCCATCTTGATGCCTGCGTAATCCCGGCTCCATAGACCCCCAAGAACAACTGAAGGATATGATCTTCAGACGTAGCGCTTGCGTTTTCCAAGCGACGGAGTCGGTTGGTGAATACTATCTCCTCGATTTTGTCCGCCAAACGTGTTCCAATTCCTGGAATAGCCAGTGCTTGGGACTTGGTGACAATCTTCTTCGACTGTCTCCGAAGGGCGCTGATTGCCTTGCGATAGGCGATCGTGCGCCAGTGGTCATCCGTTCGAGTATAGTAGTCCAGCATCTGCTGGAGAACTGCAATGGTCCTGGTGTTCGGGTTTTCGGCGTTCGACTTCGAGTCGTGCTTCTGCATGCAGGCAAACTTCTGTTGCCAGGCATCCGCAGCCTCGTATTTTCCAAGCATCATTTTCTTCTCGGGTTGTCGGCATTCCGATGAGTCAGAGGCATCGCTGTCGGATGCCTCAGCGGCTGTTTCCTCATCGTGGGAGTCAAAAAGCTCCAGAGGCTACATTGGATCAGCAGAGATTCGGGCATAATGTCCAAAGTAGCTCACCAAATGCTTCACAGCCTTGGCTTCCTCGATCATATCATCCAAAGCATCACGTTCCCGGTCCGGTTCTGGAACGACCGGGCCTTTTCCCGGAGGTTCGGCCATCCCTTTCTCGGGAATCTCATCGCCATGCTCGCTCTCAGACCTCTGGGACGGGGTCCGGGGATGCTGTTCTTTCTTAGCCGGCTTTACCGTTAACGACCCAATAGACGAGGGTTCATTTGCAGGCAAGTCTTCGTTCGGTTTAGGTGCGGCTGCACCGTTGACACGAAAACGTGTCTGAGTGGCACTGAGGACCGAGCGGAACTTGACGCACTCAGAAGGATAACTCTCATCAACAAGAGCAACATCCGCCTTCAAGAAGTCAGCTAGCCCCCGATATGAGTAGTCTGTCACCTACCGGAAAGGTCTCCAGACTCAAGTGTTTCAGGACGTCCTGAAATGTCAACCCTTTGTCCACAATGACGTGGGTGACATTGTCGCCCCAGGTCCTTTCCCAAAAAGCACCATAGTCTTGCGCTCGCTGGATTCGCAAGCGTCGAAGCGACGATACGTCGTTATTCGGGAAGAAGACTACAACCGTCAATAAAGCATACATAACAGCGCGATAAGCCGAAAAAGTGAGCCACTGACAGAAAACAAGTCCCCTGAATATCTGATGTTGCTCCGGAATCACGACAGACTGGAACTGTCGCTTTCTTTTGCCCGAAGTAGGCCTGGGATTCGAAGTCATACCGTCCGTAGAAATGGATCTGACTTCTGCTACCTCCTTAGGCGTACGTTTATCGGTCCTCTCGTCAAATGTGGCGCTGTTCGCTTCTAACAAAGTAGGCGGATTCGGAGAATCCCTCGACGTCGGAGTAGTCTTCAAAGCAGAACGAGGCTCTCTAGTCCTCGGCGTCCGAGACTTCTCAGCAGAGCTGGGTTCTATAATCCTCGACGTCGCCTTCAAAGCAGAAAGAGGTTCGGTAGTCCTCGGCGTCGTGGCCTTCAAAGCAGGACTGGCTGTAGTCCTCAACGATGGTGTAACCTTAACAGTCGAGCCCTTTTCAGACGAAACACGCCCCTTCCTTGACAGTTTCATCGACCGAGAAAAGTCCTCTTCCTCCGCATCTTCCTCATCTCTCACCTCATTCAGCCGGTCCAACCCCCGGAAAAAGGCCTTTTTGGCTGCAATCGACGGCGCCATGGTAAGGTGGCTGAGATCCCGCAGCCAGAACGTAGCGAGCCATGAGTCTTTGCGTCACTGCCGCATAGCAGGCGACCAAGCCAGGACGTACGAGAATACGGACATGTATACGAGAAACCGCCAAGTCATAATGACCAGGTAAGAAAGACAAGATGACACGACTCGGAAGGAAGACGCGTGAGGAAGCCACGAAAACGCCGCCAGGTCACGGGATCCATTAAACTCGGCGGATCGGCGGAACATTTACTATCCACCACCATTGCTGGGACCAAGTGCCTATACAACAAACATCCCCCATACTCACCACCCAACACACAACCATGTGGAAGGCCACGGCGCTTCTCGAGCCGAGTCTCCTCCAGGGTGGCCATCGTTGTCTCAGCTGCCAATTGCGCAGCGCTCGACACAACCCAGTCGCCGCCGCCGCCGCTGCTCTGCGGTACTACAGCACCAGCAAGCCCACCACCCGATCACCACCACCACCCACCCAAAAAGTCCAATTCCAACAAACCTACACGCCCTCCACTTCAAAGGCCCCCTCCCCCACCAGCAAACCCGGCGACGATGACTTCATCCCGCCGCCTCTGGACCGCCCCATCGGCACGGTGATTCCTCCCAAGGAAGGCCAAAACACCGGCATAGACGACCGATCATTCCGGGAACGCCGCGACGACTTCGTCAACTACGATAGACATCTTGAGCGTCGGAAAGAACTGTACGCACCCTTTTCCCCTTACACCCACATCAGTCACGCCCAACTAACCATTCCTCACACAATCACCCAGAACCCGACAAGTCGCAAAACCGTACTTCCGGGAATGGTCCAACATGCGCTACCACTCAGGAAAGACCTTCACGTCCAACCCGCGGCTTTTCAAGCGCGAAAGAGCGCTCTACTTCCCCAACATGTACGGCATAACGCTCGCCTCGCCCAAGACGCCGCAAAACACCACGACGTTGTTCCGCGGCAAAATCACCATCGTGAACGTGTTCTCCAGCCTGTGGGCCGAGTCACAAGTCGTGACGTTCACGGGCCGCGAGCAGAACCCTGGGCTGTATAAGGCGATGGAGAACGTGCCGCCTGGCATGGTGGTGCAGAAGGTGGATGTCAATGTGGAGGAGAATGCGCTGAAGGCGGGGCTGATTCGCATGTTTATGTGGCGGATGCGGGCGAAGTTGCCGGAGGAGCAGCATGAGAGGTACTTTTTGGTGCGCAGGGGGCTGGATGATGGGCTCAAGGAGAGCATTGGGATGATGAATGGGAAAGTGGGGTATGTTTATTTGTTGGATGAGAATTGCAGGATTCGCTGGGCGGGGAGTGGGCCGGCGGAGGCGGAGGAGTTGGAGTCTTTGAATAATGGCATTGCGAGGTTGGTGCAGGAGATGACAGTCAGTTTGGAGTCGGAGATGCCGGCGGGTGAGTGGCAGGGGGGAGGAAAGGGGGCTGTGAAGAAATCCAGAGTGGTCGTGCCCTAAGGTAGTTCATGGATGGATGGACGGAGTGTGTACGTATGTACATATCAGGTTTTGGGGGGTGGGTGTGTAAGATATGCTGACGACCCAGACCCAGACCCAGACCCCGACACCAGGGGCAACCCCCACGATTAATAGCTCTGTATAGTAGAAATGAATGCGAAAAGAACGATCTCCCAAACGCCATACCCATACCGACAAGGCAACGTGCTAGAACCAAACAAGTCCATCAAACAGAGACAGCAAGAGAAAGACAGCAGGAGCAGAAGGAACATCACCGCAACAACACAAGCATCAAAAAGCAAAACCCAATAAAAGCCCCCAAGATCAAAGCATCCCGTCTACGCTTGGACCCAATCTTCCCCATCAACGCATTCATACCAGGGACGGAACTCGCCGCCCCGACAATCCGCCGATTAATGCTCGCCAGGGTCTCGCGCTGCAGACCAAAGTTCTCGTTGATGGCGTACGCCTGGCTCAGGACCCCATCCATCATGTTATGGCTCTCATCGATGCGACCCCGCTCCTCGAGCATGTAGTCGGCCTCGGCCTGGGCGGGGTTCGAGGCGCGGTAGGCATCGATGTCGGAGCGGACGTTGGAGAGGAGGTTGGCGCGGTCGCGGGACTCAGCGATGGCGGACTTCAGGCGCTGGAGTTCGCGACGGTGGTCTTGGAGGATTTCGCGGTGGCGGGTGAGGTTGTTTTGTTTCAGGGCGGAGGAGGTGAGGGTTGCTTCGGAGTCGAGGAGGCGGGCGAGTTGGGCGATGAGCGACTCACGCTAGATCGGGGTCAGTGATTAAAATAATTATGGGAGTTGTGTAGGATGCGTAGGAGGCAGGCAGGGTGCGTACTCGTTCCAGTAGGTCCTTGAGCTGCGATTCGTTCCGTTGCTCCTCCTCCGTGGGGGTCGGAGGTAGCTTTGTTAACGAGGCATATTGGGAGTATGTGTGGAAGAGGTTCTCGGTCTATGTTTGTTGGGTCTGTTAGCTTGCCGTGTACTATCGAACGAGGTATGATCTAGACAAGAGGCGTACTTGAGTCTCGAGTGATCGGGCTTGCTGCCGGAGCTGAGCCCACCCGGTACCGGTTGAGGTAGCCATGGATAGGATATAGATGGGATGATGGAGGGGACTGGAGTGGAATGAACGATGACGGCAGTGGATTCAGTGAGAGTAGACGGGGATCCGTCAGACAGAAGAATAATCAGGCGTCAATGAACTCAAGCCCCAGCATAACCAGTAACCAGTAACCACAGCAGCATGGAAGCATCCGACCCGCGGGGACAGCAGTCGTACGTAGTCTCCGTAGTTAGTAGTGAACGGACTAGTGGAGCGGCGCGGCCAAGTCAGCCCAGCCGCCAGTCGCCAGCCAGACCAGACCAAGCCAAACAAACCGAAGGCGGCGTCATGGTCACTAAGACACTAGCAGTGATCACCAGCCACACCCTCCACCGCCACACATACCCCCATCACGTGCCCGCTTAAGCGCAGCCGCACACCCAGAAAAAATCAAACCCTAGTCCCACAACGAACATCAAATTGACCCGGTCCATCTTCAATCCTCACGTCGACAACCCGTACGATACGACACGAAGCCGCACCACCATGGTATGTTGATGCGCCCGGATATTGCCCGCGATATGAGGAGAGAATTCGTGACTTGGGAATAAATGCTGACGGGTTAATTTTTTCTATGTTCGCAGTCGTCCAAGGTCAAGGCTGGTCAGCTCTGGGGAAAGAGCAAGGATGATCTCAACAAGCAGCTGGAGGAATTGAAGACCGAGCTGTCCCAGCTTCGTGTCCAGAAGATCACCAACGGTGCTTCCTCCAAGACCCTGAGAATGTGCGTGTGAAACCAATATTCAAAAAAATATCCCGCGGACCCCTCCTGTTTTTACCCAGTTTTGCACCTGTTGGATTGTGGACTCGGCGCGGAGGAAATCGAACTCAACAAGGATGCAAGAAAAAAATTACGAACAAGAAGAAAAAACCTCGACCCAGTTGCAAGGATATCGAAAATACGAAGGATTTGTGGGAAGGTGGGGGGGAGAGGAACACCAACAACCAACAACCCGAGACACACAGTCCGACAGGCGCAATCTGAAACCACAGGGATACGGTCCAGAAAAACAAGAATCACAATACTGATACAAATGCGTTTAACAGCCACGACGTTCGCAAGTCGATCGCTCGCGTTCTCACCGTCATCAACGCCAACCAGCGCGCCCAGCTCCGCCTGTTCTACAAGAACAAGACCTACACTCCCCTGGACCTCCGCCCCAAGCTCACCCGTGCTCTCCGCCGCAAGCTCACCAAGCACGAGGCTACCCTCAAGACCGAGCGCAAGCGCAAGCAGCAGATCCACTTCCCCCAGCGGAAGTACGCTGTTAAGGTATGCGACACCACCACCACCACCACCACTATCACAGCACCGCTGTCGGTCTTTCTTCATTGCCCTGTCTTGCTTTGCAAGGGGCATAAGAATCAACCCATCGGTCCCAGCCAATACAATCAAGGAGCAAATAACTAACAGAAATCTTTCTTTCGCACAGGCTTAAATTTCATAACGCGGTCGTATCTGGATCTGGATGGAGTTACGGGAACGTCGTTTAAAGATGACGGGGTTGACCTAACCTTAAAAGAAATTGATTATGTATCTTAGAAGGAAAAGATGCAGATCGATGTTAAATGAAGGCCTTACTTGACATGATGACATGCACGATTCAAGACTTGCTGTGGCACAGTGACTGCAAAGTAGACCCAACCTGCCCCGACCTGGCTTGGTGATTAGGGGGGTTGGTTGTTTAGCGACTTACGGTTCGGTCGGCTCAGACTTTGCAACGCTACTTGGTGGGATATCTACCTTGCTATCAAGTTCTTCTCTGTCGGTCCGCCCGGTAGACGTAGTAGTAAAATTGATTCGTAAATTTCATTCGCTGTATAGTACCTATTCCCGCTCGTCGTACATACTGTTATATCTGAACGATATCCATCCATTCCTGCCTTACCATCTGATACCAAAAATCAAACATCACCCCCAACCACGACCGCCAGGGTCGCGGTATCCAAGCTTAACTATCTACCTACCTACATCCCTATCTTCCACTACCTACTGTCTGATATATACTCATTTGCTCACCTCATTCACACCCGACTCGATAGTCCACATTCCCCCACAAATACACGCTCGCAAATGTCCCAATTTAAAAATCATGCGAAACGCGAGCACCGAGCGCGGCGGGTACGTGCCCTCCGACACCTCGCAGCAGCGGACGCATCGCCGGCGGAGTTGCTGTTGTCCCTGGACGTTCAGTTTGACGCCCTGGGATAGATCCAAGCCCGTCGATACCGTCATCCGGATGGGGGTCTTCTTGATGATGTCGACTTCCCGCGTGCGGCGGTACAGCTCCGAGCGGCGGTCGGACCCCAAGCCGAGCCAGCCGTAATCGCCCATGTAGATGCTCATGCGGTCGACGTCGGATCTAAGTGCGGGGACGGTCTGTCGCAGGATGGTGGAGACAGCTGCGACGAGCACGGGGGGAATGCGCGCGTTGACGAGGAGTTCCTTTTCGGGCCCTGGCCGTTCGGCGTCGCCGAACCCGGCGCCGTGGTATGCGTGCCGTACCACGGAGTCTACGCTCGCTAGGAATTTCTCGTAGACGTCGATTCGTGCGGGAGATGCGTCCACGGTTTGGCAGATCTCCGAGTAGTATGTGCGGGCATCGCCGGTCAGGGGGGCGTTTGCGTACCCGGCGGGGATGCCGCGCAGGCCACGACAGATGAAGCGCAGGAAAGCCCGGGACATGCTGGATAGGAGCATGATGAGGGATAGGGAGTTTGTGGTTTTCACTGCGGATGAATTAGTCTTGTCGGCATCGGGGTGGTACGGAGGTTTGGACGCACATTTCTGGTTGAAAGCTTCCTGGTCATTTGATAGGCTTTCGAATTCGTCGGCTAGGTCGAAAAGCTCGTTCAGGATGTAAAGGCAAAAGTCAAGTGCCCACTTGGTGTTTCCAAGCATCATGCGTAGAACATCTGTGGAGTTGTGAGCGAAGCCTTGCGATGGCTCATATCAATGTTGGCTTACCAGGATCATGTGGCTCTGTCTGCATCCCTTTGTTGTACTGAAAGAAAAATGGGTATAGTATGGAAGCGTGTCGTAGTTGAAGAATGGACCAAGAGACGGAAGACGCAAAGCTCCGAGCTGTGTATTTGTCCTTGAATCCCAGAGAAGCTTGTATACTGAGACACCGGGGAATGTAAGGGTGGTTCATCAGTTTGTCCTGCTCGACCGTGAAGTTACAGTTGATGGGCAGCGCGCGGTATACTTCATTGATGAAGGTGGTTTGGGCATCTGGGATACTATTAGTTTGGCCATTGACCAGCGGCGACACGACTCACCGGTTGAAAGCTGTCGTATTAGGATTAATAGTATATCATCGGTGTTGACTTCGCTTCCACATCCGCGACAATAAGCCAGCGTGAGAGACGCAATAGCTGCCGAGAATTTATCTGGCGGATTGTCAGCACTCGAACAAGCCGGGTGTTGTGAGAAAACATACTTTCATCGTAAAGGCCGTTTTCTGCTCCGTACGAGTGTTCCACTACCCTGAGATGCGTCCGGCCATCACCATCCAGCATGACCGCAGCACACGCACTCGGTGAAAAACTGATGTGTTGACCTGCCACAGCCCAATTAGCCATGTTTTAGCGAGTGGGTTTGGCGGGGAAACAACCTGTGGTGTCTGGTGTGTAGTGGAACCCTGCTTGGGCCAGACTGGTCACCGTGTTCCCATCATCGATTCCATTGAACACCGCCATTGTTTTCGGGTCATAGAAGGCAACAGAGCTATCGTCGTAGGTGATGGCCAGCACATTACCGTATTCCATATGGTCTACTGAAATGACATATCGATCGGAACAGATGTCGTCCAGTCGACGCAACACGGTCCTAGGCTACTGGAAGTCAGCACAGTTCGTTGGGGGCATGGTGGTTCTCACCTTGGTCTGAGCATTGGTCCTCTTCGCAGCCATTTCGTCAAACTTCGGGTGAAGTGTAAAGGCAGCAGTGTCTAATTGCCATCTGACAATCACACTCGCCGGTCCTTGTTGATGGGTATGGCCTTGGGCGACCTGCGGTGGGGTTGAGAAGATCGCAACAATCCATGGGCTTGCCGTTGATCCTACAGCATTGTCGGAAGCTGGAAGTATTATTTCCAGACGGCTGAGGCAGTAAAGAGGGTTCGAGAAAGAATGCAGGTCTGGTTCTTCGCCGCTGCGATTACCCGGAACATTGCCAGCAGTCTCGACCTTGCAATGTGTGAAACGGAAGCTGGGGACGGGAAATTGGGTCGGCTGCCTTGGCTGCTGTGCAGGGTCCCATTGGGACGGGGTCCAGTTGATTTGCACGCGGTAAAAGCAGATCTTCTGACAGGCAGAATAAGTAGCGACAAGAACGCCATTCTGGGTTGCAACCAAGGCCGCATGTGTTAATAGCCGATCGGAGTAGCTCGTATTCTTCAGCTCCGCAGATATCTCGGCCCATCTGCCGTCTGGGTTCTGGTACAGGAGCTTCATGATGCCCGACCGTGTGATACAGACCAATGCAGCTTTATTTGCCGGGTGGAAGGGGCCAACTGGCCGGCGACGAAACGGTGAGTAGGCCCAACGACCCTGGACCTTGGCCGCTTGGTAGAAAGCATGCACCTGGCAGTGTTAGCAGCGAGAGCCATAAATTTCCCAGTGGTACCTACAGAGCGTTGGGTGTTAAGCCACATCATGCCGACAATCTGAGACCCGTCATCGGGGTCAAAGGCTGGCTGTCGCAGCCCGTTGACGCTGTTTAAGGAGATTGGGATAGAATAGATGGAAATACGGCCAGATAGATCGATGACAGCCAGTTCGGATCCAGCTTCGTTCCAGCTGAGATGGGCCAGGGGATGACCCCCATTGGCCTCTGTGATCGGCAACAATGGTGTCTCCTCACTGAGCGCCCACTTGCCGTCAGAAGGCCGACACTGGAGATGGCGAACATTGACCTTCGACGAGTCTTGTGAAATATAAGCAATACATCCAAGCTTGGACCATGCAATTTTCCTGAGCGAGTCAGCATCAGGATCTTATTGCTTTACGCTGTCAACGCGAAAGACCACTTACTGGCAACATCCCAGTAATCGCATCTCATCCAAACGCTGGGCAAGGCCTTTAGGGGAAGAAGCAGCTGGGGGCAAGCCCAACTCCAGCGAGGTGGGCTCGCCGAACAGATCGTCAACATTGATACTGTCCTCCATGATCAATGGCATTTTGGTGTGCAGGAGTCCTGATTATGTAAAGATGGGTGGTGCCTGAGGGGGGATGGTCGCAGGAGCCGCGATATCATAGTTCGATACAACGGACCTCGGGAGGTAATGTCAGAGAAGGGGGGGGGGACTGTTGGCAGAGGCGCACCAGAAGATATTCAAAGCCTCAGTTACAAGCGGGTAGATCCCGCATAGCCTTCAATCCCCGGATCCGGACTCTACCCTTGAACAGGGAGATGATCATGGATCAAGTTGACTCCCAGGTGATAGTTTCATTATTCGGTACTAGTCAGTTCGGGTGGAGCTCTCCGCTCCCCTTAGTCAGCGTCATGTGAGGTCATGTGCCCCGTAGCCCGGCCAACCGAGGGGCCAATCAGAGCCGCACCACCCGCGATGGGCGCACCGACATCATCGGCCGGTGCCCTACTTGCACTGTGCAGTGATGGCTCTGGGAGCACTCCAGAGGGTTGAATCCCGGCCTTGCTTCTCGACCCCAATCCCTCTATGTACCTTGGTGGCTGACGCGTGTATGTAAGGGGGAGATTCCGTCAGACTCCAGATCTTCTTACGGTCAATTTGGGCAGTGGGTAGTCTATATGATCTTCCTGTCGGAAACTGGCTTGGATCATCACGGTCGGCCTGCGACCACCATGCCTTTATCCACTGACGCAACATTGCGTCTGTCTTCGAGTCCCCCAACAATGCCGGAGGGAATTCCATGACCCCATGACCCCAGGGGGATGTGTAAGTGGTGACGAAAAGTCGACGATAGATGGGCAACCCTTGCGGGACACCGACAGGACAACTCTACGCTAGACTCTCATGGACAGAGATGAATCGTGGGGTCTGGGATCTATTTTAATCGTTCCATTCCCCATAATATGTCGGGGCTTGAGAAATTACGTGCGAATATATCCCAAGACAAGATAAGATGGAGAATCCCAAGCTGTCCAACGAGCGGGGCTCACACCAACTCGTCTGCCTGATCACCTACCCGAGAACAGCATCCAACCTGCTCGTGCGGATTCTGGCTTTGGAACACCAACCCAAGTTCATCGCGCGTTCCTCCGGGGCTGGGTACTGTTTTCTGGCCTCACAGCGATACATGCAGTTCAACGGTGAACTCACCAGCAAACCCGTCAGCGCATGGACCGAGGACGAGAAGCGCAAGGCCCAGCAGTTAATGCAAGAGGACTTCGAGCGGCTCAACTCATACGTAGGACTGGCTCGCAATCAGCAAAAATCGCTCTTCAACAAGGAGCACCTGCACATGATGCTGGATCCGATCTTCAAAAGCAGACAGCTATACGGTGAAAACAGCGCCGGGGACGAAGAGCCGTGGAAAGTCCGGCTCCCTCACGCTCCCACAGTGACTAGCTCATGCTTGAACTCATGCTTGAACCACACCGTCCTCCCGGACGAGTATCTGCAAACCTTCTGGCCAACGTTTCTCATCCGCCATCCCGCTCTGGTTTATCCCTCGATGTACCGGGTGTTATCCGATGTGTCCGCTCAGAGCGCAAACATTGAACGAATGCTCCAAGCGGCGATCAATCTCGGATGGGTTCGATCCCTATACGACTGGTATGCGACCCGCGAGGAATCCTCCATGTGTGCGGAGGAAAATTCACGCGGCCCGGTTATCCTGGATGCCGACGATATTATCGCGCGGCCGGAAGTGGTCCATCGATACTGCGAGATCGTGGGGTTGGATCCGACCAAATTGCGATTCACCTGGGCGGATATTAAACACGAGGACCACCCGGCCGGCGAGCGGTTTCTGTCCACACTCCGGGACTCCTCGGGGGTGGACTCGAGCAAAGTTGCTGGGACGATTGACCTGGTGCGGGAGTCGCAGCGCTGGCGGGAAGAATTCGGGGAGACGGCGGGCGGGCGTCTGATGGAAATGGTGCAGGCAGCGATGCCAGACTATGAATATTTGCGATCACGGCGGCTTCAAGTGTGTTAGAATTGTGATTAGTAGAGAATACAAAAAAAAAAAAAAAAAAAGATAAAACCCAAATTGCCAGGGTCGTGCTGCGAGGTGAATGGATGCGATGGGATGGGATGAGAGGGGATGATTTGCCTCGCACGGGCAAGTATATGTTTGTGCTGTGGTTGGCCGGAGAATTGGCTGATGCGGGCACGGCCAATCAGCCGGGGGCTCTAGCCGGAAAGCCCTTAGCGCAGTACAAGGCCGGTACCGAGCGCGCCGCGCAGAATTGCAGTAACAATGGCTGCCAACACACTGAAGCTTTTGATTCTACACTGTAGGGCCGCCCCCACCGCGTCTGGCCATACGGTTTATTCCGTAAGGACCCATACCAGGTGTTTTCCATAAGATGTAGTCTAACATTTACCATAGTAACTGGTGAGGGAATGGGATATCATCCGCATCATTGTCTTCACCCACCACGAACCACGCCTACTCCTCCTCCGTGGTCCCTCTTTCCCTCCCCTCTCTTCCCCCTCCTCCTTTGCCAGTGTCAGACGCATTCCGCGCAACATACCATCCGTTGCTCGAGCCCTGTCCACAACCCCCAAACCCCTCTCTGAAGCCACCGTCTCATCGCTTCTTCCCGAGCGATTCCCGTGGGTCAAAATAAACACGCTGCAAGCGACAGGATCTGTCTGACCGGCCTTCTCCTCTGCCTCTGCCTCTGCCATTCCCTCCCATGTTATTACGGCAGACAGTCTAACCCCCGTCGCCGTCCGTCCACTTGACCTCACCACTTGCTGCCCTCCAGCCCTTCACGCAAACCAAACCCTGGCCGTGTTAGTCACGGGGTGTTGCTCTCTCTGTCTCTGCCTCCTCCCTCTGCCTCCCTCCGCTGCTCGTCTTTTCTTCTTTCAACCATCCTGCTCTTCGTTTGTGTGGCCTTCTCCTCCCAAATCCAGGAGAACCCGACGACAGGAGCCCAGGGAAGCCGTATTTCTTTCGGGACAGCCCCCTTGCCGTCAATTCCACTTGCCAATTGATGTTCCCGTTCGTCTCCAGCCGCTCCATGATTTTCTTTCGGGACGATATCTAGCTTTGATCCCCAACCGTTCCGTGAACAGCTCGTCTGGTCCTTTCCCCCCCCCTCTCTCTTTCGCTCCCCCTTCGATTTTCTCGGTCTCACTCTCGCCGTCCGCTACCTTCATAGCGACGGCTTGACTTAATGGCGCCATCTCGTTCGACCACCACCACTACCACCACCACTACCACTACCAACAACTCCGCCCGCTCGACTCCCAACAGCCTGCTGGCCTCGCTGGGCATGGATGACGATTCGGATTGTTCCAGCCTAAGCTCGGCGCCGGCATCGCCGCTGGCACCTCCTGGGTTCTATCCCTCGCCGCCGCCGTCGCAGGACGCGGGCGAGTCTAGCGCCGCCCGCGGCCAAGACGACTTGCCGCCCGCCAGAAAGAAGCGACGGGTAGCCGCCCCGAAGGAACGCTGCACGCAGCATCTCGACCTCTCGCCCTCCGCGAGCCTCTCTCTCGGCGAGCAGCAGTCGCAGATCGATTACCTCGTCAAAACCCTCCGCGGGAACCGCAAAGTCGTCGTGATTGCCGGCGCGGGTATCTCCACCTCCGCAGGAAGTACGCATTCTCACCCCACTCCTGGGCCACACCAGGCATTGCGTCGTGCTTATTTGCTAATTCGTTCCAGTTCCCGATTTCCGCTCCACCGATGGGCTTTTCAAAACCCTCCAGAAGAAACACAACCTTAAGGCGTCCGGCAAGCTCCTGTTCGACGCCGCCGTCTACCAGGATGAGACGTTGACCGCCTCCTTCCAAGACATGGTACGGTCGCTGTCCGAAGACGCGGCCAACACCAACCCCACAGCTTTCCACCACATGCTGGCTCGTATCAGTCAGGAGAACCGTCTCACCCGACTGTATACGCAGAACATCGACGGCATCGAGTCCTCCATGCCTCCGCTGGCAACGCAGATTCCGCTCAATGTCAAAGCACCCTGGCCGCGGACCATCCAACTGCATGGGAGTCTAGACAAGATGGTCTGCCAAAAGTGTCGCTACCTGAGCGATTTTGATCGGGTCATGTTCGACCGTCCCGACGCTCCCGAATGCCCCGAATGTACGCGTAACAACGACTTTCGTATTGAGACCGGCCAACGTAGCCACGGCGTCGGCAAGCTGAGACCGCGGATCGTTTTGTACAACGAACACAACCCCGACGAGGACGCCATCACCTCCGTCATGAATGCCGATATCCGCTCCCGTCCGGACGCCTTGATTGTGGTCGGCACCAGCTTGAAGATTCCTGGCGTTCGTCGCCTGGTGAAGAGCCTCTGCTCCGTGGTCAGGAGCCGTCGCAACGGCGTGACGATGTGGATCAACAATGAACCTCCGACCCAGAAGGAGTTCGAGAACTGCTGGGATCTGATGATTAAGGGTGACTGCGAAGAAGTGGCACGGCTTGCCGACTTGAAACGGTGGGATGCGAAGGAGATATTCGACGAGTGCGACTCATCCGAAGTCGAACGGGTCAAGAGAGAACAAGGCGAGGTGTCTGTCGTTGTCACGCCGAGCAAGAAGCGACCAACCCCGACCGGCTTCCTTACACCATCGTCCAGTTACGATGATGAAGCCCAGCCCAACTCGAAGAGATCCTGCCCCAACCCCGCCAGCCGCGGACGGAGCCTTCAGGACGTCCTCCAGGCGTCCAAGGCGACAAAGCCCAAGAAGGCTGCTCCGAAGAAGACCGCGCCTAAAGGACGGGCGGCAAAGAAGGCCGAACCGGCGAAGAACTCCAAGATCAACAGTTTTGGACGGGTCACCAAGGCTCAAAAGGCCATGGCGACCAGTGACAAGGCATCGAAGCCGGAGAAGGACGACAACAAGCCGATGCACCCGTTGCCTCCCGGAGCTGCTCGCAACAACGGGCCCAACCCCATGTTCCCTAACCTGACGGCCAAGGGGGAGGAGACTCCTCCGAGTGGTGGTCGGTGGCGTCAGGACATCACCATCTCGCCTGAATCCATTCCCAGAGGAATGAACGAGCTGCTGAATGAGCCGACCGCCTAGGGCCATGATCTGCATCGCCAGCATACTCTTACCATCTTTTTTTTTTCTTACATTCTTCTCACTTTTACTTTCAAGACTACTGGAATCTGTTCGGATCCGGTTTATGGAGATACCAATGATAGACTATCTGGGGGTTAGGCGTTTGGGTGTGTGGCATAATGAAGCATAATCACATTGGACTCTCGTGTCCTCACTTTCTTCTCACGGGCCAGCGCTGTAGACATGGTTCTGGCATATGAGAATCCGATGTGTTCCTCTGTGGATAGAGGCCATGACCTGTACCAATCATTGTATAACATGGTTGCACTTCCTGGCGTTTGGGTGGACGGAGTTGCGGTTGTTTTTGCATGCGGCCGAGTGCGTGGCTGACTGAGGATTTACAGTGTGATCGGGCAGAAAACGAACATTGTACATTGTACACTGGATATAATCAAGTTGGTTGACATTCATGCAACATTCACAGCATCCATCGCGTAGACTTTAGTAAAACCAGTCAGTCAGTCAGTCAGTCAGTCAGGTCAGGTCAGTCGACTAGTCATCAGCCCAAACCGAGATCCCCTCGCAGTTGACTCCCCGGCCCATCCTCATCCTCATCCTCAGTGTCCGTGTCATCCCCCTCAACATCCGGATTCATGCCGCGCTTGTCCCGCGCAGACCGATCCAGATCCTCCACGCGATCAATATCATCATCCTCAAACCGATCCTTCCTGTCCTCCTCTTCCTCCTCATCTTCTTCTTCCTCCTCTTCCTCCTCCTCATCCTCTTCCTCCTCACCTTCCACCTCCGTCTCATTATCACCATCCACTGGCACATCCCCATCCCCATCCCTCCCCTCCTCCTCCTGCGTCTCATCGCCATCACGATCCTTGTCTTCTTCTTCTTCCTCATCCAAACCCACCCTCTTCACCCTCTTCGCTCCCCGACCCGCGCTCTCTTCCTCTCCATCATCGCCCTTCCCATCACCCTCCCCACCAGCAGACGAAGACCCTTTCTTCCCTCCTCCTCCTCCTCCTCCTCCTCCTCCTCCCCCCCTCCTCTTCCCAGCCTTCATCTCCGTAAACGCATCCAGCTCTTTCTCAAGTCGCGCCCGGAACCCCTCGAACTCGAGCTCGGATATCGCGCTGAAGACGTCGGATGGCGCGACTGTTCGCTTTAGGGTGGCTTCGTTGGCGCTGTTGCGTTGATGATTTCTGTTAGTGGTGTTTGTGGGTGGTGGTGTGGGTGTGGGGGGTTGTTTTGGAGATAGGGTAGTAAGGGGGGGGGAGGGGGTAAGAGATAGGAGTTGTGGTGTGATGCGATGTGATGAGTTTGATATAGAGAGGTAGAGGGGGAGAGAGATGGGGGGGGAGGGAGGGATATGGGATGGGATAAGTGAATGGAAGGGAAAATAGATCAACAGATGGATGGATGGATGGATGGATGGATGGAAGAACGACATACTGCGAAGACAAATACGAGACAAACACCGTCGCGGCCTTCTGTATCGCCAGCACCGCATCCTTCTGTATGGACGTATTCGGGGGCAGGACGGATTTCGCAAGACGAAGGGTGAGGGATCGGGGGAGGAGGTAATCCTATTCGTTTCAATTTTCAATGTGATTAGTTTTCATTCTTGTATTTCGGTCTATTCTCCCTTTCGCATGCGCTCGCACATGCACATGCACATGCACATTCACATTCACATTCACAAACCATAGCCAACATCTCATCTCTAGATAGAGATAGATAGGTCGAGCAATGGATGAAGAAGACAGGAAAGATACGCGGGATGGCACAAACCTCAATACTGACCCCCCCCTCCGCACGAGCCTTAAGCTGTTGCTCCGTCGCCTCAACAGTCTGCCCCTGCGGTAGAGACGGGGGCAGCTGGATCTGCGATTGTATCTGGGACTGCGAAGTCTGCGATTGGGATTGGGGTTGGGATTGGGATTGGGATTGTGGCGAGGACGACGACATCGGTGTGGTTTCGTCTGCCGCGGGCGTGGAGGTGGATTTTCGAGGCATCGTCGTCGGCCGACCTGCTTTTCTTCTGTCTTCTCTTTCGCTGCGGCGTGTATAGGATATTCTGGAGGTTCAGGGGATAGTTGGACGGGGTGTTATGTAGGTAGGTCGTATCGGGTTTGTCGTGGTTGTGTGTGGTTTGGTCTGGTCTGGTCTGGTCTGGTCTGGTCTGGGCCAAAGGGGGGAGGGAAAAAAAGGTGCTGCACTGCTGCTGCACGCGACGCGGCGGCGGCGGCGAGGCGGAGGGCGCGTGTGGATCGGGGAGGTTATCGTATCGTATTGCCAATGGTCGGGGGTTCGGGGTCGATAGATTTTTGTGTTCGCTGACGGTGAAATAGAATTGTAATAATATTTGTTTGATTGCTATTTTACTGCCAGTGGTTGCTGGGTTGGTGGGAAGAGGTTCGTTCGGTGATGGTAGGAGAGATATATATCATTTCCACGGCGGGTAGCTATCCATATTGAAGGTTTGAGTCCATCCATCATGTTCACTGTCTGAGCCACCAACGCCCACACCAATATTGTGATTTAAGTTGTTTTGAATTGCGACGATAGATTTTGAGATAATATGAGCAAGGCAAAAAAGGCATAGCAGTTCTGCAGAGCATTTGCAGGTAATCTTTACAGCATTCTACAAAATTTATACCGGTTTACTCAACATCACAGAATACGGACTGTACAGATTCATGCAGAACTCTCATGACAGCTATCTACCTTTTAAGAACCATAAACGCCTGGTATCCATAAATCATCTATTCGGCCATCTCCTCGTCCCCGTTGCCCCAGAGCCCCTCGATTGAGAACTCCTTCGCCCACTCCGTCACAATCTGCTTCGTGTCCACCCCGGACGTCGCGTTCGCCGCAGGCGCTCCCTCGGTCGTCGTCACAACCGGCAGCACGGGCGCGTTGACCCATCCTTGGATCCGTCCGTCCCTCCAGTCGTTGATCACCGTCATCGCCGCCGCCTCGATGTTGGGCACACCACCCTTGCCCAGACGACCGCGTTTGCGGGCCACGTGCACCAGGAAGTCTTGGGTCGGGTCGCCTCCGGACGGGAGCAGGGCCGGGATGTTGTAGAGCTGCAGCATCTTCGTGACCAGGTCCTCCGAGGTGGACAGGCGCTTGACGAGCAGAGATACGGCCGGAACGGGGTCTTCGATCTGCTTGGGGGGAATGGCGTTAAGAAGGACCAGACGAGCGTGCTCCTCCTGCTTCTTCTTCTTCTTGCCGCCCTTGTCTCCCGCGCTGGGGAAAACGATACCGGGCGAGTCGATCAGCTTGAGCTTGTTGTCCAGCTTCACCTCCCGCAGACTGGTGGTCACACCGGCCTCCGCGCCCGTGGGGCAGGCATTGCTGACGCCCTTGTTCAGGCGGGCCGTCAGGGCGTTGATGACGGAGGACTTGCCGACGTTGGGGTAACCGATGACGCCGACCTTGATGGACCGCTTCATCTGCTTGTTGTGCGCATAGGACTTCAGCGCGCGGAAGAGCGTCTCCGACGTGCCCTTGACGGTCAGCTGCTTGTGGTCGAAGCTGTGTGCGTTGGCCGTGCCGTTGGAGGCCTTCAAGGGCAGCGTGGGGAAGGACCGGCGCAGGTGCAGCAGCCAGCCCTTGAGCACCGGCGGGGGCACAAGGTCGATCTTGTTGAGGATCAGGATCAATCTCTTCTGGCCGCCGTCGGCCGTCATGATTTCGCGCTCCACCTCCTTGGACCGGGTGCCCTCCGGGTCACGAGCGTCAAGCACGTACAGAACCACATCCGCGTTGTCGACCACCTGCTTGAAGACCTTGTCGAATGCGCGCCGCGAGCTCTCCTTTGATGCCGTCCGCGAGACCAACGCAGGGGCCGAAACGTCCAGGGGCTTGCCCTCGTCCTCGTCCTCGTCCATCTCATCCATGTCTTCGTCATCGTCCTCCTCCATCTCATCGTCATCGTCATCCTCCTCGTCCTCGTCCTCGTACTCCGCCGCGCGCGCACGGGCGGAAGCGAGAAGCGCGGCCATGGGGTCCGACGAGTCACCGATATCCTCATCCATCTCATCGTCGAGCAGCTCGTCGTCATCGTCAATCATGTCACTGGCCTGGACGGCATCCTCGCCGGCCCCTTCCTTCTGAGCAGTGCGGCGGGCACGGGCTTCGTCGCGGATGCGCTGTTGCTCCTCCTGCTTCAGGCGCTTCTTCTCTTCAATCTCGTGGAGAATCTTGTCCTTGTGGGGGAAAAGGTTCGGGATACCGGGGTCCTTCTTGATCTTGGAGCGCCATTCGGGGTTCTGTACGGAGTCAGCTATCCAGTTCTGCAGACACACCAGGTAAGAATGTTTATACCTTCTTGGCAAGCTTTCTCTGCTTGCGCTGCTTGGCCGCAGAGGCTTTTTCGATCTTGTGTCGTAGGCGGACGGGAGTCCGCTTGGAGTGCTTTCCTGGGGAGCATTAGCACACCGGGGCGATTCGCGCGGGGAAAGGGGTAAATACCGAGCTTGACCATCTTGACCGAGTTTCCTGTTAATACCGACTAGTAAACAAGAAAAAACAGCACGAAGGAGGGCAGATAGTTCCACCAGACAGGCCAGCGAACACTCGTCCGTCCGAATAATTTTGTGCCGCCAAGATTTCGGCCGCTCGCGCTAAGATAACGGCCGGCTGCACGTTTTCCCGATCTCCGGGCTTGGGCATGGTGGGCGTTTCGTTCTCACCACCATCACCACCACCACCACTGGGTCTACTTCTACTGTCCCTCTTTCCAGTCGTTCCTTTGCTGACTTGTTGCGCTGACTGTGTCCGCTTCTCTTCATCACTTCTCAACCCTCTGAGACGGTTGATTTGGACTTGTGCATTTCCCCTCTTTTTGCCCTGAACTTCTTGTCCTACAGTACTACACACATACACCCGCCCCGCTATCATGTCTCCTTCCGGCTCCTTCTCTGCCCCGCCGCAAGTCCTCATCTTCGACGGACTACTCTCCGACTTTGACGGCACCATCGTCGACTCGACCGATGGTAAGTGCATCCCGCATCTTGCCTTCGCCTGCTACAGCCGTTCACTGACGCCTGATGCCCAGCTATCGTGAAACACTGGCACAAGTTCGTCCCCACCTCCCACCACCGTGTAACGCAGCACCGACCTCAGTCCTAATTATGAATCGCAGGATCGGAGCGGAGTTGGGCGTCGATCCCAAGACCATCTTAGCCACCTCTCACGGCCGACGCAGCATTGACACGATCCAGCTGTACGACCCGAAGAAGGCCAATTGGGAATGTAAGTCTCTCTCTCCACAGACACACACAGAGACACACACAGACATGCAGTTCGATTCCGAAACTTGAAGAAACACAGACTGACGACAGATTGTTTTCCCAACTTTACAGATGTCAGCTACGTCGAGGGACGAATCCCCAAGGACTACGGCTCGGACGCCGTGGAGATTCCGGGGGCCCGGTATCTCATGACAGCGTTGGACGACGCCGGAGCTCGCTGGGGCGTGGTCACGTCTGGGACGCGCGCGCTGGTCGACGGCTGGCTGGGCGTGATGAATCTCGCGCATCCCAAGGTCTTGGTCGTGGCGGAGGATGTCGAGCAGGGCAAGCCCGACCCCGGCTGCTACCTGCTGGGTCGGACGCGTCTGGGTCTGGAACATTCCTCGGCTCTGGTAGTCCTGGAGGATGCTCCGTCCGGGATCAGGGCGGGCAAGGCCGCCGGGTTCAAGGTCATCGCGCTCACCACGACCCACTCCCTCGCTCAGCTACAGGAAGCTGGCGCCGACTGGATTGTCGAGGACCTGCGCAGCATCGGTATCAAGGGCGTAGTGGATGGCCAGATCCAGCTGGAAATCCGGAACGCCTTCCAATAAAGGGATTGGAAGGGGTGTGGGGGGGTCGCATTTCACTTCTAGAAACGAACCTGATGAAAGTTTGGAAGACATTCAATAGATCGCAGGCAGTTCTTTGTTGATTTTCTTTTTACATTTTTCTTTTCTTTTTTCTTTTCTTTTCTAACTTTTCGCCTTTCACCCTTACCTCCTACCCCATTGTCATTTTCCTTCTATTCCATTCTAACCTAGATCCCTTATCATGGCAGGTCACAGCATCGGATCAAGGCTAAGTTTGGCCAGGACAGGAGAGGACAGTTTAGGTTTAGGTTGGTTGGTTGGTTGGTTGCTTGATTGATATACCGATTTACCTACTTTCGAAGTTAGACAGATAGCCGTCCCTTTCACTAACCTACTTACTTAGAGTTTTGACCTACCAGGCAGAACATGCCTCAAACCAATTGTACATACATACATACTACAGACAGATACCCACCTACCTACCAGATAGAATCCGATCCCATACCCATCCCATACCATCACATCACGTCACATACCACAAATTACCTACTGAGTAGGTACTTCGTACTAGATACACTACCCACACCACACCACACCACACCACGCCACGCCACGCCACGCCACTCCTCCACTCCACTCCAACCATCCCATTCCAACATGACAGACATGACATGTCATCCGCACCCACCCACTCACTGAACCGCAGCTCGCAACCGTCTGCAACGACCTTCCTTGCATAGAACTACTGTACCCGTAGTACTGTAGTATCTGTCCGTCCGTTCGCCTGCCCCCGCCGCCATCCAGTGAATGAGCAGCAGTGGTCCACCCACTCACTCTTTAGCCCCGCCCACTCGCTACTCGAATCGCATTCATTCCGCAGGAAAAAAACAAACACTGGTGATGGTGATGGTGATCTGATCGATCGGGTAACGGCGACGAAGCGTGGGTCTCAGGGTTTGGGAAATCGTCATCGTTGTGTGTGGATTGGGGAGAAGGGTTCCTGGGGGCTAGCTGGCTGGCTGACTGGCTGGCTGGCTGACTGGCTGGCTGGCTGGCTGGCTGCTTGGATGGATGGATGGATGATCGGTGACTGACTGACTAACTGACTGACTGTTTGGCTGTTTGTTTGGTTGTTTTTGCCTACGGGTTATTGTGGGGGTAGTGGGTGGGTGGGTAGATAGATAGGTAGGTAGGTAGGTAAGGCTTTGCGAGGCTCTTGACTTGGTTAGTATTGACGGAGTACGCCGTGTATGCCTACTTAGGTATGTGGTAAGAGGATTGCTTGATTGCTTGGTTACTGATTGGGTGAAGACGTGTTTTGTCTATATGATGGCTTATGGTGGGTGTAGGTATATCTGTAGCTACCTGGGGATCTATGGAGATGTGTTTGCTGGTCCATCGACTTACCATCACCGTTGATGAAGCTACGAGAGGGCTAGGCCAACTGACTGACTGATCACTACCAGATATTAGGCCAGTCAGTCAGCCCGCACACCGGACTCCGAATCCTCAACCCGGTTAAAGAGCGTCGTATGTACATGGTCGTGACGACGCGTTACAAGATCGAGCAGAGAGCCATGTCCATCTGAGGTCTGGACTGGGTATGCCGTATGCCGCATGCCGTACGGAGTACCAAGCAAGCACCGACGGAGAGTACCGTAGGTCTACCTACAGACCTGTATGCTAGCGGTGAAGCAAACGCAACATGCGACGGAATACCTACCTTCTGAAAGCACGACGGAAGTAGCAGCAGTAGCAGCAGGAGCAGAAGCAGAAGCAGAAGCAGAAGCAGCAGCAGTCCAATGGAGAATACCGGTCCCATCTGCACCAAGATCCCGGTCGTCACAGCTGGAAATGCAGCAAAAGGGCCCGAGAATAGGTCCAGCCAAGCCCGTAGGGAACAATCGCACAGCGTACACCGGCAGGCCCGGAGACCGCTCTCTCGCCCTGTCGTGATAGATCTCAGCCAGCGAGGCCTTTTCGGAACCCCGACGCGCAATATATCAGAAGATTAAGTTAAACGGCCGCTGTTGAGGTCATTCGGCGTGCGCTCACCGACAACTCGGTCGCGCAGATTCTCGTTCCCAACCGATTGGGAGAGATGGAAGGAGGTCTTTCTCCGATCATGTTTTTTCTTGTCCCAGGAATGAATGGGAGGGACCCGTTGGTAGCTGGTGAGAGTGGTCATGGAGTTATTGCATAGTGGCTGCTGCAGCGTTTTACGGCTCTGGCCACTACGTACCTATGTATGTACCTCAGTGGACGAAACACACGTCGGGGTTGCTCGACGCGACGCGACGCGACGCGACGAGACGAGACGAAACAAACGGATTGTGCCAGAGGAACGAACCGTCCGCCGGCCGCCGTTCGGAGCACACGAGCGAGCCGAGTTGCAGAAGCTCCTGCGCTGATTCCAGGGGGAGGGAAGAGAAAAAGAAAACCCACAATAGTGGCGGGAATCCTTTGCACATCATAGACCCAAGAGAATCGCCTCGTTGAGAGAAGGGGGCGATCGGGTTCTGGAAAAGAGACGTGTCGACTGGACGACCAAGGCGAACCTCGATCGGCGGGATCCCTGCTGCGTTGGAGTTGGAGATCGAGTCGAGCTCGTCCGTGGCTCATCTCGCCTCCAAACTGCGTCTGACGCCCTATGCAAGGGATGAAGCAGCCGTCCCCAGCCGTGAATGGTGGGCTTGATTCTCTTCTCTGCTCTTCGGTTCGTTTCTTTTACCCTTAAGATTGGAGGGCTGATGCCCCCGGAAGCTTATGGGGTATTACGCTGTATCAATAGTCAATCAGACCCAAACGATGTGACGATCAAACGATTGGGGGACTGGCCATGGCCAGGAAACATGGCCAATGCGAAGGAAGCACTCGTCACTGCAGCACCGATTGCTTCAGGCAGCAATGATGTGATCTCTTGTACAGCAACAGAGACCGTCACACACCGGCCGCCCTGATTCGAGCTGGAGCCCAGAACATGGCAAAGGACAGGACTTGTCAGGGAAGTAACCGCCCTGAGCGTTAAGCACCGTCGCACAGTCACGGAGTAAGAAAGGCTGGGTTAGAATAGGATAGGGAGGCAGATCCTCAGAGAGCCTATCAGTCGGGGCCACTGTTGCGGAATGACAAATCCCACGAAGCAACCTGGGATCCAGCCATAGAGGAAGCATCCTGTGATCGAGTGTGCAGCGGTACCTTTACTGTACTCCGGTCCTGTCCACGACCGCCCACGCCTGAGGCATTTACTAGTCAGTGGAGACGGGTGGCTGATGCAGTGGATAGGGCGCACTGCCACACGCAACCTTGCGTGTGGCGTTGCGTGTCACAGCTGAATGTGGCCGTAGCCTCGCACGGCCGGAGTAAGTGGTGACGAGACGGACGGAGTAAAAAGCCATGCCAATCTTGCCAAGGTTAGTCCACGGCTGCATCGCAAGCTCGAGCCCAGTTGCTGCATGGAAAGGGTGATGGCCTTCGCATCTCCCCATGGGCCATGGGTGATGGACGCACTGAACCTCCCGGCGGGATGTGACAACCGGAGGGTTGATGGCCGCGGAATGACCAGACCCAGGGGGATGGACGGATGGAGTTGAACGGGATGTAAGTCGGTACTAGGCAGTAGGTAGTAGGTTACGGGCAGTAGAGGGAGGATCCCCCAGTGCCAAGTCAACCTTATACCAAGACAGGGATCCCATGCCTCTGGGGATCGTCCATCGTCAGTGAGGCTTTCAGGGGGGCCACTGGCCTCCTCGTCATGGCGCACACTCCATCCGCTTGCCTAGGTATCACAGACAATCACATCCATGCACCGAGGATCATCGGGGATTTTTCTTCTTGCTTTTTCTGCTCTTTTGTTTTTTTTCTTTTCGTCCCCTTTCCCTTTGGCCCTCTTTCCCAGGGTCCAATATTTGGGATCCCTTCTCTCAGGCGAAAACGGCTTCTACGAGATCCAATCAGCCGGCTGGGAGAGATTCGTGCGGTGCAGGCAGTGAGTTCTCTCTAGGGCCCAGGAACGACTCATGTAGATACTGTATGGTGTGTACGTGCCGCCTGTTGGCCCCCCAAGCCCTTTAGTACAAAAATGTCCAATTTGCATAGGTGGGATCCATGATGAGACGCCAGTGTTGGTTGGCCTGAGCCAACCTGAGGGGTTGTCAGGTTGCTCGACAGGAACCCATCAGTTGCAAGCCATCCATGTCAACAGAGCCGTGGCAAGGTGTTCCCAGTCTTCCGTACTTTAAGCTGTTTTAAGGTGCTGCACGCATGTACACGTGAACCAAACCCGGTCCGTTTTCGTGTCTGGTTGGATAGTCATCCCGGTTACCCTGGCAGGTCTCCAAGGGCCAGCCGGGCGAAGGCCATTCATTGATGGAGTGTCCCGTACAGACAGTCGAGTATTACTCCGTCACGGCGTCAACGGAGGAGTCTGTGTACCGCATAGTACTTCAGCATTACTGCCCGCAACTCCGTCCGACATACCTCCATATTTTGGCCCCCTTTCCGGTTCCACTTAGTCCTATCTAGATAACCATGTTTCCCCACGGCACGTAGTCAGGCGGTAAATCCTTTTCGGGGCTTGGAGGATGACTGCGTCAGACTTGCCCCAGACACCGCTACCAACGTCCTCATCCGATTGCTAGACTGGCAGACACGCCGGTCGCGAGAGCATAGGAATTAGACTCGCAGAGGGACCAGAACAGCACCCATGTATGCGTGCATGCATATGTATATCGGCTAACAGTTCTCGTTGCCCGTCGAGACCTGTGGGAGGCGCATATGATAGCGTCCGAGCCGACCCCCTAACAGGCAGTAATGACCCCGGTCCTCTCCTGCTGCATGGGCGCAGGGTGGGATCGCTACTGCGTCATCTCGTGACTTGGCGCGAGCGCTTGTGACTGCATCATGATTAGCGCCGATTATGGAGTGGTTTGACAGAAGCCAGAGACCAGCAGGGACGAATGGTGGGTTCCCAGGCGTGTAGGGCGCCATCGGTGGGGTGGTTTCGAAGGTGTTCTCATCATGGGATCCCGAGAGCATTGGAAGAAAAAGGAAAGATAGGAAATGTTCGACAATCGACAGATCCTGGGGCGGATCGACGAGGATCTGTCGACTATTGATTTTGGTGGGCCTTGGCTGACCTGCTGCCACGCTTTTGCAGCCATTGCGGGCAAGTCCCCATTCTCTCACCCTCTCTTTTTCTCTCTCTGAAATCCATTATGAGTAATATTTTGTTTCTTTGATTCTGCCGGTTCTCATTGTCGCTTGTTGTGCTCCGAATCCGATTGGAAATGGCGGATCCGAGAGCGACCAGCGCATTGCGGGAAAAGGAATGACAGGCATCCATACCTAGAGATCCGTGCCAATTGAGTTACCGGTACGTCCAGTCGCCCACCCGGGAATTAAAGGCTATCCAAGCCATCAGCCCAGCGCAGGCGGTACGTTTTGCATTTAGGATGCTGGCGCATGGGTGACTCGTCTCGGCTGACCGGAGGTGATTCCCCGCTTCACCTCTCTTTGTCTCGCATGCTCTGAGCACCGGGCAGCAAAGTACGGACCGATTGTGATCGGATGGCGCTACTCGCAAGGTCCTAGAAGGGCTTGGACCGGATCACGTCATAAACGAGGCCCAGTGGAGATGGTTATCAGACGAACTCCCCCGGCAGATCACGAGGGATGGGGATGGGGAGCCGAAGCACAGAAGAGTCGTTGGAAGCATCGGATAGGGGAGTGGTGTGAGTGGTGACTGTGAGTGGTGGGTGACTGGCTATCAATCGGAAGCTGGGGATCTTCGGACCGCTAGCACTAACCAGATGCAGGATATGTACGGTGAATCTTATCCGTTGCCCAACTTTACTGTGTACGGAGTACTTACTTGTGTACTTGTGTAAGTACTCCGTGAGTCCGCAGATGCACAGTAGTAAATGGCTTGGCCCAGTAAGATGTGGCCTGGGGCTCCCTCCGGTCTAGTGCCGACCGTCAAGTTTCAACTATCACCCTCACACACGCCAGACTGAGACATGAGTCCAGCGATCCATCCATCCATCCACCCATCAGTGTGAGCTTCGACCCCACCCACCCCAGGATGATGGCGCTTGCTTTTGCTCTGCGAGGCAAGACGTGAGGTTATTGCAGAACTTACTCCGGACGCGTGGGCGACTGGGAGTTGGGCCAACTCGCGACTATTGCGGACGGCGCGCCTTGGGCCTGGCTCGGGGCCATCGCCTGCTCGGATCCTCCCAGGCGGACCCCCCCCCCTGGTAAGAGCTAAAATCGGCTCGATGTTCGTGACGCTAATGCAGGAACTGACGAAAGCCCGTCGGGTTAGGACCAGGGACCGGGCCCCCAGTCAGCCAACCATCCCGGGTCTCCTTGGGAATCATGGTTCATGGAAACTCTGCGAGACTGTCAAGGCAGCTGGCACTCGAGCTTAATTGCTCCAAGCTGTCATGCCATGGATGATGGCTAGCATCCAGCCCTGGGAGTCGGGGAGATACGACCGTGATTGCGATTCCTTGGTGCGGGAAGGAGAAGGGCTACCCGGATCTACCAATGGTAGTCCTGCATCGACAGTGCAGTGCAGTAGGGCCGGTACTTCAGGGTGTAACCACTTTAACTTGGTGCAACTACGACTGACTGCCGAGCATGATTACGGAGCCAGCACATGGGTTGTAGAATGCGAGTAGAAGGTGGAAGGGGAGATCAAAAGAAAATGGGAGGACGATTCAACGAACTTTTTTTTTGGATCTGAAGATAACAGGAAAAAGCAACTGGCTTCCTGGAGGCACAGGATGCATTGCGGACCCGTCGTACGTACGATCGTATGGAGTACATACTACAGACATGCCTGAGAGGAAATGCGGCCAGGCAGTTCAGGCAGTCCAGGCAGTCACCGCCACGGCACCACGGATTCAGGAGCGCATCGTACGGAGTAGACACCTACTAGGTATCTAGGTACCTACCTAGGTACACTGCCTAGGTACGGTGCACGTACTCAGGCCGATACCATCTGGAGGTATACAACACCGTTCGTATACCCCCCCACCCCTCTCTCTGCCCCCTCCCCCTTCCTACTCTTACATCCGGTCTAAGGGTATACTCTGTCACAGAATTCCAGTTTGGAGTTATTTTAAGTCCTGCCCCCAAGTTAGTACGTCGAAGACGGAGTAGTACGTAGCCAGGGTACGAGCCCAGGCCGCCACCCCCTAGAACCGCTCGGGCGGAAGCACCAGAAAACCCACTCGGTCGGCCAATATTTTTGGTGGTCGGTGCCTTGGTGTTCGATACGGTACCTGGTAAGTGTTTGGTTCCCCGAGCGGACCTAGTACCGAACGGGTAGGGGAGGGAGCGAGGTGGCTACTGGATCGAGTAATATGTTTCCCCCGCGAGTCTGGTAGCTACGAAGTAAATCATTTCACCATTTCACAGAGGGCAGCTGGAGCAAAAGTCCAGACGAAACAATGACACCATGGGGCCATACCAGGCTTCCAGTAGCCAATCCCACCGATCGCTGTTGCCTCTAGACGAAACCCCGAAGCGCCGACTCGGAACTGGCCCAACCTGACGGTACGGCGGCGTACTATCTAGTACGGCCCTGATACCAAACCGCCCAGGCTGAATCCTCCTCCAGTCAGTTCCGGTCGGCGATCACCAATCAGCGGCGCGCCCTCCACACCTTCTTGCCCGGCTGCCGCCGCCAATCTCTCCCCATCCGCCAGCAGCCAATCCGGACCCGCTGCAGCCCCCGAAATCCAGTCCCTCAACTCTCACACTGGCTGGCTGTCCGCCAGTCACGGACTGTCAATCCGGCTGGGTCTCTCTCTTTTTCTTTTTTTTTTGTTTTTCCCTTTTCCCTTTTGCCCTTTTCCCTCTTCTTCTCAGTCCGTCAGTCAGTCACTCACTCACATTCGCTGTCTCTCTTTCAACTCACACTCACTCACTCAGTCACTCCCTCAGTCACCCTCATACAGGGCCACCCTCTTTCGTTCACCTCCTACTCTCCTTTTCCTTTTTCGTCCGCTCTGGCGATTTTCCCTTTTTTTTCCCTTTTCCCTTCTTGCTTTTTCCCCGTCAGATTTAGTCCTTCCCTTCTTTTTCCTTTTCTGTGTTGTCCTATTAGTCCTCGTCCTCGGACATATACCTTCCTTGATCCTGCCCTTCTCCCCCTCCTCACCCTCTCGCTGGCTACTCTTACTATCTGATTTCCCTTTTCTCTGATATTTTATTTTCGATCAATCCGGTCTGCTGCAAGTTCGATACAACCACCAGCGCTGCTGCAGTCCAGTCATTCACTACCGCCACCTAATCCGCTCCTTCTCCTGTCTTAAGTTCTTATCTGCCCGCCTCCCCCCTCCTCCTGGCCTTTTCAATACAACGGTCTTTCCCTTCGTGATCCAATCGTCGGTCAATGGTCTAGCGCTGCTCTCATCCCAGTTGCAGCTTGTTGGCCGCAGCTTGTCGAATCCCCTCGCACACCCGCCTTCCCCTCCCCTCCCCTCCTCACCTCACCGACGGTTGCTGTCCCCCTTTCTCCATACACCATGAATTACATCCACCACCCATACGCCTTCCCCGGGCATACGGCCGTCCCCATGGAACAACAGGTGGCCTTCGATCCGACAATGGCGCACCCGGCGATGATGCATCCCATGGATGGCTACCTCTACCCGCACCCGCCCTTCGACATGGTTGACTTCTACCACCAACCCATCATGGACTACGAAGAGTACGCAGAGAACCTGTCTCGCCCGAGGTTGACGAAAGAACAAGTGGAGACCCTGGAGGCCCAGTTCCAGGCGCACCCCAAGCCCAGCAGCAACGTCAAGCGCCAATTGGCTGCTCAGACCAATCTCAGTCTGCCACGGGTTGCTGTGAGTGATACCTGCCATCCGCATGCCGCGCGCGGTCCACTAATTGTTTCTGCAGAACTGGTTCCAGAACCGACGAGCAAAGGCCAAGCAACAGAAGAGGCAAGAGGAGTTCGAGAGGATGCAGAAGGCCAAGGCGGAGGCCGAAGAAGCCGCCCGCGGCAAGTCGGAGACGTCAGAAAGCTCAGAAACGAAGCCGGACACACAAGAGTGCAAGGGCGAGACCGAGAAAGATACCCCCAAACAGTCAGTAGAGAGCACCGGAGAGCGGACAAAAACCCCGGCTCCGTCGTCCTCCAAATCCAAACACCAGAAGACAAGAAGTGAGTCGGCGCGGGAGGCTACCTTTGCGTCTCTACAAAGAGCACTGAACGCTGCCGTCGCTGCCCGGGACCGTTACGGTCAAGATGATGAACATAGCCAACCCCCCAGTGCGGATGGATCGGTATCTCCGGCCACGACGTTCTCTGGAAACAACCGGTGCGGCAGCCATGAGGGTAGCAGGCACGGGCAGAGCGATATCTCTTCCTTTTCCCAGAATGCTATCTCGTGGACCACGTCCCAAAGTCAGGATCCTCTTGGCTATGTGACGTCGGGAGAACCGATGACCATACCTGAGTTGGACGGCACGCACGAGAACGACGACTCTCTGCACAGCGTGCAGTTCCACGCGCAGAATGAAGATTGGGCAAGCCACATGTCGACCAAGTCCCTCTCGGGATACCGATCTACTAGTGATGCGGAGGCTCCCTACAATACCGTGCAATATCCCCTGCACCCGGAGATGACATTGTCCCGGCGAGGCTCCTCTGACGACCTTGCTGATACACTAGAAGGTATTGGGATCAACACCCCCCACATGTCCCACCTGGTGCATGGCGACCGCTCCTCTTGGAAAGAGGCTGGCAAGGAACTTGACCTTGCGGCCCGGAGAAAGCGCCCGAGGCCTGCTGCCATCGGCACCTCGAGATCATCTTCCATGCTTGCCTCTACCATGTCGCCCACGACAAGACTTCCGGGCTACGGTGGCAGCCATGGTGTGAGGCAATCGAAGTCCGCGCAAGGACTCAACTCCCGGTACGCGGGCGTGCGGAAGGCCTCTGCCGCTCAGCGGTCACCTCTCAACCTGTCCACATTCGCTGAAGCCGGAGCTCTGGGCACCAAGGCTGACATGTCATCCATGCTCCAGCCGGCTCCTACAGCCGGGGGGTTGGCGCCACCAACGCCGTTGACCCCGGAGGATTTGCACCACCTGCTCCCGACCACACCCAGTGACGGTGGGTACTGCCTGTCGGCGCAACCGTCCAGCCAATTGTTTCCCACCACACAACCGATGCAGATCAACATCGCATCCCCGCCAGCTACCCCCTTGGCAGTAGATGTGCTCTCCTCTTACCCCTACCAGGGCCTCCCCCCGATGTCTGCGCCGGCTCACTACACGTCGTTTGCCGACTACACCTCATGCGAGGGTCCGCTGACGGGCCGGAGCTGGACCGACGCCACGTCAATGCCGTCCCCGGAGGCATCTTTCCAGAGCCCGTGCCACATGCCGCAGCAGGACCTATCTGGGCTGTCGTATGAGCAGGCTGTGGACCACATGCCCGTGACGGGGTCTCCGTCTCTCGTGTACACGACGAGTGACGTTGACATGCCGACGGCGGCGTACTGTGACGATTCCAAGCAGACGGAATTCCACATCTACGAGTTCCCGGAGCAGCAGGAGGCGCACCGGTTTGTCGCCCAGCAGCTCCCGTCGCAGAAGCCCAAAGCGTACACCTTCACCAACAACCAAACACCGAACGACTTTTAAACAGGCCTGTTTGTGCGGGCAACATTCTTTTCGCCAGTCAAATGTTTGTCGGTGGGACTTGTAATATAACCACCCCATCTTAATACCTTGTGAACCTTTTTGTGGCATCATCTGCGTTGCTTCGTGGGACTCCGATATATATCCCCAGGTCTTGTTGTTTCATGCATTCGTGTCGGTGTCTCTCATTTTGGCGTCTGCCTGGTATTCGAACGGATCAATACTTTGGATCTTGCATGGGCTTTTGGAAGCGGCTGTTTTTGGAGGCTTTTTGGATACGTATATCTACCTACTTACTGTAATACATATAATATGGGGCGGAGCGATGTTAGAACATTGCCGTCTCTTGTTTATACGATCTGTACTCGGGATTCTGTAGTTGAGAGTTGAGACATAACACTTTGTAAGAGATAAGGCAGGGATGCCGCACGTGCAGCGGTGGTAGGCTCCGCCTGCCTGCCTGCCTGCCTGGCCGGCCATGTCTGTTATTGCCTATATAACGTGGCTGGACGGCAGTGATCGCCAGCTGGAAGCCAGCACTCACCATGAAGCTCTCGCGTGCCGCTCTGGCGCTAGGGCTTGCAGCCACCGCGCCGGCCTACATCCAGTACACCACGGTGCCCGGATATTTCCTGCAGGACGAGGGGTCGACCGATCCGTCCACCTTCGACTTTGTATGTGCCAGCGGCCAGCTGTATCAGCCCGAACTCTTCCCAGCCCACCCACTGACTGAATCCGTACCATCCACTAACCAATACAACCAACCAGATAACCACCAACTTCGGACTCATCAACCGGACATACCCGGCTGATGCTGCCGACGCAGATACCCAACTGGGCCAAGGCCAGGGCCAGCAACAGGACCAGCGGCAGCAGCCTCTTCCTGGTGCCCTGACCCAATGGGAGCGTTTCCATCGCCAAGTTCTGGCTCTGAATCAGGATTCTCCGAGTACTGTCGAGTTCAAGGTGCTTTTTCTGGGTCGGCACGGTGAGGGTTGGCATAATGTTGCCGAGGATAATTATGGCACCCCGGCGTGGAACGTGAGTCCGCCCTTTCGCTCTTCCAACCCCCCCTTTCCTTGCGGCCCCTCCGCTCCTCCCCTCCCCTCCCTTCCTACCCCCTCTGTCAACCCCCGCCGCACCTCTACCCCCTCCACTCTTGCCCACCTCAGCCATCCCCCGCCCCTACTCCTCTTCCTCCCCCTCCCCCACCCGATCTATCACTTCCATCTTCTTTCCCTTCCCCTGCCCCTTCCGTTCCTCTACCACCCCCCCTCTACCATCCCCCTCTACCATCTCCCTCTATCATTCTTCTCTCCCCTCCCCCACTTGTCTACCCCATCTTTTCTCCACCTTCGCCTAGCATACCCCTCCCCCATCTCCACCCCCCCCTTCCTGCCCTTCCACCAAAACCATCACTAACAAAAAGCCCCCAGTGTTTCTACTCCCTCCTCCCAACCTACACCGACCCCGCCCTCACCCCCTTAGGGACCACCCAAGCCCTGACCGTCCACAACCTCTGGCAACGCCTCCTGACGACGCAACGCATCCCCCCCATAACAACCCACTACGCCAGCCCCCTCCTGCGGGCCCTCCAAACCGCAAACCTCACCTTCAGCAATCTGCTCCACCCACATCTCTACCCCCGTTCAAGCCCCATCCCATTCCGCCCGCTAATCAGCGACCTCTTCCGGGAAGGTGTGAGTTTGCATACCTGCGACCATCGAAGCAGTCGAGCGCAAATCGAGGATCTATTTCCCGGGTGGAGGTTCGAGAGCGGGTTCGAGGATGTGGACGGGTACTGGGATGGGGAGTGGGGGGAGACGAGGCCTGCGGAGGATGCGAGGAGTAGACGGGGACTGGATTTGATTTTTACTCATTCGTCTTCGTCTTCGTCTTCTTCTTCTTCTTCATCTAACTCCGATCTTCACTCCGATGAAGACAGAGGTGATGGTGATGGTGATGATGATGTCTTCGTGTCAGTGACCAGCCACTCCGGCGAAATCGCATCCATCCTGCGTGTCATCGGACACCGGGAGTTCGGGCTGAAGACGGGCGCCGCGATTCCGGTGTTGGTTCGGGCGGAGACAAAGCCAGCGCCAGAGTCGACCTCGACGGTGGTTTCGTGGACGAGGAGTGCGCACTGTACAGCGCCGCCGGTGACCTCGCTGGTTGGCGGTGGGTGTGTGTGTACGTCTGAGCCAGGGGCGGTGGTAACGCCGTTGTGATGGATGGGGTTGTATCCTTTGTCTCTCTGGGTATTGTTATCAGTCAGTCAGTGCCTGTCTTGTGGATGTTGTAATTAGCCAGGGTATCGTTCATGATCATGATATCTGGGTGTTATTGTTAGTCTGTCAGGATGTGACTACCTAAGGTAGGAGGTATTGGGCATTAGGGTATTGAGTGTTGTTATAGAAGGGGGTATGCTGTATGCTGCATGCTGAGGATAGTGTAGGTTTTCATAATGACGCCCATCCATCGGTCTCCTCAATACTCTCAAGTGAGGCTATAGTCTGACTGGCTAGAGACGGGGGTGAAAGCTGAAAGCTGATATTTCTGACGTAAATATGCTTCGCATCATGCATCGTGAATAACAGACACTTATTTAGTATGTACACAGGAGTACTGGACGTATACTCTGCATTGCTGAGTGTGTCGACTACTGAGTGCGTTCACTAGAGTGCCCACTACCTACTGTGTCCAGTTATATGCCGAAAATGCTACCGAGTAAATAGGGGATTGATCAAATTAGGACCCCCAATGTGTAACCGTTCATCTGCATATCATAAAAAACCAGAGTATCAGACAGGAACAGTGATTCGAGTGCAAGCCAGGAGTAATAGTGATGACCCAAATAAATTAACAGGGTAGATAGATAGAGAGTAGGGTGTGTGCAAATACCAATGCTCAAGTGCTTAAAAATAGACACGGAAGAATTGAGATGTAAACAAGGCTGACGCCACCACTAACAAAAAAAATAGACAACATTCACCGCCATCCTATCTGACCGTCCCTCTATCATGGACATATGAAAATGCACAATTTCAAGTCATAACTGCAGATTCCGGGGGAAACGATTGGATCAAATAGACAAGGTCAACTTCAGAACAAGACATACATAACTGACTGGGTATAGCAGAGGGTATAAGAAAACGCGTGCAGGTTATCATTAGCCATCATCCTTCGGCAAGGATAATATACAGCATCGATGAAAGGGATATGACGGGTTAAATAACAGGGAGATCCAGGAAGGTAAAGACGGGAGACCATGCACGGTGCGTCTTTCATACATCACCGCCGCGACTCCTTTCCTATGAACGCCAATTTTGGACAACGCCGGTTATCATGTTTGGTCTCGTCACTTCGTCAATAACCCGACCACCCCAGCGGGGTTCCAGACTGGGGAGGCTGCGGATGCCCGGGTTGCATTGGCCCCGCAGGTGGCCAGCCCTGCATGGCACCCCCTGCGCTCATGCCCATGGCCATCCCTGCCTGCTGGGGCGTCCCGGCCATGAACTGCTGCCCGCCCGGACCCTGAGTCGAAGGGTACATACCCCTCGCTGGGGGCACGGCGGGGTAAGGAGCATTCGTGGCTCCGGGGTAGCCCATGGATGCCATGGGCTGCTGCTGAGGAGCCTGCTGAGGATGCATCGGGTACGACTGCGGCATCGGAGGCGCTGACGGCCGAGGCTGATTCCGAGGGGACTGGGACGCATGCTGCTGCGGAAGGTTGTGCGCGAGCGGAGAGGGCGATTGTTGCGTATGTAACTGCGGGGCAAACTGCGGCATGGCGACCCCCTGCGGCCCAGCAGACAGCGGTGAGGGCTGCGGCTGAGGTGGTGGCTGACCCCACATCTGTTGCGCTTGAGATGGATATCCATAGGGGCCTGGCTGCTGAGGTGCTCCGGCAGCCAAGGCTGGATTGGGCCGCTGTTGCATCATATCCGGACGCACCGGGGGCACGCCCCGAACGGGGGACTGTGCGATAGGCGGCTGCTGGTGCGCGGCGGGCGGCTGGAAACCCGACTGACCAGGTATCATCGGTGCCTGATGAGGAATCATTGGCTGCTGTGACTGTGCCGGATTCATCGCCCCGGAGGAAGCCATGTGCGGGGAATGCAAGGGCTGCGACACGGACGGCGTCGAGTCGAGCTGGCCAGGCTGTGACTGCGCTGCCGAGACTGGGATCTCCCGTTGTTTCGTATAGAAATCCTCCAAACCCTTCTGGCGATAACTCCGCTGTGACGTAAGGATCTTGTTGAAGTCGGCGGTATGTGAGGCCTGGTTGAGGATGTCCGCTGCAGAGCTGGACTGCGACCGATCCTGGTACGGCTGGCCTGTTAATTCTTGCCGAGCGCGAGGCATGCTGTTGTACTCTCGGAGGCGGGGATCGTCCGAGGTGGTGGCCATGTGGATCATAGGAAGGGGTGGCGCGAGCGACACGGACGACGGTGCACCCAACGGCAGGCTATTTGGAACAGCTTCCAGGGCATTGCTATAGATGACATCGCCATGAGCCAGCGCTGGCAGGAGACTGGCCGTGCCCGCCGCTTCTGCCGCCGCCGCATCCCGGGCCTTAGAGCCGCCGGGTCGCTTCTCGCCAGCCAGGTCATCCTCGGTGAAGCCCTGCTTCCGTGCCTTGCTCTCCCAGTAATCGTCGCGCACGCGTCGCCCGTTCACAATTACCCGGCTGCCAAACTGGCGGAACATCGACTTGGCGGTTACGATCGCAATCTGACGGGAGCGATAGGAGTACGGGAGGATATCCTGCTGGATCAGGTCGTCCTTCTCGATCTGAGTAGCGATTATCTTGTGCAACGAGCGGTTCTTGTTGAACAGCAGATACGAGTCCCGATAGCCGAGCACCCGCGCACATTCAGTCGCGAGCATGAACAGCTTAGTTCCCCGGAGAGGAACACGGAACGTGCGGCACTTATACTCGCGCCCCCCTTGAGGGTAACCCATGGCGTCGACCTTCTTTTCGCCGCCTTCGTCGAACTCCTTCGGGATATATTCGTCGCCCTCATCGTTCAGTTGATCCGTGGTGTGATCCCGAACAGTGGGCAGGGCCTTGACGAGAGTAGACTTGGTAGGCGTGGTTTTATCGGGCGGGGAGACCTGCGGAGGCGACACGTTGACTGTTGTTTGCGGCGGAAGAGGCTGGGTTTGCAGACGGGGTGTCTGGAGGTGGATGCTAGAGGGGGTCTGATCGCCGGTGCCCGTTGTCGAGGGTCGCGGCGTCTTTGGTGGACGGCCGCGTTTCCGACGGCCTTGTTCATCTGCTGCTCGCATAGAAAAGCACGTCAGCTTTATCACCTCAACGAAAAGTAACAAACACGCGTCAGGACTAAGAAAGACATGAGGCGCAAGGAATAAAGACAATGGAAAACATGGTGCGTGACGCGCAGACCAAGAATCTCCCAAGCGCCCGGAATTCCACAGAGCGAATCCAAGGACACCGACGCACACATACCGTCGTCATGGTCTCCATCCGCGCGTACATTCCCGCGCTGGTCTGGGGTGCGACTTCGCTTCACCCCCCGAGGAGCTATACTCGTGGGGGTTGCAATCCCACCATAAGGAGGGGTGGGGAGGATAGCGGCGACTAATAGAAGGCCGTCAGTTTGGAGGTTGTCGCGATCGACAAGTAGAGGGGGATAGAAAATCGTTGACCTCCATGAGCGGGACAGACACGCCTTATCGCCGCGCGCCCCACGATGATTGGTAGAACAATGACTCGGACAACAAGTAACAAGGAACAAATATAGCAACAAGGGGGAGGGGTGGTGGGCAGAAGGGAGGAGACACAAGCAGCGGAGTGAGCGGTGACGCAAACGCGACGGAGCGATAAACAGAGATAGTTCACATACCATTGTTCAGGGCGGCGGGATTGATCGTCCCCGACCCATCGACCAGCTCCCCTCCAATGCCATTCATCGGAGCGGGAACGGAGGACTGGGAAGTGCTATACATGGCGGGCCCAGGGAGGACGAGGAAAGGGGGGGGGGAGGGAGGGAGGGAGGACGGCGTCGCAAGGCCGCGGGCGCGTCAGAGAAACGCGAAGGGTGTCAGGACGGACACCAAAACGGGGGGAGGATGGCGACCCGGTTGGCTACTGCGGCGAGACAGAGGGCGAAGATGCAAGTGATCCTCGGACAGTTGAACGCGGACGGACCACGGCTCGCATGCAGTGGGAGTGTTGGACTGGTGGTGGCAGGAAGCGGATCAGCGGAAAGGTTTGAGCAAATCGCGGCGTTGCAGACTGGGGTGTGGTGATGGTAGGTTGGGACGAGGTCCGGTCACGAAGGCGGTGAGCCGGGGACCAGGGACCAGTAGCCAGCAAGAGAGCCAACACCAGCACAGCACCGATCACCGATCACCGATCACCGAACACCGAACACGAAACACAGGAAGGAACACAGAAAACGGTGGAGCAGGGAGGGGTGGCTAGAGCTAGATGCAACACCGCCACATGGGGCTGTTGCAGCGGCCAGCGATCGATCCCTTTTCCCAAGGTTCCCTGCCTGCAGAAGCAGAGTCGCCCACTGACAGTCCAGGCAGCGCCGGTAATGCCGGGGGACAGGGAGAGGCAGTGGATGGATGATTCACAGCGTGCCGCTGATGGAACCGATCAGTGGGGACGGGTTGACGGGGGGGAGAAGGGGGGGGGTTAGGTTATGTGTGACCGACCGTCTGTGTGTCTGTGTGCACGTATGTGTTATGTGTGTGTGTGGTGTGTGTGCAAGGCCAGGTCGAGGGATTATTGGGCTAGGGTCGCGGGTCGGTGGAAAGACCAGGAGGGAGGACAAGCAGCGGGGTGGGGACGAAGGTTGGAGACAGGACTGGAAGGGAATGGGAAGGGGAGGGGTGGGCGCACCAGGAAATGGAAACCAGGAGAGGGATGGAGTCTGGAGAGTCAGTGATGATGAAAGGGAAAATGGAAAGAAGGATTTAGTTCGAGAAGGGGGGGAGGGGGGGGGTCTGGGTGGGTGTGGGAACTTGGGAAGGGGAGGTACAGTGAATGAGACTGCGAGGGAGTCGGTTCGATTGAGGCGAAGAGGGGGGGAGGGAGGCCGGGCGATAGGATCACAGCGCAGGGAGGGGAAGACGGGAGGCGGCGCCACACGCACGCTGATTGGCTGTGCCCCGGCCGGTCACGATTGAACCCAGGACTCCAGGTGCAGAGACGAGGGGTCGTGAAGAGTACTACTAGGAGTAGTACCAGATGGGTAACCCAAAATCCCCCGAAAATAAATAAAGAAGGAAAGCAACCATGCACACAATGCGCGTCAAAGCGAGTTTACGTTGCGACCCGAAAAAACCTTCAGGAATCGCCGGCACAAGCGATTAACAGAAAGTAAAAAACGGCACGCTTCTGACGCGCCTCTTCAGGCGGACCGGGTTCTACTCCCAGGCCGGCTTCCAAGCTCACTCTCATTAGCCGATCACAGATGCTATTCGAGATGCAGCCGGCATGTGGATGGCCGGGTAGCGCGGACGCACGTACGGAGGACTAAGCAACCTAGTCGCAAGATGGCACAGGCAACTCGGTGCTGGACCCCTGCAACGTCTGGGCAATGAATGGCCCTGGCCCCGATCCTGCAAAAAAAAAGTGTGGCAGTTGCAGCGGCCTGGTTTGCAAGTGAGGAATAGGACCCCAGACACGCGGAAAATACTAGCCAGGGAAACGAATCGGAGGCGGCGATGCTCGATTGACCACCCAACTGGATGAACGGGCGACCGATATTGATGTTCCCGCAGATGATAACAGCAGCGGTCCTGCTGTGGCAGATCGCGATAGATTGCGCGGATAATCCTGGGATGGTGGAATTCCGGCCCGGGTGTCTCCAATGGAACCTCCAGGTTAGATTGCTCTTCCTCCAATGAATGGGGAGTGGATCCCGAAGCGACGACGACGACGGTCTGTCTGAGATGAAGAGGTATCTCGTCAAGATACGGGATATTTAGGCAGATGGATGAATCCTGATGGAATATCTGACCTGACGGTCTGTAGCAGTCTGACTCTCGTAGTTGTACTGGGCAGGAGACCAGAACCACAGCGGGGCAATCCCTGGATTGGAAGCCGGAGGGAGCCGCTGCTGGGGCCGAAAGCGATACGGGGCCTCGGCGCGAATGTTCCGCTGTCCGAACCTTCGTCTCGCTGACTTTGACTCTAACTCTCACTCTCAGACCTTCTCACTGCTGCTGGAGCTATGGTGGTTTTGTGCACGGAGCCAGCAGGTCAACACGAGGGACGATAGGTGGACGGGTGGAAGGCAGGCGTGGGCGTGGCTGTCACGGCAGGCACTGGATTGGACGGGCAGTGGGCGAGCACATGAAAACTACCCGAACGGGCAGGTGCCTAGTGGCTGGGATGTCTGGGATAGATGCGACCGCGATGGCTGCGCTGACGAATCGCCGGGCCGAAACAGTAATCAGGGCGAGAGGGCCGGAGGGCTAGCATGGGCGCTGCGCTGTATTGTGCTGTGCTGTGCTGTGCTGCCCGCATCGATTAGCTCCAGGCCGAGCTTCGAGGCTGCAGGTTCGTCTGCTTGTGTGTTCTTCCGAGGTTAGACGGAGCTGTCAAGCCTTGGTCGGGGGCTGCCAAAACCAACCGTCCGTCTGTCTGGACTGACTGACTAACGCTGGATCGTCCGGAAGATCCCCCGTCGAGTGGGAGACAAGCTGGTGGCTTAAAGAGGGGCGGATGTGATGGGGGCGAGCGTGCGTGAGGGCGATGAAGGGAAGAGGAGAAGAGGGGGCGGACAAAGGAGAAGAGAAGCAACAGGAATCCGTCGCGTATGTATACTATGGATGGGTACTGGGGAGAGACACGATGAAGATCCACCGGGTCCGTCAGGGCCGCAGCGAGTGTAGTATACAATTGGGGGCTCTCCAAGGTGTGAAGATTGTAGCATATGGAGTACCGCCGATGGACTCAGCGATGATATGATATGAGGAATGAAGCGCAAGCCTGCTCCTCTACACCGGCCAGGCCTTTTCGCCCTCCATGTCTACTCCGTAGTAGTATTGTCTTTCTTGTCTACAGCCTCCCCGGGCTCTCGACTGTCAGTCTGGGTTTCCTGTTTGGGCGCCGGTCTCTGGTGGAATCCCGCGCCTTTCCCCTTCAGGACCAATCACCAGACAGGCGCTTCTCCTCGCTTTTGATTGACGGTCGTCAGCCTGTCCCGTTCGGTCAGGTCAGGTCAGGTATCGTCACTGCCTGGTATCCACCGGGAGACGAATCATCCTCGTTTATGGATGGATAAATGGAGGGTCATTCCCCGTGGCGATCGACCGTGGATGGCCCCTCTACGCCCCCTTTGCAATGGAACGTCGGGGAGCTGCAGAGCAGGAGCAGGAGATATTGGGGAAGAACGCCGGATAAACAGCCTCAATTTGACGGGGGGGGGGACCCTGTCGGCCAGATCAAGTTTATATTTAGGCTTGTACGACGCGGGGCTTTCCTCATCAGCGACGTGTCTGCCGGAATGTCCCCGTTGACCTAGGATGGATACATGGGGAGATGAGAAGACTGAGAGAAGCAAGCGGAAGCTGCTGTAGGGCTGCGGTCCGTGAACCGGAAGCAAGATGGACTAGAAGACCAGGAGACTTCAGTTCATAGTTCATACTGGCACATGCTCATAGGGTGCCTTGAGGAGCACCCATTGCCCATGTGGAATGCAATCGGAAGCATCCCGGCCATCTACGGTTACATTTGATATCGGCATGGCATGGCAATTGATGCTCTGACTACGGAGCACTCACTGCTCGCTTCTGAGGCCGCAGATCGACCCCAGGAATCCAGTCCTTCCCGCCATTGACGAGCGGTCATGATTCCGTTTCAGTTTGCGGCCAGGAACATACCGATTGCTGGCATGACTGGATGTCTGGGAGGTGCTCGGTGGCAGATGACCCATTCGGAAGGTCACTTGAGCGGGCGCTAGGGTCGATCAGGGACCGTGCGTCATACCAGGTGTATCATGGGTGGTGGTATCCGTACCATCCAAAGACCATACCACTGTTACTACTAAGTGGGTATAGTACTCTTGTCGACTCCTGTTGACACTGACAGGACTACTACTAGGAGATATCTACAGTCTCGCGACAGCCAATCCAATCCCCCCCCCCCAAAAACAGGCAACTCATCAGCGATAGCGAAAAGCCTATTATCAATCGGACTAGACTGAAATGGAAAAAGGTAAGCAGTTGGATCACAGTAGTAAAACGGTAAATTCTGACTCGATATCCGATGACTGACTCATTCCAGATCTCAATCTCAAGACCAACCAGCTGGCCTAATCTTCATCGCAAAACACAATCCACGATGCAATCGCCTTCCAAGCCACGCTATCTCGCGAACTACGGGGTTTTTTGCACAAACTCGGGTGATCTAAATACGGAGACGAACTCAATAACAGACAGAGAGGCAGACGGACAAACAGACAGATAGACAACCCCCCCTCCCTCATCAACCGAACCGACAGCCGACACCCCCCACCTAAACCCAGATATGCCCCTCTCCGGACTCCACAGAGAGAACCAACCAACCAAGACACTAAACAGTAAACAGAACCAACCAAAATATAGTAGTTAGTCAACTCAACCAGCCCACAATAAACAGTTCAAGCTTTCCCAAGTGCATACATGCAGCGTAACCCAGCTCTCCATAGTCCGTGCTCAAGTCTGTCCAACAACTTTATCGTCCGTGGGTAGTAAGTACCAGTAAGGTAAGTAACCAGCCAGACCAACCAAGCAATCAAGTAAGTAGCCAAGGTCGGGAAAATCAGGCTGCACGATAACTGAACAACGGGTGTAGTGGTGGTAGTGGTGGCATGCCAAGGCAGCCAAGGCCTCACAGGCAAGGAAATCGTTATGCAAGTCATCAGCCGACTGCATCGGGGAGAGGGGTCAGTTGGGTTATCTGTGACGACGATACTGCCACTACTACGATCCACTGCTACCCTAAGAGATATGTAGCTACCATAGCTAGTAGCTAAGTAAGTAGCTAGTATCTAGCTCCATAGTCTGTCAGTCTATGCATTAACCAGCCAGCTAGCTCTAGATAGACAGGTGGCAGATCAAATCATACCATATCATGCATCGCAGATAGCTAAGTAGGTAAAGAGGTAGTTTTCGGATAACGGTTAGCACAACATGATAGAACCGAGCGACCCTGCGTCAATTCCTCATCGCTCATCGCTCATCTCTCATCTCTCCTGCATCCGGTGACCCCGGACTGGATGGAGGACAGATACCTCGCTCGTCACACGAAATAACCCGATCCTGAGCCTGAGATTGATCTTGTCTGAGCCTAGTAGCTTCCCACAAGCCCCTAGGGCCTTACAAGTTCCAAGTTACAGTAGGCATGGTGGTATGTGCACCTGTACAACACCACACGACTACACAAGCAATGCAGCACCGTTAGGCATGAGTTATTAGGGTGATACTTAGGCAGATAGGCAGATAGGAAGGGATCGGGTTGTAGATGCTAATTCTGTTTCGGGAGCTCTCTGCCGGGTGAGAGTGGCCGGGGCCGTTATCTTGTCCCTGTAGAGCTGAGCTGGTGCATAGCTTTCGATTCTAGGCCCCCTTTTTTTTGGCCTGGTTGTCTGTCAAGATTCGAGGTTGGGTATCAACGACTAGCTAGCGAACCAGCCAGGTTGGTGATGAGTTGGGTTAGGCGTGGGGGTGAGATGGGGATGGGGGTGCGGACCGGGATTCATTGGGTTCGATGGCGCTGTGGGAGGGGATCTGAGGCTAGATAGTCATTGATTGGTAAGTTGGCCGAGACAATGGGATTGAAGGATAAATCAAATCCATCCTGGGTAGGCACAGCTTCATCAGGGTTAGGTCAGGTCAGGTCAGGTCAGGTCAGGTCAGGTACTTGGGTTATATAAGGTTGTTTCCGAGGATGAAGGGCCCCACTGGTTCTTGCGCGTTGATACGGCTGATATCAGTCTGACGGAATTTTGCCACTTCGGTAGAGCTAGACGTGGTTTGTGATTGTTTTCCCTTTTAGGGATGGCTGCTGTACCTGGTTGGTTTTTGGATGTATCATGTAGCTTGATACTTGAGCTCCATGTCCGTGTCGCATAAGTATGCATTGGCTATACGTGTACTCGTAGCGTCTGTCTTTAGATTTATATGATAGTTTGGGGTCGGTCTATGTTGTTCATCCATGGTCCCGTTGACCCTTCATGGACCTGACTATAGATGGTGGGAGAGATGACCGCTAAGGTATGAGAAATAAAGTCACAGTCAGATCATCTGAGCCCGGATTTGATAGAAATAAAGCTCTTCAAGAAAGTGCCAGTCATTATCATCGCCCCATCGCACCTCGTATGGATTGTTAGTTCATCGTAAGCAAACGCAATCCCTGTGAAGATCATTGTTGCTTCTGGGACAAGAGTCCTTGATGGGAGATTAGTGTCCCAGCGGTAAAGTAAAAGTTTGCCTAGGCCCCTACCAGCGCATAAGACGGGTATAGACTGTCACTAGGCCCAAATGTTATCGGATGAATGATATAATCATTCGTGTGCATAAGACGAGCTGTTCTAGAGCACCTGTTGAGTCGAGTATTATATGTCCAGACTAACCCTGTCAGCGACGCCGCTGCCATTGCCCTTTTTGATCACTCTCAGATCCCTTCCATATATAGACTTTGGACAATGGTTGGGAACTTCCTTCCTATAAGCGGCGGATACTCTATCAAGTCTTGCATGGAGTTCATTTCCAATGAGCAAAGGCCAGGTACGCCGCTGTGAGAGATCAGAAAAGTAACATCAGTCTTGTAATGTTGCCAATCGTCTTCACCAAGGTATCTGTTACGAGTAATGCTGTCGTGAGTAAGCTCTCTGAAAGGTTAGTTTCCACTGCAGTCTGCACTTCAGTGCCACAAGATTTGCTATATCTCTTGTTCCGTAGCTCCAACTACATCTGCATTGAGTTGATTGGGATGAGCTCGATGGCCATGTAACCAGCATTAAGATTGTCCTAATATCCCCGGGATTGTGGTTTGGTATCCGGATTGTTGGATACAATTCCTGGCCCTAGGCCCGACTGGGTGTTTCGGCGGCATAGTCACTCGCATACTGAGTCAATTGTCAAAGATGGGAAGACAATGGCGAGGATGATTTATTGGGTTGAACAGCATAGTGCGTGGCCCTAGCTGTTGTCTGTGATCCCAACTTCGCCTGCCATCGAGACCACCGGTATCAACGTCGGGATTTCTGGTAACCACATCTGTCGGGGATTGTTGACATGGTTCAGATGAGTCATATGTTCAACTGCGACTTCGTGGGATCAGGTTCTTATGCTTAGTAGTCAAACCGTTGGCGGGAATTTTGTCCGGTGGGATCCAAGGAGTTGACGCCCAACGGCACATGTCTCTCCGTAAACCCTTTCAACTGACGGTGTACCGGTATAATAAGTCCAGATGTATCATGTAGCATCTAGCCCATCTTCATACAATCAAGATGGAAACCGTGTATAAGGAGTAGTATATTGATCCATCCGCGCCTGACAACGCATAGACTTGTCAAGCCAGCCGATTCAGTCATATTTGAAGGGCAAGGTATATCCACGGAGCTTTCTCCGGTGCCATTCAGCACGAAACTCATGCTCCTGGCCAGCTTGTAGACACCTGAAGGAGGGATGAATGGCAAGTACCGCCAGCGCTCGAAAGGGACGGTTGCTCTGAAATCCTCTATTAATGGAACGAAATGTATTTTCAGTATTCTGCATTCAACAAGACAAGGGAAAAAGCTCATCGGCGGCATTTTCAAGTGTGGCTGTCTCACTTGGAGCTCGACATGATTAGGACAAGGAATCGAATCCTTCTAGGCATACCTTTTCACCGACAGAGGCATTCCTATAGCCCCGTACAGGCTTTTCTGTCCACCAGCTTGTCTGGGTTGAGATTTGTATCATGGCAAGTATGATCAGCTATAACGACCTTGTCAAAATGAATATATAAGCGACAAGTGGTGCAACGGCTATCTCGACCTGAAGCTGGTCGGTCATCTTCTTTTTTAGTCACCTCATGAGAGACACGATGCCCGTGAGCAAGCCCCAGATCATCAAGGGTCAGATCAGTGTTCTATGCTGCAGAGCCAATCTCACGGGTCTCGGGACGGCGACGAACAGACGAGCCTCTCGATATGATCTGGTGTCGTTCGATAGATATTGACATGGACACAGTCATGATAGGCACACCATTCACACTCTGCCAGAGAAGATGTGGAATTGAAATCACCCGGGAGTATAAAGGAACTGGCGGTGACCCAAAAATAGCAGTTTCCTGATCGCATTTCCCGCTGTTTCTAGTAGACGAACCCAGCTCCACGAAGACATCAACCCCACAATATTAGCCACGTACTGATGACTACGGGACAGACAATGTGAAACCACACAGCCCCAGATGACCTCTTGACAAACGGCCTGGTACACGCTAGCGTTGCCCAGGACCAGTGGAATTATGACGAAGAGCAAAACCGATTGTCACGAGAGCTTAAACGAACGACATCCGCGATCCACGAGCATTTCCCGGGTGGATATGGGGGCGGGAACAGACGGGAAGTACTTATCCGGCTATGAGTCGATCGCCCTGCTGGGATGCGTTCGCGTCGACCAGGCCAGACCTTGTTGGATGTGGTTTCGATTCATCCCGTAGAAGATGGAAGGTTGTGGTGCGATCCCGGTCTATTCCGAAGGAGGCTTTTGGGTCAGTCACATTTTAGTCAGTCAGTGAGTCAACGGCCAACCCCAGTCTATACGATCTTGGGGTTAATCCCGGCGGAGTGCTCGTGGTTGATACACCCTGGGTGCACAGTACACTATACCCACCACCCCGAACGACTGCCGTAAACCCGAGGTAAGCGGCGGTGCCGCAGATTAATCAATCCTGGACGGAGGACCCCGTACTCCGTACTAGAACCGGAAATAATAATGATAGATCACGATGAGCGTGACTGGGGGGGGGGGGGGGGGGGGGTGCACGGCCATACACAGTACACGCGTGCTTGAAACGGGCGGCATGGCATCCCTCGAATAAGGACCCACGGAGACCAGCACGCAAAGTACGAGGCAAAATAACCTTAAGCCGAACCAAACTGTCAGGTTGTCAGATAGCTGAACAGCTGGGGAATCTCCGCAATGAGCAATGGATGAGGTCACAGTGATGGCAGACGAGATAGCAAGATAGCGAGCGGTGGCCAGTCGTGGCGGCGAGTGGTTGCATCATGGACTGTGTGGACTGGCTGGGCTGGCTGGAACTGGCTGGACTGACCTGGTTCTGGCCGCTTCCTTGGCAGGAAAGGGCTTAGTCACCGGGGGAGGGGGAGAGAGGGGCCGAAGCCGGTGACTAATGGGAAAGTGGGAAGGCTAGCCGATCGCTCAGGGGAAAGAAAGCCGAGCGCGCGGCGGCGGTCGCTGGGCAGCCTCACCGAGACCGAGTACACCGACCGCCGAACAACACACTCCCGCTCACGATTCCCGCTGACTCCTGAGCCCCCCCATCCCCCCCCCAGCAGAAGGAATCTGGAAGGAAGGGGAGTGAAACCAACGCGTGTCCAGCTGATCGATGGCTGATGGATTATTGCTGACTAGAACCAATAAATTCAAACTCAACTCCATCTCCGATCCCCACAAAGTCAGCGTTTCCCCTGCAACCCTAACTGCCCAGGGCTGCGCTAGTGCCGACCCGGCCTAGTGTTACTGTGTTTAGCAAGCGAGCCTAATCCCGGATAGTCCGCGACCCCGCAAGATCCAGCCAATCACCGCCGCTGCCCTGCACATCCCTTGCCGTTCCTACTGGAGACTGGCAGCAGGTAGGGTGTAAATCTCCAGATTTCTGGAGCTGCAGTGCACATGGCCGGTCGCGTTGCCAATGGAGCCACCTCGAATGAGAGTTCGTTCTGGTACCTTTACCCCCCGAATTTGACGCTCTGGTCGGTGGGAGCAAGCACGGACGGCGGTCGCGCGCGCGAGAGAGAGTCCGACCGGACAGCACTTTCTGGGCGGACGGGCAGCGGGCATCGGACCAGCTAATTAGAGAAGGAGCGACTCGACAGAAACTCCCCCGGCGTCGAACATTCCACGGATTGCCGCCAGACCCGGACCCACCCAGACGAGGTCAGCTGCCCGACCGGTTTTGCGGGTGGAGTCGAGTCGAGGCCTCCTTCCTTTTTTTCCTCTGTTCCTTTTTCCTGTTCCTTGGCCGGGTAACCGTGACTGGTCGTACGGAGGGGGGGCTGACCAAGACCAACCACGTAGAGAGTGAACACGTTCAACCACCTTGCCATAAAGTATGTAATGCGATGTGTTCATAGTCCTGTAGAAAAAGTAAAATGTAAGCGAAAAAAAAAAAAAAAAAGGAAATTCAGCTTCACGATCGGCTTTATCACCCCATCGTGGAATCACGAGCCGGCGCAACCAGCGTGGACTGACCAGGCCATCTTACGTTACATACGTATGGATGATACGGACGGCGGACAGGGGACGGGGGACACAGGCCGGACGCGCGCGAGAGTTGTGGTGTTACGAGTCTAGACCCGGGGATCAACCGCTTGCAGAATCTGCCAGATCAGATGGTCACCAGGGCGGATTGCTGCTTTGGGGGTTCCGTCGCCCAGAGTCCCTCCCTTAAGTATTTTTCTCCCCTCCAGATCCTCTCCATATTTCCCTTCTCTCTTCCCCTCCAGACTTTTCTACCTCCAAGCCATCCCACAACAGCCAGTCAAGCTCTCCAGATGATCTCCGCTTGACTGTCTACTAAACTGCGTATCTCTCCACGCGACCTTATATTCTTAATTGGCTCATATCTATCACCACACCGCACCACCCACCCACCCCCAAGTAATCAGACTTGTCTTGTCTACACGCCTGTAGACTGCTCCCACAATGGCAGTCACAGCAATTGATGTCATCTCCAAGCCCTCCTCCTCTCCTCTCTCCTCCAACAACCCCTCCATGAATAAGCGCTGGCCTCCCCTCGCCGACAAGACCTCCCTCCCTTACAAGCTCACCACCCTCTCCCGTCAGAAGCTTGCCCGGGAGGCCACCGCGCCGGACCCGGATATCCGCCGCTGCCTGGGCCACTTCCGTCTACACTGCAAGTCGATGGAGTGGGCACAGAAGGAGATGACGACGCGTATCAACTCGTTCGACCTGGAGGACGACTCCGAGGACGAGTCGGACCGCGAGGACGAGGACAAGAAGGACCCCGATGACCACAAGGACGAGAGTCAGGATGAATCGGCCGAGAAGGCCTCCGAGAAGACCACCGTCCACATCAGCTTCCACGTCTCTGCGCCTGCCGCAGCAGAGAAAGAGAAGGAAGAGAAGGAGAAGGAGAAGGAGAAGGAAGGGCTCCTCGAGAAGGGACGCAGTTGTCTCGAGAAGACCGCCCAGAGGAAACACTTCTGGCCGTCGCCTGGACAATGTCTACCTGTTCGCATTGCAGGGTAGACTATCCTCCTACTCTCGATCCTCCTCGATACTATACTATATCTCGCCTCTCACCTCCCACCTCACCACACGACCACCATCAAACCCACCAAAAACCAAATACTTAATAATTACGACGATACGAAGCCACGAATCTCATATTTAATTTCATTCAACATACATATACGGAGTCCACCAGCAAGGCATTGATTGATTGGGTACCCCGGGCTAGCTAGGAGTTGGTGCGAAGGTTAATCATCATCATCATCATCATCATTATCATCATCATCACATCATAGGAGTTAGTCCGCCACACGGCTTAGATATGGACAAAGGAAAGGAAGGAAGGAACCTTGGGAAAGGAAACAAGCATGTATCTAGCCAAAAGTAACCTATACATATCAATGATCAACAATACTCAAACAAACCTAATACTCTCCAAACATTACAACGCTCTCCCCTGATACCCTCAGAATAGTATGGAGTATATAGTACGGAGTAGTAGATACATAGATAGGTCCGGAGTAATAATACCCCCTGTTATTACCCCCCCACTGCAGGGACTCCTGTACCCATACCTAAGGCATGCATGCATCCATGCGCTAACAACCAGTAAGAATGCAGACACCCTGGACATAGATACCATGTCTTAGTTATCCATGTGCTTGCTCACCTGACTAAACCAGCATGCATAGTTACTAGGTAACTCCGTAGTACTAGATAGTCAAGGCCGAAACGGAGTAGATAGGTAGATAGATAGATAGATAAACACATTGATGGACAGATGGACGGACAGATAGATACTATAGGCAGGCACTGAGACAGATGGGCAGACAACAACGCCTACTCCTGGCCTACCTAGCCAACACTGACCCAACCAGCCCGCTCCAATCCTTCATACATACTAACTAGTAGGTACACAGATACATACATACATAGTACGGAGTAGGTAGTCATACAATATCTACAGCAAGCACCACAAAACAAGCAGAGATTGAAGTAGTTACAAAGTAAGCAAGTAAGTCATCAGCAAACAAACAGCACGCAGCACGCAGCACGCAGCAAGCAGCCGCCCACCCGCCCGTCCGCCACGCCACACCCCAACAACCACATCATTCATCATCATCGAGTAGTTAGTAAGTAAGTAAAGTAGTACTCCGTTCCGTAGTAGTACGCACCACCTGCCTCGCCTCGCCTCGCCTCGCCTCGCCTCGAAGCCCAGCGAGAGCGTGGCGTGATACCTTACGTACCAGCCACCAAGACTGCATCACTCACACTCACCAATTGACTCATCATGATCCTCTCTCTCTCATCCTGAAACAACTAGCACAACTGCCGTGTAATAATTATAATAATAATAATACTAAAATCTAAAAGTAGCACAACCACGGAGTAAACGGGTAAATCTACAATTACCCGATCCAGCAACCAGCAACCAGCAACCAGCAAAACCCAGCAAAACTGTCCGTGTCCGTGTCCAGTGCAGTGCGGTACGTACTTCGGGATTGATCTCATCGACGATCTCAAACCCGCTGATGATGAATCATACATCCCTACCCATAACTAGATAGTTACAACCAAACTGCTTTTGGGGCTTTGGGGCTTTGGGGCTTTTGGGACTTTGTTGCCACTCCCGATGGGGATGGAAAAGTACGTACCCGCTGGTTCTCGGGTCCGGATTCAGTAGGGATGGTCGGTATGACTACAACACGGTGTAATAATAACCAATGATTCTGGAGATTGGTTCGATGGGATCGATCGCGGAATTGCGTTAGTTTGCCTGGGTAGGGTTGGGGGAAAAGTACTATTTTTATTTCATTAATAACGCGTAAGTGAGGAAGGACTTGGGATCATGATGATGATGATGATGATGATATGGGGTAGTAGTACGGAGTACTTTGTAATGATAGTACATGGAATACTTACTGCCTACGGAGACTACATTGTATGATGTGAAGGTGTAAATGCTATTCATTGAAGATCTATGATTTCATCATACCTGTATGACTGACTGACTATCTTCGAATAACTACTACTGTGTATGTAGTATGATGCTGTTCATTACCTCAACCATGACATCAATCCAATCCAATCCAACCCAACCATACCATCCAAAATCATATGCTAACGCCCGCTAAACCAAACAAACAAAAATAATACTAACCCTGATGCCAGGATACGCCATACACCTTATAAGAATCCCTGTAAAAATGAACAAACGCTACATAGCAAGATCATCATCGTCGTCCCACCCCAAATGCGCATAGATGGATTTCTCAGGGGTCACCGGCACCGCTCCTGAAGCTGACGTGGTCGGCACGGCCAGTCGGGGGGTGTTTTTCACGGGCGTGGCGAGCAGTCCCCTTGCCGGGGGGGTGGTGGTTTTCACAGGCGTCTCTGTCACGGCCTCTGCTTCGGCCTGGAAATGCGGATGAGGAACAGGGATCGCGGCAGGGGCCATGGCCACGCCCGCCGCCCCCATGCCTGCGCCTAACCCCATGGCCTGCTTAGGTGGCGTCTCCATGATCATCGATGGTCTGTTGTGGCCGGTGGACTGCAGCCGGGACATAAATGGGTCCACGTGCCGGGATGCGATCGGCGTGGTTGGGCCTTTTTCTGTGGCCCGAGGACCCGGGGCAGGGGCCGGCACCGGGAGTGAGGTTGAGGTGGGTTTGCTGGGGACGCGGAAAAGCGGTCCCGAGATGCTAGGGGACGCGCCCATCGCAGATGAGAGGAGTGGCTGTGTTGGTCGGCGTGTGGGAGTCTCCTGGACGACGCCGAGGTCGGCGGAGCGGAACGGGCCTGAAAATGAGCTGCTGGGGCGGATGGTTGAGCCGGGGACGATCTGCGGCTCGCTGTTGAAGGGCGAGGACGGTGGTCCCAGTCCCAGTCCCTTGGAGATCGAAGACGGGTGGAGCAGGCTTTTGGGCACAGGCGGCATTCCCGCAAACGCATCCTTCTTCCGACTGCCCTTGGGCGTGGCTGCAACCTGCACGCCTTGGCCGAGAGGGTTTCGCACGGGGTTCTTGGGCTTCCTGGAGCTGCCGCCCGTGGTGAGTCGCTTGTCTGCATCATAGGCAATGTCCTTGGCCACGAGTTCGCGGTTCGGCTTCCGGAGGGCGTGGATTGCGGCGTCGAGCTCTTTCTTCTGCTCGACCAGCAGGTGCATCTTCTTCAGCTTGGCCTCGTGCTGGCGCGCAACCGCGTTCAGATCCACCTCGCGGTTCTCGACCCGTTTGGCCTTTTGTATGCCGCCTCGCACGTTGGTGCCGAGAACAGGCAGGAGGGGGTCGAGAGAATCCCGTCGGCTCTCGCCTTGCGTCGGGGTGGTGTTGGAGCGGTGGAGTGATGGAGGGCGTGCCTGGGACGTCGCTTGGTCTGTCAACACGCGCTGGAACGTGCGGCGACGCGACTGCTTCTGGGCCTGTTGTCGCTCAACCGGCGTGCCCGGCTCTCGCTGTGTCTTCTTCTGCGGTTGCTTGGTGAAAGGCGATATCGCGGTCGAGACGCCCAGTTTGCGCGTGATCAGCTTGCACTTGTCCGGAAGTCGCGATGCGTAGAACGGGACGATGACCTCCGTGCAGAAATCACGGACGGCGTCACTCTCGACCTTCTTTCCGGACATATGGTTGCTGCCGTATGTCTTTGCTGAATCAGGGACGACGGCTTCTTCGAAACTGACGGCATGCCAGATGCACAGTCGGTCAAGGTGAAGTTCAAGCATGACATTCAGGTCTTGTGGTTTCTTGGCTTTGGCGCTCTTCGCAGGTTTAACTGCTGAGTTCTCCCCATTGCCATCACGCTTCTTTTCGTCGACCATGGCCGCCTCAAGAGCTATAGTCTCCAGGATGAGGAGAATCTGTAGCTGCGTTTCACGCAACCGCAAATCCGCAACATGTCTTTTAGTCTCCATCTCCCTGGAGATGTCAGACGGGCCCTGCTCATTCAACGTACGACCCTTCCACCACTTGCGAATGAAATCCCCTTCTTCGGGATACAGCCCATTCTTGCCGAGTTTCTTCTTCGTGCTCTTGCGCTTTTTCTTCGACTGCGCGGGCTCATCATCCGACACGCTGAGCAGGATATCCTGGACCGTAGACGGTAGCGTTTCGCGATACTTGTGATCCATCCGCTTTGCCGGGAGAATGGCCTCCCTGTAGAACTCGACCAGATTTGCCGATCTGGCCGACTCAGTCTCAGACTGGAAAGCCGCACGACAACGCGCCAAAGGACCCTTGGCGAAATACGCCACGGAGGTCTATCACGATTAGCATCACCGCATCAATAAAAGTTAGAGCCAACATACCTTCGAAACATACAGCGCCTGCAAATACTGCCCCCGCAGGCCGTCCAGGAGCTCCTGCGGCGACTGCAGCGCATCAACCCTGTAATCATCCTCGGCACCAGCACCCTGCTCCAGAACTCCAAGCAGAACGGGGCTTGAACTCCTCATCCCGTCGTGCTGAGTCTGAGTCTGCGGCTGCGACTGATCACTCACACCGACCACCCCCTCCAGGGCCGCGCTCACACCCTTGAAGGCCACCTTCACACCATCACGCAATCCCCTCTTCCCCAACATACTTCTCCCACCAAGACCACCACCAAGACCAACACCAACACCCGGATCCTCAACCTTCGCAGCCTCCCACCACTCCCCCCACCCACACCAGCACCAGCACCACCTCCAATCCCTCTTTCTTTCTCTTGAATCAATCCAGAGCTGGCCCCAGCCCCACCATCGTCACCCAGAGCCCCAAGAGACATACCTCCCTTCCCTGTAATCAAAACCTCCCCCTCAGATATCCCCCTCACCCTCCCCAAAACAAACACCCCCCTCTTGACCCTCTCCACAACAACCAAGCCCCCTTCCTCCGTTGTAGTAGTACAAGTAGTAGCAGTGCCCGTCCTCGCAACAAGAACCTTCCCCAAATCCTCCTCGAGGGCAGGGATATACGCCGAGAACCACCCCTCACGGGAGTTCTGGTATTCTGTCCATGTGAACGGGACGGAGTGGCGCGGGAGGAGAGCGATAGGGGCGAGGGATATCGTTTGCGGTTGGAATTGGGTGTGAGGGTGGGCTTTTGTAGGCGTGGTGGTTGGGAGAGATTGCGGTGGAGGCTATATCATTATCATCCATCATTAGTATTTATTTAGGCATGGGATAGAATATCGCGAGGAGGTATTAGGGGTTGGTTGGGGCGGGATATGGGTATGAACGTGCGATGGATACAGGATTCATGGATGGATGAAAGGTAGATAGAAAGATGGATAGAAGGTTCCAACAACTCACCCGAATGGTAATTGTCTGCGCCCATGACGCTTTCGAGTTCGAGTTCGAGATCGCGTTCGTGTCGAAGATCCCATACGATGACGAGGACGAGACCTTTCGTTTTTTGTACGGTGATTGCGCAGACGTAGACCCAGATCCAAATCCAGACCCAGACCCAGACTGAGGAACGAGGTTGAGAGGGATAGGAGTGAGGACGCCGCCGCCGCCTCCTCCTCCGCCGAATGCGCGTGTAGCCATGGTATTCTCTTGCCTTGTTTAGGTGGTCATGGCATGAGTATTTGGGATCGCTGCAGTAGTGATCTCGAGCAGGTGCGATAATATGGGAGTTAGTGGTCTGCGGTTTGTTTGATTTGGTTGTTTGATCTGATTAGGTTGTTTGGTTAATTGATTAACTGGAGAAGGAAGAACGGGTACGACGCGATCACGTCCGCGGAGCTTGGCGGCACGCGTCGCGGCCGAGGGAGGGGTGAGCAAGTGACCGACTGCGGAGCAGAGATTGCATGTAGCATTTAGGGGGTTTAATTTAATCCAATTCAATTAAACTCAACTACTCTGTACTTTGAGTTTGATGACTCTCCCATTGATGGATAATACAAGGACTAAGTTGACTCAAGATTAATTCAAGTACTGTTGGAATTAGATGTCGGCGTGGAAAAAATGGGGAAATCCTGGTTTTGCCTGGAGTTCGTTGGGTGTAGCCCTAATGTCGGCCAGCAGGCGGACCGTGGTTGAGACTGAATCTCGGCGGTTTTCTCAACTCCTTTACACTCCGAAGCACGCTCTATGTCGCCGAGTCTAAAAGCAATGCTGCTTGTAGGCCACGAGCTCTCTTAATTTCTTTTAAAAAGTCCTACAACAGAAAGCTACAAAAAAAATGTTGGAATATGCATCATATGCATTCATTAATCTATATGCTAATGTTTAGATTAGCTGGCATGACGGCGAGAGGAGGCGTCCCCTCGCCGCCATCTATGTGTCGCTCCTCTCGGAGACATCATCCGAGGCCCAGTGCGTAGTAAGAGCCGGCCACCACGCCCGGTGGCCGCGCTCCGCGCAGATAGTACTCGCGGTTCCCATCGGTCCTGAGCCCGGAGGAGGCAGTGTTGAATACTTTCGCTCCCGAAAACGCCGAAACAACCCTCCCTAGATATGAAAAGTGGTATCATGTTGAATTTATCCTCGCCGAACCCGTCTCTTGCTCAGAGACCATGCAAAAAGTTGAACAAACATCCAAACATAAAAGTTGCTTTTGACATGTCTATGCTTGTGCTTTGAGTTGTTGAAAACAAAGCAAAATCATTACATTCGTAACGTAGACTGACTCACAAGAGAAGCAGGTCCACGACCGCAGCGCGTGGCGCGCTTAGTACTTGAGGGCCTTGGGCTTCTCCCAGGAGAAGTTCTGGTTGGTGAAGTGACCGTTCTTGGCGGTCTGGAAGTAGATGGGCTTGGCCAGGTCAAGCTCCTTGACAATGACACCGGGACGGAGGTCGAAGTTGTCACGGATGATCTGGACGAGCTCATCGGAGGTCTTGGAGGAGGTGCCGTAGGTCTCGACGAAGATGGAGAGGGGCTCAGCGACACCGATCGCGTAGGAGAGCTGGACCAGGGCACGGCGGGCGAGGCCGGCAGCGATCAGGGACTTGGCGATCCAGCGGCCGACGTAGGCAGCCGAGCGGTCGACCTTGGAGTAGTCCTTGCCGGAGAAGGCACCACCACCGTGGGCACCCCAGCCACCGTAGGTGTCGACGATGATCTTACGGCCGGTGAGACCGGCATCACCCTGGGGGCCACCGATGACGAAGCGGCCGGAGGGCTGGAGGTGGTAGACGGTACGGTCGTCCAGGAGGTGGGCAGGGATGACCTGCTTGATGATCTTCTCCTTGAGGACGGTACGGAGCTCCTCAGTGGAGACCTCATCGGCGTGCTGGGCGGAGATGACGACGGTGTCCACACGGACGGGCTTGACAGCACCGTTGTCGTGGGCGTACTCGACGGTGACCTGGGTCTTGGTGTCGGGGCGGAGCCAGGGGATGGTTCCGTTCTTGCGGGCCTCGGTCATGGCGGCGTTGAGCTTGTGGGAGAGGAGGACGGTGAGGGGGAGGAGCTCAGGGGTCTCGTCGGTGGCATAACCGAACATGATACCCTGGTCACCAGCACCGAGCTTCTCAAGGGCCTCCTCGTAGTGCAGACCCTGGGCGATATCGGGCGACTGCTGCTCGATGGCAACCAAGACGTTGCAGGTCTTGTAGTCGAAGCCCTTGTCGGAGGAGTCATAGCCGATGTCCTGGATGGCACCACGGATGACCTTCTGGTAGTCCAGCTTGGCCTGGGTGGTGATCTCACCGAAGACCATGATCATACCTGGATTGGGTCAGCGCACGGCTCGGCGACCAGAGATAGATAGTTGAGTTCAAACATACCGGTCTTGGTGGCAGTCTCACAGGCGACCTAATGGCAACATGTTAATTCATGGCGTTCACATGGGAGGAGAGACGGTCGGAAAAGCGCCAGCCAATCAGGGGGCGGGAAGCGCAAAAATCCGGCGGGGTTCCGTACCTTGGAGAGGGGTCCTCGGACAGGCAGGCATCGAGGATGGCATCGGAGACCTGGTCACTGTAGGGGCCGTGTTAGCAAAGATAGATCTAAGCGCAAGATAAGAGGCATTGACCGCCTGGTCTCCTCCCAGAAAGGGTTCAACATACGCAATCTTATCGGGGTGACCCTCTCCGACAGACTCGGAGGTGAACAGGAAAGTTCCACTGTTGGCGACGGAACCCATTGTGAAGAGTGGAGGGGGGGGGGGTATGTATTAGAGAGAAAAGTGAGAAAGGAGAGAAAGGCGGGGAGGAAGAGGAGGAAGAGGAGGAGGAGAGTAAGATCGGAGAGAAAAGAAAGCACAATAAGCGAGGGAGGAAATGGAGGAGGGAAAAGGGAGGGGAAGAAGAGAAAAGAAGGGCGAGGAGGGAGGGGGTCCGTATTAATGTGCCTCCGATGGCGCCATCCCTTCCGGCGGTCGGCGCCGGCAAAAAGGGCTAATGAAGAAGGAAAAAAAAAAAAAAGTTGAAATAGAGGGCGGTTCATGCACCGACGGCGGCCTCTCATTTGCCGAGCGCATTCCCCCAACTGCACTGCTGTTGCTCCAATCGGGGATCGGTCAGTTTGACGGCACCCGGACTTTCTCAGCGAGTCTCTTGCCTGCCCCGTCTCCGCCGACTCGGCCCAACCTCACTCCATCCCCAATTCTCTGACTATTATTGCTGGCCTCTTCGGAGATTTATTTTCCTTGCTTACCGCCGAACACGAGCACTATTGAACCGCGGGCTCAACTAGTCATCTGTCCGCCCGTCAGCCGTCAGCCGTCAGCCCCTCAGCGCAAACCGAATCCCAACCCCAACCCCAACCCCGCCGCCGCCGCCAGAATGTCCAAGTTCGGCGTCTTAGTGATGGGCCCCGCAGGCGCGGGCAAAACTACCTTCTGCAGCTCGATCATCCAGCATCTCCAGAACACGCGCCGCAGCTGTTTCTACGTGAACCTGGACCCGGCGGCCGAGACGTTCAACTACGAGCCGGACCTGGACATCCGCGACCTGATCACACTGGAAGATGTGATGGAGGAGCTGGGGCTCGGCCCCAACGGTGGACTCATCTACTGTTTCGAATTCCTGCTCCAGAACCTGGAATTCCTGTCGGAGGCGCTCGATCCGTTGAGCGAGGAGTACCTGATCATCTTCGACATGCCGGGCCAGATCGAGCTGTACACGCATATCCCGCTGCTGCCGTCGCTGGTGCAGTTCCTGTCGCGCCAGGGCCCGTTGAATATCAGTCTGTGTGCGGCGTATCTGCTCGAGAGCACGTTCGTCGTGGACAAGGCCAAGTTCTTTGCCGGCACGCTGAGCGCCATGTCCGCCATGCTGATGCTGGAGATGCCCCATGTGAATATTCTGAGCAAGATGGACCAGGTGCGAGACATGATCTCGCGCAAGGAGCTGAAGCGTTTCACGAGTGTCGATGTGACTACGCTGCTGCAGGGAGAGGAAGGGGAGGCGGAGGAAGGGGCGCCCGTGGAGGGAGATCCGTCGTCCAAGGATGCTTTGCTGAGTGGTGGGTCGTTTCAGCAGTTGAATCGTGCGGTCGGCCAGCTCATCGATGACTTCAGTATGGTTTCGTTTCTGAAGCTGAATGTGCAGGATGAGGACAGTGTCGCCGCCGTGCTGAGCCACATCGATGATGCGATCCAGTACCACGAGGCTCAGGAACCGCGCGAGCCTGCGGACGCACAAGAAGTGGACTACGAGGACTGAGCCAAGCCGTAGCCAACCGGCAAGGGGGCAGGCCAATTCCGCCGTCCAGGAAGGGTTCGGCGGGCTGGACGTGGCTAGCGCATACGAGCTACAGTACGGAAGATAGGAAGGGGCCTACAATTGGATGATACCCGCTGTTACGAGTCAACAGCAACACCACCGCAGGAACGAACCGCCGTCACACTGTGCCCGGATCGGGTCCAAAATAGCTCTCGAAATTGGGCTCATGCGAGGGCGGGTATACTAGGTAGAAGATGCAGAGACCTAGGCCCGCAAATCGGGCGATATCGGCCATTCCGCCAAGTCAGGAATGTCAGCTGAAGATCATGTATTAGTCCAGCATGATACCGTACCTAACGAACGATCTAAAAGAAAGAAACGAGCCAAGAAATGCAAGCCAGACCAACCATGCACTTTTCCGCCCCGGACGGGGCAGTAGTGAGGACGTAAAGAAGAGCTTCCCAAACATAAGAAAGAATGCAAGTACGGGTGTGAGTATGAGAGCATGAAAAGTACTACCTATAGACAGACCCCCAGAATAGAGACCAGCACCGTCTTCATGCCGCGACCCCAATCGCTCCAATTAAAGAATCGCATCGCATAAGATACAGCACCAAAAAAGCCCAACAACACAAATCATCAATCATCGTCCTCATCTCTTAGTTTCTGGCCCTGGGAAGGAGAAAGAAGAAGGGTATTCTCAAAAGACCCCCAGCCTCTGCTGCTGAGTTCTCATGCCGGTAGCATACCCACTCCAGCCCATAGAAGTCGCGGTGGTGGTGCGACCGTCCTCAACCCCACCGACGAAGCCATCGACAAAGCCCTTAATGATGCCATACGCCCAGCCCAGATCGCGACCGGATTTCTCGAATCCAGACGAATAGACGTACCAGATGACGCCGAGGACGAAGGACCACCAGAGCAGGCGCAGGAACAGGTTGACCCAGAACATGACGAGGCGGCGTGCATAGTCGAGGATCTTGAGGGAGATGAGGAGCACGATGGCTAGGATGAAGACGGAGACGAGGTCGGGCATGGAGGAGGCGAGGAGGGTTGCGAGGGGCTGGATCACGTAGGGGTCGAGGTAGGTAGAGCGGAGGTGGGAGATGTAGGGTTCGAGGTAGGTGGAGTGGAGGGAGGCGAGGTGGGAGGTGAGGGGGGTCTCGGTGAGGTGTTGGATTCTCGGGTGTTGTTGGATGAGAGTGATCAGGGATTCTGCGTGTTGGATAGTTGGGTGTTGTTTGATTAGGGAGATAAAGGATTCTGCGCAACAACATAGGCCGTGAGTGACTGTGGTTGTGATGATATTGTTGTGATCCTTACCGGGGAGGAAATCCATTGTAGTCGAGCCACTTCAGTCCTGGAGTTCAAATCGATGGGTCTGCGCGAGAAGGCTCGGGATAGTTTTGGTAGATGGACGGGTGCAAGGTCTAGCACTATATATTTATAAGAGAGCGACAGCGTTCATGATTGTGGTGAAGACGGAGACTGACAAGGAGGATAAAGGAAGTCGGGACTTTCCACCCGCTGAGACGGAGGATGCAGTCGCCGGTCGGTCCATGCGCCAGCCAACCACGGCCGGGAGCGCGGCCAAACCAGGCAAACACCGCAGTCCGGGGGTGGAGCGCGTGACATGAGACATGGAATGTGAGCCTACCAGATAATTCAACGTAGAAAATAAGAAAGGGAAACTTCTGACACCGAGTCTCCCCCTGCTCCGGCATCACCATCGTGTCTATTAGTGTGGTAGTATCGCTATACATCTATGCGGAATACACATGATCACATCGTGATGCTGAGATATTTACAAGTCCACCTCGTCCGTGGACCCTAACAACCATATACAAACGTCAGAGTATGCACAGCACCTCCAAAACAATAAACAAAGAAAAAAGCTTCACACGCTACTTCACCCGCAAGTCTACTCCAAAGCACCAGCCCATGAGGTATTGTTTTGTACAGCGCAAAAGCCAAAAATGCCGCGGGGCCATGTCTAGGCCATCAGGGTCTTGAACGTCTCCCGTTCAGCCATAATCTCCGCCTGGAGTTTCCGGGTCAGGCGCAGTGCCTCATCCCTAGAGCGTTTACATTAGCAAGGATCTCGCGGAGGAGGATCATGACAGTGACAACTTACCGGTCAGACTGGAGTTCGCCGACCTCGATTTGCGCGCGGTTCATCCGACTCACGACTTCTCCCATCTCCAAGTCGGCCTCGCGAAGAAGCTTCTCTAGCTCCTTCACCCGTCGGGCCAGTGTCTCGGACTGAACGGCTCCCTCCAGAGGCATGCCCTTGCCACTGGTGGTAAAGTCCAGACGGGGCGACCGCGCGTCAAAGGGCGTGTTCGGGGGCATTGGCGACAGAGTCGCAGGGCTGCGGGACCCGTTCTTCATGCGCTTCAACTGCGCGTTGTGGCTCTCCTCGAGGGCGCGGACTTCCTCTTCATGGCGAGCGATTTCTTCCTCGGAATACTGCTGCGCGATCAGCAGGATGTCCTCCATCTCCTTCAGCCGGGCCTGCATTTCGTTGATGCGGATGGCAGACACCTGCTGCTCTCTTTCACCCTTGCCAATGGCCTCGGCCAGACGACTCCGCAGGGCGTTGTTATGTGCCAGCTGCCGTTGTACATGCTGGGCAAGCATTTTTGTCCGGCTGACCGATTCTGCAAGTGGGCCTTGCTCCGTCATGGGTGAGCTGGCTTCGGCGATTTCCCGGTCCGCCTGGAGTTGTCGGTAGGCCGAATCCAAGGAAGAGGAGGTTGCGAGGACCTCAGCGAATCCGTCGCGGTCGCACTCGAGGTCCTCGGGGACGGTAATATCATGCTCTTGCAGCAGTACTCGCAGGGAAGTGGTCTCCTGCTCCGCTCGGTCCAGGTCCATCTTCAAACCCGCCAGCCCCTTTTCGCACTGCCACTTCTGTTCCAAGGCGTCTTCGGCGCGCTGCCGAAGAAGGTTCACCTCATCGCGCAGATTGTGGACGTCTCTCTCGTATCCCAGCTTACGCGGGGAGCTCGCCTGCTGTGCGCGGGCGACCTCCAGCTCCATTAGCTGAAGACGCTTCTCGTATTCACGTGAGTCATGCGCCTGGCGATCGAGCAGGCGCCGGAGAGACTGATGGAGGGCATCGCGCTGCTCCTCGACATCCTTAATTCTGTCTGCCAAGCTTTCCTTGGGGGTATCACCCCGATCCTTGGCAGATGTCGAGTTCGACCGAGACAAGGAGCCAGAACGAGACAGATTCGGTGCGCTGTTCTTCGTGCGCAGGCGAGCAAGCGAGTTCGACCGTGATAGTCCCAGTCCCACGTTTCTTGAGGTCGACATGCCGTCCTCTTCCGCAATTGATGCAAATCGGCTTCCTTGCAGCTGGGCAAGGGAAGCATTTTCGATTTTGAGGGCTTCGATCTCGCCCAGTAGCCGTTCGACTTCCGAGGGGTCGGATGAAGGAGCACCCAGCGGGCCAGCTTGCTGCATTTGAGGGATCACGTTGTCACGAAGATGATCCCGCTCGTTCCGCAGTTGTTCAAGCTCGACTCTCATCGCCGTCAGCAGATCTTCGAAATTGTCTTTGATCTGCCGTTCCTCGGCCAACTTCCTACGGGTAGCCTCCAACGCTGTTTCGAGCTCTTTTGTCCTGGAGGACATATCGGAGAGATCCACTCTCTCCCGTCGCAGCTAGAATGTGTTAGTCTATCCCAGTGGGTGGAAGTCACAAGCTTGCTGGTCATATCTTACCTGGTGGACCTGCGATTCCAATATTTGGACATGAGCCTCCGATGCTGCTCGACGGCTCCGCTCTTCTTGCACCTTTTGGGACAATTCTGTCTTGATCTGGGCTCTTTCCTGCTCCGCTGTACGCTTAAATTTTCCAATATCTTCTATTCTACCACCCGACTCGTGCGCGTATCGGATGGAACTAGAGCCCGAATCGGAAAAGTAATCACTGGTGGGTCGATTGGGAGTATCTAACGGCACATCGGACTGTAGCCTTTCCACCAGATCCTCCAACTCCATCTCCCTCCGGATCGACCCCGCCAGCTCCGAGCTGATCTCCCGCAGCTCATTCTCAAGCTCGGTCACCAGGGTCGCTGACCCTGGGTCCAGAAGGCTCGCGCTGCTCAGAGATGGATTCCGCTGCGGAACGGGCACCTGCGGCTTGGATGAATCGAATGGCACCGTGGTGGACGGCGTGATGGAGAAGGAAGCGCTAGGTAGAGAGGGAGGCATCGGAGATGGCACCGGGGAACGACCGGTTTCGGATATTTCGGTGCTGGAGGATTCTGCGCCAGGTGATGTGCTGCCACGCCACCCAAAGAAGGAACTGATTTTGTTCGCGGGTGTCTTGGGCTGCTTCGAATCGCTCATGCCGGACCCCCGTCTTGGGGATTCTATATGTAGTGGAGGAGGTCGGTTCGAAGGCAAGTGCAAGGCCATGGTCGTGGCACGTTTGGAGATAACCGGGGGGGATCTGAGGACGGGAATAAACGGTTCGCTAACAAGACGGCTATGTAGAGGGGTCCCATTCGAGAATTGGGCGGTATAAGCCGGGCCGTTGGGGCTATCGTCGTCGTCTTCGTCAACGAATGCGGCGGCGGAGGTGTCTATACGTAGAGGGGATGCGGAGGGACCACCACGGGGAGATCTGGAGAAGAGTAGGAACAGTCCGATATTAGCCTTGCCACGTCTGAGGGGGAGCGCGGACATTAGATATCCTCCTCCGGACTGTCGACTTAGCGTGAGACCGAGGGCGCGCAACCGGGAGGGGGAGAGCAGGGGGGAGGAGGAGTGTAGGGTTGACGGCTGTCATACCTATCCAGATCCCTGGGTTGAAAGTGGACGGCAGCGTCTGCCTCGTCGTCGTCGTCGTCGTCGTTGTAGTCGTCGTCGTCGTCATCCACCCCATACACCGAACCGGGAAAGGAGGAGGACGAGGCAGGGGAGTAATCCAGGTGGTGATGATGGGGGTCGACAGGAGGGGAGACAGGGAGTGCAGGCGAATGATCCGGCGAGCCAGCCGGAGGGGAGGATAGCAGGGGCGAGGAGGGAGCGGAGGGAGGCCTGGACGGAGGCGACAGGATCACCGCATGCTGAGGGAGGGGTTTCCTGCGCACGAAGGTTGCCGAAGGAGGAGGGGAGGAGACGGAGAAGGGTCGATGAGAAGAAGGGGAGGCGGAGGAGGAGGGAGGACGAGCAGGAGGAGCAGGAGGGCTTCTTGGCCAAGAGCCGGGGTCATGGCTCCCTGAATGATAAGTTTGGTCCTGGTGCTGGCCATAGTTTGGGTTTGGGCTTGACGATAAAGCGCCCGAGGCGGGCGGAGAAGTCCAGCCGGGGGCCATGAGGGAGGAGGCAATCTAATTGGCAAGGTGAGTGCCAAACCGCCAGCGTCCAAGGGCCGAAGAGTCAAACCACCAAAGACGGGAAGGGGAAGGGGGCAGAGGAAGATCAGAAACAATCGTTGGTCAATGGGATCGACGCACCCTCATGGCGAGGAGAGCAGGAGTGGCACGGGGCAGGCAGGAGAGAGCGAGGACTAGTAGCTTCTAGGTCCTAGGAGGGAGTCGGTCCTTGGTAGGTAGGAGGATGACACGCGCCGGAGGGAGAATAATCAGGGGAGCAGGACCCATTCCTCCATGGCGGACCTCCCGTTTCCAGTCACGACGCACGAATGAATAATAATAGCTAATCAATCAATCAATCAATCTGCCGTCTTTGACAGCGCGTTGAGGAAAAATCGGGCTCGGGGCGAGGACGAGAAAAGGAGCGGCGCGGGTACTGAGGAAAGGGGCGGCGGAAAAGGAGGGCTCATTGGCGGCGACTAAACAATGGCCCGGATTGGTGGGGCGTTTATCATGGCCCTTACAGTTGCTGGAAGCCTCTCTCTCACTGACTTTTTTTTTTTTTTTTTTTTGCGGCGCGATGTTGAAAGAAATGAAAGAATCGATACAGCGGCTTCTCAACCGTCCAGCGGACATCGGATTCAGTGAGTGCCTCTTCAGAGTTCAGACTCCATCCCATATCTACCACGTACTGTGTACCCTCTCCCCAAGATGCCTCCCAACTCCGTTCCTATCAGACAAGCTTGACTCCCGGTCGGACGGCCGATCGGAGCCCCACCCCATATCGGGCGGTAGCACCAAGTAGGACAAAGTAGCTACGGTAGTCAGGGGTAGCCGACCAAAAGGTGGTTCTCCCCCAATTCTGATACTTCCAGACTTCAACCATGGATACACAACAACTCAATGAACACTTGACCCAAGCAAACCCTGCAGGAGGGGCGTATTCAATCTGTGCCCTGCTGGGCGAAATTAGAAACAGAACAAGTATTGCTCTTGCCAACACAACAGTTCTCGACGCAGTCCATAGCCTCCAACAGACCCCAAGTACAGTCAGCCTTAGCCACTTGCTTTTACTGTGTACTGTTGGATGGCCCCCAGTTCCACATCCCAACTGCATCCCAGACCAGACCAGCCCAGCCGAACAGCCGACCCATGCCTGACTAGTGGCCGGTTTGATGACTGGCGCATGCGTCCGAGCAGTTACATAGTTAGCTAGCCTTGTCTTCGTCCAGCCTCCTTCCAGCTCCTGTGCAGTGCACGTATGCACTTGACTACTTGCCCGTTTACTTTTCAGGAGTCCATGCAGAGCGACCCTCCCCACTCCCCGGCACAGGCGACATGATTGGGTTTCCTCGCGCCAATGCACTCAGTACAATCTAAGCGCCAACATCTTTTAATATAGACCAATACTGTTTCCTCCAGTATACCTCATGCAAGCACTACTCCCTATCTGCGTACTAAATAAAGCCAGACCAGCCAGGGAGACCGTTAGACAGTTAGACAGTTAGAGCCTGACACACCCGGTCCCAAAGACAATGGGTTCTAAATATAACCTGTCCGCGACATGAAACCGCATTCCACGGGTACTGCATATGCTAGACAGCTAGACCTCGATCGTCGACGGTTGGCTGCAATAGTTCGGTCGATGAGGGTATTTATGGTCTGACTACTGTGTACTTTTGCCAACCCGGGCCCTGGAAGGCCCCTACTAGATACCTAGTAGACATTTTCTTGGTTTTAGCTTTAGTCTCTCACGACGTACAAGAATCAGACTAGCCTAAACTAACTGGTTATAGTAGGCGCCCAGGGGACATTATTTACTGCTTTGAGGGTGGTACATCCACTAACTAAAATGATAGGGCCCGTAGATAGTGGGCAGACTGGAACTGCACTTTCAGACTACGGTGTAGGGTACAGATTAATCTAGCGAGTCGAGGTACGTACGCGGTGTCTATCCTGCCCTGTTTGGGCTACTGGGATCCCATTTGCATGACTGGGAATTATGGGGAAGGTTAATCTATCTTCATCGCGGTGGTGGTCTGTTTCTTCACGGATTACGTACTGTTTACGGAGTACTTAGTCTCAAGCGACTATCTATTATCTACTGCCATGTTTAATATACTCTATTTTCTTCTTCGTTTTATACTTTTCTTTCTTTTGTTTTTTCCCCTCATTCTCCCGTCGCCCCCTTTTAATCTGTTCATCGTTGTTCGCGCTTCTATCCAGATGGCGATCTCTTCGGTTAGTATATGTTCCCGGATATAGTAGCGATGAACATTACCACAACCTCTTTATGGTAGATCCCATTGTAAAACTCAACTCATGAGAGACATAAAATTTGCAGCATCAAAAATCCAACAATTAAATCCAATTTCTACTAAGAGGCAAGATAAGACAATTTGCATCGATACTAGAACATCAATGGCTACCTGAGTTTAAATAAACACTAGCTTCAGTCAGGTCTCGAACCAATCTGCCACAGGAGGATACTAAAATTGCACACATTGCGCCTTGACTCAGACTAAGCGCCATGGACAATAGCTGACCTACCCAGACATTGTCTCATGTCTCAGAATAATATTATCGCAGATGCCCTGTCGTCATTTTGTGATACAAAGCATTCTATGTAGGTCACATGATGAGAGGTGCTACATCCAAACGGGTAAAGTGGGGTCCTTTTGTACATTGTAGTTTATCACGACCAACTCCTCATCTGATGAAGGGGTGGCAACGAGGACTAAAGAACACCATGTTGATATCTTCCTGGAACCCTCCATGTATTGACTGGAGCTCCACAAAGGGAAACGTATTGGGCTATGCTGCTTTCTAATATTGCCGCTATTATATTCGGTCATTCTGACATGGATACGGAGTGCTAACAAGTGTCTTTATTCGTGATGTTATGGACATCCATAATCCGAAAATTTTGTTTACCATTTCTGCTTAATCAACTAAAGAACTATTGACCAAATTGACCATGTCGAAGGAAAGCAGCAGAAGACAATCCCGACCACGAAGGTCTCTAGGCCAAAAACTGCGTAAACAATCGCAGCCTTGTTCCATCCACCCTCGAGCAGCGCAAAACAGCCTTGCAATACTGGATCTACCGGAGTGCCTTCTCCACGATGTATTTGACCCCCCCCGTCATCAGTTAATCAAGCCTGCTTAACTCTCAGTTGCGAACCATTCCTTGACCTTTTCGACGTTGTTTTAAACCGCGAAGAATTCCAATTCCCACGGCTTTTACCTGTCCAAACCTTAAGCTATGTCTAAACCAACGAGAAGTGGCACGAAAAGATACCCGCTGGGCATTCTACGTTGCCTGTCTGAAAATACATCCCCAGCGGGAATTCCGATGGCTTTCGTTGAGAACCCCGCCTTTGGAAAGATGCTGCATGCCGCACGCCGGCATAGCTGATCTATGCCCCTGTATCTCGTTAACGTTCCGCGATCGAGTACGGCCAGTAAAGCTCTTGAAACCACTGCCCGATGACATGAGTACGCCCCCATGTCTCTCATAGACCAGCAGGGAACGTCCCAGGTTCCAATTGGCCGATGAGCAAGGAAAACCATGTCTTCTTCCTTCGTGTCGGTTCACGAATGGTAGGAACGTTAGTATACAACTTCAGATATTTCTCTTCATTACAGAGTCCTCCAATCTGCTACTGCAATCTCGGTATATCCTGCACTTCTCGTCCGGCGATACTATCCGGTCTACAGGGAGTTCTATATCTGCATGCCCTCACAAGGAGCTTTTGTTGCCCACAAGGCTCGAAGGACCAAATCCTCGTCCCGGTGAAGCTCGGATTGAACTTGACTTTGGACCTCTTGGACCTCGTGGCAGTTCAGCAGCGAAATTTGACGTCACTCGGACACTGGGAGGTGCTGACTGGCCAGTGGACATTTTATGGCGCCGCCAGTGTCGCGTGGTAAGTGTGCTGATGAGAAAACATCGCATGAGAGATCACGGTTAACCACGCTCAGGTATCGGGTAAAGGGGTCTTTATTGTTCGAGTACGAGTCTTAACAGGATACCCCGCCCTCATCGTCAAGCCCCCAGTTTACCGAACAATTGTATGCGGGCTCGTCGTTCCAGTGTATATGCGTACATCTAGTAAGACACAGGGAACGGAGTTAACTGCAAATTCCCTTTTTATAGAATTAGAGTTAGGGCTCATGCAGAATGTAGATGATGATCGTAATTCGAAATAGACAAGACTGTCATGGTGCATTCCGTAGAAGTGGTCATTGTTACTAGCGATTGCTGAGTGATATGAAAAGGCTTTCCTCCGAGATATCAGACAGTAACTCATGATGTGCCGAGTCTTACTCGCAGTCAAAATCCAAGAAGCGAATAAACTCCACATTAGTTCGTAGTCCCTCTACACCAACAGTATTCAAACTACATACCTCAACACTTTACACATATACTTACGAATCAAGGCAAGCTCCCCTCAACAGATCACCAAACACTCACTAATACTGATATCCACATAATACTATTGATAAATAAACGCCACATCGTAATATATCGCTGGATGTCTATGATCAATCAATACTCCTACCCAAGGACGAACGCCAATAAACCTCGACTTATATCATGGCAAAAAGAGCCAACCCACGAATAAAATAACGATGAAGATAAAGGATTCCAATCAACGCTCTGCTTCGTAACAACATAAAAGCCATTTTCTCATGCAAAAGCAACCAGATAGCCTCTTTAATATGGAATAAAATCGAATTTCATCCGATCTGTATCTTTCGTTAGTACCACCACCACCACCGCAACGCAGGAAAGGAAGACAACTTACCCAGAAACTGACTCCACCCCTCATTCTCATTTAGTTGATTGCTCCAATACTGCTCGAGGAACTTCAATGACTGTAACACATTGGGCACACGGATTGTATCATGCAGCGAGGACAGTAACTGGCGGACCTGTTCACGGTCGTCTTCGCGGGCCTCACAACCCGCAATGAATAACGGCGTCGTGAGCATCACCCAGGGACTTAGACCCGGCGACGGCCCTATCTGCGCCGTGCACTCCAGAATCCGCTTCACAGCCTCCTGCACCACCGGCGCGGACGTGGGGACTTTTCGCAGTCGCCGCTGGATCTGGATCAGCGCGCTAAGCTGAAATGCCTCGTTACACAGCATCAATTGCCGCATACACTCTGCCGAAAGACCCTCCACAACACCCGGATAAAACGCTGGCTGCGAGGCCACGTCTTGCTCCATTAACTGCCGAAGCGAGGACTCCAGGGCTGTGGCTTCACTGTGCACGCACACCTCGTTCCCTTGAACGGGACTCTCCTGTCCCCTTTCCTCCTGTTGCTCCCGCCACGCCACAGCCCCGATCCGCCGGAATATCGCAGACAGATTGACCGTGAATCCCCAATAATCGTCCAAGTAGTCCGGCGACGCCGGCTGGCTACTACTACTTGAGCCCTCATTACTCGCGCCAACTAATTGGTCTGTGACTTCACCGATCGGCGGTCCGTTCCCAGTCAACGCCGTCAGAGACACAATCGATCGGTACCACCGATCCAGGTATCTTCTGAACCCCTCCGGGGATTTCGGCGACAGGGCCCCGCAGTTATCCGAGGCTTCCATCAGAGCGCGGGCGCCCTCGATATGAGCGCGCCAGGAATTGGGGTGGATGGCTCCTGAGTGGATCTCCGCGAGACAGAGGGTCCGGGCGGTGGCGAGCAGCGCATCGGAGCCCTTGCTTGCGGGGTTCTGCAGTTCCTGTCGGAAGTGTTCCAGGCTGAGGGCCATGAAGCGAGCGATTTCGGGGGCGGATTTCACATTCTCGGACTGGTTGTGCAGGGCTTGTAGGTGGATGGCAGAGAGGGCCATGGTGGCGTAGAGGAGGGAGGGGGTTTGGAGGGCCATGGGCACGAGCATCTTGCAGATATCGCGCTGCATGCCGGAGTGGCAGGCGGTGATTTGGGAGGCATCGTTGAGGAAGTGATGGAGGAGGGACTTTTGATCGGTGGTGAGGGAGGCGAACGGGTCAATAGGTCGGATGAGGGTGGTGTTGGTGGTGATGGGGGGTGTGGTGATCCCGGGGGAGAGGGTGCCCGAGGCATTGGTGGTGTAGATGAACTCGCCGGGGGAGTATTCTGGACAGAGAGGGAGGAGATTGGTCAGTGGATATACGACAGTTGATTCATGGCAAACAGCAAACATACCCAGCTTCTGCATACCGCCTGTTCCCACGCAAGCCCCAAATCTCGAGCGCGAAAAGGCCCGGCCTCCCCACTGCAGCTGCATCGCATATCGACATTGCGTGCCGGCCGTCATGCAGCGGCCGCAGCTGGGACGCTGCTCGTCGCATTTCTGCCGCCGGGCTTTACATCGCTTGCATCCATTGAAGGAGCGAGACATGGAGTTGGTGGGGTGGGGGGATGGTGCTGGATTGATCGATCGATTTCTGTCACCTTGCGTCTGGTTGCGTTTTTTCTCCGCGGGTCTTCTTCGGCTCCCTCGGTTCAGGGGCGTTCGTCCGGGTTCCCCGCCGTTGACCAGAGGATGCGGGTGAGAGGGTTTGGTGGCTGGACGGAGATTCGGGCTTGCAGAGTGCAGAGTGCAGAGTGCAGCAGGCTTGGGCCAAGAAGATGGGCAAACCCTGACTGGCACAGGAGCGCCACAAGCGGTTGGGGTCGAATGAATGTCAGTGCGAAACTCAGATGAATCGGAGATGGGTACGGCGCAACCAAGCGGGCCCGCGGCTTTCTGTATAGCGGCCGATCATCGATCCACCGTTCTGGACAGGCCGTTGGGGGGCTCGTGGAGCAGATTTTGTGATGTCTCAGATTGATCTGCGCATTACTTCCGGGAGACCCTGTTTTTTCCAAGTCCGTCGATATACACAGTACGGGGGATTGCTTGGCCTGATTGTCGCCACGCCGCCGGCCGCTACGGCGATGGCTCGTTCGTGTTGCTTCTGAGGGGCAACCTGACGGGCCCGATGATTTGCTATGTGCACAGTACAATGGCATTCAAATGATATACGCTGAGAATCCATACAATACAGCCAAGGTCTCCTCTTGACCACATAGAAGCAGAAGGTCAAACAAGTATCGGGTAGTATGTCACATCGTGTCCCCTCGCACGTTCCGTCGATCAGTCGATCAGTCGTCGAACGTATAGCGCAGCCACTCGCCAACCGCCCGCAAGCTCTCCCACCGCACCGACTCGTCCTTGTCGGCCATAAGCTCCATGACCCGTGTCTTCAGACCCAGTTTCTCCAGCTGTGTCCGTCGCTCCGGCAGCTCCTTCACCAAGTGGCCCACGTCGTTACAGGCGATCGCCAGCACCTGCTTGTCGTTATCCCAGCTCTTCGCGATGATCTCCGCCAGCTTTTTCGGCAGTGCCCCGCTGTTCTCGTCGAGAATCCGGCGGGCGTTGTCCTTCCAGAAGGTAGGGTTGCGGTGGGGCGGGGACCACCGCAGGTGGCCCGACTGAAGCTCGGCCGCATATTGATCAAATGTTGTCTGCGTCTTGGTGTATTCATCCAGCATGTCCGACAGGAACTTAAGGTCCTCCAGGAGATCAGGATCGGTCAGATGACGACCGGAGAGGTTCGAGAGAAGGGCAGGAAGGCGGACAAAGACGGCGACCGGGAGCAGGCTGGTGCGGTTGGTGGAAAGGAGGTTGTTGAGGGTGGCGAGGAGGAGTCGGGTAGTCTTCTCTTTCGGGGACAGGCGTAGGAGGTGCGTGTACAACTGTACAATCTCGTGGTCCCTACATCCATCATTGTCAATTCAGCACCTCAACGTATGCGGGGGTCACGTCACATACGCTTGCAGTTCATCACCGATCAATTCTCCTTCGAAACTGAGCTGCCAGAGGACAAGGAGAACCCGGTACAGCAGCTGGAGGCCAACCCCGCCGGCGAGACCGGGCTCGATCGCGCGCGAGCTGCCAGCCAGTGTGCTTGAGCTGTTTTCCTTGGCTCCCGTGGCAGCGCGGAGGATCTCGATAAGGGGATCGACGGTATGCTTCCTCTCCTTCCAGAAAATCTCACGGGATTTTGAGGTCCGTAGCAATGCCGACAATTCCTGGACCCCGATATCCTGCAGCCCGCTGTCTTGATTCTGGGTCAGGGTAGAGAGATAGGTGTACAGCTGCGGGAGGGCTTCATTATCGCGCGCAGCCGGCTTGGACGAGGAGGTCAGGCTGACCGATACCAGGTTGGTCAGGAAGGTGGAGGTGAGCAGGGGGATGGGGTCTTCGGCGTTCGTAGAGTGACGCAAGAGCGGGAGGAATGGCTTGTAAGGATCGGGATGCGCGACCAGGGCGTTTGAGAGAGAGGGGACATCTGCAGGTGTAACGCCGGTCAGCATACGGTCTCACTTGGATAAGGCAGCCAGAAAGAAGGTATTCAGACCGTTGATCAAATCCGCGGCCAGCACGAGGATGTATTGCACAATGTCGGTTCTCCTGGAGGCGGAGTCGAGCACGCTCTTGCCTTCAGACCCGCCCGCAAGCAGCGTGACATAGCCCGTCAGATCCCCCTCGACCGTCTGGCGTCGTTGTTCCTTACGGACCTTGTCCACGGCCTTGATCTTCTTGAGGTGGTCATCGGTGATGTTCCCAGCTCGGACGGCGCCCTCCCACGGGATAGGACGAGCTCGGATGTTGTTCTGCAACGAGCTGAGATAGGTGGGCGGCTCCAGGGGTAGGGACGACATGGTGATTCCGGGGGAGGGGAGAACCAGGAGCCAACCGGAATGGCAAGGGGCTGAATTGAGGGGCAGACAGAGGGGAGAGGGGAGAAGTGGGTGGAAGAGCAGCCTGAAAGGAGGAGGAGGTTGGGGAAGGACAGGGAGCGGCCGATGATGATACGAATCACGTTCCCCGTTGGGTTCCCCGGCCGCCAAGCCGGTTGCGCTTCATCGCTCCCTCGCCGTCCACGCAAGCTGCAACGTGGTGATTGACGCCCCCCCGGCACTGTTGAACAGCCTTTCCTTTTGGTGGCACTTGGCTTCGCCTGCTGCCCTTCTACTCTTCGCTCTCCTTGTCGGTCGCTTCCAGATTCCGCTTTGCACACGTTCAATGTGTTCGGACTGGTCTTCCTCTCAGTGACGACAAGCGAGCATCAGATTGCCTCATCATCATCACCACCATCATCCGGACTCCTCGCTTTCCATGACACACGTTGCGCATCATCCTTGCTGCTAGGCGGTCTAGTTTGCAGGGTTGGAGAGACACGAATCTGTCGTCATGTCGCAGAATCCCCAGGGCGCGAAGCCGAAATGGAAAGTGGGCTCTTTCCTGCAGCAGGCTGTCGCGGGCGTCGAGTCCAGACTGGACTTGATCTTGGCTGAGGAAGAAGATCAGAAACAACAACAGGCTCGGAACGCGCCATCGAAGCCCAAACAAAATGAGCAGACTGGCAGTATGGAGATACTCAATCATTTTGGACGGTTACACTGTGTCGCATCGCTAATGGGTCACAGACATTTCACGCAGCTCGTCGAATGCGCGCAAGAATGACCGCCTTCAGGAGCGCCTGGCTCGTGCATTGGTTAATAAGGCCAATACTCCCGGAAACGCCTCGTCGCAGCCTCCTAGCCACGGTTCCTCCCCGCGAACGAGCATGGACATTGAAGCTAGTCTTGAATCTTCCAATGGGAACACAGGGAGACATTCGCGGAGCTCCAGCCAAGCGGAGAGGGTCTCGACTTCAGCTGCCGCTCGAATCAGTCAGGACTCGGGCGTCTCATCACCGGATTTCAAGGACGGTGTTATTTCACAAACTGAGGGCCCCAGCCCTCCCGACACTGTCGCTGAGGACAATGCCAGCGCCCCACGAGATAGTACGTCTGATAGTGATCCGGTTACCCATGAAGTCGAGGAGACGCCTGCGCCAAGAGACTCCCTGTCGGCAGATTCACCTACGGATACGCCTACGGATGCGCCCATTTTGTCTAGTGATCAGGAGAAGGTAGTTGCGCAATTACAAGCAGAGCACAAAGCCGCAGAGTCGCAATGGCAGGAGGAAATGTACGGATACATCGAACGAATCGACGCTTTGCAGTCCAAGCTGAAATACTTGGCCAAAGAAGCTGCTGACTCTGCCAAGAAGGCAGCAGCTACTGCAGAGCCGGGAAGTGTCGAAAGGCAGCTCCAGGAAAAAGACGAGAAGATCGCTTTGTTGCTCGAAGAAGGACAGAAGCTGTCCAAGACGGAGATGGACCACCGAACCGCAATCAAGAAGCTGAGGCAGCAGCTGACGGAAAACTCCAAAGCTCAGACGGAAACAAAGAAAAAGATCGACAAGTTGGAAAGGGATCTTGCCAGTGCTGAGACTAGAGCCAAGCGGGCGGAGGCGGGGGAGAAGAGAGCAAATGAATCACTCTCTGCCCAGACGAAGGTCTCCCGAGACCTGGAAGCCGTGACGGCAGAGCGCAACGCATTAAGTCATACTGTACAAGAGATGAAAGGACAACTCGCCAGGGCAGTTGCTAGGGCTGAAGCCGCCGAAGCAAAGGCTCAGTCAGAAGCCCTGGACCAGGAGAAGCGCCGCGCCGCGCAACTAGAGGAGGACCTTGCCAGCACCAAGATTGAGCGCGAAATCAGCGAGGAGAAGCTGAGGCGAGAAATCGGAGATCTGAAGGGAACAATCGAGCAGGAAAAGGAGAGAGCGCGTATGCTTGAGGCCGAGCTGAAGGGCGAACAGTCTGCGCTGGAAAGCAAAATGGAGTCTTTGCGGTCCAGAGCAGAGGAGGCTTCGTCTGGGGTCACGGGTGACGCGCAGGTGAAGCTCCTGCGTCAGATCGAGACTCTTCAGACACAGTACGCCGTAGCTAGTGAGAACTGGCAGACTCTAGAAGGCTCTTTGATGGCGCGATTGGCGAGTGTCGAGAAAGAGCGGGATGAGGTCGCCCGACGAGAGGGCGATATGCGGCGAAAGATCCGCGAAGTGGTAAGATTGCATCCCAGAGTCGAATAAGGACAGGTAAACTAACTATTATATCGCAGAACCTCAAAACGAAAAGGTTAGAAGAAGATATTGAAGAGGCCAAGGAAACTGAGCATGATCTCGAAGGCAAGCTCGAGGAACGGTTGCAAGATCTGCAAAAGTCCGAGCAAAAGCTCAAGAAAGCCACGGACGACCTGCTTCTCTCCCAGAAGGATCTTGTTGAACAGAAGAAGGTCCTTGATGCGACATGGTCGCAGAAGCTTGAGGAGGAGCGAACCAAATGGCGCGAGCAGGCTGCTTCTCCCGTGGGCTTCCTTCAGCAACCCCGGACCCAGTCCCCCGTTGCATACAGCCGTCGTCCGAGTGCATTGGAGCCTGTCTCTCTATCAGATTACCGGCCCGCAAGCCGTCGTCCCTCGACATTGCCTACATCGCCGGACATCGGCACTCCCGTACGACAGAACTCGTTCCCTGCTTCAACACACTCGGTATTCTCACCCCCAGTCACCAACGGATCATCACACGCAACAGTTCCGGAGACTCCTTCTATCAACTTCGACCCGGACGAGTACTTCAGCCGTTCAGGTACGCCCTCGGCTTACGGCGGCGGGCTGACGCAACCCTCTCGCGGCATCAACGACATCATATCCGAATCTACTGTCGGAGCAGGACCGTCTGTGCAGCTGGTCGAGCGCATGAGCGCCACCGTGCGCCGCCTCGAGAGCGAACGCGCAGCGTCCAAAGATGAACTCGCGCGGATCACCACCCAACGCGACGAAGCCCGACAGCAGGTCGTCGATTTGATGCGGGAGGCAGATGAGAAGAAGACCTCAGATGATCGTGTGCAGGAACTGGAGAAGCGCCTCGAGGATATCGACCAGCGGTATCAGACAACGCTAGAGATGTTGGGGGAGAAGAGCGAACAGGTGGAAGAGCTTCAGGCCGATATCGCCGATCTGAAGAAAATCTACCGGGAACTGGCCGACACGATGAAATGAGATGTATACACGGTAGACCTGTTGTTCCTGCTTGTACATAGTATTTGTTCGGGCTAGATTCCGATTTAGACGACGTGATGTGATCCATGTCCTTTCAAAAGTAATACCATGCATAAATCCGTTAATTACTGGAACAGATATTGAAACAGTCATAGATCGAGCCTGGAGAGACTCCGGGTATCCTTGTCGCGTTCTTCTCTCCTATCCCCTACACATACTCGATTCGGTCTGCAGTCCACCCTACAACTCAATTCCTTCCCTCTCCGCTGTCTGCAGGATATAGCTCCGCACCTAGCACATAGATCAGCACAAGGCTCCCAACCCATGTCCACAACCAATCACGAACACAGAGGAATGAGAAACTTACCTTACTATCAGGTGCCATATCCATCGCCAACACCCCATTCGAGTCCCTCTTATCTGCCTCCGCCCCAGCCTTGAGCAACGTAATCGCCGCATCTCCATGTCCCTCCGACACCGCATGATGCAACGCCGTCAAGCCGTCGATATCCGTCGCGTTGATGGGACTTTTCCCATCCTCCAGAAGGACCTTGATGATTGGCGTGGACCCGATCGCGGCAGCCCGATGTAGAGCCAGCTGGCCACGCTTATCCTTGACGCGGGCGCTGCACTTGTTGGCGATGAGGGTGCGGACGGTGGAGAGGTTGGCTTTGGAGGTTGCGAAGTGGAGGGCGTTCTGTCACATAAACATCATAAATGACTGTCATTTTTCTGCAGCTAAACAAATCTTAAGGAAATTGACCAGGGAGTTGTGTAGATACGTACCTGGCCGGTGACACTTTTCGTGCTTACGTCGGCGCCTTTTTTGAGGAGCATGTCGATGATCGGGTCGCCCTCGGCGTTCTTCAGGCTTGATGCAATCATGAGGGGTGTCCAGCCGGAGCCATCCTGTGTGGTTTTAGATATGTGCTTCTTTCTGCTATGAGCGAGGGATTGGGAAGGAAAAAAGAACGGACCTCGACATCGGGATCGAAGTTCTTGGCTGATAGCAGGAGCTCCACGATGGGGAGGCGGTTGTATGCTACCGCCCAGTGTATGGGAAGCCGCTCATCATCGTCTTTCACGGTCGCGAGTTTGGGGTTGGCCTAGGCTTTGTGAGCTGGATAGTTCGAGCTTAGGATGAGGCTGTTGGGAGCTCTTGATGCGGGGCAGCTCCGGGGCAGTACGTACACTCAGTAGGGATTCGGCGGTTGGAGCTGGTTGGGATTAATTTAGTTCAAATATGGAGGGGAATGTAGAGGTAATACGCACTTTTGCCTTCCCGGGCAGCCTCGTGAAGAGGGAATTTGGCTTCTTGAGAGGGATCCATGATGGCAGTCGAAGAAATGCAGCCCGCATCATGTTATCGCTGGATCTAATCGCGGAGGGTGGGGGCCTCGACACCTGAGCGAGGCCCTGGCGCCTCAGGCAGCAACGAGCTCGCCGCCCGCCGAAAATCAAGTCGAGCTTCAGTGAACTTCGACTGCGTCTTCACCTATCTTCGGCTTCACATCCGGCAGTCGGAATTCAACCCCTCCACCACTTCACCCCTCGCCTGTCACCCTGCTGCACTCCATACTTCGCATGACACACAGGCATACTCTCGACTAAAAAACCATTGCTCCCTGCGCCTGGGGCCCAGGACGCGCCAACGACACGTGCCGCAGCCAGCAGCTCCATCTCCAGAAACGTCGGAACACGCCTTAACCCATCACCATGGACGTCATCCCCTCTACAACTCCAGATGAAGCCGTGCGCCTGTCGGCCAAGCGCACGGCCGAGCTTTTCGGCTCCGACTACCTCATGGTCACCCCCTCCGTCGCGAACGGCTCCATCGGCCTCTCCTACCGCCGCCAAGCAGAATACTCAGACGTGAAGGAACTCCCCCCAGCTCTCGCCGAAAAGCAAGCCGCGGCCGCGGTCGCCGGACGCGCCAAACGCCCCAAGATCCAACCCCAGTCCAAAGCCGCCGACGGCAGCGGCGCCTCCATGGCCCTGGTCAAGAAGGCCCCTGGCCCGAAAGCTGGCGGCATTGGCGGTGAAAATGAACCGAAGAGTCTCATCCAACGCCCCTCGGCGACGAAGCAACAAAGGCCGGACTGGCACGCGCCGTGGAAGCTCATGCGGGTTATCTCCGGCCATCTGGGTTGGGTGCGCAGCTTGGCCGTCGAGCCGAACAACGAGTGGTTCGCCAGTGGTGCAGGCGATCGGACCATCAAGATCTGGAATCTGGCGACAGGCGCGCTCCGTCTCACCCTCACGGGTCACATTTCCACCGTCCGCGGCCTAGCCGTGTCTCCCCGACATCCCTACCTCTTCTCCTGCGGCGAGGACAAAATGGTCAAGTGCTGGGATTTGGAAACGAACAAAGTCATCCGCCACTACCACGGTCACCTCAGCGGCGTGTACACCCTTGCTCTTCACCCTCGTTTGGACCTCCTCGTCACAGGTGGTCGCGACGGTGTCGCCCGTGTCTGGGACATGCGGACACGGAGCAACGTCCACGTCCTCAGCGGTCACCAAGGCACCGTCGCGGACGTGAAATGCCAGGAAGCCGACCCGCAGATTATCACCGGTTCCCTCGATGCCACAGTCCGACTATGGGATCTGGCCGCCGGAAAGTCCATGGGTGTACTCACGCACCACAAGAAGGGCATCCGGAACCTCGCGACGCACCCGCGCGAATTCACCTTCGCCTCCGCCAGCACAGGATCTATTAAGCAATGGAAATGCCCCGAGGGCGATTTCATGCAGAATTTCGAAGGCCACAACGCCATCATCAACACCCTCGCTGTGAACGAGGACAACGTTCTCTTCTCCGGAGGCGACAACGGCTCCATGTGCTTCTGGGACTGGAAGACCGGGTACCGGTTCCAGAACATCGAATCTACCGCCCAGCCCGGATCCCTGGAGGCCGAAGCGGGCATCATGGCGTCGACGTTCGATCGCACCGGCTTGCGTCTCATCACCGGTGAGGCCGACAAGACCATCAAGGTCTGGAAGCAAGATGACGAAGCCACGGAGGAATCGCATCCCGTCACCTGGGCGCCCACGCTGGGGAGACAGAGATATTAGTTCTTTTATATATCTTCCTGTCTTTCTGTTTATTCGCGCGTGCGCGCGCGTGTGTGGTGAACATACTTCACCTTGAAATACCCCACCTTGCCTCATTTCCTCCTCCTCTTCTTCTTATCTTTTTTCTTTTCTTTCTTAGACTGTGTCTGGATCTTCGTTCAGGGGCCGGACGGACCGACGGGTTATGTATCTCATGCAATATACGGAGTTTAGCGTTGAGTTGGTTGTGTGTCTGTCTGTGTTGACTGGTTTGGGTATTATTACGTTCGTTCGGGGGGTTCACTTCACAAAAGGATTTACTATGTTGTCGTCGGGGCTTTTCAGATGTATCATATCATATAATGGCTATACTATGCTTTTGCTACGGTTAAGCAAGTAGGTAGGTAGCTTGAACGGATACCCACATCCAAGGATGATTTATATATCGTATATCAATCAAACCAAAGGCATGGCTGTAGGAGGATGGTTATCTTCTCTCGATTCGATTCTATTCATTAACACATTGGTGGGTATCATTGTTCTAATTGTACAGAGTTTGTCTGTGGCATGGACTTGGTTGGCCTCATAACCATCGAGGGTATATTAATCACTGGTCCATCACCAACCCCAGACCTTTCGCCTCCTCGTCCTCGCGGAACGCGATCTTGACATCCTCCGCCGCGACACGCAGACGCACCTTACCGCTGCGGTCGCCGCGGTGCGGAATCGCAGCGCTGCCTAGCGGTCCCTTGGAATACTCCAGGGCCAAGACGCCCGAATTCGTCAGTTCCATGGCGGCGAAGCCTAAGGCTCGTACGCGAGCTCCGTTGCCTCCGGCGAGCAGGAACTCCTTGACGCCGGCGCCGGCGGCACCGGCCACGGCCACAGCCGCGTCTGCGATCCGCTTGGCTTCATCGATCACGTCGCCGAAGGTCGACTCGGAGATACCCGTGCGACGGACGCGGGCGATCATGGCGGCGAGGAAGAGTTTCGCGGAAAGGGGGAGACAGCGGAGAGATTGTTGGAGGGGTGTGGAGGTTGCCTCGTGGATGGCCTGTTTGATTGTGGCGATGGTGACGCGGCCGATGTTTTGAGGTTTGGTGGGGGGTTTCTTTTGGGGAGATAGTTGGGAGGTCTGTTTGAGGGATCGCTCCTTTCGCGCAGGGGTCTTGCTGGGGGTCGGGGGAAGGGATTCGGTGTCGTCTGCGTCTGCGTCTGGCTCTGGCTTGTCGCCGGAGACTGCTTCGCTGGCTTGTTCGGCGATTTCAACAGCGCGACGGCATATGTCCAAGGCACGGCGGGCGTCACCGCTGACGGCAGCTACCTTGCGGCTGGCGAATTGGATGGCGTCTGGATCGACGATGTTGCCGGGTACGTTGGCCAGGCGGGTGGTGATGATTTCCATTAGATCGGTGTGGGTGTATCCTGGGAATGTGATGCGGTGGAGACCCAAACGACTGGAGATCTTGTTGCTGAGGGTACGCTCTGGGAGATCCATGGTGTTTGCGACAGCGAGGACAATCAGGCGGGAGTGGCGGAGGGCAGGCCAGTTGAAGAAGTTGTACATCACAGACTGGTTCTTTGTGACCAGTTGGTCGAGCTCGTCCATGAGGACAACGCAGGATACCCGTCGAGGGGACGGGTGGGAGAACTCCCGCTCAAGGAGATCGAGAGCATGTGAGGGCGATACACGATCGCCCTTGAGCGCTTCCCAGAGCAGCGAGTAAGACTGGTGTGGATCGGTGACCTTCATGCCGTTGATCTCGACGAAGATGAAGTCGTCCATCTCCTCTGCCAGCACGGCGGAATTCAACTGTGCAACAACCTCGCGGACTGTAGCCGTCTTGCCTGTACCTGGGGTTCCTGAAATATAGATACAAGATCCCGTTCCCTCCATGATGGCAGCACTGAGATGGCTGTAGACATTCTCGAACTCGTCCTTTCGACAAGGAAGCGCCGCAGGCACGGTAGACACGTGCAATAGGTTGCGTGCCTGACGGTATGGGGAGGCGAAATGAGTAGGCGAGAGGACACGAGTACCAAGAGGGGTGAATTCGAGCGGTTTCTTGACGACGATTCTGGTAACGATTATTAGCATTTGCGTTGTTGGGCGGACATGCTTCGCCTACCTCTTGTGAGCTGGTGTAGTAAGGGCCTTTTGACGCCGCGACTGAGGTGTGGCATTGGAAGCCACCTTTTGCCTCTTCCTGGGGGTGGTAGGAACGAAGTCATCTTCCTCCTTGGTGTTCTTATACTGAGTACAGTGTCAGTATCTTTATGGAATCGAGTTCAAGCACATCACTCACGTCGTTGTCCACTTGCTTGCGTTTCTTTGCTCCCTTCAACCCGTCCTTGATCATATTTATAAGATCAAAGATTCTGTCCTCACGATACACGTTCTCCCACACAAACTCATCCGTATATCTTCCTTGGAGCTGGTTCACACCTCTCCGACAAACAATGCACTTGTTATATTCCGCCAGATCCTCCTTTGCCTTCGGCGGAGCGCCGTCCGGATACTTGGCGAAGAAGGCATCCTTGGACATGACCGTAGCTTTGCCATTGATCGACGTAAGCGGATTGACGTTGAAGTCTGCTGTCAGGTACTGCTCGTTGGGCAAAGCATCGGTCCGTCGCTTGTTCCTGGTCGACATGAACTCGTCCGGAGAAGCAAACCACATGATGTAGGCCGACTTGATGACCTCGCCCTCGGCATCCTCGTCGTCCTCCTCCAGAAATTCTGTGATAATTCCAATCCAATCCTTCCCAAGCTCCGGAGACTTCAGCAGTACGACCTCACCCAAGGCGCATTCGAACGAGCCCATCCGAGCTCCGATGATCGTGCGTCGGCGTTTGGCATTGGGGCGGGAGGAGCGTTTCCGACTCGATCTCGGGGTATCCTGAAGGGCAGCTGCAGTCGCCTGTTCGGTCTCTTGGCTGTCCTCGTCCTTGTCGTCGTAAACCCATTCCCAAGGGTGGTCCTCGTCACCTAGTTCGTCGTCCGAGTCGTCCCGGACAAGCCCTCCCTTGGTCATCCATAGCTGAGCACGCTTGCGGACACTAGCCTTCTGGGATCGCGGCCTGTCCGTCTCATCGGCGGATTCCGAAGCCATGTTCCTGTGACGCCCAATGACGGGGGAATTCGACGTAGGCTGGGACGGCGATGGTTGATTGCTTCCAGACCGATATCAGTAATAATGATAATAGCAGCTATCTTGTTGGACTGGCGACGGAAAAGACGAAAAAGGGAAGACGCGCCCGCCGCGCGTGGTCCACTTTAGGTAATCAGCTGCTCCCCGGATGGACCAATCATGTTAGGCAATGCTCCCGCGGAGCTGCAGCAAACGGGCTTCAACCACCATGGATGGACTGACATGTTCCCAGGACAGTTTAACCAGTGATAAACCTCGTCCCCGTGTATTCCATACAGCGGGATCATTTAATTGACTCTTTTCACATACGTATTTTACCTGCATTTGAAACTCGTAATGTATGGACCTTTATATTTCTCAGCTGATTTGTGTATATTCCCATCAAAGTTGCTCAGCCCCTCACACCTGCTGGTGGTGGGAAAGAATTGAATAGAGAGTACAGAGGAAGAAGAAGACTAGATATTCTAAAGCTTCTTTATTTACTTATACCCTCAGGATGCATTCCCCCCCTGACCGATAAATTCTCTTTCCGAGTGATTATGGAATCTTCTTGAAGTATATGACAAGACTGACAGTAAAGAAGGCAAGCCAAGGAGAGATTTTACTTTCTTAGCCAGGTTTGAGAGCCTGATTTTATACCAGAATGAGGCGACTCACCATCCTTTGCTCCCTGGCTCTAGATGGTAATGTCTTACGGCGTGTTGCTCCCACTGAGACAATTCAATCAGCTGCTACCTAGGTTTCTTGCAGGCGTTTGTGTACCCCTCAGACATCCTCCGGTCTGCCGTACCTTAGGTAGGTAGGCAGGGGTGCTGCAAATGGCTGCCGTACTTCGGTAGGATTATATTGAATAATTATCTCCGGCTATTCCCTGTTGGCATTGATTAGGGCAGGACAGGTTCCATGAGTTTTGTCTCCTAATATAGGTGGTTCATGAGAAGGTGAAGCTTAAACTCTTCACCTGAAACCAACCAGGCAGATGGCATTAGAGTTCTGTACTACCTTAGGCTCAGCTTCTGTCCTTCTCTTGGTATCAAACTGAACGTCCTTCATGTTATTTACATACTACTACCATACACTGTTCTCTCGGGCCACTACTTTCCTGTCTGCCTGGCAGTTTGAAAGGGACTGTGCAGTGCTGAGTGAATAGGTGAAGGCCTTCATCACATTGGCAGCCATGATCCACCCATGTGGAATACATATTACCAGTGACGGCAGATCAGAGAGGCTGTAGGCCACAGCTCTCCTAGGTACTTGGTTACTTTCCCGTCTGTATTAATTCTTGAAATTTACCAGCCATTCTGTTTTGATTTGCAGTCAATGTGTTGCTTCCCGGTTTGGCAGTGACGGCTGCTTGCCTCCGCGGGTTCCTCTTCATCTCACTTCACTTTTCCACCGGGCTTCTATTCATCGAACAATGGTCTTCTGTCCATTTCTCGTCCCTCCTTTTATCTTTCTCTTTTCTCCCCGGGCCCCCGCCAACTTTCTTGCATCTACCCTGACACTGTTTCTCTAAACGGTCTGTTGGATAGTCCGACACAATGTCGTTCAGTTCTCCATTGGAGTAAGTTCCTGCGTATATTTTTGTGACGATGACTGACAATCATGTAGCCATGAGTCATCCGGTGCTCAAGGTAACAATTATGAATTTCTTTTTGATGTCCCCTGAATCTACCGACCAAATAGTGACTAACTTGTGGCTATTCCAGAATGGAGACTCGTCGGATATGGCAAACAGGGTCCCAAAGCCTCTCGAGCAAAGGAGAGTGTAGCTAATGAACCTCGAGGGTCTCTTGCCAAAAATGCAGTCCGAAACGAGCCTTCGAAAGCACCCGCTCCTAGTACACCCGCCGCGGCTACAAATACCCCTGGACGCTCGAGAGGAGCGAAGTATTCTGCTAGAAGATATTCAAGCTCCCGAGGCAGAGGAGGGATCCAGAGCACCACACCACCGACAAATTTATTCAAAGACTCTCCGGCCAAGTCTAGATGGCGAAGTGGATCCGATCCTACAGGTAAGATTTGGACACTGTTGCTATTGAAGCTCACCTAAAGAAAAGCAATGCAGGTCTTGTGAAGTTGCCGGCTCCTTTTGGAATCTTGAAAAATGAGTACGCGTGCACTTACTTGATAATGCGGGAGTATACTCACGCCGTAACAGATTTTTTGGCCTTGCAAAGTCTTCCGGATCTATCAAAAAGTCGTCGGCGCCACAAGGTCGTCACGAGGTTTTCGAAGAAATTTGCAAGAAAACAGGGGCCTTTATAAAGCCACCATCTTATACCGACCATGTAGGTGGACACCTATACTTCAAACCAGCTCACTAACCATCCTAGGTCATTTATCTGTGGGGCGAGGCATCGCAGGTTTCTGCCGCAAAGGACTTCATTCTGAGCATTATTACAAAATGCAGTCTGTCACACAAGAAAAGGACAGAGTGGAACAAAATCAAGGCGCATTCGATAAACAAGGAGGCAAACATCGACCTTAGGGAGAGACACGATGCCATCATTCAAGTGCTGCGAAAGGCACCGGATGATATCTCATTATTTCCCGAGCAGGTAAGTCGAAGGAACTGACTTGCTTATCCCTAGGTTTCCTCTTTCTGACGAATCGTTCCAGCTTCTTTTCCTTTGGCCAAAGGATGGTCCTTCACTGAGTGAATCGCTCGGCTCGCAGCTCGAGTCCCTCGATTATATCAGGGCGAAGTTCAACTGTCATATGTTTGTCCCGAAAGACATACCCAACCACATCTGTGTTCTCGGCCATAGTTACGATAACATGATACAGATCGTCCAGCGCCTTCGGATCAAGTGGACTGAGACCATCGCAAACACTAACATGAAGGCCAAAGCCTACATCATTGAGCCCCCAGGTACCATGAAGAGGATTGTCGTCAAGAATGACACCTTTGTTGGAAAGGCGTTCCTCGATGGAGCTCGTCCCAAAGGGCCCGATGTGGCTAGATGGCGCAGCCGGGCGGACTTGATACGTTCAAAAAACAATACCAGACTTTTGAATGTCGTTGAAAAATGCCTCAAAGGTGTGGCTGCTGTCCGTGGACACCTGAGAATGCGAGTTAATATCGGCTCGTTCGTGCTGGATGAATACCGTCTTCCTGCTGATGGCGGAAAGGATTACGATTTCGAGGAATTCCGGGAGATGATGCTACACGAGCAAACAAAAGGGCGGTTGATACCAGGGTAAGTCTCTGCCTTTCCCTCGTCGTTGTTCGGACAAACAATGCTCATCTTTGCAGTCTGAAAGTCCAGCATGAGGAACTCCTTGCCAGATGCTACAAGGCCACCCATTTGCTTGAGCCGTACGATACTACGACGGGCTCCTTGGAAAACGCCGAACCCGCATTTTCCGTGAATTTTGAATTCCAGGGTAACCGACACTCGATGCTTCGACTGGAAGCCGAGTTTACCAAAAGCCCCGGTGCTCATGATTATGAGATCACTCAACGACGATGGCTCAGAACGCGTAGCATGGGACAACACAACGGAAGGCGCTCACCCCTGCAGGTGGGAATTACTGATTTCGAAAGGTAGGTTTGATGTAGGCCAAATGATGTGTGTTTCTAATCAATGACCGGACAGATCTGACTGGCAACTCGAGTTGAAGTCCTTGGAGTTCCACGAAGCCTCTTCCATTGACGCCTACTTGCGAGAATTTTCGCATACTATCCGATTCCAACGCACTGCTAACGTTGATGATATTTCCGCCAAGCCTGAGAGAAAAGTGACATTCTCCGCATCCGCGCCGGTGTCCCGTTTCATCGAGAAAACCGCCATTCGTTATCGACTCAAAGGAACGAAATGTATACTGGAGATTGCCCGGTACGACGAATATACCCGTACGGTGCCAGCGTCGCCGGACCAGATGCCACAGGTCTATGTGGGTGTGGGCCCCTTTACTGGGACTCCTCATACCTCCTGGGGTGCATCGGTGTTCGATCCGACTTGGGATAACCTGCTGGGTGAGCACGGCAATCTACAGGTCGGACATGCTGCGGGATACAACCCTGGGCTTGACACCTTCTTCTCACCAAAGGATCCATCGAATAACAAAGACAAACGGAGAGGATTTTGGGACTTCGTCAACATGGTGAAGCAAATCGCGGAGATGATGGGTCCTACAGGGGCTCCACAAACTTTTTCTGAGAGAAACACGCCTGCAAACAACGAACGTTCATTGCAGACCGGTACAACAAAAGACCAGGGGGCATCGGGCGGCTCTTCGCCGGCCACCGGCCCCACTGATCTTGGTGGACTCCTGTATGCAGATCTTGGAACTCTGTTCTGAGCTGGAGATCGTATTCCATGCAAGGGGAGAACGTTGCATTTGGAGTAACTGTTGTTGATGACCGTGGTGACATCCAAGATCTACGAAAGCCCCGTCTGAATCATTTCATCGTTCTTGTATTTCCAAATTGCCAGCTTGTATTACTGTTTTTCTTTGCCGTGCCGATTCCGTGCGCTTCTGGGGGAGCCAGATGACGAGCGAATGTCGAGGGAAGAAACCCTGGCGCACAGTATCAGGCTTGACCGTCGAAGCCCGCGGCCTAGGCTTACATCAGTTTATTCAATGGTAACAGGTTCACGTAGTCCCTCATTTTCAACCGTATATTCCATGTAGATGACCGTATGATATCCTACACATGCACGCTAAGGAAGCTCTCACCCAGCACCGGCGGAAGCAGTGGCGGAGCCCGTGGCGCCCTCAGCGAGCAGCTTTTGTCTCAGAGCTAGGAAATAATTAGTTTACCGCAGGGACATGCAACAGGAGCGCCAATCAATCGGCAATACTCACCATCCTCGAAGAGCCTCTGCTGACCACTCTTAGTCTGGACGATCTTCTCCAGCTCAGTAAGGTTGGTCTCTAGGCTCTTGACCTTATCATTGTAGAACTCGATAGCCTTGGGCGCAGTCTGTCCGAATCAAATCACAAGCCATCAGCATCACGCAGCACACACATCATCATAATCATCAAGAATATCTATCGCCATACCTTCTCGACAAAGAACCCCGTCCCAACATCAACAAGCACCTTCTCCCGATCCGCAAGCTTACCCCGAACATACAGGGAGCTAGTCAAGGGCACGAGGATATCATCTTTCCCATCGGTGCCCTTCTTGGCCGACCCGGTCACGCCCTCGTTGATCGACCGCACGCAATCCTTGAACTTCAGCTGCGCTGCGCGCAACTTCGCATGCGATGTCGTCAGGTGCTCGAGTTCGGAGGACAGACGGGTCTGCAGGGCGCGGAGCTGCGGGACGGAGAGCGAGTTGATGTTTACTTTATTGGCGGACCGGAGGTGTTAGTTACATGATGCACTGTGGTATGCAATTGGAAAGGAAAGGAAGGGGAGGGCGAGGCCGAGGTCGAGGGCGAGGGGGGGGGGGGTTAACGTACCGGCGCCCGGAGGGGGTTCGGATGCGGGGGTGGTCATCTTGGGATCTGGTGAGAGGGGGGTTAGATTTTATCGGATTGTGATGGGAGATAAGGGGGTGTTTGTTGTGAAGGGGGCGCGTCGGTGGGGTATAGCTTGAAGAGATAGAGAGGGATGTAGAAGTGTACCTGGGAGAAAGCTACCCTGGTTATCAGGATACTTGCTGTTAGGCTTTGAGCTTTGAGAGTCAGTCCCGGAGGTCAGTTCAAGTTGTTTGGTGGTGGTGGTGGTGGGGACGAAGAGTCCCCGTCTCCACTTTAGTCAGCTTGTGTCGATGTTATGTGCATTATGACTAAGGTGTGGTGAAATGGGATTTGCCTAATTGGGTAATCGTTGTTTTGTGGCTATGGTGTAGAAGAAGTAGAATGTATGATGGAGAGAAGAGAATAACGAAGATCCATGGGGCATGGAGTTGGATAGCTTATTAGAGGTATATAGGTATGCTCTCTATGGTAAGAAAGAAAAGCCATAGTTCATCATCGTCGGTCATAATCATCATGATTCATGACTCATCTTCATTATGGTCATATTCCCACTAATTAGATGAAGTCCATTCAAACTCCATAACTCACCAAAGGGTCGAAGGTCTCTCTCTGCCTGAAGAGATTCAAGATGGGGATGAATAGTTGTCGTCCAGCAAAATCGTTACTTCCATTCTCCTCCGCGGTGCTCTGCTCCTGGAAGAATGACCGGGTTTGCTCCCACGTCACCCATTCCCACTTGCTGCATTTCTCAGGCTCCATTATCTAGTTACAAGCCTGTCAGTTTCTTCTTCATCTCATAGCATTGCTGAGTATATGTGAAACATGTCCAGAAACATTCCCCTGAAAAAAACAGCAATAAGTAAGCAAAAGCAAGGAGGAAGATACTACTAACCATCGGCTCCGCACTCCCATCCTGCAGAACACAGCCCACGAAAATAGTAACGTAGTGCTTGCCTTCCGCTTTCATGATATCATTGGTGGCGGTTAGGAAGCGAATATCCTTCACCTCGAGACCCGTTTCTTCTTGGACTTCGCGCGCCGCGCACTCTTCAAAGGATTCGTTGAGTTCGAGGTGTCCGCCGGGGAGGGCCCATGTTCCTGGGTATTTATCTTAAAAAAAATGATCTTGACGAAAGGGTGAAGGGGATATTGTACCTGAGCCATGACTTCCTTGTCTTCTGCCGAGGATGAACTGCCCCTGGGGGTTCAAGACGAAGACGCCGACGCCGATGCGGGGGTTGATGGTCATCTTGTATTTTGGTATGACAAGAACGGAAAGTGTTGAGAAGAAAGGTGATTCTAACTATCTATGTGGATTCGGTAGATGGTAGAAATGATATGCAAGAATTAGTCTTTATACTAGTACTTCGGAGTTGTGCAGAGGCGCACGATGACGGCAAGGCAGATTTATTAGGCGGAGGCGCCAAGAGCTGATTACTACTGGATGACTCGTGCCCGGTTACCTAGAATGGAGGGGTATATTGCAGCTAACTACGGGGTAGTCTATAGTAGTATACATTGGATCTCAACGGCGGTGCAGATTCAGCCTTGACACAGCCACACCGGTTAAAGTTTCTCAAGCAGGGATCGCACAAATTCCGGAAGAGCCTCAAGTGTCACATCTTCACGTACGTTGAGTCGACGACATTGCACTTCAAGGGAACGCTGCTTCTTCCACCCCTTGCCGACCACAATGATCACGGGGTATCCGATGAGGTCTGCGTCGCCGAGTTTCCAGCCCATCTGCTTGTCGCGGTCATCGAGGATCGCGTCCAAGGCAGAAGCCGGTTCTGATGTCAGCGCGTCATAAACTCCTTCGGCCTCCGCTTCCAATCCTTTGGCGGGGACGACGATGACTTCGTATGGCGCAATCGCACGAGGCCAATTGAGTCCCTTAGAGTCTGCTAGGGTATCTGCGACCGCGCTAATCATGCGTGATACACCGATGCCGTGACAGCCCATCTGCATGGACATGACCTGGTCTTTTTGGGAGGATGGTGAGCGGTCCGCTTCGTCCAGGTGGGCTTGGTCGACCACCACTGAAGCCTGCAGGACATCGCTGTATCGCGTGCCGAGGTGGAAGGTGTGGCCGAGTTCGGTGGCCTTGTGGGTCTTGGTCAGTCCATGACCGCATTTCGAGCACGGGTCGTTTTCATGCACTCTGATGAGGTTGAGGTAGTTGTTGGTTCCGGGGAAGCGGTCGACTTTGGAAAAATCAATATCTTCTGCTGCGCAATCGACTCCTTCAAGCGTGTCTGTCAATGGTGGGCGTTTGTATGCCCGCACATGTGAGTCGTACAGATCCAGCACCCGAGGACGCTGGCCTGAAGCCTCGTCTGACTTGATGTGGGTCGCCCATTGGTGGAGAGGGTTCTCGATGCTGATGTCAAGATCGATGCCCGCCGCTTTAGCTATGGATTTGACCGCGTGAGAGTTGACCTCCCTTTCGGTTGGCGGCTGCGTAGGGTCCTGCAAGGTATACTGCGGGAACCAGCACCGCAGCAGTGTGTTTTTGTCATGTGATACAGCCATCCATAGGCCCACTGAAACAGCTCGTGTCGATTCGCCGGACACTTCGCCGGTGTCAAACCCGGGTGAGTGGCTTGCTTGAGGCTGCTGGTCGTCAATATTGTGAGCCTTCCCATCTGCAAGCTCTTCATTGTAGACACTGTCACAGGTAGAGCAGCTGATGACTGTATCCTCGCCTTTCGCACTGGCGAAGTGGAATTCGTGGCTTAGACTGCCACCCATGTTGCCTGAGTCTGCAGCAGCGACTAAGTAGGGTATCTTCAGTTCGTTGAAAAGCTCGGTGTACGCCGCTTTCACGGACACGTATGTCTTCAAGGCGTTCTCCACATTGTAGTCGAACGTGTAGAGGTCCTTCATGATGAATTCGCGCCCACGAAGAAGGCCCTGTCTTGGTCGCTGCTCATCTCGGTATTTCCTCGCTGGATTGAGGCGTCAGTTTCTGGCTTGGAGAACGGGCATTCGTCTTACAAATTTGGTACACTCGCACTGGCAAATCTCTGTAGGATTTCGAGAGACTGCCCACCAGGGTGGTGATCTCCTCCTCGTGGGTGGGAGCGAGGAGAAACCGGGATTCTTTCCGATCTAGAAACCGGAAGACCTAGACACAGGTTAACAGAGTCCACTGGCAGCAGTATGGCATTCCTACTTCCGAGCCCTCTTTTAGACGTCCTGACTGTTCCCAAAGTTCTTGGGCGGAGATAGACGATAATGACACCTTCGATGCGCCTGCATGGTTGCAATCAGCAAAGGAATCTAGCCAAAGGCGAATCCGAAAGTCATAGACATACCAAGTGACCGCATATGCTTGTCAATGAGACGCTCTAGCTTATCTTGCACACGCAATCCAAGGGGAAGCATATGGAAGATACCCGAGTAAGCCTAATGACCGCATTAGAGGAAGAATTCAGTATGATTTAAGTGGCACTGACTTGACGCAGAAAGCCACCTCGGATCAAGAGGTCGTTTGCATCCTCTAGACGTCATTAGCAGCCGAGATTCAATACATTGGTCCAGTATAAACAGTACCCTTTTCGCCCTGAACGGGCTTTTTGGAGATGCCCCCCGTGGGAATCCAAAAGTTGGAGACCCGACTTCTACCATCAACCTGCGAGAGTTAGCAATTATAATATCTGCGTAGATAAAGTGCCAGGAGAGCTGTACGTGAAAGCCGCATTTTGATGTTCTACTGAGTCGAGCAATGCCAAAGTATGAGTATGCTCGAGATGTCCCGAAATAGCGGCCCGGAACCGGGCGAAACCCGGATATCATGGAGTCTGGCGATCGGATAGTACCTCAGGACCGGATAGCAAGCTGTAACCCAGTCAATGGGTGAAATACCACGACCAAACCAGAATCAATTGCGAACTAGATACATCCGATCGAGGCGGCATTCGAGGACTTTGGGTGGCCCGAGCGCCCGCCGACGGGTCTCGGCCCGCCGTTTCTCCGGCGGCCTCGGGGACTCGTCAATTTTTTGGCGGCAGAAAAAAAGTAGAAGCAAATCCCCATCATCGAACCTGCATCTTGGCCATACAACCCTTCGTCATGGCCAAAGGTAAAGGGAAGCGCTCCTCTGGAGCGAACGAAGCTATTCCTGATGGCGGAGTTGCTGTGAACGACTCCACCGCTGGCGCAGATGCCCTTCCACAGTTTGCGGAGGGTGCCTTTGCGGGCTTGCGACAGAAGATCGAACAGAGGCTGAAGGCCCAGAACGACAAGTCGAAGGCCAACAAGGGAAAACCAGCTCCCAAAGAAGCCCCGAAGAAAAACGATGCGCGGAAGCCCGAGCCAAAGCAGGCGTTCAACAATGATAAGAACAACAAGGGCAAGAAACGGGATCGCAGCGGCGAGGTGATCGCCAGGGAAGATAAGAAGGACTTTGCTAAAGGCAAGCAGCCGGTGTCAAAGAAGGACGACCAGGACGATATTCTCCGCCAGGAAATTTTGGCCCTTGGGGGCACAGAGGAAGATTTGGATCTTATTGCCGGTGTCGGTTCGGACTCTGAGGTGGAGGATGCTGCGGAGACGAAACCGAAGAGCATGTCTGACGATGCTTCTCTCAGAAAGGAGTTGTCGAGCATGCTGGCTGCCGCCGGTCAGGTTGTACCGGATGACCTAGAGGACGACGAGGTAGAGGAGGAAGAGGAGGAGGAGGAGGAAGACGAAGAGGAAGAGGAAGAGGAAGAGACAGGCGAAGAGGAAGACGAACTTGAGCAGGGTGAAGATGAAGCTTCAGAGGAGGAGGTTTCGGTGGATGAGCCAGCTCCCGCGCCAGCCCTGAAAGAATCAGCCAAGAAGGAAGTGGCCAAAAAGGAGGCCGCACCTGCAGTCATTTTCCCCAAGGAATTTGCCAAGCTCGTGAGTATCCTCAGCCCAACAAATGTGCAGCCTTCTAATCCAAATGTCTAGACTGTGATGCCCAGGTCCGATTGGTACAACACAGAACTCCCCGCGATACCGCCAGTAAAAGCGAATTCGGCATCTCGTCATGTCATGGAGCGCCTCCACACTTACGCTGTGTCACTCCTTGAGCAGGAGAGCAAGATGTACGCTGAAGCGCAGCAGGCGTCCGCCTCTTCTTCCCACAAGTTCTACAGCACCATTATGTCCACCGGTACTCTGAGTGATAAGATCTCCGCCTTGACTCTTGCCGTTCAAGAATCGCCCCTGCACAACACCAAGGCACTCGAGAACCTCATCGCCCTCGGAAAGAAGCGCAGTCGTGCCCAGGCCGTGGAAGTCCTGAGGTCCCTCAAGGATATGTTCGCTCAAGGAACGTTGCTCCCTGGTGACCGGAGACTTCGGGCTTTTGCCAACCAGCCATCTCTAATTGCTGCGCTGCAAGAACCAGCACTCAGATGGTACGAGGGAGATGCCCTTCCCGGTGGCCTTGAAAACAGTCACCTGATTGTCTGGGCCTTTGAGAACTTTCTGAAGGATCAATTTTTCGAGGTTCTCAAGATCCTGGAAGTCTGGTGCAACGATGAGATTGAGTTTTCTCGCTCCAGAGCCGTCAGTTACGTCTTCGAGCTGCTCAAGGAGAAGCCTGAGCAGGAAGCCAACCTGCTGCGACTGTTGGTCAACAAACTTGGAGATACGTCCAAGAAGATCGCATCCCGGGCGTCTTACCTGCTTCTACAGCTTGAGCAGGCGCATCCTATGATGAAGCCGACTATCATTGCGGCAGTGGAGGAGGTTCTCTTCCGCCCTGGCCAGAGTCAGCACGCTAGATACTATGCCATCATCACGCTGAACCAGACGGTTCTGAGCCTCAAAGAGGAACAGGTTGGGCACAAGTTGCTTGATATCTACTTTGCCGTGTTTGTTGGTCTGCTCAAACCTTCGAAAGAGCGCAAGGGAAAGAATGGAAAGTTCGGCAATAAACACAAGGGCAAGGGCAAGGGCAAAGGTGACAAGGGCAACGACAAGGATGACAGTCTGGCGCAGAGTGAAGAGGTGCAGGACAAGCTGACCTCTGCTGTTCTTACTGGTGTCAACCGAGCCTATCCCTTTACAAGCTCGGACACTGACCGGTATGTCTTGACCGTTTCCTGACTATCAGCACAGCTAACATGTATCACTAGTCTGTCGAAGCACATCGACACCCTTTTCCGCATCACACACTCGGCAAACTTTAACACCTGCATCCAAGCACTCATGCTGATCCAGCAGTTGACTTCCGCTCACCAGGTTGGTTCGGAGCGCTTCTACCGGACGTTGTACGAATCTCTGCTTGACCCCCGTGTCACCACATCATCCAAGCAGTCGCTATACCTCAACCTTCTGTTCAAGGCCTTGAAGAACGACATGAACACCCGGCGTGTGAAGGCCTTTGTCAAGCGAATCATTCAGGTCCTTGGGCTGCATCAGCCTGCCTTCATTTGCGGTGTCTTGTACCTGATCCGCGAACTGGAGAAGACGTTCCCTGATCTTGCATCATTGTTTGACCAGCCCGAAGAGAATGATAGCGATGATGAGGAGGTGTTCAGAGATGTCCCCGACGAGGATGACGAGCCCCTTCCCGTGGTTCCGGAACAGAAGTCACAGAAGCCTTCCACCCAATATGACCCTCGGAAGAGAGATCCCGAGCACAGCAATGCCGATAGGACGTGTCTTTGGGAATTGGTAAGCCCCCCTAGACTTTTCTTACAGACTGATCTTATTTGATGTGAGCTAATGCATAATTCCAGCTGCCTTATGTGTCTCATTTCCACCCGTCAGTGTCTGTCAACGCGGCTCATCTTCTCGATCACAAGCCGATGAGCGGACAGCCCGACTTGACCATCCACACATTGTCTCACTTCCTTGACCGCTTCGTCTACCGGACACCCAAGGCCTCTGCGCTCACCCGTGGATCTTCCATCATGCAGCCCCTCGCAGGCAGCGAGGCCAAGGATCGTCTGGTTAGTGGCGGCAAGCACATCCAGCATCTACCCCTCAATTCCGAGGCGTTCTGGAAGAAGAAGTCCGAGGACGTTGCTGCCGAGGATGTCTTCTTCCACGAGTACTTTAGCCGCATCGGCAAGGGTCAAGAGAAGGACAAGACCAAGAAGAAGGGCAAGGATGCCGCTGACGCGGACGCGGACGAAGATGAAGCCAGCGAAGCCGAGTCCGAAATCTGGAAGGCACTGGTTGACTCGCGTCCCGACTTGGAGGCCGGCAGTGATGACGATGACCTCGACATGGACGATCTCGAGTCCGCATACGACCAGTCCGAGGATGAGGGCGAGGGTGGTGACGACGAAGTCGAACTCAACCTTGACTCCGATGACGAGATGGAAGATGTCGACGAGGCCGAAGTTGAGGCGCCTCCTAGCAAGACCAAGGCTAAGAAGGCCAAGGCAGCCAAGGAAGAGGAGCCATCTGACGACGAAGATCCCTTCGACATGGACGTCTCGGACGACGAGGCCTTCTTTGACAGTGACGAGGACCTGCCGTCTGACGTGGAGCTCACTGCGGGTATGGAGTCACCGAAGGAAGAGGAGAAGGACGAGAAGCAGTCCGAACGCAAGAAGAGGCGCAAGCTCAAGCACTTGCCCACTTTTGCCTCTGCGGACGACTATGCGGCCCTGCTGGCCGGGGAGGACGAGGGAATGTGATTTCGCATCCTGTACTTACATCAATCATATTCTATTGCAGATACCACAAAAGCATGTTATCATTGGTATGGGGATATTTCAATTATCTTCTGAACGTAGTCTTCGTAGTTTGTTGCCAGCGTCAATTTCAAATGAAATCATGGTGCAACCGGGATGAAGCCTCGTCACCTCGTCCAGGGCAGTGCTGAACTTTTGCAACCTGTATGGGTACGTTTTTGGAGCCTTCTCGGGGCCATGGATTTATCCGCAGTACAAGACCTGATACGCCTACACAGGTCAATCAGGCTGAATCGGTACCCATGCAAGGCTGACGTTCAGGTACAGATCATGCCAGCACGACTCCGCTTTCGAGACTATATGATCGCTGACGTGTGCAGGTCTAGGAGTTAGAGCATGCCTTCCGCACCCTATTACAATTCCAGACCATAATATGATACCTCAGACGGCTGTAATTCCCCAGACGAGTCACTGGTTGTTCGAAACGAAGCAGGCTCTTAATGTACGGCATATGGGAGTTTCACGGCAACCTTTGAACTTTGCTAGGTATGAGATTATTCAAGACATCAAATCTTGGCTCCAGGATCCAAAGGGAAAAGCAAACGCAGGAGACGTGAAGCGTCGAGCAGATCGAAAGACAGCTAGCTGCTTTATCGCCGCCTCAGACGCCCTCGCGAAGGTCTTCCCCGACAAACGTCCCACAATGCCCGCCGAAATAATAGACCTGGGCGGCTATCTCACGGAGACAACCATGGCAGTGACTCCGAATCCGATGACGGCCGCAGAAAACAAAACCAACCCGATGATAATAGACCATCAATGAACCAGAGAAGGAAGCCCATGCGATCATCTTCAGAATCCGAGGACGAAGGAAACGCTAGCCCTAGTTTCACAGTACACGACGATGCGGAGGAACGCAAACGCAGAAATATGCAACAGCTGTTGAAGTTACTGGAGGAAACTATGACTGAGTACTGTATCTCCTTAATGGAAAGGATATTTCAAGAAGAAAGTCTTGCACAAGAGATAGATTTGAATGAGAGGATCTCTGCTGCCGACCCGGGACAATACAACAAAATAATGTATTATGTCGAGTTGGCACAAGATAGCCAACTGCACACAACTGTCAAAGCGACATCCAACTTGACGACTGTGCCAATCCATGCAGGGCTTTCACGGGCGATTTCAAAGCACGAGCGGTTTGCTTCCATATCAGAGAATAACTGCTGCTTCGTTGAGCTTCGCGAGTTGTGTCCATTATCCAAGGACTTTGTTCCTAAGGAGAGCCTATCGCTTCACAAACAATATCTTACCTCCTGTGTTCAAGGTTCTCGCTAAAGATAACAAGCCGCGACATGCCGAGTATGTGCCAGCGGAAGAACTACGGCTGCTGGGATGGTACCCTGCTGCCGGTATGGGGAGGTATCACTTCCGCTTTCAGATGGGTACCACAGAATCGACAAGATCGTCCATCTACCGCGTGCGCATGACAGGGGAAATCATTGGGATCTGGAGGCCTGCGGACTATGCCCCGGACTTTTGGACTTGGTCGGCGACATTGCCTGAAAGCATGGAGAAATTTTGTTCGAACCCCTTGGAAGATTCTCGTGAATTTTAACTGCCCTGAGCGGTAATGAGGGTTATGATACCTAGTATCAGGTAGCCAGTTTAGAATACTAGGAGGGTCTACTCCGTATCTGATTCGATATGAAACTGTCGCTGATGAGATGACGATATTCCCTGTTTCGGGCAACACTCCTAGTTGTTGTCTAGTACCGCAAGATCGACCGATCTAGGTCCCAAGTTAGGCTCTAGATCAAACAAAGACCTAGAGCTTAATCCCACTTGCTTCCTGTAGGCAGATGATCTGGCATGTTGCTTTTGACATTCAAGTTCATTATTAAGTTAACTAATTATGCGGGCAGTGATGAGTAAGACGACACAGTCCCTTGCATAAGGACTTGCCGGGACCACGATGGGCAGCCACACGTGGGCGGGGATCACGTCATCTGTTAGCGCATAGCGTGCTCGAGGTTTAACCAGACGCTGAGCCAGTCAGTCGAGTTTTGCCTCGCTGGAAAGACCGGACAAGTCCAGGATGCGAGAGCAGAGTCATGGATGTCTTGTCGTATGACCGTCTATTTCTTTGTTATGCAGAAGCCTCTTTTATCACACCACCAAAGAAGGCCAAATTATTCCGATGGTGGCTGAATCCATGGCGCGATCCTGGTCTCCCTAAGTAAGTAGATGTGCCTACGGAGTAGGAGGATATCATAATCCATTCCCCGTGAACTCTGGCCTGCTGTGACTCTCGCTGTTGCATGTGGTATTTTCGATGGTAGGAATACAATCCATCGAAATTTCTGCATTCCTCGCTGCCCTGTCATGCTTGGCTGGACGGATGCGGGGCAGACTGGATCGGGCGGTTCCGCCGGCGGAGCCAGCTGGGCGGTGATTGGCGGCGGGGAGCTCGACGTTGTACCGAGAACGGACCAATGGGGGTGGGCCCTAATGCGGCCGCAATTCACGGCTTAGCCGGCTCGAGCTTTACTCTCTCCCACTGACGGAAGTGGCTGCCACTAAGTCAGGTCCGGAGGATATGGAGATAGCAGCTATCTATCTAGGTGCCCGCCTGCCGGTCGGCTGGAAAGCACGGTCATTTCATATATAGAGTTTGGGAACGGGGAAGAGCACCCATCTAGCTACTGGATATACAATTAAATCTCGATTATCTGGCTCTGTACCAGGGGCGGGAGCATGCAGGACCGACAGTTAGTTACTTTACTTCAATCCATTGAGAATGCCGGGCTGGAGCACGTCATCGGCCGACCAGTCCAGGCAGTTGGTCTCGCCGGCCGCATTGGGCCGCGCCAGTCACTGGATCTCCGGGGCCCTTCATCGCAATCAGCGACCGATGGGGCCGTTTTCTGCCGTTCTCCTGCCTGGATTCAATCGTTCTTCGTTCTTTTGATCAGCGCCTGTTGGCTCTCTCCTGTGACTAGGTTCAAGCTACCCGTACAGGCCACTAAAACCCGTCAGGCGCGCCTTGGTAGAATCCAGCTTTCCACAGGTTAAAGAAATAAGCGCATCCAGAGTTTTCGGCTGCGTTTGTGCACCGGCCTGTATTCCTTCCTTTTTTTTTTTACCAGCCTGGGACGTCATTTCTTGTCTCCTCTCTCCTTTTTTCTTTTTCTGTCTCTCGTGTTCCGTTGCCCTGTTGCTGGTTCACCACTGCTTGCCCTCGCCCCCGGCCTAGTGTGAGGATCGGCATCGTTGCCTTATCGCCGCGCATATTGAACATCCAGAGGTCAGCTGCACGTGCGTCCAGCAAGATCTATTCTGCTCAATCTGACAGACTATTTCACCTGTTAGATCCTTCTTCTGCCTTCCTCCTCTCGCCTTCCGTCCTCACCCTGTACATTTTTTCTCACCCTGTCCATAATCTCGGTAAGAAAGTCCGGAGTTGCTATTCTGTCGCATTCCAATTTGGGCTGCGGGTACTGACTGGGTGCCTGTTTCCTTTAGGTTGTTGCAAACATTGTCATCTAGCGGCGCAGTACATGCATCTAAAGGTCTCCAACGTCTCCTCTTTTTTCACCTTCCCCGCTTCGTTCCACCTGCGGCTTGTCCGCTCGATAAAATGGCGGAGTCCAACACAAAGATCGTCGATCCCTACCGTCGGTCGTCGGTCTCCGATCCTCTTGCAGACAAGTTGAAGCCCACCGACCTAGAGAGTCAGAAACAACAGGTCGGGTCAGGTTCCGACTCGGAAGGTGAAATTGGCCGACAGATTGAGCTCGAGTCGGAAAACTCGATAAAGTACAGAACATGTAGCTGGCAAAAGGTGCGCGTGAACTCTCCACGTGGAAATACAATCAGGATGCGCAATTGCTGACAGTGGAGCACTTTCCAGACGGCCGCTCTCCTCTTTTCCGAGTACATTTGTCTGGCTATCATGTCGTTCCCGTGGGCCTACTCCGTTCTTGGGCTGGTACCGGGGTTGATCCTCACGGTGTTCATCGCTGCGGTCGTGCTCTATACCTCCTTGACCATCTGGTATGTGTCCGACTCGTTGCGCTTTGATTAAAATCCAGCTCTGACATCTTCTAGGAAGTTCTGTTTGCGGCATCCTCACGTACGCGACGTCTGCGACATCGGACAGGTGATCTTCGGGAACTCCAAGATTGTTTGGTACGGCACAGCGATCATGTTCTTGCTGAACAATATCTTCATCCAGGTGAGAGTGCTCTCGGCTTGTTATTCGACATATGCTGACATCACCCTAGGGCTTGCATTGTTTGGTCGGCGCAGAGTATCTTAACACGATCAGCAACCATGGGGCCTGCACTATCGTGTTCTCCTTGGTCACTACAATCATCGCGCTGATTTGCTCTCTCCCACGGACGTTCGACGCTCTGTCAAAGGTTGCGACTCTCTCCGCTTTCTTCACATTTGTATCTGTCCTGCTCGCGATGATATTTTCCGGCATTGAGGCGCACCCGGCGGGCTACACCCCTGCGCAAGGCGACCCGATCGTGAAAGCCCTTCCTGTGGCGGGAACGACGTTTGTGTCGGGCATGAGCGCCTTCTTGAATATCAGCTACACCTTCATTGGTCAGATCACCCTTCCGAGTTTCATCGCGGAGATGAAGGAGCCCAAGGATTTCTGGAAATCGGTCACCGTGGTCACCATCGCCGAAGTGATTGTGTTCAGCTTGGCTGGGTCCATTGTCTACGTGTACACCGGCAACCAGTACATGACCACACCAGCATTCGGGTCGCTGGGTAATGAGGTATACAAGAAGGTGTCTTTTTCGTTCATGATCCCGACCTTGATCTTCCTGGGTGTGCTGTATGCGTCCGTGTCTGCTCGTTTCATCTTCTTCCGCATATTTGAAGGCACGCGCCACAAGGGTAATCATACCGTTGTTGGATGGGCAGCCTGGATCGGCATCCTGGTCGTCCTGTGGGTGTTGGCGTTTATCATCGCGGAGGTGATTCCCTTCTTCTCCGACCTGGAGTCGATCATGAGCTCCCTGTTCGATTCCTTCTTTGGCTTCATTTTCTGGGGGACGGCCTACCTGCGCATGCGACGGGAGGACTACGGACCCAATTTCTACAAGAACCGGGGCATTCGCGGTTGGATCGGTGCGATTGTCAATGTGTTTTTGATTTGCACTGGGCTTTTCTTCCTTGGCCCGGGAACCTACGTGAGTGTAACCCATCCGTCCTGTCAAACGAAACTAACGCAGTGTGTCGCAGGCATCCATTGAGAGCGTCATTATCAGCTATGAGGAAGGAACCGTGGGCACCCCGTTCTCCTGTGCCAACACGGGATTGTAAATATACCCGACAGGAGCCCTGCTGTCTTTTTCCCCCATTGCACACACTTTAAAATCCGGCTGGGGGTGCCGGAACGTCAGAGCGATGATGGTTATTTAATGAATTCTCGCCATGTGTTACATTGGATTCTGTTTAGTTGGACATACCCTTGGAAGCAAATGAAACATTGACTGCCGGCGCCGTGATTGCGGCAACAGGCTGTGCGCCCTGGAGACAGGAGTCGCGTTTGGCCTGTCCTCCCTGTTGGGTTGTACGGCGGTTGATACTGTCATGCTGTTCCTGTAGATTGTAATGAGTAACTTTCCGCTTTGGGGAGCTGCTTGTAAGATCGAGCTTATGTGCCTTTAGCTACATAAGCTAAGCATCAACAGCCCAATTCCATCCACAGGACGGTTTTCAAGGAGTCAGCCGCGAGTCAGGCACACGTCGGGCTCGGATTCTGCGGGTTCTGCGGGCTTTGCCCCCGCCCGAAGCATAGTAAACAACAGGCATAAATACCCTCCCAGAACCACTCCCATTCCCTCTGAACCACATCCTTCCATTCTCACCCCAACCCCAACACCATATCCATATCCATATCCTCATACATCCACCATGTCCACATCCAGCCCCTACACGGGCCCAATCTTCGACGTGCAAGCCCACGCCATCAAACCGAGCACCTACTCGACCGTCGCGACGAGCATCCGCACAAACAAGAACCTAGAGCAAGCCACCGCGACCACTATCTCAGATGACATCTGCGTGCAGCTGGCTGACGATCTGCAGGGGGAAGCCCGACGGCAAACGCTCGGCCGCACGGGCATCCAAGTCGTGACGATCAACGCTTTCTTCCCGCCGTCTCTCCCCGCGGAAACCCTCCTCCGGATCATGGACGACACGAACGAATGGATGGCCGCGAGAACAGCGACAGATCCCCAACTCATCGGCATCGCGTCCATGCCCCCCGCCCCCGTGCTCGCCGCAGCCGCAACACCCCCAACGGCACATGCTACACGCAGCAAGCCCTCACCAGTCTCCGGCGCGCAATCACCGACCTCGGCCTAAAGGGCCTCATGTTCGCATCCAACTACAACGGGGTCTTCCTCGGCGACGCCTCCTACGACCCCTACTTCGCACTAGCGGAGGAACTCAACATTCCCGTCATCATCCACCCGGCCGTCGAACCCGTCGAGACGCCACACATCGCCCGCAAAAACATCCCCACCTACTCCGGCTTCCTGAACGACCAGCGAACCACCCTCCTCGACCTCGTCCTCTCCGGCCTGTACGAGAAATTCCCCTCCCTCACCATCATCGCCACCCACCTCGGCGGCGGCATCCTGTCCAGTCTGGGCCGGTTCGGGGCCCTCTCGAAGCGGTTCCCCGCGGACGCCTTCTTCGTCGATTCGCACGGCGTGAAGAGGGCCCTTCCCAGGCCGATCCCGGAGTATATATCCCGGATGTATTTTGATTGTAACAATGCAGACGTAGCGGATATTCGCCATGCCGGGGAGGTGGTCGGTTACGATCATCTGCTTAGTGGGACGGATTTCCCCTGGACGGATGATGGGTTCACCCGCCAGGTGTTGGGGTTGGTGGATGAGCGGGTGAGGGCGGATTTGGCGTATAATAATGCGGCGAGGATTTTTGGGTATCCGGTTCTTTGAGGATGGATGCGGATGCTACTTCTGACCGGGTTGGGTGGATATAGTTTGGTTGATATGAAGTGGAGTGGAATGGAGTGGAATGGAAATGATACCCCAGGTTAAAGAGGGAATGTATGAGTTGATAGTCTAGTCATTACGGACTTAACTGATTGGTATAGTAGCTAGTAAGCAAGGTCAATATTGACAGACAGGAACACGAACAAGAAAGGAACAAGGGTCAAGAAACGAGGCACTCCACATAGGATAGTATAACTAATATATACATACATGTGTACTTAAGCAGAAGTATTTGTCCTCTACTTACCTTCAGAATGAATATCCATATTACTACTAGCTACGTCCCTCTCAGACAGAAATACAAAAGCCTGCAAAAGACCAGGCCACAAAAGCGTGAATCCTCTCGACCAGAGCATCATCAATTCAATTCTATCAAATCTCGCCAAAGGACTTATAGTACTTACCACCACGATTGAAACAGATCATCACCACCGACACCACCACCACCAGCACCGAAACAAACCCAGCACCGAAACCAAACCCAGCACCTCCCCACAAAATCCTCCTCATCCCCGAACTCTTCAAAAATAATCCCCTTCCACCTCAACCCCCACACCCACCAATGCATCATCCACCATCCCCCGCGTCTGCGTCTACGTCTGCGTCTACACCGACCGGAAACCCGTCCCCCAAGACCCCTCTCACCTCACCTCCCATCCAATCCAAGCAAGCAAGACTATTCCTCGAGTCGATCCATCCCCACCCAAAGGTCAAGATTAAGGTCAAAGTCAAGACCAACCAAACCCCCGAACCCCCCAAACCCCCCAAACCATACACAAACAAGCTCATCAACGAGCTCACCTTGCGCTACGTGCTGGACAGAGGGTCAGTCACCCACGGCTCGGAAAGTAACCAACCCCATGGAAGGGAAGGTCTTCCTAGACGGGCCCGATCTCTGCCCAGACCCGGACGCAAGCTGGCGAAACAAGCTAGTTCAGCAGCCGCCTCACTCGGTGATTCAGGGGTATAGCGTCTTTGACGGGCACGATGTGGGGATGTTGGGTATTCTTGGTGCTGCAGAGCGTACCGTCATGGAGTGGAGGGCGGGTGGGTGGGTGGGGATGGGGATTGCTTCCGCTGAGGGATGGCGGGGCTGGTTGAGAGGGGGGGATGTTTCGTAAGCTGAGGCATGAGGGGGGGGCACTTCGTGTTTGTTTTTGGGTGCGATTTGAATAATAGTATATATCGCCATGGGTGGATTCAGCCTGTTACTTCGGTTTGGTTGGGGATGGTTTGATACGCTATGATTTTACGATTGATGGTGTGATGGATGGTGTGATGGATGGCTGGATAGGTGGCATGTCTGGACTGGGTTAGGCGAGAAGGAGTCTGAACAGGGACGTGAGGGGTGAGGATTTGAGTTGGTGGTTGGAGGCGTCCTGCCTCAAGCCTCGACATGGTCACGATGAGTATGAGTCTTGCTGCCTCCTACCTTTGCTTTTGGAGATCACGGCAGTGATCGGGGAAAGTAGGTGTTTGGACTAGCTAGCTTCTATTTCACTCTTTTGGTTGTTTCGGAATTTTAGAAGTCGAATCTATGCCAAAGAAAAGACATCTCGTTAGGAGTAGAGATTGATTGATTATTGTGGTATCCCTGATTGCGGGTCCCGTTGGAGTATCCTACTGGGTCACAGATATCATTGAGATCATCAGTTCAATAGATGAACTCTAGCCAAGGCAGTGGTGGTTGAACTGCTGTTCGACAGATGCAAAGAAACGTCCCAATTAACCTTGCAAGTAGCGGTTGTATTCTCCGGAAATTCCAGCAAGCAACTATTGTAGCCATGACGGTCGCAGTCGGGGTTGGGATGGAGACGACACGCTGAGATATTCTCCAGAAACATGGTGAGCATCGAATCCACACCCACAGTCATAAAACTCGTAGTGGCAGCAGCGGTGAGGTACACTGTAAGGGAGAGCAAGTGATGAAGCTTCTTCGCCGATGCGGACGGATAATTTATATTGCCCAAATTGGCCACTACTATCGGAGATCATTTGGCAACCGCTAAGACGATGGCAAGGATATCCGCAGGCGGCCTGAAAAGAGGCCGAGAAGACAACGGCGACTTGAGATGCGAATTAGAGCCTGAAGCAACGGTCAGCTTTTGCGTCGGTCCAAAACGCAGGATCCACATACCGAGTTCTTTTTCTACATATATCATGGCCCACATACAATCCTTTCGCGAGACGCACACTCTGGCTTCCCACGAGTGGCCATGGTGTTGTACCGGACATCAGATACAGATCACTCGAGATGTCGAACAACAGGGTAGAAGCAAGATCTTGAGATGCCTGGTTGATCTCGAAATCTAACTCTCTTCGTACATCACATCTTCAGCGGAAACAACCGTTCATTCGTATCCGCGCCCCATTTAGATATCCCAGCCAGTGTGTACCCGAAAACTATATGACTCCGATCATCCGTTATCCTAATCGTTTGGGTTGTCAAGCGAGCTGACATCGGAACAAACCCCGAATTATCCGCGGCATCATTTTCGGTGGTGATATGCGCGTTGCTAACCATGCAGCACAGAGTTGTGTCATAGATGGCTTCTCTGTGTGGCCATGCTTGCAGTAATTGTAAGGACCGTTTACGGGTCTTGAGGTCGCGGCATTTCACACACGACCAGAGCAGCGCTGGGACGATGCCCATGTCCATGATCACGACCGGTAGGGATCCAAACTGGGACTTGAAGCTATCCATGATTTGCTCGACGAGCTCGTTAACCCTTTTAAACCCGGATAGATATTGGTCGAAGAGCATCTCCGTCGGGTCCAGCATGGTAGCAGCAACGCTGGTCATGGTTGCAATGTACAACCGGATCACATCTGCATTACGAGCCTCTCTCGGACCCCATCTCTTCCGGGTACATTTGGACCTGACGAACTTCTCAAAGTCCTCCCGGTAATCATGAATCTGGCGCTGCAGCTGGCACTGCTGCACGGACAACTCCAGAGGGTCAACGTCCACGTCACCTCGGAGGACAAAGGTGCAGCGGGATCGTAAATTGAAGATGTTGCACATCAAAGGTCGAAAGCGGTCTTTCGCGTCAGTCAGGCTGTGAAATTTGTCCCGCTCATATGGTGGTTCAGCCAAGCGCTCTCGCGAAGGGTGGAGCGTGACGAGCACTTTGGGGTCATCAAAATTGGCTCGGTGAGAATTCATATGCAGAAACGCCGTCTTAAGGGAAGTTTCTGCTTTAGACACACGACCTGACCGGCTATTGTTCAGGATGTTCAACCCCTGCTGCAGATGGGTAAAGGCATTTTTGGGTGCGCCTTCAAAAAGCTCCACGATGACGAAGATAATACAACACATGAGCACAATCTCCCGCACCTGCGGGTGATTAGACTGGATGCGCTCGTGGATCGTGGACATTGCGCGGTTGTATTGTTCCAGCGCAAAGCGATGGTGGCTGCTGATAAAGCGACTGCCCGTAGCCTTCCGCTCATACTCCCCATGAATAGCGCTCAGTGCGACCGCGGCATGGCACACAGCTGGCTCCTTTTGGCTCATCTGCAGCACCAGCTGTTGCCATACATCGGAATCCCCATAGGCCGCCAGCATGGGGATGGTATTCTTCTCGAAGTACTGAAAGTGATGGCGTTCGTTTTCAGACATGCCGGGGAGGCTCATGGCAAGGGCCACGGCTATCGAGGTAGCCTTCGCCTTGGGGGCGGACGGTAGGATCTGGTCATAACCGTCGCATCGGCGCCCAGTGGCTGTGCAGTTGTGGCATGCAACCGGGGCCTCATCACATTTGACATGTCGAGCCCTGTGGGCACAGACATAATAATTCAGCTGACCTTAGCATCTAAACTCAGCCCTGAACGTGGAGGGCTCAGGAGGAGAAACTCACCGACAGGTGCGACATCCGGTCCGTGACCTATGTGAGAACGCCCGTTGTCGTCTTATTTCCACCATGATGAGAAACGGTCTTTGGACTGATCAGCATCCTACCTGCTATGTCTCGTTCTCAAGCGGGTGCTCTTTCTGGGTTTAAATTCAATTGGGCTCGAGGGGGGTTGTCGGAGAGAAGGAGTCCGGAGAGGGGGCCCCCCGCGTCGCAGACCACTGCACTTGTACTATTCTTGACCCCGTCGGTCGTCCTAGTGACTAGTGGGCGTTCCTACCTAAAGAGTACCAAGGCGCGATCCGCCTTGCGCGTGCTTAGGGTAACAGAGTCGTAGCTTACAACCACATGCTTGCAGCCTTCCTTACCTGTTCTTACTTCATCGAGATACTACTTACTGGTCTAGTACTATTTTAGGGGCCTTGGGGTGGTTCGGCCTCAGCCCTCAGGCTACACAGCACACCGCCAGGCCCCACTCTCGCGACGGGGTTCCGGTTTTCCTGAATGGGTAACCAGTATCTATCGCAAAGTAGATTGGTAGGTAGGTTTCAACAAGATGATGAAACAGTCGGCGTCCATAATCGTAGAAAACAGTGGAAAAAAGGTGGCTTGGGACCCGGGGAACGGGTCGAACGGGTCTCCGATTCCATTGCTCGCTAGCGGTTAGATAGCCACCGAACCAGTGGAACAACAAATCATATCTTCATAACACATTGAAATGCCCCTATGGCTTCTCCTTGAATCGCGAATTTCATCACGAGGTCTGACACAGCGGCCCATATCCCCTCCCGCCAGTCACCTCCGCCCAGCTCTCACTCCCAACACACCTCCAACAGTAAAACACGTCATCGGGGTCATACTTCCTCTTGACTGACAGAAGCCAATCGTAATTCGGACCAAAGAAGTCTTCCTTCCACGACGGGTCGTACCCGTCCGCTTCATTCACGTAACTTCCCATCCCTGGAGTCAGCGCCTTCATCGCATTGGACTTTCGGAAGGTCAAGTCGTTAATGGTGTGGTTGACCGTCTGGGCACTCGCGTCCTCGGGCCACCCGACGATGATTTCCGTGAGGAGATAGGTCTTTCTCCAAGCGGGGTTGACGGAGGTATAGGGTGTGGGGTGGAGGACTTGGCCTCCGCCGATGAGACATAGATAGATGACGATATCGGTTGCATTGAGCGGGCCGCCGTCATACTTGGAGAAGATGGTGTGGAGCATTCCTTCCAGGTTGTCGGCATTGTTGAGTAGAGAGGGCTTGTCGAACATCCGGGAGCTAAGGAGCAAGTCACTGACTCCGGTGGGCTCCGCGGAGCTTCCGCCGGCGATGGTGTCGTAGTAAGACTCAAAGGAGGGGAAGTTGTACCAGGTTGATTCGATTAGAAAATCACTGCCGTTGTAGGGGAGGAGATCGGCGAGGATCTCCGAGTTCAGGACAGATTTCGCATGTTGGATGGTAGCGGAGGCGTTGCTGCTTGGAATCATCACTCCGAAGCTGTGCATGTATATTGCCCCAGCGGGAATGGAGAGGGAGAGCTCTGAGCTGGGGAGGATTTCGGCGTAGCCAGAGAAGCCTGCGTCGGAGAGAATGGAGTATTTGGAGACGATGTTGGCCGAGATGTTGAGTAGGGTGGACAGGTTGGCAGTTTGTGGGATCACATATAAACGATGTCCAATGAATTGATGAGCTGGGTGCGCTTTGATCGTGGCAGATATCACCACGCCGTATGTACCACCACCTCCCCCGCGAAGAGCAGTGAAGAGGTCTGTGTTTTGGCAGGCGTTGGCCGTGACAGTTTCGCCTGACGCAAGGACGACGGTCAATTCGAGGACTTGATCTGTTGCAAGTCCAAAGTAGTGGCCGGAAGGAGAGTGGCCTCCACCTTGGAGATAGCCACCTATGACTCCGACTGTCTGAGACGTTTTATTTTATTTTCACTGATGCAGATGAATAAGTAGACTCACTGGATCGTCACCACCAACAACAATACGGTCGTGACTGGCTGCTGTAGTGTACAAATCGTCCCAGATATATCCTCCGCCCACGGTGAACGCACTTCCAGTCCAGTTTGACTGACATCCATTCGAAGGTGCATAGGTTTCCTGGAAAGTAACTCCGGACTGGATATACTTAATCCATACCATCAAAGCTCCATATCCTTGTGATCTACCGGCCGTAGTTAGATGCTGAATCAAGTATAGCAGAAGACAAAGCACAACCTACCTCCCAACAATGTCATGTCCAGTATTCTTAATAACGAGCCGAACGTTATTGTCTTGCGCGAATTTGATTCCCGCAGCAACATCCTCCGCTTCTGTGGCGTTGATGGTGTATACCGGTGCAGTACCAAGGGTGCATTGTGTATGATTTCCTGCCGTGATATTGACTGGGGGACAGGTCTCGACCCGTGGATAGCAGTACCCCGCTGGATTGAGCTCTATGAATGATGAATTGTTCCATTCATCGCTGATATACTGACACAGCTGGTTGCTGTAATCTGCGCCTGGATAACATGGCTCAGCGATGGGCTGTGTGTGAATGAGTTTTCCATCGACAGAGGTGTTGAGGGCACTCCATGCTGAGAGGGAGGGCCAACATGGGTCTGTGGGTGTCTGGTTTGGAAAGTTAATTAGGAGAGAAGGTAAATTATTGGGCAACATACACATTTGCACTTAGCAAAGACAGATTGTGCTCCCGCGAGGAGCAGGAGAGTAAAGCCGAGCATGTTGATGAGTGTTTCTGTTGCAGAGATGACCATGGAGCTTTCACATATCCATATATACACTTATTTGTATAGACAACATTGAAAGCTCCTCATCGCGAGAATAGAGGCTCCAGCACACCGGTCTGAGCTAACCAAGCCATCTGTCGATCATGTCTCCGCTCGTGTAATCAAGTTATGGATGAATGCATCGCAATCCACTCAGCCCCCGAATGATCGACACATTACCCTGATATTTAGAGCCATTTACCACACGTGGCAGACTCCCGGGCACAAATGCATCCAATAAAATCACTCGATTTGGATGATGTGACTGTGTCTCTGTAGATCTCCACCTCGTCTAATCCTTCGGCTCTATATTGGACGGATCGTTAAATCCTTCGGATAGCTAATGACGACTGACGGTTTCGTTCACTTCCGTTATACTTTAAAATCTGTTATGTCAAGGGATGATCAGCGGGTGTCTGCAAAGTGCTTTGAATAGAACTTGTCAATATAAATGGGCATGTTGTTTTGATCTTGCTGTTATGCTATGAGGGTCTCGAGGAACTCTTCTTAACGATAAATCCGACAACTGAAACACGGCCATACTCTCGTAGCCTCGACAGGTAGCCCGAAAGCCGTTCGAGGATTTACGAGTCTGACGAGGCTGAGCATTAAGCATAAGCATTGGATCCAAGGAAAGAGATCAACGGTCAACGTCATAATCGACCCGTTCTATTCTGTGCGCTGCACAGGCACGGCCCGGCATCATCTGAATCACCGCCTATCAAATCCAATGGCCTCGTCGATATTGCCCTTACCCCACCGCGTGAAAGGGATATATTGGCGGAGAGTTCTGTGTGGTGAGATCATGGCAGCCGCCTAGAGTAATAAGCCGCAGAAAGGCTTGTCTGGGACGGCAAATTGGAGGGAATGGACATGCGTGACTGAAGTTGACGGGGCTCGGACATGACTGGACGCTTAGGTGTGGGGCGGTGCAATATGTAGGGATCAAAGCGTTATAGGACGGAGGATGACTCGCCGTGAATTTATTATTCTGGATGTTTATCGTGCGTTTTGCTACTCATCCATCACAGCATACTTCATGTTCTTCCGTCGGAAAGTCGCGCAAGGCATCGGGGCCGCGATTGAATTCGTTGTGCGAGGGAATACCGGTACGCAAGGTCGACAAGGCTGGAAGGGCAGAGAATCGAGACCAGGACAGAAATAGAAACGTAAAGCAAAAGCACTATGAAAATACCCGATGGGTCCGGGGCCTGGAGTGGCATTGAAGAAGTCAGCGACGATCATGCTCGACAACGAGAACTGGGGAAAGCCCAAGATCAACTCGATGGAAAATTACCATCAGCTGCCACCGAGCCGGTCAAAGTTGTTGTCGTAGCAGAGCCATTTGCTTGTCGTTATCCTCTCCCCATGGTGTATCGAAAGTTCACCCTTACTCTTTCTTATCTGGGTTTGCTGCGTCAGAGTCCACCCAAGAATCAGTCCTGATATCCGTAGACCCCAAGCCCAAGTAGTGAGCCTTTGGTCTCTGTGTATTTTGTTTGAGATTTCCGATTCCTCCACGTCTTTCGGGCGCTCGTAGGCCCTTTCTTCGTAGTAGCATTGCGAGGGAGGTCCAAAGGGGAAACAACAGCCAGGCCGGGAGAGTTTGAACGCGCGAGGAGCACATGACCGGCATTCACTCTTCACACAAGTACAAGGCAATAGCTCAGACCGCACGTGTTACTCCTCTGTTTACATCACCAGTCGCGTCTGTCAGGGATGGCGACTTGGCTCTGTGATGGAATATTGGAGAGGAGCAAGGAAATGTTTGCAATAGTATTTGAGGCAGGCTATGTCTAGGTAATAAAAATGATAAAATTAATTTCTAATATTATATAGAAAATCAAACAGGTCCCGACTAGGCGACGCAAAACCGCTTTGCTACAGTGATCCGAGATAGGTTAAACAGATGCTGATCCTAAGATCAGCAGTAATGTATGACGTTCTATCCACAATTATCTCAAAGGATTAGATATTACCCAGTCATTTCCTCTCCCCGCACGTTAGCGTGAGGGATTATCTCTTGGCCATTTCATTAACTACTTTAGATACTAAACAATACTATCTATATCTATATCTACCCCATGACCTCCGGATCTTCCCAGTTTATCCAAAAAGACAAAACAAAAGAAAAAAAAAACATTCATATACAACCAAACCCCAATTCACTGCCTCCTAGCACCCACCCATCAACCTAAACATAAGCAAGCCCAATCCATACTCAACCCCACCATGTCCCCACTAAACACCCACGCCCAAACCCTCCCCGGAACATGGACTCTAACCGACTACCGCGCCCGCAGCGATGACGGCAGCAACCCGCTCTTCCCGCTCGGTCCCAACCCCCGTGGCATCATCATCTACACCGACGCCGGGTCCGTCGCCGTCCATCTCATGAAGCCCGGCGCACCGCATGTCAACTCCCCTACGCCGCACGATGGTCCGGATGACGAGCTGGCCCAGGCTATGCGGCACAGCCTCGCCTATGCGGGGTCTTATACACTACAGCCGATGGAAAACAACAATGAATGTTTTATAATTAATCACCAGGTAGATGTGGCCCTGTTTCCGAATTGGGTTGGGGGGCTTCAGAGTCGGGTGGGAAGGTTCGAGCATGATGGGGGAGAGAGGTTGGTCTTGGAGGCGCAGACGAAGTTTCCGTTTCAGGTTTGTGCTTTTTTTTCTGAAATGATATATAGTTGTGATAAGCTGACTGTGGCTTAGGGGACGTGGTATACGTCAGTGTTGACTTGGGAAAGGGCGACGAAGAGGCCTGTTTTGGGATAGGTTGGGGGGCTTCCTGTGGTATGGGGTATAAGGAACCGGATGGGATCGGGAGCGAGCGGCTGATATTTTTGCTGGCCTTCAGGAATATGCCAAAGCATGAATATAAATCTCTGATAGTATCCCTCCCTTGCTCGGTCTTAACCTTTGGGCTTATCTCGTTTGGATGGGCTGCTGACTGCTGTCATCATGATTGTTGTCGAATTAGCATCCAATTTGGCCAAACTGGGGCCGATCATTTGGACCTGCCTAATTCTGGCAGTAACCGCCGACTTCTGGGTCTCTTCACCGAGACTACCACTACCTGTAACCAACAAGAGACATCCACTGGATTTTCTAAGCATTATTGCCCAGAAACGCTTTATTTTCGATGCAGAAAATTTGATCAAAACCGGTCCAGCGTTTTCTATCTGAATTTGGGCAACGGGTGCGATATCGTACTTGATCCGAAATATGCGGACGAGATTTGTAATATCCCAGCGTTGAACTTGGGGGCATCTGCGGTGAATAACTTTCATGCCAATATTTGTGGCTTCGAACCTTTTCGGGAAGGAACAACAAACGCTGAAGTCTTCCAAGATGCTGTAAGGATGCAGCTGACAAGGAGCCAAGGTAGTCTAAACTGATTTTTCATTCAACGTTTTCACACTCTGAACAACACAGCTAATCCGCTCAGACAGCGTCATTCGCCCACTATCCGAGGAGACTGGTCTTGCACTCGAAGAACTATGGTCAGAAGATGCAGGTGAGTGATTGTGTTTTCGATGAGAAAATCAATGCTCATATCTTCTCAGACTGGCGTGGCTTGGCTTTGAGATCAAGTATCTTGCGCCTAGTGGCCAGACAATCATCCAGGGTATTTATTGGCGAGAAGCTGTGTCGTAATCCAGACGGGCTTCGGGTTTCGATGGAATACACAGTTGATACATTCATTGCGGCCTATTTACTCCGCCTCTGGCCAAAGTGGATGGAAGAAGCAGCCAAAGGCCGCCCTTATGACCCTGCCCTCGCGCAGATATCCTTTTTCGATCGCTGCAATCCATAGCACATCGGATATGCTTATTAAGGTGCTCTGGGACCTCTGTGGCAAGAGTAATGTTATCGAGGCCCTCCGTGAGGAGATAGTCACTGTTAATCAGGAGGAGGGATGTACAAAATCGGCTCTGTACAAGTTGAAGTTGATGGATAGTGTGTTGAAGGAAAGTCAACGGCTCAAGCCGTTGTGAATAAGTAAGTGCTTCCATTGCCATCATCTATATCGCCTTCAGCTACTCTGTCTGACATTTCTAGTCGCCATGAGACGTGTTGCGATTGAGGAAGTCAAGCTCAATGATGGCACCGTGCTCCCCAAGGACGCAAGCATGCTGGTCTCTTGTTGTCGAATGTGGGACCCCAGCATCTATCCGAATGCAGAGACATTTGACGCCTATCGTTTCCTGAAGCTGCGTGAGACTCCTGGAAAAGAAATCATCGGCCCAGGCGGTATCGTGTTCTCCTGAACATCTGGGATTCGGACTTGGAAAGCATATCTGTCTGGCATGACAACTCGTAGGACGCTAATCGTTGTATATAATAATTCGATCCTTTAGGTGACCAAACCACCAAGCTATAGTCCCATGCTGGGGGAGTTCTTGCAGCTTGCATGTATCGGGGTTTAATTGAGAACCGGCGACTGATCTTTGAACGCCCTTAATATACTCCTTCCCAGCGATATCATCATACTCGATGCATATAGGCGCATGAACTTCACGGTCAAGGTCCTGATCCCAACATACCTGTCCAAGCGACTCCACGTGCCCGTCTTGGTAATATAGCAGGAAGCCGAGGCATGGACGGTGCGGCTGATGTTTATCGCGGCAAGTTCGTACTTCAAGAAGGCCTTCAAGCGGAGCCTTTGTCATGTACCAGGCGGTCACCGGCGTGCCATCCGAGGGAGAGATATTGGGGGTAATATATGGATCGAGGGAGGTTTCGAATTCTGAATATTCGTTGATGCTCCGATGAGAGTCACAAACAACCCCCATGACAGAAATATGTCTAGCACTTGGATCTAAGCCGTCATGGAAGATACCTGAAACAGCCCCATCGGACTTTCTCAATAAGCATTGAAACTCATAGCTTTGTTTTAAATATGCGGGTGGGTGGGGACCAAATGCAACAGCTCTTTTTAGAGAAGTCCGAATCTTGTCCGTTAGCAATAATTCATAATAGAGGGTAAAGGAAACTATACTTACGAGCAGAACAGGGTTAGAAGACGGTGGATCACAATTCTTGAACGTCCGAACCCAAGCCCCTTGGATTTTCTCATTCACATTGAGCGGAAAGAACATCCAGAATCTCTGAGAGTTTTTCAGTCGCTGATTCATGGAGTCAATAAACTTCCAAAATGCTTTTGACCTTCCGGTAAACCCATGGATGCCAATAGTCCTTCCATATGAGCAACAAACAATAATACCCTTTACTGCGGCGTTAAGCTCTATATGATGTAAACGGTAGTAATTCCGAGTCTTCTGAAAGTTCCATGGGCGAAATGTCGGTTTTTTGGGAAAGCTCCAAGTCATCGATGCATCACACGGCTTTTTGGCAAGAATCCGAATGGTCCTAGAGAAGAGGCCCTATTCCATTTTAGCATCGTCATATTCATTGTGAGCAGAATGCATACATCAAACCTAATATAAGCCTCTGCACGGCAATCTGGAATGTCAAGGATGTCATACCATGGTGAGCCATCTGGCACCAGGTTCGAGTTTTGACCCAGAAAATATAGAGAGCGCACTCCAATATGATCAGTTGATAGAATAAGTTTCTTAGCATGAGCGGGTATGTTGATTTGGGTTTGTCGAGCGGCATCCGGTGAGGCGAATGGGACGCTACTAATCCTAGACACATAGTTTGTTCCTTGATACATGGTTCTAGTAATGTAGAGGCCATTCGATAGACTGAGTCGCTCGCATTGACTTCCATTGCTGTGCCGCAATTGCTCCATAAGGCGGCGAGTTTCCCCCAGTACGGTCAAGTACCAACATGGACTGATAAGATCTGTAATTATGAGATTGACCTCCGTCGGGAATCGTTGAAAAAGATCCTGTCGAAAGACATCCTCAATTACATCCTTCGTGTAGCAGCTTAGAAGCCCTTCCAGGGTAGAGATGGCTTCCTGCTTAGACCTGTTTGAAGGATACAGAGGCTTGACTGCATCTGCAAATCGTTGAAAGTCCTCCAGAGTAGGCGCTTCGGAGCTCTCGTAGCTTGCCCCTAGGAGCTCATAACATATTTTGTGGAACCATATTGACGGGGCAAGAGGATTCCCACAACGTAAGCACGAACCTTTCTTGCACTCCGGTAATACTATCTGGTTGAGGTTGACATCTATTTTGTTAGACTGATGTTGAACTCATGCCACCCTATGCAAGACTTACCCAGAATACTTGACCCATGTTTTCCCTCTTCTCTGCACAGCAAACATGAAGTCTGACCAAGATGGATAGCTGTATGGCATAGTCTCGAAGAGCAGCCTGTACTAGCATCTATGGCCCTCGGGCCCAGGACTCTCGATGACATGAGATCTCGTATATGGCGATTGTTTCAAGCTTCCCCCCATGAAAGGGATACCAGGTCATAGATTCATCCAGCATTGAGATGTGTAGGAGTGGAAGTGAGTCGGTCACTGTCGGAGTGGCGTGCGTACAATTTCCCTGCTTTTGTTTCCTATTTCGGAAGGCACCTCTTGCCCCCCTGACTCAGCCATGACTCAGTGACTCTCGATAGTTACTTCCCGCGGGTATGCCCTCATGGCAGGTGACTTTCCCGGCTACCTGGGTTCTCCGCAGCGGTCTTGGTCTCTGTTTACTTAGTCTTCTCGCTCTTTCTCTTTCTGATTCCTTTATTCTTATCAATCCTGTTGCAATCGATCATCTTGTCTGCTATGTGTTCTATCAGAAAAGGTTTCACCTTCTGCTGTTCTGTACTCCGTGCGGGACATACGTACATACTGCCTAGAAGGAGGATAAATATCTTAATTATCAATACGACTTGCATGATCATCCTATCCAGTTTTCAGTAAGTGATCCAATCCAATGATACTCCCCGCATCAGAACTACCCATCCCGCCTGAAATTCAACGTGGAATCCCCATTCGTCGACAACGAAGGCGGCAGGTCATCCGGGCCCGTCCCCCAGGTACTTTCATTCCGTCCCAGCACGAGCACCAACTCCTGTCCCTTGGTGAAGAACTCATGCCCGACGTAGCTCTTGGTGTAAGGCTCACCGTCCAGTGTAGCAGACTGGATGTAGATATTCTGGTAATTAGGGTCGAAATTGACGGTCTGCACCGTGGCCGTCTCTCCCGTGAGAGGCGAGGTGATGCGGACGGATTCGAAGAACGGGGCGATAATCAGATAGACGTTCTGCCCGGGGTTAGGGAAGAGGCCCATCATGGTCATGGCCAGGAAGGAGCCCATGGCACCAGAGTCGTCGTTGCCAGGGAGGCCGGTGGGCGTCGGGTTGAAGTACCGTGGCACATAGAAGTGCGCGCGGGCGGTCGACTTGCCGGGCCGACCGGCGTAGTGGTACTGAAACACGGTAAGGAAGGCGGGTTCGTTTCCGATGTACGTGATGCCTTGGTCGTGGAGGTAGTCGAGACGACGGACGAACTCGGAGGGACCACCAAGCAGGTTGATCAGAGTGGCCATGTCGTGAGGAACGAAGCTGGCTGCGTTAGTTGACTCTTGACGATAACGTGAGGTGGACCTACAATTGGTATTCCCAGATGCTGGACTCGAAGGTCTCAGCGGCATTGTTCTGCAGGGAGCAAGATTTTCCGCTCGTGTCTATATTCGAACACGTCAAAGGGTCCTGCACTGGTTAGCTTGATCTTACTGTTGTCAGGGCTCACGCACCTGGTTGCCCCATGTACCGTTTAGATACTTGGGCTGGAAGAAGCCCTTGAATCCGGTATCGGTGCCATTGAGAAACGAGGTTTGGTCCACGCGGAAGAGGTGCTCCCAGTACTGGGCGGTGTTCTCGTATTTCTCGGCATCGCTGGTTTTATTGAGACCCCGGGCCATCTGTGCAATGGTGAAGTCATTGTAAGAGTATTCCAGCGTGCGGGAGATGCTGCGTGTCAGTGTTCCGAACCCGATATAGTCGAAATCCTCCACAGGGATATAGTTCAGCGCCTTCCAGCTCATCAGTCCACCGCGACCTTCATTCGACCAGTCAAACGGTTCTTCCTCAGCATCTCTCTGGACAGCTGCATAACCCGCTTCCCAGTCAATGCCATCAGAGATGCCCTTGACAAATGCATCAGCCAGAACGACATCAGCATTCGAGCCGCCTTGTGTGTAGCCTACAGATGTGAGTCTCTATCCCTTCCAACTATTCGGATGCCTACCTTTGCAAAGAGACATCCGGCAATCTGGGAGCCATCCCAAATGCCGTTGTGTGTCGATCAAAGAGCGCAGGATTCGACTTAGCGACGCGGGATCGAAAATTGTCAAAAACGGGAATTGGGATCGGAAGGAGTCCCACAGGCTGCAGATGGTTAGAGAAGAAGGTACGGGGTAGTATATAGAGTGCACACCAGTAAAAGGAATCAAAGTACGGCTCCGAGCTGTCCCACAGTGGGTTCTCCCCTGTGTAATCCTGCGGGTTAATCATGGTTCGGTATATCCCGCTGTAGAAGTTGGTCAACGTGCTCGAGTTCGTCCCATTCCTCGAAACACGGATTGGGGCCAGCTTTTCTGTCCACAAGTCCACAGCTGCTGTGTAGGTCTTGTTGAAGTCAAAGTCTGGGATTTCAGCTTCCGCACTCTCACATGCTTGCTCGCTACTGATGAAACTCAATCCTACTCGAGCTTGAATCGTGTTGTCGGAAGAAGAATGGAACCGCACAAAAGCTCCCCCCTGCGACAGTTAGCGACGAAGTGAATCATAATGCAGGACACAAACCGGAAGAGGATAACCGTTTATGCTGCGCGATATCGTGAGGTCCTTGACATCAGTACTAGCCCGCGCATCAACAAAGATGCCATTATCTCGAATATCACCGCCTTGAAAGTCTGCGCAGAAGTACGGCACGTAGGATCCGCTCCCAAAGCTGGGCAAGAATTTCGCATGACCTGTCATACGTCCCGTTGTAACATCGACAGAAATAGTCCCGTTATCCTGACGAGTATCGGACAAGTCGGAGAGATCCAGCAGAATCAGGGGGCTTGATGGCATGTCGGTTGGAAACTGAAAGCGGAAGAGGGATGTATGATGGGCAGCCGTCATATCTACCTGGATACCTGAGCTCATATTCAGCCCAAAGTACCCAGGACTAGACTTGACCGACTCGGAGACGTAGGAGGTCTTCCGCTGCTTCTTTGGATACGCGCACCCATCCACCTCGTCATCTTTGCACGTTGTGTAGGGGAATAGTGGGAAATTCCCTAAGGAGGGCTGGCCACCAGTGCCTGAATCATGCATACTGGAGAACCCGGTGATGCTGCTGCCATCATAGGCGAAGCCTCCTTGGTTGTTCTCTGAGTCAGTATCGGCGACGGCCTTGGCCATGCCGTACGGGATTGTGGCGCCTGCAAAGACGTTGCCTGCATTTATGGATAGGACGGGGTGGTTAGCTAGGGGTCATCGTAGAGAGTGGCTAGCGCGTACCTCCATTCGCGGTTCCAACAAGAGGGTCGACATATTGAAGGACATCGTAGTCGTCAATTGAGGAGTTGGCACAGCCCCCGATGCGGGAAAGGGCTAGAATAAACGCAAATGACCCTCGATAAAACATCTCGAGTGCCGTATGTAGGAGGATGGTGGAATGAGTACGGGCGTTTCAGGGACCAAATAGGCGCAACCGCCCTGGCATGCGGCCTGGCCATCAAGGGAGGAAGGAATGGGACGACGTCCCCGCAGGGAGGGACATCGCGGGCATCCTCTGAGGAGAGTTGACGCACGGTCATCCCTGAGCTTCATCGACCAGGATTGTATATGCAATGTAACGTTTGGGGCTCAGTTCAACCGGCCTCGATCGACGGTGATCTTGCCAGACATGGAGATGCCCCTAATGTCTCTCTGGCATGAAGAGGACGGTGTGTAACCAGCCCGGCGACTCCATCCCCTGCGATGCCGAAACCTGGACTTCAAACGTCACCAAGCGCGATATATGCAATTTCTTTAGTGGCATTGTGATCGCAGTACTGAGTACTCAGGGACCGTGTTGACACTAGACGGAGGTGAAGCCGGGGAGATCAGACGCGGACACGGAGTAACTGATCGGAGGCTGCCTGATCCCATCACCTCCCACTCATCTCCACCGTAATTTGCACATCTCTCAAAACTTGGACGACCAGAGGAGGGGAATCTGGGGTTGACTGGATAGGAGTGGAGTCCTGAAGATGAAGACGAGAACAATCAAGAACAATCCAAAGTCAATTGGGCCGCCCGGTGAAGCAGCCGAGGTTCGCGGCAGTTCCGCCCCGCCGGCCGCCAACCCACGAGTGGACCGACCGAAAAGTCGCGATGCGGAACCACGGGGTTCGCCTTGCCTGGCACGCTGCACACTATCTATCTACCAGTTACTGGCTCGCGCCACTGGTGTTGACTCGGGATCGGCACAAGCCAACCATCGGGGTCCGCTGATCTGATCGGTTGACGGTTGAGACTGGATCGAGGCTCCATTTGCAGCGCCTTTCCGATTCTCCAGTTCTCCTTTTTCCTCCTCCCTCCTTCCTCCCAAAGCCAAGGTCCGTCAGGCCCAGACTCAGTCGTCGCCATGCCGCCAGTCCCAGCCGCTCTGCTGGGCTCCACTGCCATGGCCAGGAGACTCGCTTTCGCTTTGCCCTCTCCACGGCTGCCTGCCACGACCCCGAGGATTGCTCGCCCGTCCCTGTCCCTATCCCGAGGCTTCTCCTCCCAGAACCCCTCCCTCTTCCGCTTCGCCTGGCCGACTGCTCGTGCTCGTGCTCGTGACAGTATGTGCTCTATCCCTTTCTAGCCTATTACCTGCCCCCCCCCCTTTACGAGAGTGCCCAGCGGCAGTAATAACCACATCACTTCGAAATCTCAGACGCCGCTACTTTCCCTTCGGAAACACCTCCTGCTCTCCCTTCAAAGACCCCTCCTCCTCCCCCTCTCCGTCGCCGTGGTTTCCGCTACCGTTCCCGCCTCCTCCTCTTCGCCGCAGTCGTCTTCTCCGCATCATTGTTGTACACCGGTGGCGGTTTCGTCCAAATCGTCGCAATGGCGCTCGGTGTAAGGACCGACGAGGAGAGCCTCTCCGCCTTCGAGCCCCAAGATGAGTTCGCCAAGGAGGTAGACGAGTTCATCCGCAACCACCCTATCGCGGTGTCGCTGCGCGAAAACCCTGCTTTCACCGAATCCCGCCCACACCTGAAGATTCCGAATGGGATGCGCGAGCGAACTCTCACGGCGGGCACCCTCGCCGGACCGGATAAGATCGTGGCCCCGCCCCTGGTGTTCTGCGAGGAGGGCGGCAAGAGCCTGGTCTCGATTTTCTATCTCGGCCCGAGTCTCTGCGGCCACCCCGGGATCGTGCACGGCGGGTTGCTGGCGACGCTACTGGATGAAGCCATGGGTCGGTGCTGCTTCCCCGCCTTGCCCAACAAGGTGGGCGTGACCGCCAACCTGAACCTAGATTACCGTCGGCCCGCCATGGCGGGCAACTATGCCGTTCTGCGGGCGGAGACGGTCAAGGTGGAAGGTCGCAAGGCCTGGGTTGAGGGTCGCATTGAGACTCTGCCCGAGGAGGGCAAGGAGCCCGCGGTCTTGGTAGAGGCCAATGCCCTGTTTATTGAGCCGAAGCTGGCATCGGTACGTTGAACTGGCCCGGGCACTGAACCGACGCTGACTTGACAAGCAGACGATCCTACCTCTTTACAACATCGCGCAATAGATCTGTTTTCTTTTGATCCGGTTAACCTGCGATATATTGAATCGGAACCTCCCGATTTTTCCAACGGGCGTATAGACGAACGGAATGCCATACCTACACCAACATTGTGTTTTATATAGAGTATAGTGGTTTGATATTTCCAGTTTTTTTTTTTTTTTTTTCGGCGTGGAAACCGCAATACCCTTGCATTTTTCAACGCAAATGTCGGGTTCGAGAAGCGCCACTTTTCGGTTTCAACATGAAACGGCATGGGTTCCGAGATTGTTCAAGCTTACAGAGCTGCTGTACGTACTATATACTTGGCATGCGCATCGGCTGATGACCACCACATTTCCACTGTTCAAACAGAACAGTAGGAATCAAACATTCCCTATCTACTAGCCGATGGCAATGCAAATGAAACAGCAGTACAAACAAGTAGTATCTTAGTGTGAGTTGCCTTGGACGTCACCTCCAATTTTGACACATGTACGAGAAACTCCTCGGATATTGATATCCAGCTAAAGTACAGCACGGCCGAGTGACGTACAGCCAATAGTCAAGAATTTGCACCTGGACCGATCTGCACGCCATCATCAAGCCACTGTAGACAAAAATGCCATTACCAAACTCCCTTCCATGTGATGTAGTCGGGTGACTGTTGGACAGACACTCCAGGAAGAGTATTTTCAGTGAGCGTTCAAGAGTAGAGACATTCACTTGAATCATGATTGTCTACATCATGTATATATCTATAGTAGCTTTTATACACACACTGTGGTCATGCATGGTATATCTCGCAGCTGCATAACCTGGATGCTATCTTAACCCCCATGAAGGCACTGATATGTTTTGTTTATTCAACAGCATCGAGCAGGCGGTGGCTGATATCAAACAGGACTGGTATGACGTGCCACACATACAAGAACCTACTGCTATCTAGTCTATCTTCTAACGACACGCATACCCGGTTATAAACCCGGTAGAAGACGCAGGGAATCATCCATACATAGGGGCCCGGAGGCGTGCGTAGAGAGGGTCACAGCATAGTTCAGTAAAAGTCAAAGATGGTAGCTTACTATTATTTATATATATTTAATAGTTTGCCACACTCACTGACCATTTCATAATAGTTGTCAAACTGTTACCTACAGTAACAGTTAGGTTGTAGCTAGGTTGTGTTACAGTTGCTTACAGTTGCAAAACAGTTATTTATTATTATTTACATATAATAATAATTACTAACGATACAACCTCACCCAAACCGGGTAATTACATACAAACGTTGTTAAAGTTGAATACGATTCAGAAACTATTATGTAATTATAATTTAACAAGAATAGTTCTGTAATAAAATAGATTAGATACGGAAGATATCTATTACTTATGAACAGAAACTGTATTTTATAGATATATAACAAATATTAATCATAATTTCTAGACATTATCTGGTATTTTATAGATATATAACAAATATTAATCATAATTTCTAGACATTATCTGGTATTTTATAGATATATAACAAATATTAATCATAATTTCTAGAGATTATCTGGTTACACTCCTTAAATAATAGTAAGATTCTTATACAAAATATTCTCAGAAGTAATATATAATCATACGAAAGTAGTAAAAGACCAGAATATAATAATTTGTTATTTACATAAAATCAATATTCCATGAACAGTATACTAGATCTTGTCTAGTATTAATATCAACTGATACCTGTCTGTAAACATTATCTATATCGATCATAAATGCCGGCTCAACTTTACTTTGTAATCCTGACAATACCCATCTCTTAGAAGAACAATAGAAAGGAAGAGTTGTTGCCTTATCTGTATTTCCGTTCCGTACCCAAGGCTGTAATAAAAGAAAGAAGAAGCATTCTGATTGTGTATAATGCTTTATACCACAACTCACATATGCTATTGAAGACTGGTATTTAATAAAATTTCCAGTGGTAATTGTCTGTGAATGACTGGAGAACAGAACACAGTTAGTATCTTGGAATAGAAGATATATAGAAATCAGCTGCGAAAGCCTTTCACAGCTGTCTCCTTAAAAATAAAGAAATCATACCGGGAACAGAATTTGATCTGACAATAGTAAGATAATTGTGTTTTATCATACTGGCGAGGAAGTGAGATTGAATATTCTTGCCGGTACGCTGAAGGTAACATGTCCAGTATATCCTGCTCAGAAAGCGAAGAATGAGGCCATTCAATCGGATGTGTCATTGTAACTTGCAGGTCAGTAATAAATTCATCTGCAAGAATATGTTTCTGGATCAGACGTGGGCAGGACATATACAGATCCTGGACAATCTCTAGTAGAATTGGATGATCATCCCGCCAGGAACCCGCAAGACCCAGGCGTAAAGAGTGGTGGAGCCGATCTAGCCGGAAGAGATAAGTCATCAGCTGAGGCGGCGAGGCGCGATCTATCCATCTCTTGAATATTCTTATATAGTGTGATACTATCAGCAGCTGGCTATAATTTAGAATAGGTACTTACCTATGCTTCAACTCACCGGCTAGAACATTACAGTTCATGAGCGGGCCATACTCAGCAGCAAATGTATGAAAATGAAAGCCAGCATGAACAACTGGCACCCCAAGATACTTAAACCATTTATCTTTATTATGCTTCTTATTATAATCATGTGGCAGTTTTCCTGCTTCATGTTAGCTAGGTAACTGGCCAGCGAATACCACAGATACAGACCATGGATGCTGAATGCCTGTAGCTCTGAATCAGTCATGGCTGAAGCTGTAACCACCAAATGCTGAAAGATTCGGCGGCTGTGAGTAATCCTTGCATTTACCAGTGCAGGAGGCAACGCGCGGCTGGTTGAGATAAGGGTGGTTGTCAATGCGATCTCTGCACAAGCACGGACCAGCCACATCTGTGGCGAGGACACATTTTCGGTATTTGGAAAGAGATGTGGTATAATATTTTTAATCCGCAGCAGGAATCTCGGGTGAAACCAGTCGGGGCGGGCACATACTCGAAGAATAATAGGTAAGAGAATGATCCCTCGACCAAGGTCTGACAATGTCCAGGTTTTTAGGTGTTTCAGAGGAGGAAAGTGAGGCCATTGAGCCGGCCGAACAACTTTTTGCAAGGCTGTAGCGAAGTTGGAAACCCCTGAAGGCACAAGAATTTTCTGGATATACTCCAGCAGACGATAGCCGATCCCCTTCCAATCAGAGTGCGGTACATCATACGGACGGCCTAAAACAATGTCAAGAGTTGGCATGATCCGTTCGATTGGCGAAGGCACGGACTGTATCCCTACAGCATTAAAATATCTTTGCTGTTCTGGAACAGTGGCCTTGTGATCACCCTCAGTTCGGTAATACTGATGCTGGAAATGATATCGGCCATGGGAAACAGTATCATATGACCACTGATACTGTTTGCTGCGTGGACAGTAGCATGTCCGACATCCGATATCAGCACTATAGCTGAGCATACCACTATTTTTAGCTTGCTGTGGCATATCTCCAGTAAGAGCCATGACGGACGCAGTAACAAGCACTTGTTTCCCATGGATTGTGCTGTAAAAGCCTTTTGCCACGGTCTCAAGGTCAGTATGGATATTGGCAAGAACATCCTGAAAGGAGGCCCCATGAGGACCCAGCGTTACGGTAAACGAGTTTGCCAGACGTCTTCGCCCGGCATAGGACAAGCCGGCAGGTGTGAGATAGATCCCCTTCAATGCCCTGAACATGTTGCGGTGGGCTCCGAAATCATCAATAAAAAAGGAGGAAGGGTAGTGACATAACTCGTGGCTGGCGGGATAGCCAGACAAAGTAGCCACGTCCAAAGGTCTCAAGCTCAAGTTCTGCTCGCAGGGGGTGCATCAAAGTGCACAACCGAGCCGATTATCGCGCAAATTTAGGACATGATAAATAAAGATGATATCCTCGGATAATGTGGCAGGGGACGATGAGTATAAACAAGCTGGAAACCAACACGGCTACTAATTGATGACACAGGGACCTCGAATACTGCATCCTCAACCAGTTGATAACCACTGTCGATGTGGGGATCTGTTAGCTCAAGGGACCCACCATTTTCTTTCCTGACCTCAGCCAGCTGGTGCGGTTCAAGAACAGGCTGGACAGTACAAACGACCTGGCCTTGTGTCTGCGAGCCAGACCGCGTATCTCTACCAACCAAATATTATCCTGCCATACTGAAATGACATACTCAAACGCCGGAGCCATGGCTGGGAGGTGAATTGCAAACTCGCTCGGAAGAAAGATGTCCCAGTATCCGGAGAGGAGGCATACTGACGGATGATAGTGATCAGGGATGAGCCCCATGCACGCTGATGCCAAAGCTCACAGGATGATCAGAATACTCTGCCATTCGAATGTACTTGGTTGACCCAAATCAGATGAGAGGATGGAGTGGAACAGATGTGGTAGACTATAAACATACTGCAGGGATGTCGCTTGTGCTGACGAATCTTTCTTGCCAGATGACACTGAACTCTGGGCATTGAG